AAAATTACTTGAAGGTGAGCTTCATATTATAAGCTATGTCACTTACTAGCTTGCTCTAATATTTTATTTATAATATATTAACACTCATCAATTTTTTTTTCTTTGCTAGTCCCACCCAAGTCACAAGAACCTTCAGACAGAAAGTGTTGCTAATTATGATGATTTAAAATTTGTGGTTGGGGGTGCAACTGCTACTGGAAATGGCTCACTTGCATTAGGTGTCGATGATACCGATGCAACAACTTTTAGGGACGAGGAAAACTTAAATTTTGGGATGGAAGACTTTACATATGATGCTGCCAATGAGACATTTGTAGCACCAAGTCACTATCAACCATCCTTCCAACCTTCATCACCCAACCAATCTACACCACCCTTTGAGTCCCCTTTATGTGTTGAGGTTCCTCAAGGAAAAACAAGTCAAAAGAAGCGAAGTAGATCTGAGTATGAAGGGAGTTCTAACTCAATTGGTTCCACCAACCAAGCCAAAGTTCTTGAAACCATATCCACCAATTTTGAGAAAATCTATGCTCTAATGGAGAAAAGAGAAAGAGATAGAGAGAATAGTATTTGGGATGCTATGAAGGATGTACCAAACTTGGATGACAATGCTCGATTCTTGGCGATTGAATTGCTTAATACTAAAGTCAAACAAGACATGTTCTTGAAGATGTCAACCGAAGAGCGCTCATCTTGGATATCCTTCAAATTGGGATGAATTGTTATTTGGATCACCTTGTTTTCCTTAAGCCATGTCTAGTTGCTACATGACATTATTGTTATTACTTTTATCATTTGGTTATTTATTCATGTAGCATAATTAATCCATGTTATTATATAATTTTTATTTCATATGAAATCCTAGAGCAAATCTGTTGAGTCTTTGGAGAATACAAAAATATCCCAAGTGAATCATAAGAAAATCATGTAATTACAATATATTAAAATCATAAGTAAAATCTTGTAATTACAAATCATGCTGAAATCCATTACATTAAAATCATGTGATTACAATCTATTAAAATCCTAATTGAATACACCCCCCTTAGTGAATTGTGGTTGATTCTGCCACCTTTGATGTAACCATTTTTTATTTGCATAATACAAGCTGCATTGTCTTCATATAATATTGGAGTATTTTTTATTTGTTGTAGGCTTTTTAAATCCTTCATGAATTGTCATATAAATATGATTATCAAGTGATCCATATAGATATGTTGGAACAACATCCATAAGTCGCATATCAAGTCTTTCTATGACAACCAGGCCAATCAAGAAGCGCAATGTAATTGTGTCTATCAAGGGGGAATATGTCTCATCATAATCAATTCTGGGTCTCTGTGAGAAACCTTATGCTACGAGACGTGCTTTGTATCTTATGATCTCATTTTTCTCATTTCGTTTTCATACAAACACCCATTTGTATCCAACATGTTTTACACCTTCAGGCATTCAGACTACTGGTCCAAATACTTTATGGTTTTCCAATGAATTTAACTCTGCTGGGATAGCATCTTTCCATTTTGGCTAATCATTTCTATGTCGACATTCTTCAACTGTTTTTTATTCAGGATCCTCATTGTCTTATAATATATATTGCAACCTTGTATGCAATTATATTATCAATAATCACTTTCTCTCTATCTCAGCTTTCTCATGTACTTATGTAATTCAAACTAATCTCATCAAATATATCTTTGGGTGCATATGCCACTACGATGGTTATGTCTTTAACAACTTTAAACTGATCGATTATTGTCTTTCCAAGAGCACTTATTTGTTTTATGATTTTATATTCTTCTGTAATATGCACTAGTGTCTTTTTCTTTTGGGAATTTTTATCTTTAGCACTCGCAAGACGCCCACCCTTCAGGCGTGCCTTTGATGTATTATCATGTTGTCCTTCAGGGAAATCAATCCTTGCTGGGGTATTTATGTTGGAAATTTGTGGCTTTTGCTTTCACGGTCTCCTCTCTTGTTTTTGAGTTTTGTTTGGACCCTCCTCTCCTTTTGTCAAGAGCCAGGTGTTGTACAAAGACTTGTGTTATGGTAATCCAAACTTCTCCTTTTTTATTTTGCGTTTATTCCAATTCCCTTGCTGCCTAAGTTAGCTAAGGAAAGCTTCAGCCTTGTTGTGTTTACAAAAGTTTGATTGTGAACACTTGGCATTTTCACAAGTGATGCACCAGTTTTGATTCCCTATATTCTTTTAGTATTTTCAATGCTACTAAACTAGTAAGGGAGCTTGATATTCTCTGCTAAACTAGTAAAAGAGCCTTTTGTCCTTCTAGTGTTGGTTTACTCTAGTACCTAAGTTTGGTCTAGTTTGGTTTTGTGGTTGTATTTGTCTAAGTTAGTTGCTACTTCTCTTTTGATAGGACAACGCATGTGAAACCTTTAGGTTCAGCACTTTAGAAGGAAGGCTGGTTTGCTTGCTGGCCTAAAGCTAAAGGTAGGGGGTGACTTCTTGTCTAGGAACAACAATTCCTTCTGATTGTTCCACGTAAATTTCCTCTTCTAAATCACTGTTTAGAAAAGCAGTTTTAACATTTATCTGATGTATTTCAAGATTATGCAAAGCAGCAATTGCAATTAGCATTCTAATGGATGTTATTCTTATAACTGGCGAATATGTATCAAAGTAGTCTAAGCCCTCCTTTTGCTTATAACCCTTTACTACAAGCCTCGCCTTCTACTTGTCTATGGATCCATCTTCTTTAATCTTCCTTTTGAAAATCCACTTGCAACCGAGACGTTTATTTCCAGGAGGAAGATCCACTAATTCCCATGTATGGTTTTGTATGATGGATTCCACTTTAGCATTAATAGCTTCTATGCAAAAAGGAGTTAGGGAATGATATGGCTTCCTTATAAGTTTGTGGTTCATTTTCCAACAAATAAGTTAGAAAATCCAGACCATAATATTTAGATGTCTTTGCATTTTACTTCTCCTAGGTTCAACCTCATTTTCATGTCCATGGTTAGATTGTTCTTGATGATTTTCAAGATTACTATTGTGGGAGCTAAATTAAATCAAAACCCTAGGTCAAATATTTCCTTCCATTTGGGGATTATTTGACCTAATTAGGAGTTACTCAATTTAATTGGGAGTTTCCTAATTAAATTGATATTGATTTGACTCAGACCTTAATTAGGGATTTGATTTAAATCAAATAAATCAAATCCCTAATTAAGCCAATCTCGCCAAATCTGGGAGGAATAATTCATTTCCATCTATGGAATTATTCCTCTCAAACCCTAACCTCCGAGGCCCCTATAAATAGATGGCTACACACAAGGGTTGAGGTACGTCAGAATTCCTACTGAAACTCTGCAAAAATTATCCCTCACGAATCCTAGCCGCCATACTCTCTCTCCCTCTTACACAAGGCTCCGGCCACCCGTTTTACACCTTACATATATATCTCCGTACCCTATTTAGCTATTATTTTCTCTACGAATCAATTAAACTAACTTAGGCATCGGAGGGTCTTTGGCCAACACCCCCCGGGTGTGGTCCTTTTACCCCGATTTTTTTTGCAGGTAGAAAGAGGAATCTTTCAATCGGATATTCTCGTGGGAAGAAATCGCTCCCACAACTACTATTATAAGTTCTTTTAAAAGAACTTTGCTCATGTGCATCTTTAGAAGGAAAAACATTTTCAAAAAAGGTTGCATTCCCTAACTCAATAACTGTATTCACATGTACATCATTATTATTTCATTTATGTACAAGAAATCAGCATACACTACTATTAGAAGCATAACCAATAAATACACAGTCAATGATTTTGGGTCCTATATTTTAACCTCTTTAAGATGAGGGACTGCTATCTTAGCCAAACACCCCCACACTTTGAGGGATTTATAGATAGGTTTTCGTCCTTTCCATAATTCATATGGTGTATTTTCCAACTTCGTGTGAAATAATTTGTTGAGAATGTGATTTACGAAAAGCAACACTTCTCCCCACAAATCCTAGGATGCTCCAGAACTTATCAACATAGCATTCATCATTTCTTTTAATGTATGGTTCTTGTGTTTAGCAATACCATTGTTGAGGTGAATAAGGAGCGGTAGTTTGGTGAATAATTCCATGTTAAGCACAAAACTCAGCAAAATGTGCTACATATTCACCACCTCTATCGCTTCTTAAAACCTTAATCGTTTTGCTAAGTTGATTCTCAATTTCACTCTAATAATGTTTAAACATTTCTAAGGCTTCATCTTTGCTTTTAAGTAGATAGACATAGCAATATATTGTGAATCATCTATAAAAGTAATAAAGTACTTTTTACCACCTCTAGTCTGCACAAACTTTAAATCATAAATGTCACTGTAGAGGTTTTGTACTTCTTTCTATAGAATGAAATGATGTTTAGTAAGTTTAGCTTCAACACAAGTTTCACATTTTTTTACTTGTATCAATGTTAAACTTATATAATAAATCCATGTTAACTAATCTACGAATAGTATCATAATTAACATGTCCTAGTCTACCGTGCCAAATATTTGGGGACTCAAGAATATAAGCCGAACTAACTGTGTTCTTATTATTCATAGAAGGTATAATAGTCATTACATTCATCTTGAATAAACTGTTATTCAAGTACCCTTTCCCCACATACATCCCATTCTTAGTGAATACAAATTTGTTAGCCTCAAAGACCAATTTAAAACCATTCTTGCTTAACAGCGCTCCAGAAACCAAATTCTTCCAAATGTCAGGCATATGAAGCACTTGATTTAGGGTGAGTTCTTGCCATAAGTTATCTTCATAACCACCTTTCCTTGTCCTTCAACCTTGGAAGTTGATGAGCTTCCCATAAACAGTTACTCCCCTTGGTTCAGTTGTTGATAGGTAGTAAACATCTTCCTATCAGAAAAGATGTAGCATGTAGCTCTAGTGTCCGCTCACCATTCCTTGGTATTGCTTACTAAGGTCACTTCAGAGATTATGACAGGCTGATATCAAATATCTCATTGACAATTTCTCCTCCTCAGTCATGTGAACTTCTGTAGTTTTTTCCCTTACTTTGAGAGTTCGCTGCTCTATGACCATGCTTGTTGCAGTTAAAGCATTTGCCCTTGAACCCTTTGTTTTTCTGTGAGTTTCCTTGCCTAAAGCCTTCCCCATGAGTGCTTCCTCTTTTCTTGTTCTTTGGCCCATCCTCCACTACATGTGCTTTAGCCACCATGGAGTTACCACCGGTTTTATTTTCAGAACCACGGTTATCTTTCTCAATCCTTAGCCTCATGATCAGATCTTCAAATCCAATCTCTTTGCGCTTATATAATTCTTGAAATCTTTCCAGGATGGTGGCAATTTTTCAATGATTGTAGCCACTTGGAATTAGTCTCACTCAAAACCATGTTTTCTGCCTCAATCTCATGCAAAATAACTTGAAGTTCTTGGACTACAACTTGCGTAAAGACCATCAATCCTAATGTTAACATGATAAGGACTCCCAAATCATTTTTCTCCATTTCATTTACACTTTTTGTTTTTTGGATGGTTTGTGATTTTAAAGGTTAATATTACTCTGAGGTTTTAAGTTAAGTACCTTTTGACATACTTCAATCCTTAAAGAGCTTCGGGTTTATAATATTTTTTTTTTGAAGCCTTATATGACGTATGTTTTGACGTAGTACATTAGTCGTCAACAAAGGTGATTTACTAGCACTCTAAGAAATACTAAAGGAGCAAATGATGATTTTTTTGGAGTGCCACTAATAACTCTCTTTGGTTAAGCCTAACAACTGTTGTGTAGAAAAGTGACATTGAGCCATACATGGAGTGGTACATTGAATTGAAAAGTCGAAGAATTTGGATAGAGTCTAATTTCCAATCAAACTTTATGGGCTATAATATGTTATTGGGTCGTGTGGGCAAGGATTAAAATATCGGCCGTGCAGATAATATCGGGCCTCCAATTTACGGATATTTCGGAGGATATATCGTTATCGTTTTAGGTATCGGAAAAAAATCAACAAAAATGACAGATATAGGCATTGAAACACATAATATTGGTGTAAAACTTTCATAGATGTTATGTACATTATCAATGAATGTATTGAACAAATGAAACTCAAAATTTACTAATAATAAGATATACATATGATGAAATATAAGTGGTATGTAATGCGCGTTAATGAAAAGTTCGAAAATAAAATGTTAATTAGAATGAATAAACCATGCATAAATCCGTAGTTTGTTTAAACATTGGATTACAATTTAGATAAGTGTCCATTTACATAAATGAAGAGCTCCTATGAGGTTCAAACAATGAGGAACAACCATCTAGATTCGTACAATAGTCATACCAAGTCATGTAACCCGAGCAGTTTGTAAGCCATGTTTGAACATGGTGCACATAGGTCTCTCTTGAGCTCCCTATTGTCCTCCCATATATGGGATAGTTAGGATTAACCAACTAGTAGGTCCATAATCTTTTTTTATCATCTTGAGCTCCATAACTAGTTCCCCTATAATCAGACATGACATAACCACCATAAGATTCATTTGAGTTAGTACTAGGTCTAGTTCCTATGCTCATAGATCAATTGATCGCCATGTTCTCTTCAGATGGATTGGAGGTATGTGGGCAGTGGACTGTGCATAGATTCTTCAAATTAGTAAATTATAGGGTTCTGGGCAAAGATTAGCTATTTTTGGGTTTCAATTTGCTTCAATTGCCTTCAAAACTTCTAAATTTTTTTGGGTTTTGTTATGGCTATCGGGAAATATCGGGGATATCGGCAAAATATCGAGGATATCACACTTATCGGGGATATATCGTCGATATAGGGGAAGATATGGCCTTACCCCCCAGTATCGATGTCGATAGTTGAAAATACCGATATATCGGCAGATATATCGGTGTATCGGCCGATATTTCAATCCTTGCGTGTGGGTTAAAATCTTGGCATGAGAGAGAGAGAGAGAGAGAGAGAGAGAGAGAGAGTAATACCAGTACGTATGTGACGTGATGATATGGTAGCTGGTTCAGTAGTGACCAAGTTCTCTATATAGCAAAATTCAGTTACGTAATAATCTGTTGTTTTGGTGATGTGAATTGGAAAAGTTCTCAGCTTGTCACTCTCACCCATCAAATTGCAACTTGCAAATTGGATGCATAAATTCGATTGTTTGTTTGTTTCATGCAAAAACACTGCACCTTCCATATCTCAATCTTCCTTCCCTAAACCCTATAAATATATATTTTCTCGTTATATATTTTTTACCATCCATTTATATTTTACTCCCTATTTATAATAGCGTTCGCAAAGTAATAACGTACGAACGTTCGGTTGAGAAAAGAGATCAAATCAATTGGAAAGGTCTAATAGTGGGAACCCCTCCAAAATCTAGAACACTAAAGGATACTTGTTTTGGTAAGGGTGATTATAACAGTGTGAGGCTGTTTCATTTCATGGACTTAAATTTACATGACACTTGTGCCACCACTAATAATAAGGCACAAACCAATTTCGGTGATAATGAAATTATGCGGCCAAGGCAAAAGTTTTTGCTGGTAAAAGTTGGCAATCTTGTCGCATGGATCTTGTACTTCAATTTCTTCTTCTTCTATTTTTTTCCCTTTTTTTGTTTGCGGGATTATAAATTAATGCGTATAGATATCTAAAAATAAGAAGATTGATGATATGAAATTTGGATAAGTCAGCTGTACAAAGATTTAATTTTCATTAAGTGATAGGGCTAAGGTTGTAACACAAATTCAAGGTCACATAGCACTTCCACCCCATCTCCTTTTGCCATGGCAAAAGGGGGCTTAGGCTCTAAAAACAACCTTGATCCTAAGAAAAATTGTTATGGCAAGAAGTGGGCCATGAAACTGGGCAAGTTGACGTCAATGTGATGTCAGCGACCAATTTAAATACCAAAAAATTCAGATTTTTTTTTCTATAAATACATAGCCATGTTCTTCACTTCCCACACCAAAATCCATACAAATTCATCTCCTTATATCTCATGTGAATAGTGGTTGTCCTTGGGTTCCCATGGCAACGGGTGGGAATGCATAAAAAAATTGCTAAGGCAGTCACTATTCACATGAATAGTGTCTACCTTTACTTGCCCTTTCCCTTTGCCATGGCACAACGGGTGAAAGTGCTCTAAGGAGGTATATATAGGGTTACATATGTGTACATAAAGAAAGGTAATAAAACCTAATTGTACAAGAATAAGTCAATTGTATAAACTAAAAAGAAATCCCCAATTAATTATATACAATTTAATCTAAATGTAATTAGAATGCAATTGCAAAAATTAAATGACATTTTGAGCAGGGACGGATCCACATAGTGGGCTGTCTGGACTACAACCCATACGAATATTTTTTTGTATTTGTAGTACCATATAGTATTCTTAAGATAAAAAAAAAAACTTAATGGAGATAGCCCATCCCAAAGCTGCAAGAAGAAAGAACAGAGAGATGGAGCAGACGGAGAGAGAAGAAAGAAAAGAAGAAGAGAGGAAGAAGGAAAAAGAATAAAGAAAGAGGGAGAGGGAGAGAGAGAAAGAGAGGAAAAAAGAATTAAAAAAAGAGAGGGAGAGATTAAAAAAGAGAGAGTGGGGGGAGATATGTGTTGGGATGAGATGTGTTTTTATTTTGTTAGGTGCACTGCCCCACAAATGAGATGTTTTTATTTTATTATTACTTTCTTTTTTAACTTCAATTCCTTATAAATATCTTCTGTTTTTTCTTTCTTTGTTTCCCTTCAATCCCTTCCAAATATTTCAACATTTTCTCTATTTCAAATGTCGTATAATAACAAAAAGTTCTAAATACGATGAAGAAAATATACTGAAAAAAGAGTGCTTATATAAAATAAAAATATAACTAATTAGGGCTTATGATTTACTCAAAAAAAAATTTAGCCACCCCTGTGGGTTACCTCTAGTTTTTAGCTCCTAAAATCTATTGTTCAAGCCTAAAAATCTACAAAAACGAACCAAAATCCACAAAACTCACCAAATTTTCTTAATACATTTGTACTTAAGGTAAATTTAGCCCACCCGATTTGCAATTCCTGGATTCGTCCCTGATTTCGAGTCCTTTTTTTTATGGCCAAACATTTTGAGTCTTTCATTTCAGTGTATAAAACACATACCACTTTCCCTAAATTAAGTTTCTGATTTATATATCCATATTATAGATGTACATAACCATCAGGTAACTTCTAAGTATCTCATCATTGCCTTCCATTTATAAACTGTAGGGGGAAAAAAAAAAAAAAAAAAAAAAAAAAAAAAAAAAAAAAAAAAAAAAAAAAAAAAAAAAAAAAAAAAAAAAAAAAAAAAAAAAAAAAAAAAAAAAAAAAAAAAAAAAAAAAAAAAAAAAAAAAAAAAAAAAAAAAAAAAAAAAAAAAAAAAAAAAAAAAAAAAAAAAAAAAAAAAAAAAAAAAAAAAAAAAAAAAAAAAAAAAAAAAAAAAAAAAAAAAAAAAAAAAAAAAAAAAAAAAAAAAAAAAAAAAAAAAAAAAAAAAAAAAAAAAAAAAAAAAAAAAAAAAAAAAAAAAAAAAAAAAAAAAAAAAAAAAAAAAAAAAAAAAAAAAAAAAAAAAAAAAAAAAAAAAAAAAAAAAAAAAAAAAAAAAAAAAAAAAAAAAAAAAAACTGGTAAGGACACCTTGAGGATATTCAAGTGGAGGCATTACTTCCTCCGACTGGCCTAAGAATGACATTCTTAGGCCCAATCCACATACGAACATCTTTCCCATAACTATTCCCTCTAAAATGAGACTGAAAAAATTAAAAAAAAATTAAGAGGTGCATGAACATGACGACTGTCTTTGAATTCCAATCCTGAAAATGATTAGGTCTAAAATCCTATGTTAAAAAAGGAAAAAAGAAATACGGTTAACTAATTCAGGGGTTGGGAATCCATGCTCGGTGAACTGCAAACCTGCTGCTAAGATTGACACAAATTAAAAAACCTGCTGTTACGTGCCCACCTATACAAATACTTATCAACGAATAAGCAAGTATATCACCAACTATATGTAATCAAATTTTCTTTCCAATGTTGAATGAAATATTTCTCAAATCCCCCTATCATTGATTAAAAAGAAAAGTATAGCCCTATCCTGCGAAAAAATTAAGCATATCAAAACAGAAGAAAATTACCACTTTGCAGCTAAGCCAAAGTTCAGAATTATTACACGACTCCGATAAAAGGCAACATAGAAGTTAGTGAGGAAAACCTGCAATGGATTATATACATTATCTTTGTAATTTATATTATCAAATTTTCTCAAATATATGTACAAAATGAAAGTGGACGCCAAAAAGTTAATTCTTTCAGCCATATCACATGAAACCATGATTGCTCGAAAACCAAAATCCTGTACATATCCAGAAAGACAGCAGAAGCATTTTTGGACTACATGTGAGACTTACTACCTTGCCCTAGTAACAAATTTTTCATCTCCCTGTAACTTTGGAGCTCTTCTAATGCAACAGTGGTAGTTTTTGATGTAACGTGCCCCGAGGAAATGACGCTTGAAGAATCATCACGCTGAATTGATGCCTGTCCCTTAGAAGGTTGATGAGGCTCTTGGCTACTGTTGCTCCAGATTTCGGGCCTGCAGGCCTGTGAAAATTTTACTGAATTTGAGTTATCCTGGCGGAGAGGTGGAGCTTTTCTAAACATTTGTACAAGGGCACCAACAGCAGCATCTTGGGATTTTTTCATTGGAAACAACCCTCCAGGCGCATGTGGCTCACATAGAGGTACATTTTGTCAAAAGATTCAGGTCTGAGATGCAGCACAAAGATAAGGTCGCATCACATTAGCAAAACAAATTAATAGATTTGAAAGCAGCAAATGGATTTCATTAGCAAAGAATCAAAAAGAATGCCCCACATTAATTCTATGATCACAAAGACACCAGACGCAGAGAACATAGTGGCTCACACATAACCTAAAGAAACCTTATTTCAGCAAAAATAACCTTACAAATGGTTTAATGTGCATGATGATTTTGAAGCTTGAGATTGACTACTTGTAGCTCCGTGACTAATATTTACATACTCGTATGAATTGATGAGTATACAAAAGATGACTCCTTGTAGTTCCATGCAAAAAGAATTAACACTTGAATTTATGGACAAAGCTTTCTACTGATAAAGGGAAGGAAAATCCTACATAGATCACATCCTTCCCGAACAAAAACAACATTATTTCCAACAGTTGCATCAATTAGTTAGGAATATCTCACAAATATATGTACATGGAGAGAGAGAGAGAGTTTAAGTTCTTTTTCTTTTTCATTTGGTTAATATACATGGACAGAGAAAGTGTGGTATATGGATCGGAGTGAATTGGTTTAGGATGTAATTAATATTTTTACATAGCGAGAGTTTACTTTTAATGATATTAATGATATTAAAATTCAACAATCAAAATTCCTATGCAGAAAAATTAAACGGCACCTACCATGCACTTACAAGAAACTAATTCTGAGTTTCCAATACTATCATTTACCATTGGTTGTATATATAATACCACATATCTACGGAATCAGTCTGTCTTCTTAATGAGTGTTGTATGAGTACAACTTCAGGTCTTCAACCTTATCCCATTCCTAAAATTTGAAGTTTGAACTAAACAATACCCTCCATATATTTTTTACCTTCGCAGAAAAAATAAAATAAAAAAAGATGCCCATTATGCAACCAATCGCCAACAGGTCACCTATTTAGGCTATTCCTAAGTCATTTCAAGCGTAAACGATCATTTAATTTTCAGAAGCGGCGGTTTTGTGGTGCTCATCTCAAATCAACGGAGGGCATGGAAATATTTCGGAAGATGTAGGGAAGGTCAGTGCTATTAGGTGGTTTCTAAATGTTTCTCTATCTCACCCATTTGGAGCAAATATCTTACACAATAGTGTAACAGAAATCAGTTCATCCACATATAATTTATGGAAAGCAGACTTTTAGTATTCAGTGTTTCTAACCTGTGCCCAACATAGGATGCCGGTTTCAGAAAATTGAATTTGCAAAACAGAATCAAGTCCTATGGCTAAATCTTATAAGTTTGGTTAACAAATAGCTAACAACAAATCATGTTTTGTACTCCATAGCACACATTTCTACTGCAAATGGCAATTCAAGCCCTCTGGGTGAAAAGGAGTGTAATGCACAACAATTAAGGTAGGTCCCTCCTGCATTGAGAAAGCATATTGTATTTATTGCTCATATGCCCCAAATCACCTCATGTACATCTACTAACATGGGTGCCCCGGCATCTACTAAGCATGGTGGAGCACATTAGATGCTGTGTGTCAACTGTGAGTTACTCATCTGTTAAGTTTAAAACCAACTAACCAAAAGAAAAGAAATAATACATCTTGTAGAATGTTCCCTTGTTATTTCTGACTAATCAATCTCACATTACTTTGCCTGTACGAAACATGTTGACAGCGCAACTACCCTACCCTTCCTTGCTCCCTTACAATTTTGGAGTATATTTCACATAACCACCAACCCTTTGCTTCACTTACAAATTATTTCTAAAAACAAAAAAAAACACTAACTGCACAGAGATACTAACAAGTAGGAGAAAGCAAGTAGAACAGCTTATGCAAAATACTTGCAGAAACTAAAGTAATTTACATATACTAGATTCATTTGATGAACTTTGCATCTTACCTGCTACCTGGATCTGTCACATCCTCATCATCCACATCAAACGGGCAAGGAAAGTCAGAATCATCAAAATCATCAGGGAAAGACCTACTGGAGCTGCTGGATGATATTTTAACCTCAGAATATTGTCTAGCATCATCTTTCCCGAGGGAGGAAAACTACAGTTCAAAATTGGAAAAAGAAAAAAACCTTAAATAAAGAAAATAAAAATTCAAATGAAAATTTCACCATGATGAGCAAATACAATACCTTCTCAACCGCTGTACCAGCCTCCATAAAACCCCTAGTTTTATCAGTCTTAGAACTGCCAGATTCAAAACCTCGAAGAGGCATATTTAGCTTGTTGCGGAATGCAGGGGAATTAGCAAGTTTAGCCGTCCGTTCACTGAATGGTGCGCTCTCAGATTGTAAAAGAGGCTTTGAATGATGACTCCCAGGAATAAAGATTGGCAATGATGGAGAGGCAGACGATGGTGAGGGTGAAAAGGCAGGTGAATACTCATCAAAGCTTGTATCCTTCTTATAAACAAGAGATGTTTCAGGTGGATAACGTGGCATGATTGTAGGTGGGAAACAAGAACTTTGGTTAGAAATTAAGCACGTGGTTCTGAATATGTAGGTGAAGGTGAGAAGGAAACTGAAGGTGGTGAAGCTCTATAATGGTCAAAACTCCAACTATGTCGCCTTGAGAATGAGGAAGATGGTGGAAAGGCATGTGCTACTGATCCTGTCACAGGAAGTGATGGGAACCTTTTAAGTGGGTCTGTCAATGGGCTGCCAACATAGTCCGGAATAAGTTGTGGAGACATAGGAGTTGATGATTCAGAGCTTACATCTGAAAGTGATGAACAATACAACACTGAAAGGCAAAGCCTACCACAAGCCGTATCCACAGGGGTGAACCCAAACCGCTGCATTGCTGCCTCTTCTCTACAAGTGAAGGGCTCAGCAAAAGAGGCTACTCGGTGAGTAAGAGCAAATGACCGAATTTGGCCAGACGAATTGAGGTTGCGATAAACTTTGTAAGCAGGTAAAAGCCTAACAGTGACATACAAAGACCTCAAAAGTAACATCGACTTCTTATACAATGAATGTAAAGTATTACTGCTCGACCTCCTGCTCCCTGAATTTGTATCTCTAATCTTCCGACTGTCATACTGCACTACCCATCTCTCTATAATCTTTTCACTCTTTGCCTCACACCCATATTCCTCCTGCTCATAATTCCAACAGTATGGATACCGCTCTTTCAATGACAAGTTCCTAACAAGATCCCTTTTAGGTGAACACTTCACGGGCTCACAATCAAGTGGTCTCTGGACCAAAATCACATCAACCACCATAGGTTCAAGATGGCTCTGGCGCCAGAGATCAAGATTCTCCAGTGCAGCAGGACATTCCCTTAGAGCTAAATTAAACCACTTATCCCTCGGCCTCACACTTGATGAGGATGATGAGGATGATGATGGCGACGATAGGGCTTGTTCACCACTATAATTACGTGAGGACATGTATGGAGTCCTAGATTCAAGGATGATGTGGAGACTTTTGGCATAGAATTCAGTGATTATTTGTTCCATTTTTGCTGCTTCAGAGTGGGAATTACCATGAGAAGATGCCATAATGTCAAAATTTAAATAACTGGCACGTACCCTTTAAGAAACAAATGGAGCTGGAACTATCAGTCTCCACTTTAAAGCATTTAACTGCAAAACACCGCAAGCAGAGAGTTCAAAGGTCTTCCAAAGAGAAAACCCATGAGTTAACAAACTGGATACAACTTAAGAAAATTAAAGCAACCTGAATTGACAGCAGATATACAACATGTGTACTTAATGGAAATTTCGGTTGAATTCAGAGTTACAAACAGAGATGTGGTGTTGGTACAATGATTAATAACCCCAAATGATTAGCAGAGAATACAATAACCCATTCAAATACACGGAAGGAAACTATTAAAACGAAAGATAATGCTAAATTAAAGAAAGACCACGAAAGACGCAGAGTTCCAACTTAAAATTAAGAAAAATGAGGTAAAGTCGCCGTCTTCCAGCTCCTTGTTCAGCAAGAAACACGTTTGGCTACATGGGTTTTACTTTCTTACTATTTTCTTGCCTTTTTCCATTCAGTTTCTGGAACTAAGAATATTTTCCGCGAATTGAAGAAACCCTAAAGAGGAGGAAAAACAAAACCCAGTGAGGAGAGAGAGAGAGAGAGAGTATTAGCTGACTCACCGATTAGCAGGAGAGAAAAGAGAGACCGAGAGAGATACAGAGTATGTTAGTGTATTGTAGTTGTAGAGAGAACTTGTTCAATACCAGTTTATTTATTTATTCTTAAATTCGTATTATTGGATCTTCGGAGTTTTGAGGTCTTATCTGCTTGCACAAATGCTAAGGTACCTTCTCATCAAAAGTAAAGTAAGTGGCCCCTCTGGGCCCCAGTGGGCTGGAGCTTCAAAATCCTGGCCTGATTTTGCCACGTCATCCTCTAAGCCCACGGAAGAATTTTGGTATGTCAACCAGACGTTGTGAATTCTTGTCAATGTGTGTGGACCTCGGACCCAATATTTCACCCAAATGTTTTACCTCTTGTGAAGTAGACGAAATATGAAAGTGGAATTGTTTTTACGCTTCTTTTATCAAATAAAAACTTGATTTGATAACTTTCAACAATATAACTAAGAACACAATTAGATACCCAAATCATCAAGTCCAAAAATACAATAAAATTACCACGTTAAAAAAAGTCGAACTAAAACAAACTCACCAACAATTAAAAAACTGATTCAATACACAAACCACTTAAAACATAAAAACAATGAAACTGAGTTAAATTACTGTTCAATTGGAGTTATGGCGTAAATTGTTTTCACGTCATTAATAACACTATGCTTATAAAAAAGACAAACTTCTTATAGAATTTGTATCATTTTGTAGCTTCTTTGCAACAAAAGAAATGTTATATATAAAAAAAGGGGACATTTTGAAAAAGGTCAAAAGCAAGAGAAGTATTTTAAAAGAAGCCAAAATTATTTTGTACTTGGACAATAATGCCCTTATTTATTTTTGGAGTTCCTAAGGAATCATTTTGTTTCTTGCTAGCCGTATGGAACCAAAAGGTTTCTTCTTTTCAGATGATGCCGTATGGAGCCAAAGGGTTTGGAAATTATTCTTCATCTGCTAGGATGATCCTTCACATGAAAGGATGAGGTCTCCTCATGGAGTTATGCTTCCATCATGTTGTCTATATTGTGTAGCTCTTCTTTTCCTAAGCTATTCTAGTATGAGTTGTCGTTGTCTTCTGCTTTGATTTGTTTTGTTATCTGGCTATAGATTTCATAAAAAACTTTTGCTCTTGTTGTGCTTATCCTAAATTCATATGTGTCATCTGGTCTCCTGGATATAGTCTCTGAATAGATCTTCATAAGGTTGGATTGGTGAAGGAGGTTCAGACGATATTAATTGAACAATTGTTGCTCAGCTATTATTGCTCCTCTATATTTTTGAATGTCTTGTTTAGTAGGGATCCCTGTCTTTGCTGATATTACTGGACTAAGCAGTTCATTATAAGAAATAATAATACTATGTTGTGCTCTGTCTGGGTAAATACTATCCTTAAATCACTATGGGAGTATGCTAGTGAAATCTAATTTTACACTCTTCCATAGAGGGATATAAACACTTACGACTTCTTTTAATTTTGAGGAAAATGAATCCAAATGAACACTATTTTCAATATAAAGTTGACCAAAATAACCATATTCTGCTAAAAATGCTGGAGTAATTGTGATAGTGTTTTGTTTATGCTCTAAATGCAATTCTCTATATTCAACCATGTTAATACTAGCTAAGTAAATAGTATAATGAGAGCAGCTTGTGGTAATAATTTTTATACCAGGAAGTGGATTATTTTTTAAATTAAAAAAGAAAAGCTTGAATGTATAATTGAAGAGATGTATTTTGCTCATACTCTAATCTAATCATATGACTCTTAACATCTTCTGGTAAAAATCTATACCTTTCTCTAGCTAGAGTTTGAAGAAAATATGGATTTTTAGTATTTTACTCAAGGGAAAATTCTCTATTATGCTCAAGTAAGTTGGGCTTATTAGCCTCTTTTTCTTGTAGATTTTGACATCTTAAATTAATGATTCTAAAATTTCTTACTATTGTGTCATACTCTTTCTTTTGCTCTTCTTGTTTTTCCTGCAAAAAAGAAGTTGTTGTTTTGCTCTTTTATAATCATGATTATATGCTAAAAACTCTTGCTCAAAGGCTTTAATAAGTTTTTCATGCCCTCTTCTCATGCTTTCATTATTAGTTCTAATGTTCCAAAAGTTGTCTAAAATAACTTTTTGTTTATCTGCTAATGATGCTTGAGTACAATATTTTAAAGCAGGATTTCTAAACTTCTTGTACTGGAATTCCATTATAAAAATAAGTATTCACTACTTTAATATCTTCACTATTAAAATATTTTTGATTTGTTTTACTAGTTTTACTATGCAATGATGCAATCTTTCTTCCTAAATCAGGGATAAAACTTCTAGCATAATTTAATAAAACTAAAAATGCTTGCAATTGCTTTTTATCCTCTAGTTTTTCTAGAAATTCTAACACTTTTTTAGCTATGTGCTCTTGTAAATGTATAGTTCTTGACTTAATATACATACCTAAAAATTCTATGTCTTGTTTTTCTGGAAATTCTAACACTTCTTTAGTTATGTGCTCTTGCAAATGTATAGTTCCTGACTTAATATACATACCTAAAAATTCTATGTCTTATTTTTCAAGCTCTACTTTATTCCTACTTATCGATAAATTCTTTCAAAATAATTTCTAGGTGTTTTCTATGTTTATTTTTATTTTTATTATGAACAAGTATATCTAAAGGGAATATTGTGGGAATGGGGTTTTGTGGAGATTTCTAAAAACTCTACAACCAAACTTTGAGAGTATAAATCACCTAGCATGCCATATCTAATATGAATCAAAGTAAGAGCGAAAGTATTAAATAAACTAGGGATTCATGCAAGTCTTATTTGATCCCAATCTTTATAAGTCTATGAAAGTGTGTACCAAAGACTCTCTAAATCCTATTTGAGATAAAGATAAGATGTTCATACCCTTGGAGCGAATCTTGAAACCAAGAATGATGTTCAAGTAGAGAGAGTGGTCCCTTTGTTGTTGGCTCTCCCTTTGATGTTGATTCTCCACCTTGTAACTCTCCAAATAGGTACAAAGATATGCACCTCCCCAAAACTCTTCACCAAGGATTGAATGGGATGAGAGAATGAGTAGACAACAAGTGAAGAGTGGTGCTAGCACCTTCACTTGATGTGACCGATTCAAGGGGTTAGGGAGAGAGAGCTTGATGTTTTATCTCTTCCAATTTCACCAACTTGAAAAACTCTAGGATGATAGGATTCTATAGCTACACACTTATAGGATCAAAAATGTCACAAGAGTGACAAAAATGCCCACAAGACCTAGTGTAGCCACACCCCCCCTTTTGTGTGTCATCTTTTGCTATCTTGGTCTAACACATTAATCCTATAATGTGTCACATATGTGCCTAAGTCCATATGGTCAAATCTCTTTTGAATTTCCAAGTCATATGGCACCTTTAATTAAAGTTTCATAACTTTAATTGAATAATTAAATTAATCTAATCAATTTAATTACTCTAGTGACTTGACTAATTCAATCACTCGCTTGTCTAACAAGTGTTGGTCCTGGTCATCCTTAGTTGACCATGTCAAATGTCAGGTCAACCATTTGACCTTTGACCTTTGACTTTTAACTTTGACCAAGTCACAAAATCATTCATTCTCTTCATAATTTCCCAATCGATTCATTTTCAGTGTGCGATCTTATAGGTTCTAATTAGCGAGGCAGTGGGTATGAATGATTCAGTCTTAATCAAGTGTAAATTGTATCCCTCCATACAATTCTCCCTATTGCCGAAGGCTAATTATAATTAGTCCTTACAGGGCTTCCACAAGCCATGAGTGACACCTAGCAGTATGTCATGGCTATCCAAGCTAAAAAGAATTCATTTGGAGAACCTAGTCAGTTTGTGATTACAATGCAATTTGATCATTCTCTAATTCAATACTCTATGTCATATTCTCGAGATATGGTAAACTTGTGTCAAAATCCCTAATATGACATCTCATGATTATATGATTCAATTTGATGAAATTGCAAACGTTCTTGTTTGAATTTCCATCCAATACTTTGGCCAAAGATTCATGAATCATATCTTTAGAGCATTCCCTCTTCTTACTAAGAGCAGAGATTCCTTATTTTACATTCACCTGTCTCTGCGTACACGCTGAGAATCTTGAGGAATACCTTTAAGTCACATTATTTTGATACGATCGTATAGTGCTCTCAAAGAGAAACAATATATATATATATATGTATATATATATAAGACAATTGTGATGTCTCAGGTCTAAGGATAAATTTGCATTATCACAACTTAGAATTCTTTGCTTGACACTTGTGAGTAAGACTTCCATACAAGAATTCTAGAGTTGATCGCATTCAGTGGATCTTCTATAGAGCACCTACACATCTGTCTTAGTGTCTCTACACGAATGACTTGAGACTAGTCATCCTTCCAATTGAGCAGACATAATGTGTAACAGTCTTTGCGGGTCACCATTGTCCAATTGGTGATCCTATGACCAGAAACATTTTAGGATATGATATTTATATGTATGGCAAGGTCACGTGCATCTAACTTCTTTAGACCACTTTCCATTTATATCTTAATCCATGGATTTGTTGCTTTGTGTACGTTATGTATCTAAAGCAACGTTCTTGCCCCTTTATTATTATATATTATTTCCTTAGAATTATCTATTTTATATTGGCTTCTAGGGCATATATCTAACAATATCATCTACATATACACTACAAAAATTATCATATTTCTTAAAGATTTTATCCATCTTTCTTTGAAAGATCGAGGGTGCATTCTTTAATCCAAATGACATTACAAGCCATTCAAAATGTCCTCATGGACAAGTAAATATTGTCCATTGGATTGATTCTTCTGCTAATCAAATTTGCCAAAATCCTGATTTACAATCAAATTTACTAAAATATTTACTTTCTTGAATTTTATTCATAAGCTCATCTTTGTTTGGTAGTTTATGACTATCTTCAAAAGTATTTTCATTTAATCTCCTATAATTATACATTATTCTAGCTTTACCTATCTTAAGTTCTGAGTGTTTTCTAACTATAAAGGCTGCTGATCTATGCCTAGATTTTGAAGGTCTAATTACTTTTAAGTTTAAAAGTTCTTTTATATGTTGTTCAAATTCTTCCTTATCTAACAAGTTACAAGGCATATCTACTATTTTAATTGTTAAGTTTGGATTAATAATGTCTAATTTTGCAAATATATTATTCTTATTCCAATGTAATCGGGGATCTTCTCTTATAATTATAGTTTGTTTAGCTAATTGTAACAATTCTTCTAAATTCTTTGGTCTATCGATTTGCATAATCTCTAAAGGCTCTATTTCTTCTACAATTGGATACTTATGGTCAAATTGTAACATCCCGACCCAATTTAAGGGTTTATTTAATTATTTAATTTTGAAATTACAATTTTGACCTTGGGGGTACGTGTTAGAAATATGCCCTTAAAGCCAACTAATTATGTAATAGTTAGAGTTAAGGACATCTTTGATAAAATACATATTATGTTATCAATGGGCAAGAAAGGTTGTTTTATACATTAAATCATTCTATATTATATTTCAATATGTAGAACAACCATAGTCCAAGATATACACAAGTGGATATGAGAGCTATGTAATGAGATTGCATACATGGAGACTTCACAGTATCATCTCTATATGTAGGGAATGGCAAGGTCTCAAGTCATTAAGTGTGGAGACACTTCGATATGTGTGTAGGTGCTTGTAGAAGAGCAAGTACACTGAATGCGATCCAACACACGAGTTAAAGCATGGAAGTCTTTACTCACATGTCAAGTTGGAACTCATAAATTGTAATGGTGCAAACTAATTTTTAGACCTGAGGCATCATAGATGTTTTGTGGCTATGTTGTTAATTTTTTAGGGCACTATACGATCATGTTGAATTAGGCATAGCTTAAATATGCTTATCAGGATTCTCAATAGAGTCATGGAAGCAAATGAAAGTACAACAAAGAATCTCTACTCTCACTAAAGGAGAGCAAATACCCCAAGATATGATTGGTCAAATCTCTGCGTAGAGTAGTGGATAAGACTTGAAAGAAGAAGTCTTCAAATCTTACCAAGATAATCATATAAAAGGAATGATTCACATTGCGATATTGACAATCAAATTCCATGATCTAATAATGTGAATAAGGAGTATTGACATGAGAGAAGGATTCAATTGCACGGTCATTCCAATTTGAATAGGTTCTTTCGCAACGTCTCATTTAGCTCAAATAACCGTGATTTGCTACTAGGCGACAACCATGATTTGTGGATGTCCTAAAAGGTTTCAATTAACCTTTATTAATAGTGTTCGCGCTAAATCTGAACAGATAAGAGTTTAGGCTAACTTACAAGTGTGCTGGTGGTTGAGGATTGGAGTGACCTTCTTCCATGATGTCCGAAGGTTTGAGCAGGGGCTGGATCTGAACTGAGGAGGGGATACCGGTGTGGTACCTGCCGAAGGCACTCCGATGCCAAAGTTAGTAACTAAGAGCGATTCTATTGACAGTGGAAGCACTAGTCAAGTCAGAAAGTCTTACCACTTGGCTGGGCCAAGGGGCTCTATTTATAGAGAGCATTTGTGATGCTCTTAGCACTTAGTTTCGATGTGGGACTCGGGGGAGTGTCTTCGTAGATCGACACGTGCTCTAACAGGTTCCGGCAGAAGTTCTGAGGTAATCTGACAGAAATGGATTGACGTGATGGTTGGTTGCTCGACAGACCATGCCGAAGGTTAGCGAAGGGACCGATGGTGCATAACCGACCCCCTGAATCGGTAGAGCGTGCCGAACTAACATTTGGTATGGCCCGACTGAGCTGGTCTCGGCTTTGAGGGTGTTCCACATGTCACGACGTGAGTGGGCAGTCAGATATGGTACAAACAGTAGTCCCCCAAGTTTCTGATCGAGGAGGGACTTCTTGGTTGGGGACTTGCTTGTCCTTGAGCTCCGACATTCTGACTCGGGAACGAGCGTCTGTTGTTTTTAAGCCGGTGATGATCATGTAGTCCCCCAAGTCCCCAAGCCAAGAGGTTGGTTTCAAGATTGGAAGGGAATCGGCACGAGGGGTAAGCGAATACACTCGACCCGTGCGTGCCTGCCGTTCGGCATGAGGGGTGAGTGAAAACTTGACCACGCGCGCCTGCCGTTCGGCACGAGGGGTAAGCGAATACTCGACTCATGCGTGCCTGCCATTCGGCACGAGGGGTAAGTGAATACTCGACCCATGTGTGCCTGCCGTTCGGCATGAGGGGTGAGTGAAAACTCGACCATGCTCGCCTGCTGTTCGGCACGAGAGGTGAGTCGAGGTGAGTGAAAACACGACCACGCACGCCTGCCGTTCGGCACGAAAGGTGAGTGAAAACTCGACCACGCGCGCCTGCCGTTCGGCATGAGAGGTGAGTGAAAACTTGACCACGCGCGCCTGCCGTTCGGCACGAGAGGTGAGTGAATACTCGACTCCTGCGTGCCTGCCGTTTGGCACGAGGGGTAAGTGAATACTCAACCCGTGCGTGCCTGCCGTTCGGCACGTTCGGCACGAGAGGTGAGTGAATACTTGACTCGTGTGTGCCTGCCGTTCGGCATGAGAGGTGAGTGAAAACTCAACCTGTGCGTGCCTGCCGTTCGGCACGAGGGGTAAGTGAATACTCGACTCGTGCGTGACTGCTATTCGGCACGAGGGGTGAGTGAATACTCGACCCGTGCGTGCCTGCCGTTCGGCATGAGGGGTGAGTGAAAACTCGACCCGTGCGTGCCTGCCGTTCGGCACGAGGGGTAAGTGAATACTCGACCCGTGTGTGCCTGCTGTTCGGCATGAGGGGTAAGTGAATACTCGACTCGTACGTGCCTGCTGTATGCTGTGAAAGTTGTGCTCTACCTCAAAAAAGGGAAGAAAGGGAGAAGACGAAACGTTCGAAGTGTAGGCGCAAGTGGGGAGGTGAGGGCGGTTGGGCTCCCCTGTGCATGGGTGCCACGTGTCGACAAGGCTGCGAAGACTTGTGACGTTTCGGTTCCCGAGGCTAGGCTCGTCCTATAAATTGAAGGAAGAGGCGGTAAGAGGAGGTACTTGAGGTTTTTTGAGAGCAAACGGAGCTTTCGAGAGGCGATTTCCGACGAGTGCATTGCGGCGGTGTAGGCGATTTCCGGCGAGTGTGTGCGAAGGCAGAGCTATTTCCGGTGACTTCCACCACCATGCAAAACAAGGTATGGTAATGTTTTCCTGCCTAGCATGAATCAAATGCTTGTATATTTGCATGAACATGTATGAACACTGAAGAACACGTAAGAACATAGATGAGCGTAGATGAACAGCAGCTCTTGGGCTCTAGGATAGGGGTTTGATTCGAGCATGTCGTTTAGTTTTGCGTTGCTTTTGTTTGTAGATGTCAGACACCAAATCAGACTATAGTCGTAGCCTAAGAGCGTTTAATGGAGAATCGGCATCAGAGAGCTCGACTGCAGGGCTTGATAGTGTCGATTTCGAGGAGATCGAGGGAGGAGAAGTGCCGGAGGTGTCCACCGATACGGGGAGCACTTCGAGTATGGAAGTAGTGGGGGCGGACGACGCCCACCCATCGACATCTGGTCGTCAAATAGAAGAGGCCAAGGCTGATGTGTCTTTTTCCGATCCTAGGGAAGGCGTGCTGACAGTGGTCACTAGCCGACAAAGGATACCGATGGCAAAGCCAAAGGACCTTGTGTTCGTGGTGGACCACCTAGAGCTGAACGTCTTGACCGAAGTGGAGGTGGTGAAGATCCAGGCCTTGTACAACATACCGGAATCGGTAAACTTGCGGATCCCAAGGGCGTTGGAATCGCTGAGCAATCCGAAGGGGGAGGTGGTCTTCTTCACGGATGTCTTCAAGCACGGGCTTAGGCTGCCGCTGAGACATTCGGTACAGAAGATCCTGGCAGCGATCGGCTACGCCCTGTGCAATTTAATCCAAATTATTGTATTACCCTCCTGGGGACGGTCACGGCCTTCGGCATAGCTGGTGAGGGGGAGCCGAGCTATGAGCAATTCGCCCATCTGTGCAGTGTGACGAGGGCAAAGATCAGGGGGGGTGGGTGCAGTCGAACTTTCTGTCGGTGGGGCAGAGGGGGCACTTCGTAGTTGGGGTGCCGACCTCGCAGAAGACCTAGTGTTGGCGTCGGATGCTGGTGTCCGGGGCTTGGGAATCGGCGCCGGGAGTGATTGTGTTGAGGCATATCCCCACTTCCTTCCAGACAGTTGATAGGCCCATTGGGTGCCGTTCGGTAGCAATAGCGCCTCTGCTAGACTACAAGAACCTGTTCAAAGCGGGTCTGATCAGCGAGCCAGAGTACCTCCGAAGGAAGGAGGAGGAAGAAGAGGAGGAGATGCGAAGTAAGTAATGCCGTTCGGCCTTTCATTGTTTCATGTTATTGTGGCGTATGCTGAATCAGCGCTAACTTCCCTTTGTTTTGTGCAGTGGCTGGTGGGAGGGCAATGACTGAAGCGACGAGGAGGAGGCTCGAGTCGCGGGCCCCTCAGAAGAAGAAAACCAGTCCTTCGAGGCCGAAGACGAAGCCGCCCCGCCAAGCCGAGGGTGCTCGGCACAGAAGGGCACGCCAGGCGATCGACAGCGGGAGAGAAGGGTGGCGGAGGCCGAGCTGATCCGGGAGGCCCATCTCCAGGTGATCGGGAAAAGGGCGATCGAGGGTGCCCTCGATGTGACCCCTTTACCAAAGAGGCCAAGGGGGCCGAACGAGGAAGCGGCCGTCCTCGTGTTTGACAAGGAGGATGCCAAAGCGGAGCCGGTGAACATCGCATGCCCCTAGAAGGTGGTACCGTTTGTGAACTGCTTCATCGATGGTGCTCAGATGGAGCTCCTGGAGCTGGAGCAGCTGCCGAAGAAGTCGGTGCGCGAACAGGCCAGTCGTGCCTTCCGCCTCCAAGCTGTCGTAAGTGTACTTACCTTAGTTTTGTCCAAGGGATGAGGTGATGGGGAACTGCTAACGTTTGTGTTGTGTTGCAGGCTAACATGGAGATATGGCTCGGCATGAAGCGGGCTATCAACGCGGTCGAACCCGTCCAGAGTAAGTACGAGGAGGGCCGAGCCAAAATTGCCGAGGCTGGGAAACTACTCCAGGATGCGGATCGACATGCGGAGGAGAATGCTGCCAAGATAATCGAGCTGTCCTCCAGGTTGGTGGAGGCTGAAAGGGCGGCAGTGGATGCCGAAGAGGCGAGGGCGAGGGCAGAGGCGGCGAAGAAGGTCGAGTGTCGGTCTCGGGCGAAGGAGCTGGAGGAGGCCAAGAAACAGGCCATAGCGGAGTACCGAAACTCGCCAGAGTTCGTGGCATTGCTGGACAAGGAAGTGATGGAGCAATGCGAGGACCTCATCTACCGGTTCAAGCACTTCAATGCTGATAAAAAGCTAAACCTGAACTTCGTCCGGGATCCGTCGCCGTTGCCCGAGAGGGTAACCGAGGAGATGGTCGAGGCGTACCTCGGGGAGGATGCCGAAGTCGATTCCTTGAGTGACTCCGAATCGGACGGTGAGGAGGAAGAAATGACTCCCCTTACCGAGCCGTTGAGTGCTCGAGAGGATGAGGGCGGGCCGGCACCGCTCGAGGCTGATCCTCCAACTTCTTGACTGCTGCCCTACTTGTCTCGTTTGTTGTTGTAACATAGTTAGTGTTTAGATATTGAGGCCGTTCGGCCAATTTTTGTAAAGACAATTGCTCAGTTTGGGGTGTTAATTATATCCAAGTTTAATTTGAATAAGCTTCGGTGTCTGTTCTTGTTGCCGAATATAAGCATGTATGCCGAATTGTATAAAAATAGGAAAACGAGAATGTTGTTGAAAGAAAAATTGTACAAAAGTGTAGTGGCCGAAGGTCCAATCACTTGTGATAGAATTTTAAATGTTCAGCATTCCAAGGGTGGGCGAGGGTTTGATCGTCGGAGCCACGTAATCGGTAAGTGCCGGGTCGGCAGATGTTAACAATTTCATAGGGTCCTTCCCATGAAGGGCCGAGAGTGCCTTCAGTAGGATTTCTCGTTGCTAGAGACACTTTACACAGAACCCAGTCCCCTATCTTGAACGTTCGGTGTTTTACGCTCGAGTCGTAATACCGAGCCGTTCGTTGTTTGTAGGTAGCGTTCCGGAGCTGTGCTTGCGATCGGCGTTCGTCAATGAGATCCAGATTGAGGGCGAGCTGTTGTTCATTCTACTGAGGGTCGTAAGATGCCGTTCGGCATGTGGGCGCATGTACCTCTATCGGTACAACAGCTTCGGTACCGAAGGCTAGGGAGAATGGTGTCTCACCAGTTGACCTTCGGTAGGAGGTGTTGATGGCCCATAGTGCTTCTGGTAGTATGGCAAGCCAATTGCCCTTGGCTGCTCCCAGCTTCTTCTTCAATGTTTTCTTGATGATCTTGTTGATGACTTCTACTTGCCCATTGGATTTCAGATGTGCCAGTGATGCAAAGAAGATGCTGATGTTGAATCAGGAGCAGAGATGCCGAAACCGTGAGCAGTTGAATTGCTTGCCGTTGTCCGTCACGATGGCGTTTGGTAGGCCGAATCGGCTTAGGATGTTTTTCCATACAAAGTGTTCGATCTTAGCTGCCGTTATTGTTGTGAGGGCTTCGGCCTCAGTCTATTTGGTAAAGTAATCGATGGGCACGACTGCGAATTTAAGCTGACCCGTGCCTTGCGTCATTGGGCCGATGAGGTCGAGTCCCCATTGGGCGAATGGCCACGGGCTAGTCATCGGACTGAGTGGTTCGGCAAGGGCCGTTGGTACGGATCCGAAACGTTGACACGGATCGCACCTTTGCACAATCTAGGTGGCGTCAGCGTGGAAAGTTGGCTAATAATAGCCTTGCTGAACGGCCTTGAAGGCCAAGGATCGGGATCCCAAGTGGTCTCCACACGCGCCTTCGTGTATCTCACGCAAGATGTAGTCTCCTTGTTACGGTGTAACACACCTCAGCAACGGAAGGGAGTAGCTTCGCCGATAGAGGATGCCTTGCAACAGAAGGTAGCGAGCCGATCATCGTCGTACTGCCTTTGCTTCGGCTTTGTCAGTTGGTAGGGTGCCGTCGGGAAGGTGGGCGCGAATCAGGTCCATCCAACTAGGGTCCTGACGGGCTGTGTTGACATCGATTCCCACAAACGGCGCCAATTTGTTCGCGCTAAATCTGAACAGATAAGAGTTTAGGCTAACTTACAAGTGTGCTGGTGGTTGAGGATTGGAGTGACCTTCTTCCGTTATGTCCGAAGGTTTGAGCAGGGGCTGGATCCGAACTGAGCAGGGGATACCGGTGTGGTACCTGCCGAAGGAACTCCAATGCCAAAGTTAGTAACTAAGAGCGATTCTATTGACAGTGGAAGCACTAGTCAAGTCAGAAAGTCTTACCACTTGGCTGGGCCAAGGAGCTCTATTTATAGATAGCATTTGTGATGCTCTTAGCACTTAGTTTCGATGTGGGACTCGGGGGATGTCTTCGAAGATCGACACGTGCTCTGACAGGTTTCGCCAGAAGTTCTGAGGTAATCTGACAGAAATGGATTGACGTGATGGTTGGTTGCTCGGCAGACCATGCCGAATGTTAGCACAGGGACCGATGGTGCATAACCGACCCCTTGAATCGGTAGAGCGTGCCGAACTAACATTCGGTATGGCCCGACTGAGCTGGTCTCGGCTTTGAGGGTGTTCAACGTGTCACGACGTGAGTGGGCGGTCAGATATGGTACAAACAAATAGGAAGAATTGAATTGTGGAATTTAATTCGTATATCATCTCTGAGGAGTTGAGTCAACCCATTACCTTGCTGAAGGGAACCTACAGATTTGCACATCCAAAGAATGTGATTAGAGGTATAAATGAGGAAAATGAAATGAGGAGACACAAGTCAATGGTTGATAATCAAATGTCAAAGTCAACGGTTAAAATTTGACATGTTGACTTTTGACCCCATTTTTATTGTCCATTTAAATTATTTAATTATGAAATTACAACTTTGCCCTCGAGGATAGGGTTATTTTGGTCACTTTTGAATGGCACCATAACGTAGATCACGTTGATACGAGTTCATAGACGCATAGTGGGCTTAAATCGGAGTTGTAACGGAGAAGTTACGGTCTACGGAAGTGTAGTGGCACAACCATAAATATTTCAAAGTGGGTTGTTAAAAATCTGATTTTCTTCTCTCTCTCTCTCTCTCTCTCTCTCTCTCTCTCTCTCTCTCTCTCTCTCCTCGGCCACCACCTCATTTGGTCTCCATATTGGATGGGACTAGTACCAAAACGATTGGGCCACTGTCCTCTTCTAGCCCCAACCCCCCCAGCCGTGATCTGCGGCTCCAGCCGCCGGAATTTGCTCAAAATCGCCGGATTTTTATGTAAACTTTCCGACATTTGTTCTGAAGGAAACATGCATCTAATGCTTAAGAAATGAACTTTAGCCCCAACCTATATAACAAAAACATTCAAAATGGCGGATTCATTTTGTTTATACTAGTTGAGCCAAACCTTTTTCATTTTAAACCAAGTATCTTAGCCCAGTCTCTTTGAACACAAATAGAAAAAGGAAAAAGGGAATAGATATTTACCCTTGATGACCTTTTCTTGATTTCTCAAGAATGTCCTTTGTTGGAAAGGCCTTTTGTTTCTCTTGATTTTGACTTCTTCACCTTAAGGCTTCAAGATTAGAGTCCTCTATCTCACCACACCAAATGCTCCTATAGATGAAGAGAAGACAATCAAGAAGTATAGATGCTAGTCTACTTCTTAATTTGACCAATTTTTGGTTTATGGAAGATGAGATACAAAGATGATTACTCATCAACCAAAGAAGGAAACCAAAAACCCTAGCTAGGTTTTCTCCAACAGTTAGCTTATATAGGACAACACAAAAGGCAATTGGGTGGGTATTTGGGGCTCCATTTAGTCCATGGGTCATGTCATCTTATGCCACTTATCCCTTAAGCCCAATAGCCTTTTGGGCTATTTTGTCCATTTCCTTTTAAATCATATTTAAAAGCCCAATCCAATATTTCTATACATCAATATTAATTCCATAATTAATCTTTTAATTGTAATTTAACTATTAAATTATAATTATAGTCTTACTTAATTGACCTGGTCGAACTATTTTACTTTGGTCAATTGCTTTGGTCAACATGTTGACTTTTGACTGTTGACTTTGACATTTGATTATGAACCATTGACTTGTGCCTCCTTATTTCATTTCTCCTCATTTGTACATCTAATCATATTCTTTGGGTGTGCAGATCTGTAGGTTCCATTTAGCAAGATAGTGGGTTGACTCAATTCCTCAAAGATAATATACGAATTAAATTCCACAATTAAATTCTTCTATTCATAAAGGTTAATTGAAACCTTTTAGGACATCCACAAACCATGGTTTTCACCTAGCAGCAAGTCACGGTTATTCAAGTTAAATGAGATGTTGTGAAAGAACATATTAAAATTGGAATGACCGTGCAATTGAATCATTCTCTTATGTTAATACTCCTTATTCACATTATTAGATCATGGAATCCGATTGTCAATATTGTAATGTGAATCATTCCTTTTATATGACTATCCTGGTATGATTTGAAGACTTTTTCTTTCAAGTCTTTTATCCACTACTTTGCGTAGAGATTTGACCAATTATATCTTGGAGTATTCTCTCTCCTTTACTGAGAATAGGGATTCCTTTTTGTACATTCATTTGCTTCCATGACTCTATTGAGAATCCTAATGAGCACCTTTAAGCTATGCCTAATTCAGCATGACAGTATAGTGCCCTCAAAGATTAATTAACAACATAACCACAAAACATCTATGATGCTGCAGGTCTAAGGATTAGTTTGCACCATTGCAATTTATGAGTTCCAGCTTGACATTGAGTAAAGACTTCCATGTTGTAACTCATGTGTTGGATTGCGTTCAGTGTACTTGTTCTTATACAAGCACCTACACACATATCGATGTGTCTCCATACTTAATGGCTTGAGACCTTGCCATTCCCTACAAATAGAGACAATACTGTGTGTACTTGTCTTTGTAGAATATTGACACCCAATCAATATTCCTATGACCAGGAACATATTCAGGATTTAGGGATGATGAGAAGTCTCCATGTATGCAATCTCATTACATAGCTCTCATATCCACTTGTGCATTCCTTGGACTATGGTTGTTCTACATATTGAAAGATAATATAGGATGATTTAATGTATAAAACAACCTTTCTTGCCCATTGATAACATAATATGTTTGTTATCAAAGATGTCCTTAACTCTAACTATTACATAATTAGTTGGCTTTAAGGGCATATTTATAACACTATTCCCTTTTTCCCTTTTCTATTTGTGTTCAAAGAGACTAGGCTAAGATACTTCGTTTAAAATGAGGCTTAGCTCAACTAGTATAAGCAAAATGAATCCTCCTTTTAGAATATTTTGTTGTATAGGTTTTGGCTAAAGTTCATTTCCTAAGCTTTAGATGCATGTTTCCTTCAATACGCCCACTTTAGTCACTTTTTGATTCAGAAGGATTTTGGGGAATCAAGTGGCACCGTTGCGTAGAGTTCACCGATATGAGTTCGTGGACAGGCGTCAAGCTTAGTTTTGAGTTGCAACGAATGTGTAAAGGTCTAGATATGAAAAGGACGGAAGCGAAATTTTAAAATTTGATACTGTAGCAAACAGTACCATTTCAGTACGTTTGCTACAGTACCCGAGCCAACTTTATTTCTCTTCTTCTTCTCCCACGAGTCGTCACTCACTCTCGCTCTCTTTTCTCCCTCTCTCCACCGGGATGCCTCTTTTCAAGTGACAAAATCGTCGCCATCCGATAACCAAATCCAACGAAATTTGTTCTAAAATTTTTGTCTCCCTCTCCTCTACACAACCCAGTACTTTTCGTAGCTCAAAACTACTGGGATAGTCGACGGTATCGTCTGAAAGTTTTGATAGTTTTTTTTACGCTGTTTTCGGCGATTCCGTTGACCAAGGTATGGTTCTTCATCCGCTTGACATGCTCTAGCTTATAGTATAGGTATCTGGGATCGATTTTGAGGTTTTAGAGCTCTTTCAAAAACACCACTTAGGACTCACAATTTGGATTCGATCTAGCTAGCTCCGGCCACTTTTTGGCCGTGGTCCAAGAACCAAAAATGCTCCCCCTGTTAGTCTGAACATGTTGGTACATGTATTGTAGGGTGTTTCGAGAAATTTCCTTCACCGAAATTTTTTGAAGGCATCCACGCACTGCCCGCAGCGGGTGGCGGGGCGTGGGTCACTGGGTGGTGGCCCATTGTGTTCTAAAATGTTTCTCTTGTCGTCCTGAGCATGACGGTATGATTGGATTTGGAATTGGTTACCTTATGACAGTCGAACAGATATTGCACCCAATATGCGATATCTGGGATCGCTAGGTTCAGACCTTTCAATCGATCCCCATTTCAAATATGTCATTCTTTGTACCTCTAAGATCGTGTAGGAACTCGCGGATCGAGAATCGGAGTCCCGGATGCTCTAAATCAATGATTCCACGGTTAGGCGAAGCGATTGCCGTCCAATTGTTCAATTGGCTTAGATCCGACTGCTCGATCGAGACCAAACTTACAGGACTTGTTGAGCAGGCTTTGTTGAACCCATAGGAACTTTCTGATTTGATATCGGAGGTTGTGGGCCCTGCGGGCCCAGTTGACCAATATGGGAAGTTTGACCCCTCAGCTAACCGTGAGTCTTCCAAGGTAGTTTCACCCTTCAAAAAGTAGTAGAATGACCTTATAAACGAGTCTTGATTGTTATTTGAGTTATTTGAGTTATGTTGGGATTATGAGATTATATTATCATTTTAATTGTGGGGTTATCGAATGTTATATTTATATTTGAAGTTATAGAATATATGATTATGGGATACTTGATTGATTTGTTGTGAAAGTGAGTCTTGGGACTCGGCTATGATTATTAGGAAGTGAGTGGACATTGTTTTAAATGAGCATTACTTTTTCAATATGGAATTGCATGCATAAATGAGATTTGATTTAGATCTTGGCTTATTTGGTCTATTGAGATTTGATACTGTTCGAATCAGAATGTTTGATGGGATGATACGAGTTTTGGGGAATGTTAGATATGTCCCTAGACTAAGAAAGAATTTGATTTCCTTGGGTACTTTAGATAAGGCCAGCTATGGGTATGAGTCTAAAAAGGGAAGACTCAAGGTAGCCAAAGGATCACTGGTGGTAATGCGAGGTGACCTACAACCCAATAAGCTATATAAGTTAATTGGGACCACCATAGTCGAGGGAGCAGCTGTTTCTGTAAATCAAGGTATAGAAGACAAGACTGAACTCTGGCATCATAGGCTTGGGCACATAAGCCATAAAGGGTTGCAAGAATTACACAAGCAAGGCTTGTTGGAAGGTGTGTCATCTTGCAAACTGGACTTTTGTGAATATTGTGTTCTTGGAAAGCAAAGGAAGGTATCATCCAAATCTTGCTGTATCAGTACGTTCTTCATCATCCTTTGCCAATCCGTGAGGTCATCCTTGCCGTCAAAGGGCTTTAACGCAGGTACTAGATCCGCATTCATCTTCCCTTTAGACATCGTAGAACCCTTAACCTGGCTCTGATACCACTTGTTAAATAACTCGCCTTCTAGATCTTGTTCTTTGATGTAACCAACGGCAATAGACTACATTAGCAAATATTAAAACACTTAGAAAACACACAAGAATTATACTGGTTCGAAAGAACTTTTGCCTACGTCCAGTTGTGATTTCTCTAGGTTGAGAAATCACCACTCCTTTGATTAATAATAGAGAATACAGAACTTTTGCAACCCTAGAACTAATCTCAAAACTCTTGGCTGTCTTTAGCTGTTTTTCCTCTGCTTAAAATAAGCCTGGCCACACCCTATTTATAGATATAGAGTTGGCTTACATGTCCTAAGGCTAATTGAATTCCTATTCCTAAGTGGATTAGGAAATTACACTTATCCAAATCCTAATAGACTTCTGGAAATCCAAACCTGAATTGAATAAGGAAAACTGAAATTCTTTCCTAATCCCTCTAGGACAAGAATTGGTATACCTCTAATTTTTCTAAAACAATCCTAAACCAACTAGAACATATTTGACGAGCCAAAATCCTAACAGTTTTGACTATGATTTTATTGGAATGTGATATGGGTTACCAATGATTATTATTGTTATTATGGTTATTATTAAAATATATGGTTATTATGAAAGTGTTTTATGGATTGTCTTGCATATTTATATAACTTGGATTATTTTGATTATTGAGACTATGAATTTATAATATGGTTTATGGTATTTTATGGATTTATTAGAGTTTATGAAATATGTTGGGTTGTGGAATTTATGCCACTGAGAGTTGATATCTAAATTACGTATAAATATTGGGTATTATGTTATGGACACTATTAATGTCCGGATGTCTAGGTATGTGGGATTCGGTACTTTGGAATATTGAGAATTTGGGAATTTGAATTAAGGTATATTATTTTATATTATATGGATTGGTGAATTGCACCATCATATGTACCTTCCCTAGTTCGATATGGATGACAACCACACATGTGTTGAGGTATTTTTCGACGTGTGAGATGTTGATGACCTGGGCATCCTTGGCGGGGTGTGCCATAGGTCTTGACCGGCATTCCAAGTGTGTAAGACTTGTTTCAGCCGCACGTGTATTGAGGATTCTAACGTGCATGTCTGGGGAGCAATAGTCCCCTTGTTGGACTACTATTCCCTAGTCACATGAGTATTGAGGATTCTGCCGTGGTCTAGTTAAAACGATCCCCGTGTTGGATTGTTTTCCCCTAGTACATGATGATGGTGTGAGTTGTGTAATATAGATATATACATATATAGATAATGGGTACAAGATTAGGGGAAGGAAAGGGTGAGTGTTATATGTGATATAAATTGGGTTAAGGGGATAGTGCGAATTGATGCTTGTTTTGATATTGAATGACGTTATTGTATGTGTGAGCCTGGAATTCGAATATGGTTATGGAAAAAGGGATGTTTGGATATTGGTATGAGATTATTTAGATATCGGATTATTATTATAAATGTCTTATATGTTCATCTGAGTTTAATATATTTATTAAGTAAATGAATAATGTTTATTGGTTTATTGGAAATTTGGTTATGGGTTGAGTTTTTATTATATAATTTTATGACCTTGTGTTTTGGATTTGGGATAGTGGTTTTTAGTTTCAACACCTTCAAGTTCTCGCTCCTCAAGACCGCGCCTAGGATCGCATCTGTTAGAATCTTCCACCCCAAGCCCATCTCCAGACTGAGTTCCAGCTCCGAGTCCTAACCTTCCAGATCTCGCTCAATGGCATTTATGATAGTTTTGGGATCTATCTGGGTTTTGAAAACTGATGGTTCTTTGGTTTTTTGTTAGGAACCAGTTGAAGTTGGGGAAAAAAACTAAATTTGAAAGAAAAGTGGAACTCTGTTCCTAACACCTGTGCTTTATTTGTCAGATTTGGTGATTTGTGTGTGTCTTGAAACTTTCTCTTTGTTGGTGATCTTTGTTTTTGGGCTTCACTTATGGCTATTTTGGCTAATGTTTTTTTTCAACTTTAAAGAGCTTAAACTCTAATGATTTGCCAAAAGAACATAAATTTATCTTCATTGCTGATTATTTTTTGGGCTTTCCATTTTGGTTATTTTGGCCTTTTTTTTCCTTTCTTCAAAGGGCTTAACCTAAAGGGATTGGTTATGCAGCATATGAATAATTATCATATTGTTGTTGAGGCCCAAAAAATCTAAGGCTATGCCCAAATATATTTCTAGCCCAGTACAACACCTAACTTGGGTACACAAGAGTTCTTCATATGCACTTGCACATGTGCCACGCCAAGCAAATAAGTAACACGCCACGCTACAAGCTTAAGTGGGCCCAAGCCACGTGAATGCCTGGGGCTTGCTGAGCGGGTTGTGGTATGGATGGTTACGAGCATTCACGAGGCCCATTGATGGGCCAAGAAGTGGAAGTTTAGGACTGCTTGGGAGCCCCAAAAGTCAAGCTCATTTCTTGAGCCCAAATATGTGGGTAAGCATGAAAAAGAGAAAAAGGTAGCCCATTACTTTAGAAAATTGACCCATCACCTTAATAAAAATAGTCCATCACTTTGTGAAGTTGGCCCATTCCCTAATATACAAACCCATTACCTTTGGAAGGCCCAAATGACCAAGAAAAATATCTGAAAGTCTCTAGCACATGGCTGGAGACAAAACCACGACAAAAAGCCAAGGAATGACTCACCTATGCAAGCTGCTGGGAGGCTCCAGCGCGTGACCAAAGGCAAACCTCAAGACAAACCATTCAAAAGACCAAAGGGTATTAGCGCGCGCAGGTTGCTAGGAGAAAAGGCATCCTTCAGACCAACGCTGCCATCTATTTCCTTCCCTTACCAGCTCTTGCCATGAAATATGGGAGGAAAGAAGAAGAAGTGATAACCAAAGATAGGAGGTTACCACTGGAACGGTTGTGGGAAGACTTTTGAGCTCCCAAAAATCTTGTCTCTGTGTGTTTGCACAAAGGGGGATTTCACAAAATAGGATGAATCAAAGGAAGGAAAAAGAAATGAAAGGGAAGACTTGGCAAAATTGGAGAGAACCCATTAGGGTTTCTTGGGAAGAATGAGCTTCCAGCGGCTATAAAAGGGGGGTATCCTCTACCCATTATCTCAACACACATCCAGAGAGAGCAAGCATCCCCTTTCATCCTTGGAACCCTTCAATTTCGAGCTTTATTCCTCCATCTCTTCCCATCTTCTCTTCTGGCAAGCCATTCCTGAGCCTGACGAAGCTTTCGTCAAGCTGCCGGAAAATTACCCAAAGCACCCATTCTTCCACCCTAATCTCTGTCTCACTCTCCACAGCAAATTCTCATGTAATCCTTTGCTTTAAACCTCTGTTTCTCGTAGAAAATCTAGTCTCTCTCTCTCTCTCTCTCATGCTAAACTCATGAATGCTTAGCTTCCATGCCACAAGCTTCTCAAGCCAAACCAAGAATTTATCTGTAAGCAATTGTTGGTTTTATTGGTGAAGAAGACCAAGGTGTTTCCTCAGGCTCAGCTACCCTTTCGAAGCACTCTTGAGGTCTAATTCTTGAACTCAGACACAGGGGGAATTTTCACCCATATGCTCTTTATAGCAACTCAGGCCCATCTGTAGCTGCCGGAACGAAAAAGCCCCTACATAAATATGTCATGCATCCTTTATACATCACTATTACTAGTCATAGTAATACTCTGTAGATTGAATAGCCCTGGATTAATAAGGTTGTGTTGATGCAATGCTTTCCAGAAAAAGAAAAACATGTTTCACATGTACAGGAAAACGCCAGGTTCCATGGCACTAGTTAATGGACTTTTATTCATTTCCAGTTCCTGGTATATTGTTCTTCAAATTGGTAGTATTTTACGAGTCTCACTGTTTTGGTTTCGATTGTTAGTTTGTGATTTATTTGTGAAATATTGACTTATCAATCTGTAGTGAAGTCTGAAATATTGGTTTCAGCAGTATGCAAGGGAGGCCAAAGAGGAAATCGTTTTGATGAACTCAACTTATTGAGGCAGGTGATTTTACTAATGTGTTATCCCTTGTTTTTTTTTCATTTTTGTTATTATGTTCTTTTTTGGTTCATTTGAAGTCATGTTTTGTGTTTGTTGAGTGATAGAGTCTTCATTCACTTAGCAAATGACCAAATGCATGCCATTGTTAATAGAGAGAATTATGACTATTTGGAACTTAATCTATAGTTTTTGTATGCCTTTTGTTTTTTCCTTATCTTTTAGTTTTTTCAATTATGATGCAGATCCTTATTATCAAAACTGTGTTGTATACACTTAATATTTGCAGAACGCATGACATTGATGGATGAGTGCTCTGACAGGTTCGAAGATCCAACAAAGGTGATAACTTTTGTATAGGGAAAATTTTAATTGGTTGTGTGCTATGTTTGTAAGTTACAAGGGTGTAATTTACACCTGATATTTTTGCAGCTCAATCGCAAATGGGAGAAACTGGCGTAAATGATAAAGCTCAAGATCTCATCAAATAATCAGGGTAGTGTTCAATTTGAGTACTTGTTACAGGCATGTAGATAGCTTTATCACTTTTGCCCATTGTTCATATTGTTTAGTTTTTCCCCTTATTCATATTGTTTATGTTGATGCTTGTTTTGGGAGGGTCAACTTAGAGAAGCGTAGGATCTTCAGCAGGGAAGAAGGTGAGGACCTTCGGAGTTGGAAGAACCTGCAGAAGACAAGGAGGAAGAAGCAGTCGTCATACTTCGGATACCGGTGTGGTGCCTGCCGAAGGCTCTTCGATGCTTAAGTAAGCTATATGTGGTAATTTTGGCATAGTGTAACACCCCGACTCTATTTCATTTTCCAATTCAAAAGGTTAAAATTAAATTAACTGTGAAATTACGAAACTACCCTTGGGGTAGGGTATTTCGGTCATTTTCTTGTCCGGAAGGATTTTGGGACCACAAGTGGTTTGGTTGCGTAGGTGGTTCTGAGATGAATTCGTAGACAGGCGGTAGGCTTGAATCGGAGTTACAACGAAGTTTTGGCGATGAAATTTCTTTCGGTGGCAAAATCGTAAATAATTCGAAAAGGGTATTTGTAAAAATCAGATTCTTCAATTTCATTTCACTCTTTCTTTCTCTCTCTCCCGTGCGTTCTCTCTCTCTCTCCCGAGGACTGAGAAGTTAAAATTAGTTATGTACTTAGATTACCAAATTCAAGAAAGTAGGAGGTAAAGTCTAAAATAGAATTTAAAGCAAGAGTGATTGTAATTGTTGAACAAATGAGGCAAAACGAAATTTCAAACAAAAGCAAAGTGAGCAAATGTAACAAAGAGTGTTCTTGTGGGCTGGAAAACAGATTGGGAGACTAGGGCATTCGATTCACCATAACAATTCAATTCTGGGTTATAAGGAGTCAAGTGACAAGTCTAATTTGGATTCAAAGATTGATTCTAGCTAAAGTATGATTAGGCCATGGTGTCTGGTCCTAACCTTGTGTTCCTAATTCCCTAACTTGATCATTTATTGTCTAACCTAAATTAAGCATTAGGAACCCATTAGGCATAGAAGAACAATTTAAACAACTAAGCATGTATCTAATCCCTGTTGTCGAATGTTCATACATACTTTTCTTATTCGTAGTTCAATTCGAATCAAAGCATTGTGTCTACTTTTGATTCAAACCAAGATAGCTAATATACAAGTTCTAATGGTGATCAATCATCCAAACAAGCATATTAACTGATAAGCATAATGAAAAAGAACATGAATCATGATTCAAACTTGAAACTCAAAACTTCAACTTATAAACCCAGAATATTCATGTTAGGTTACATCGAAGTCCAAGTTATGAATTTAGCTACTCATAATGGAAATGAAACTTAAACAGAAATGAGAAAACATACTGAATACAATAAGAGTGGAAAAACCCATTTCTGAAGTTACTTGTGGTGTCCAAGGCTTCTCCAAGTGCTTCTCCACGTCTAATGCTGCTCCAAGAACTTCCTCACATCTAGAGTATGGCAACTAAAGAGGTGATTTGGGATGAGTTTGGGTGAGTGGTGATGGCAGAGAAAGAGGAAATTCGTAGGGAAATGGAAGGAAGGCTTGTTGGAGCTGTTTTGGTGATTTAGGGCTGAATGGAGTGTTTTGGGGAAGGATGGGAGTGTTAGAGGATGGCTAAAGTGAATTTTAGGCTGAATGGAGTGACCCCCTTTGAATGAGTGCACATCTCTCTATTTATAGAGTGCAAATTCGTGCTCCCCCTTTGGCTGGTGAAGCACGCCCATTCCTAGCTATTCCCATTTGCCTGAGCTGCCCATTAGGTTCCCATGCTGCTTTGTCTCCAATTTGTGGCTGATTTGATGTGTAGCCCATGCCTTTAGGAATGTCAGATGCCCATCCTTCTGAGTTTCCATGCAATCTTGTTAGCACATGGCTCAACAGCTAGTAGTTGCATTCTTGAGCATGGTGTGCATTTTGATGGGCTCACGGATTGGGGTTGACTTAATCAATTGATACATTTGAGTAGTCCATCCTGAAGTTCAGACTCTCATCTTTCCAAGCACATATTATTTGGGCCAATTAAAGTTAGGAGAAAGACGTTAAGGCCGAAATGAGTTGCTAACCCAGTCTGCTCGTTTTTGCACCATTTTGCATCTTTTCTTATCCAAAGGCACCATTGCTACCTAAGGCTCAATGAACTTAATGATAAACAGAAAAGGGATTAAAAGCACACGTTTGACTCAATAAAATAACCAAATCATAATTTAGAAGGGTACAAAATGAAATGCAATTGTGAACTGATCACTAAGCGAGAGTCATATAGGTCTTGTCATTCGATTGGGCTTCCGGCAAGGAGAAAGAAGAATGTGTGAGCTTCCAGATCCTTTGGTAGCTGGGTACCTGGGTGTTCGGCATGGAGTAACTGGGTGACCCCTTGGGCTTACGATATGAGCCTTGTCTTTTGACAAGAAGGCTGGGCCTGGGCTTTGTGGAGTTGGGCTGCTAGGGGTTAGGCAAGAGAATTTTGCTTTGATGTGAGCCATAACCTGAGCATGGGCCTTGCCGTTCGGTAAGGTCCAATGGTAATGATGATTTTTTTATTTTTTATTTAGAGCCTAAGTACCTTCGGTAAGTAACGACCTAGGTCGTGTCTCCAGCTTCGGCAAGGGTAAAGTGGTGTGGCCTGGGGCTGGGCCCATGAAGGTTCAGCAAGGGGTTTGCACTTGGATCTTTGGAAGCTTTGGTAAAGTTCGAGGGGAGGAAAAGAGTGATCTGGAAAGCCCAATGGTTCTGCAACACAGGCCCTACAGTTTGGCAGGGTTGATGTGGGGGGAGAATTTCATGAGCCTTTTCTTCCTTCTGCACAGCCCTTGCCATTCGGCAAGGCTGGTTCCCCCTCTCTCTTTTTTTAGTTTTTTTATTTTTTAGGGGAAAAGAATTTTGGGGGGCTGAGCCTCACGAGCTTTTGGCAGAACCTGGGTTTTGGTAAGGCCATTGGGCTTTGTATACGATCCTTGCCGTTCGGCAAGGAAGTCGGGGGCCTTGGGTCTAGCCTTACGTTTTGACATGGGGCTGGGTCGTTTGGAGTTTGGCATAAGTTGGAGGTAGGCCTCTGCAATTTTGGTAGGGCTCACCTTTGGCTAGGGTTTTTCGCAATACGATAAAAAAGGGTTTGATAATTTTAGAGTGTCGTTTGGCTATAGGTGCCGTTCGGCAAGGCTCGTAGAGGAGGAGTCTTTCGAGGTCCTAGCCATTTTCAGCAAAGTTACCGATCAGCAAGGATCGTGAACATCCTCGGCATCACGCCGTCCAGCTAGGTATAAGCAGCATATCGTGAGCCCCTAAAATCTTCTGCACGAAACCTGTTGTTCCACATGGGATTCGGGGGGGGTTTTGGGCTGGCCTTCCTTTTTGGCAAGATTAAATATCGTGTTACGTTCCTTCGAAGTAGGGAATTGCCAGATTCGGCAGGGGTGTCCGCGACGAGGACCTTTGGAAGGGGGCTTCGTGCGAGGAGTTCAGCAAGATTGAAACAAACATCTCGTGAGTTCGCCACTTGCGGTGCGGGCCTTGCCTGTCGGCAAAGGTCCTCGTGAGTCCTCATGGCTTCGGCGTTCGGCAAGAAGGTTAAGATTTTTGTTATTTTTTGTTTTTGTTTTTGTTTTGTGTGGTCATTTAGACCTTTAGCAAGTGGTTCGATAAGGAGTGTTTTGTGAACCTCCCATATTTGCAACACCGTATGACATTTGGTAAGGGATCGGCAAGATTGGGTTAGAGGAGATTGTTGTGAAGCTTCACCCTATTGTCTTATTTTCCTCGAGCACTTCGATTCGGCAGCACATGTTCGAAGTCGTCCTTCGGCAAAGTCACTTGGTAAGACTTTATTTTTTGCATGCCCGTGTTGCTTCTTCTTGGGCCTTGCTGTTCGGCAAGGCTAGTGCGGACCTCTCCTCCTCCCAATTTTTTTTTTAAAAAAATTTCGAATTTCAAATTGTTTGGAGCAGGTATACAAAATTTGAGAGGGAAGGTGAAACGGTGCTAGGGTTTTTGCATAAGTCGAGGAGTTGGTACCCTTGAGTCTTTATAAATAGGAACTCTTGGGGGAAGAAGGTAAAACACTTGTGGCTTGAGAGAAAATTTTGTAGAAAGTGAGAAGGAGATGAGGAGATTTCCAGCATGATACTTTGTGGTGGTGTTGTGGTCAAGGTGATTTCCGACAGCCATCCTGTGGTGGTGCAAACAAGATTAGACCTCATTTCCCTTGAATTTTTGAATTGAAATGTCATTTTTGGTATGAACGCCTTGCATATTGGGATGAACATGTTGAATATGTATATGAACTTGTTGAATATGGATATGAACTTACTGAATGTCGTTTGTAGAGCAAAGAACATGTAGGTGTGCCATCCTTTTTGTGTTTCTGTGTTTCGATCCTTCTTGCATGTGGATTAGTTCTTTTTCTTGTTTTTGTATATTGTAGATGTTTGAAAGTTCTGGTAGAGAAAGTCATGACCCCCTGCCTTTGCTGGGAAGATACCAAAAGTGATGAGCTGAGCCTGTACGTATGTTTTGAAGGTAAGAGTTCCCAGTCAGAGTATGTGGTAGAAGGTGTGATAGAGAGTAGAACGGTAGGGCTTGAGGGTGCGTATAAGGAGATGCAAAGGAATTACTGTGTGTTAGAGATTGTAGCTGATCGGGTTATAGCCTTGCCTCAGACACTAGAGGTGGGCTCGAGCAATTAGGCAGGACCATCGGGGTCTGTGGAGGTGGCCGCGACTTTTGCTTCAGAGGGGTTGGAAGTACGGATTGGTGTTCCTTTGCAGAGGAGGAATACACTGACAGAGGTAAAACTAGCGAAGATTCAGACAGAGTTTAGTGTCCCACCCTCGGTGGGCTTGAGGCAACCTACTACATCTGATGTCGTTAAATATCTTTCAGAGGGATGTGTGCTTATTTTTATGGATATGTATAACCATGGCTTCAGACTACTGCTTCATCCGTGGGTGTAGATGATGTTGGCCAAGCTAGGGTATGCACATTGGGTATATATTACTTGGTGGTTGGCAGAATTGGGAGAGCCAACATTTGAGTAGTCCATGTATCTTTACTCGATTTTTAGGCAACAGGGAAACTTTCGCTGGGTGCAAGCCAATTGCCAAAAGGCAAAAAAGAGGGTTTATTTCATTAGTCACTTGCCTTCTTCTCAGAAATCTTGGAGGAACAGGTGGTGTATGGCCTATGGTGACTGGGAGTGTCCATTGGGGAAGACTGTCACCAAACACGTTCCTAGCCATTTCCAGTCTATAGGTCCTTGGCCCCAACCTTTAAGACTGATTGTTGTTTTGTGTGCTTAACTTCTAGCATTCTTGTTTCCTCGTTTGTTTTTGTTGACGCAAGTGTGGAGATTTGAGTGAGAATATTTTTGTGTTGTAGGTTCGGTGAAGTGGGGGCCCATTTCACAGGATAAGGAGGACGAAGTCCAGATAGTAGGATTGTTGCTATCGGAGACTGATCGAGATTACCGAAACTTAGTCACACCGAAGAATCTGCTAGAGTCCGAACTTTTGCAAGGGAGTAAGTATTTATGTTACTATTGTTTTTTGTCTTCTTTTTCCTTTTTGTGGTTGTGACTACTTAGCTTTTGATGTAAAATGGCAGGTGTTGTAAAGGGATTGACGAAGGTGGTCGTGACCATTGATGAAGTCGAAAAGCAGAAGTGGCTGAAGGCGTCTCGGGCGAAAAAGGCTGAGAAGAAGAGTGGCCGGTAGGCGACTAGGAAGCGCTCTCGAGATGATGATGAGGGGCTTGTCGCCGAAGCCTTGGTGAGGAAGAGGAAGGCTTTGGAGGAAGCCCACTAGAGTGTGATGGGGACTGAGGCTTCCACCCTTCGATCTGCAGGCACCGCTGAAGCTTCCCTTTGGTATGGAGGAGGTTTTTGCTCAGGAGATGGAGAGGGTTGACTTCGGCAAGCTACGTCGGCAGGAGAATGAGGTGAGCCTGGTCATGCACTGGCAGGAGGTGCCTTTGGTCAACATCTTCTTGGAATGAGTCAAGAGTGACCCAAGGACTTGGCGAGGATGCAGACCTCCTCCTTTGTAGAGCGGGCACAGAAGATGAACCTCACATATGCCCATGTAAGTTATGTCTGTTTAAGGATTTCTTCATGTCATTCTGGTTTTGCTTTGACTGATGATGCTTTGTTTTGCATGCTTTTGGCGAGATGTGTGTCAATTTGGCTAAGGCAGATAAGGAGATCTAGAGGATGAAGAGGCGCGAGGAGATGGCCAAGGACAAGATAGCGGAGGCGCAAGAGGCTATTCGAGAAAGGAACGCCCTGCTTTTGCAGGAGGCGACACTTGCCAGAGAGGTGGATGAGCTGAAGGAGAAGATGACGTCTTCTGAGTCGGCACTTGCCGAGGCAGAACAAAAGAAGGCCAAAGAGATAGCCTGCCATCACCGCTCCAGAGCTTCCTGCCACAGATGCGCCGCCTGCCGAGGCCTGAAGGCTTTTCCTGCCTTATGTATTTTAGTTATTTTTGGAACAACGATGTGTTATCTTTATTTTGTACAACAATTCTGCATTGCCATGGGGCAAGGTTGCCTTTATTTTCTATGACATTAGACTTGTTTTCTTTAGTATCAATTGTGTTGGCATAAATGATAACATGTGATGATAGAGAGAAGCTGAAGTCGGGCGTTTCATTAGATAGATGCCAAAAGGCAAAAGTACATAGTGTGTTAGCCTGAGGCCTAAGATAAGTGTCGAGGCATGAGGAAACAAAAACCTTACTTGGACATGAAACAAGAGGTGTCCCGTGATCACTTGTGATAGTACTTAACGTGATCAGCATTCCATGGGTGAGGCAGAGTCTTGCCATTGGGGTCACGGAGCTGATAAGTGTCTGGGCGGCAGACATTGGTAACCTCATAAGGGCCTTTCCATGTAGGTCCCATGGTACCCTCAATAGAGTTTTTGGTAGCTAAGGAAACCTTACACATGACCCAGTCTCCCAGCTTGAAGGCACAAGGTTTCACCCGGGAGTCGTAGTACCTGGCTACACATTGTTCATAGGAGGCGTTGTGCATTATTGCCTGGTCACGAAGTTCTTCAATGAGGTTAAGGTTCAAGGCCAACTGCCCATCGTTGGCTTCAGCGTCATAAGTGGAGGTTCAGTATATGGGCTGACTAATCTCTACCAGGGCCACGACTTCGGTACCAAAGGAAAGAAAGAAAGGTGTCTCCCCTGTGGAGGTATGGAAGGTGGTGCGGTAGGACCAGAGAACCTCTGGGAGTAATTCTGGCTAGCAACCCTGGCTTTGTCAAGTTTTATCTTCAGGGTCTTCTTGATGATTTTGTTCACAGCTTCAACTTGGTCATTAGACTGGGGGGTGGGGAGGCAAAACAAAGACGTATCTTGAGGTTGGAGCAAAATTGCTTAAATTTATCATTGTCAAATTGCCGACTGTTGTCTGTGACCATGGCGTGAGGGATGTCGAAGCGACATACGATATTTCTCCAGACGAATGTTTCGATGCGAGCTGCAGTGATGGTAGCTAAGGCTTCACTTTCAACCCACTTGGTGAAGTAGTCTACAGCGACAACTGCGTACTTTACCTGGCATTTGCCCTCAGGCATAGGTCCAATGAGGTCCATTCCCCATTAGGCAAATGGCCAAGGATTAACCATGGCAGTTAATGGTTCAACCGGGAGTTGTGAGATGTTGGCAAACCGCTAGCATTTATTGCACTTTTGGGTGAAGGCCTGGGCATCGGTGTCAAGTGAGGGCCAAAAGTATCCTTGCCAAATGGCCTTATGTGCTAGTGAGCAACTGCTTGAATGGTTGCCGCAGATGCCCTCATTGATCTCTCAAATGACATAGTTACCTTCTTCTGGAGTCAGGTACCGAAGGTAGGCGAGGCTGAAACCGCGTTTATATAGAGTGCCATTAATGATTAGGTATCGAGCGGAGCGATAGCAAACACATCGGGCTTCAACAAGATCGGTAGACAGTGTTTGGTTTTGTTATAACTGAAGGATGGGTCCATCCATGTGGGGTTGTGGTCAATAGTACAAATGGTTGATGTTTGAGTGCTGGGTTGGTCCAGGAACTCCATGTAGATGTTACGATCGATGCCCTGCTCTACGGCCGAAGCTAGTCTTGCCAAAGCACCGACATGGCTATTTTCATATCGTGGGATTTGGCTGATGCGATAAGCGTCAAAAGTTGTCAAAAGTTGATGGGTATGCTGGAGGTATGCCGTCATGGAGGTGTCCTTGGCGCTGAAGTCCTAGTTGACTTGATGAACAACGAGCTATCAGTCACTGAATATCTGGATTTGTTTAGCGCCCATCTCTTTGGCAAGTCAAATGCCAGCTAAGAGTGCTTTGTACTCAGCAACATTGTTAGAGGCGTGAAATTTGAAGCGGAGGTCGTACTCGAGGACGACTTTATCTTGGGAGATAAGGACGAGGTCCGCCCCACAACCTTGGGTATTGGAGGAACCATCGACATACAGTGTCCACAAGGACTAGCTGAGGTCAAAGTTGCTGTTGCTGGAAATGTGAACAAGGGTTGAGGTAGGAGTAGGTTCCAGTAAGATATGGGGAGTGGCTGGGGATTGGGGTTCTGTAAATTTGGAGATGAAGTCAGCAACAGCCTGTCCCTTTGAAGTTGACAACAACCTGTCCACTTAACCAATCTGCTAGAAGTCTCTGGCTACTGCAACACCTGCCTTAGCGGTTGGTTGGTTGGGGCATGAATGGTATGTGCCTGGAAGTAGGGTCGGAGGCATCTGGCTGACACCACCAGGGCGAAGGCCAGCTTCTCGATATCTGGGTACCGAACCTCGGCATCCTGCAAGGCCTTATTAACATAGTGCACCGAATGTTCAGCACCCTCATGTGGTCGGATGAGCATTGAGCTAACTACCATGGTCGAGACAGAGAGGTAAATTGTAAGGATGTCGCTAGGCTCGGGGATTGATAGTAGAGGTGCCTTGCTCATATATTCTTTGAGCTGGGTGAAAGCGTTGTCGCATTTGGCTATCCAAGTGATGCTTCGTTTTTGGCCTTTGAGTGCCTTGAAGAAGGGGGTGCAACGATTAGTAGCTTTGGAAATAAACCTGGTAAGGGCCATGACACGTCCGATAAGGCTCTAGATGTCCTTAACCGTCTTTGGTACCTTCATGTCATGGCCTGGATTTTTTCTGGATTGGCTTCGATACCCCGCTGGCTAATCATGAAGACAAGGAATTTTCCCGAAGCCATGCCAAAGGCACACTTCATTGGATTGAGTCTCATTTTGTATTGCTTCAGGATTGCAAACATGGCAAATAGGTTAGGGATGTGCTGGTCAGCGGTGTGGCTTTTGACTAGTATGTCATCGACAAACTTCCATAATGACAAACTTCCATAATGTTGCTGATCAATAGGGCAAAGAGGTTGTTCACAAGGCGCTGATACGTAGCTCCGACATTTTTTAGGCCAAAAGGCATCACCTTTTAACAATAGAGGCCACAATCAGTAATGAATGATGTGTGGGCCTGGTCATCAAGATGCATGAAGATCTGGTTGTACCTAGAGTAGGCATCCATGAAGCTAAGAAGGGCGTGGCTAGTTGTGGCATCGACAAGCTAGTCAATTCGAGGTAGAGGGAAGCTATCCTTCGGACAAGCCCGATTAAGGTTGATGTAGTCTACACACATGCGCCAGCCTTTCTTTGGTTTGCGGACTATCACCACATTGGCCAGCCATGTGGTATAGTCCACCTCCTTGATGAAACCAATGCTGCTTAGCTTGTCCACCTCTGCCTTCATTGCCTCGTATCTCTCTAGGTCATAGGCACAACGCTTCTGCCGAACGGGACAGACGGCAGGGTTAATGCTGAGTTGATGGGAAATGATATCTGGTAATATGCCAGGAATGTCATTGTAGAACCAGGCAAAGACCTCGGATTTTAAACGAGAAAGGCTATATGGGCGGAATGAAGGTTGGGTGAGAGGGCAGTGCCGATCTGGACCTGCCAATCCGGGAGGTCTTCATGAAGGCAAACAAGTTCAAGGTCCTCCACAGGTTTAGCCTGTTGGGTGACGAATTCCTCCCTCGAGTCCTCAGGTCTTTTAATGCCGGCCCAATGAGGGGGTTGGGCTTTAGTCACTGAGAGGGACTCACGCCGCTGGTGGGGATTGGTAGATTTGACTGCCGAAGTGTAGCAGCTACGGGGGACAAGTTGGTCACTGCGCACCCTGCCCATGCCATGGATGGCAGGGAATTTTAGCGACAGCATATGCGTCGAGATGAAAACCCTCATTTGTGCTAAGGCATGACATCCAAGAATGACATTGTAGGCCGTTGAAAATGTCGGTGAACATGACCCTGACCAAACTGCCGGTGTCGACCAGGATGCGCCCGACGTCAAAGTTAGATATGTCGGCCCAAATGATCAGTGGGTCGTCATGGGGGAAGATGACACCATGCCCATCTTGAAGGTAATTGGGGCCCAGCCTGACTTGGGCGTCTTCGACAGGCGCCCCTGCTCAATGCTAAAGACCTGATGTGCATAAGAAGAGCAGACATAGTGCTTGATGGAGTTATTGGAGGTCCCGGACAATGTAGAACCACCACTGATGGTGGAAATCATGTTGATTTGCCGTTGGTGAAGGTTCGGGGGAGGCGGGAGGTTGTGCACATACTTGTCTAGTTTCCCCTCATGGATGAGACCTTTAATGATGTTGCCCAAGGTGTTGCAAGATTCTGCATCATGGCCAGTAAACTAGTGAAAACGGCAGAAGATGCCTGTGTTCGGCATGGGCTTGTCAGTCGATCGATCTCCGAAGGGGAGGTTTGGGTATAATGGGTGCCTCATGGACCAGGATGTTTTCGTAAGTGCTGTTGAGGGTGGTGAATACTTCGAACTTGGACTTGGGCTTGAAGGGGAGCGGGGCACGACCATTTGTCCTTGAAGGGTTGTTGTCGCCAGACTGATGTTGGCTGCCGTTTTGGTCGCGCTTCCCATTGTTGAAGGTGTGCTGGTAGCCATCTTTCCTCTTGGGGTGCTGGGTACTCTGATTATCATGAGCTGAAGCAGAATGGTGAGGTTTGGCTAGGGTGGGTGCTGAAGCAGGTGGGGGATCACCAAAAGTGCTCTAGGACGGGTTGGCTGGGCCACGCTTGGAATTAAAGTACTCGGCCTTAGCATGGATTGTTGCCTGCTTCATGAGCTCTGTGTAGGTGTTCCATGGGTTGCTATGGACGAGATAGCTAAAGTTGGATTCGCAAAGACCACTTTTGAAAGCTCCGTAAGCAGCCCGGTCATCTGTCTCTGGGCAATGGGAATACTCATGGCTGAAGCAGGCGGCATACTCCCGAAAGGGTTTGTCCTCAACCTACCGAAGCATATACAAATCATCTGTGGGGTACAAGCGATCAGTCTGGATCATAAAATGATCCAGGAAGGTTTGCTTCAAGCTGTTGAATGAGTTGATAGTGCTGGGATTCAGCCGATAGAACCAGTTCAGAGCAGTGCCACTGAGAGTAGACGGGAAAATGAGGCACATGCCTTCGTCACTGAGGCCCTTGCAATTGGGGGTGAGTCTTCTCCTAGTTACGCTTCAGGGCACGACAATCATGCTCTAGCTCGACATTCTTGGTACGAAGATGTTCGTAGTTCTCCGTCATCTTGGTCATGTTGGCGTAGAGGCGCTCCACCTCCTCCTAGAGATTTCCCTCTGCCGAAGGTTTCTTTCGAGAGGAATCCCCATGAGGGGTGTGGCACTGGGTATCGAGGCTGGCCTCGCTTGGCATAGTAGACTATGGGGAGTAGAAGAGGTGATGGGGCTTGATGGGGGAGGGAGCTAGCGGGGCTGGTAGAGGAAAATGGATTCAGAAGTCAATTCCCACAGATTGCGCCAAACTGTTGATGCTCTTTTTGGGAGGGTCAACTTAGAGAAGCGTAGGATCTTCAGCAGGGAAGAAGGTTAGGACCTTCGGAGTTGGAAGAACCTGTAGAAGACAAGGAGGAAGAAGTAGTCGTCAAGCTTCGGACACCAGTGTGATGCCTGCCAAAGGCTCTCCGATGATGGTAGGCAGAGTAACAGTTGTTCACACTACTACATTTTTCACTTTGTGCGACGAAGAAAATTTCGTCGCGCAAAATACATTATAGTCGCACAAATTTTAGCGCGACAGAAACTTCGTCGCGCAGATTCCGTCGCGCAAAGATCGTGGAGAAAGCCTTTGCGCGACGAAATTTTTTCATTCGTCGCGCAAAAAGACTTTGCGCGACGAAAAAATATTGGTCGCTCAAAGTCACTTTGCGCGACGAAACATATTGGTCGCGCAAAGTAACTTTGCGCGACGAAAATATTGGTTGCGCAAAGCGACTTTGCGCGACGAAAAAATATTTGTCCCGCAAAGCGACTTTGCGCGACGAAAAATATTGGTCGCGCAAAACTTTGCGCTTTTTTTATTTATTTATTTATTTTAAAAAATAAATTCCCTCGTCCCATTTTTGGTACCCGCCCAAATTATTAGAGTTTTGCGCGACGAATATTAATGTCGCGCAAATATTTGCTCGACGAAATATTTTGGTTTTTGACTTTTTGTTTTATTATTTCTTTAATATTAATTTAATTATATTAATTATTTCAAATTTTTAATTTTTAAATTAAATTTAATTGTATGATTTTTTTCGTTACTTTAATTTAAATTGATATTAATTAATTATATTAATTTATTCAAATGTTTACTTTTTAAATTTAATTTAATTACTTTAATTTAAATTGACATATTCAAAATAAAATTACATATGAAAAATAGTGATCAAATTATCCAATAAATATATATATAATATTCAAAATGTACACATAAATTAACAAAGTACAATAAATAAATAAAAGGGATAATCTCCCCTAAAATTGTTATACCACAAATCCAACCCAAACTCCAATCCCTCCCCTTTACTCAACCCCAAACCCACACAAACTCAAAACTAACTCCAAAAACACATATTAATGAAAAAAAAATTAAAATTTGGAGAGAATATACCTTTTGGCAAGATTGAGAGTGAGTGAGAATGAGAGAGAGAAATGAGTGTGAGAGAATTAGAGAAGATAGTGATAGAGAGATGAGAGAGTGAGTGAGAGTGAGAGATAGTGAAAAGAGAGATGAGAGAGTGAGTGAGAGTAAGAGATAGTGAAGAGAGAGATGATGAGAGATTAAGTGAGAGGAGTGAGGGTGAGAGAAATGGTGGGATTTGGGGAGAGGGAAAGAGAGAGGAGAGGAAAGAGTAGAGAAAGACATTGAGAAAATGGTGGAGGAGTTATTTTTATTTTAAAAACCGTATCACTTTGCGCGACGAACGACATTGTTGGTCGCGCAAAGCTTTGCGCGACGAAAAATATTGGAGTATTGGTCGCGCAAAGTTTTGCGCGACGAATATTAGTATAAAAAAAAAAAAAAAAAAAATCCCGCGTCCCATTTTTGGTACCCGCCCAAATTTTGAAATTTTTGCGCGACGAAAAATACATATTGGTCGCGCAAAGTCTAAAAAAATTAAATAAAAAAATTCCCGCGTCCCATTTTTGGTACCCGCCAAATTTTTGCGCGACGAAAATATATATTGGTAGCGCAAAGTCTAAAAAAAAATTTTTTTTTCATCCCGCGTCCCATTTTTGGTACCCGCCCAAATTTTTAAAGTTTTGCGCGACGAATTGTTGGTCGCGCAAACTTTTGAGAGACGAAAAATTGGTTCATAGCACGATATTTATAAAAATAATTGTTATGAATAATAAAATTATTTTTTTTACGATTTAAAATATAAATAAGGTTAAAGCTACTTAATAAATGTATATACCAATTTCTTAAGTGTTATACGTACAAAATAAATAAATTTAAAGCTACTTAATAAGTAAATATATATATATATACACACACACCATTCAATGATCCAACCGTCAGACTTGTTTGTATATACTTCAAGATCGTATACCCCAAAAATTGTAAAAAACAAACATTCGGAGACCTAGTAACGGGACAAAAAATTTCAACGGTTCTTAATGAAAAATCACGATTTAACGGTTATTTTAACTCCGATTTTGATGATTTTTTACAGCTACACTCCTTGACCCTATATGAATACAATGAACTAATTCGATCGTCAATTTAAAATATTTACACTAGTGGATACCACAAAATCTTATGTTATATTTAACAAAAGTATAAATAAACTCTTAATTGTTAGTGAATATATTGTTTTGATGGCATACGCATTCAAAAAAACAAGTTTCAACGATCCAACCGTCAAACTTATTTGTTTATACTTCGAGATCATATACGCCAAAAATCGCAAAAAATAAACATTCAGAGATCAAGTAACGGGACAAAACTTTTCGACGGTTATAAATGAAAAATCTTGATTCAACGGTTATTTTAACTCCGATTTTGATGATTTTTTACCGCTACACTCCTTTACCCTATATGAATACAATGACTGAATTTGATCTTCAATTTAAAATATTTACACTAGTGGATACCACAAAATCTTATGTTATATTTAACAAAAGTATAAATAAACTCTTAATTGTTAGTGAATATATTGTTTTGATGGCATACACATTCTATGAAACTAGTTTGAACGATCCAACCGTCAAACTTGTTTGTTTATACTTCGAGATCATATACGCCAAAAATCGCAAAAAATAAACATTCAGAGATCAAGTAACGGGACAAAACTTTTCGACGGTTATAAATGAAAAATCATGATTCAACGGTTATTTTAACTCCGATTTTGATGATTTTTTACCGCTACACTCCTTTACCCTATATGAATACAATGACTGAATTTGATCTTCAATTTAAAATATTTACACTAGTGGATACCACAAAATCTTATGTTATATTTAACAAAAGTATAAATAAACTCTTAATTGTTAGTGAATATATTGTTTTGATGGCATACGCATTCTATGAAACTAGTTTGAACGATCCAACCGTCAAACTTGTTTGTTTATACTTCGAGATCATATACGCTAAAAATCGGAAGAAATAAACATCCAGAGATCAAGTAATGGGACAAAACTTTTCGACGGTTATAAATGAAAAATCACGATTTAACGGTTATTTTAACTCCGATTTTGATGATTTTTTTATAGCTACACTCTTTGACCCTATATGAATACAATGAACTAATTCGATCGTCAATTTAAAAAATATATTTTCTAATAAAAACCCAATCCAAAAAACAATAATATATTTTTCTAACAAATATTTTAAAAAATATTTTATTTATTTTTATAAGGACTTTGCGAGACGAAGTTAATTGTTTCGTCGCGCAAAGTAGCTTTGCGTGACGAATTGTTTTTCGTCGCGCAAAGTCGCTTTGCGCGACGAACTGTTTTTCGTCGCGCAAAGTTACTTAGAGTGACGAATTTTTTTTCGTCGCGCAAGACTTTGAGCGACAACGTATTGTCGTCGCGCAAAAGTTGGTCGCGCAAAGTTGCTTTGAGCGACGAAAAAAAATTCGTCGCGCAAAAGTTGGTCGCGCAAGGTTTTTAGCGACGAAGTATTGAGTTTCGTCACGCAAAGTGTCTTTGCGCGACGAAAAATTATTCGTCGCGCAAAATTTGGTCGCGCAAGGGTTGTTTTGTAATAGTGTCACCCGTTTGATATTTGGTCCTGTGATGGTAGGGTAAAGTTTCTCATTGTCTCGAAAACCATGGACTGGTCAACAAGTAAACTTTCTTTTGTGTGCGAGCGTTCCACTGCTAGCAATGAAAATCCTAGCGGACTTCTTAAAAATAGATAACTTGCACCCCAAGTTACTGATTTCTAAACAAGCGTTTGTGAATTTGGGTGAGGAATATCTCCCGAGTAAGTTCTTTTTCTTGCCTCGAACTGGTGAGGACTTCACAATTTTTCACAGTATAAAACTGGTAGTTATGGCCATAATAAATGATAAGAAAGTGAACTATTTTTTAGGCAGAACTCCCTTTTACAAAGCTCAAAAGGGAAAACCAATTCTTAAAAAGACAAAAAAGGGCCTGGACTTCCATTTCTGCCTGGATAGATGCTTCTAATCTGGGCTGGACTGGACTATCAACAACTTCAACTGTCAAGTTTCAGCTGTAAATTGATATCAACGTTCGAGTTTGGCAGAGCTTTAATCTATTTCAAGCCCCGGAAGGCTTTTTGAAAGGGCAGAATTGGAACCTCTTCAGTCTGGAATGGGCAGAAGTGGTTGGACTTGAGGATTACTGAACTAGAACTGCGCTATGGTGCCTGTTCTGCTTGATCAGGGCTCTTCATAAATTTGTTGAGGTTTTCATATTTGTAAAACCTGAACTCTGCTTAATTTAGCTTATGCTGAACCAAATTTGTAACGAGAGAAGTTTCGTTTTGAATGACTTATTTCTTTGAGTCTGAACTGAAGTTAGAGATTCTGATTTGTAGTTGGTTTCTTTCTTGTGGCTCAATGAACTATTGGTTGCTTCAATGTTTTTGAAGGTTTTTGAGATCAAGTGATCATTTTGAGTTTTTCTTTTTGATTGATTTTTTGGTTGTCCTTTGATCTGTTCACCTCCTCTCATATTTATAGAAAATGCTAGAGTGGTTTTCTTAATCTTTAAAATGGGCGGCAAATTTTCTAAAAAAACAAGATCTTTATTTTTTAAGTGTCAAAAAAAAGGGAAGTTATCTATTCTGGCAAGTAAACCATCAATAGTCAATTCTAAAGCAGTCACTTCCCTGTTTTTATTTGAAAGAAAACCTAATCCTTCTTCAATTTTTAACTGCTCTTGTGAATTCAATTTGTTGTGATGGTTAGTTTGATTTTCCAGGTGAACAACTCCCTGCACCCTACTTATCTTTTTTAGAAATTATAGCCTGCTTATCTCTTGGAAATGGCACTTGCTCTAGAGCAAAAAATTTCTGAATATAGAAAAAGGGATTTTGATCTTCTTATGTCTGAAAAAAGGCTGGAGACTTTTGCCTGTTTAAGACCTGCTTTCATTAATTCCTCATCAACTCAGTTGAAATTGCTGACTTTTCAAAGCTAGTTAATCAAGTGGGTTGCCTCTGTTTCTGTCATGTTCTTTATAGAAAATACCTTTTGTTTACAATACATTTGATGCTATATAATGAGGTGGTGAATATTTCTGGTGTTGTTTGGTGGAGCAGAATACTAATAAGGTGGATGGTGATGTTGATTTGCCACAAGTGTGCTTTCTGTAGAATCTAGAGGAGTGTATGGCTTGCGGAAGTTAAGTCCCCCCTATCGCCATGTCACTTCTTATTCTTCAATGTCTGGATCATGTCCTTCTTGACGAGAAGAGAGACGAATGGAGTTATGTACTTAGTTCATTTTTAAAGCCAAGTTACTTTCGTTAAACTGTTCATGATGTACTAGAACCATTTGAGTAATAGAAATCTAATTTAAACTATTTATTAACCTGTCTTCAATTTTGCATAATATTAATTGATGTTATATATATATATATATATATATATATATATATACATAGAGCTTCCATTGAGGGACACCCTCGTAAGGCGCACTCCACATTGTATTTCACTAATTCAAACTGTCTATTTTTTAGATAATCATTCAAAGATCATTTCTACAAAAAAATTCACTTGAATCCTATATCATTTGACCACTCAATTGAGATATTGAAATTTTAGTACTTTCTTGAAGTACTGTGTTCATTGATTTTGTAGGATAAAATTGGATGTTGAAACGGTTTCTGATTTGTTTAATTTTTTGCAAGGATGATCTATGAATGTAGACTTAAAAAATAGATGGTTTGGATTGTTGAAAAAAATTCGTAGGGAACCTTAAAGGGTGTCCCTCAATAGAAGAGAATTGTATCCTACAAACCCTAATCCTACAAATAAGTGTGTTGAAGATAAAACCTTGATGCCTCAGTGCTTTTATTATTGAATTTAATCTTGTTTAATTCTTACTTTTATTACGGTTACTATTTAGAATTTTGTGCACATTTACAGCTCTAAGTGGACACGATACTCGACTTTTGAATTATACTATTGCACGACATCCTATGGTTTTTTTTTTTTTTTGGTTGGGTTTAGTATTTTTTTTTCTTTTTCAATATCTAATTAATATGTTGAAAACACATATAACACATTCTCAAGAGTTTTTGGGCAAATCAAATCTTAGCCGCCTGGCTTGCTAGTAGTGTTAGTTGTGAGTGCCTAACTAGTGCCTTAGAAGACACATCACGTGAGTACTATGATACAAAATCTCCCTTTTGGTACACTTGATTTGATTTGAAAGCACCTAGTGGTTTCACCCTCAGCTTCCAATATGTGCTCCATTAATATTTGTTCCAATCCTTGTTTATATTTTGCCTTTTGTTTTTGTCCCTGTTTCAACGTAGGGCGCGTTTGAATATGTCTCATAGCAATTAGTTTACTCCATTTTTTTGGCATGGACTTTGAAGTTATTGTCCAATTTATTGGTTCTCGGATTTTGGAGATTATATTGATTTAGTTGTGCCGCCTTGACCATGCTATAGGCTATAGGATTTTAATATGGCACTGGCAATGCCATTGTATTGTACACTAGCATATTATTGGTTCAAATTAAAATAATTGATTTTAAAATTTGGAAGTAAATAAATAAAAGAAAGGGAAAAATAAATAGGTTAGTTGTCCCAGCTGATTGGGGGAATTTCCCTTCAAGACTTCAAATCATGCTGGGTCTTGAGTGATTTTCCTCATCAGATATCCTATGTAGGCAGCCACTGTGGTGAAAGCTTCTTGCTATGTTGAGTCAGCACAAAGGTTTTGTACATGAAATAATTGAGTTTTTAAGTTCCAAATTCTCTGATTTTCAAAAGTGTGCTCTCAAATTCCACACAACTTTTGCACAATTATTAGACGGAGAAGAAAAAAAACAAATTGACAAATCAGAATTGGAAACACTAAACAATTTCACAACTAGAAGTAATTACACTTTGTATTGGGATTACCAGTGGGCTCAACCCCAGGAAATTAACTACATATTATACAATTAACAAAAGAATTATAAAAACTTAGCTAGCTAATTCCCCTATAATTGCGTACCAAACCTTCAGGCTCGAGGGGCACAATGCTTACAATGGTTTCTTGCACTGGTGGGACTAAGGAGCTAGCTGGGGTGAAACCCACAATTTTTTGACATGTCTCGATCAAGTTGTGCCTGCATTTAGGGCAAGAGGAGTGTGAGCTCAGCCACTTATCAATGCAGCGGACATGGAAGCCATGGTTGCACTTGGGAAGAAGCCGAACACGCTCACCGGCTGTAAAATCCGAAAGACAGATCACACACTCCGTGTCCAGCCCAGGCAGATTTAGGTCAGCTGAGTAACTCACTGTTGGGAAAGTTTTTAGGGCTTTTTTCTTCACTCCTGTGTTGGCTAACCTAGCGGAGGTGTTGCTGCTGCTGCTGCTTCTGGACTCTACAAAGCTTGAGCATCTCAAAGCACACTTGATGATGGAGTTTAGGCCAAGTGAGCAAATTAGGGCACACAAGAGGACTGAAAGGACCATAACAACATTTGCATCAAAGCTGTTGTCACCAGGGTATTGATCTGTTGGGTCATGTGGGTTTGTGGAGGAGATTGGGGAGGAGGCTGTGTTTGGTGGTTGGTAAAGTGGGTTGTGTAGGAGAAGTCTCCTAGAGTTGAAGTTCACAAAGAAAGTAGAAGCAGACATGTTTTGTTATGACAATGTTTTGAGTGAATTTGGATGCAAAGGATTGTGTATATATAATTAAAAGGTAAAGGCTTAAAGGGGCTAAATTTGCTTTTCTAGAGTTTTTTCTTTTTTCAATTGTATATAATTGATCACTGTATCTTTCTTTGAGAATATTCCAAGGCTTATTGGCCGCATTAGGATTTATATTTAATTTGGAGATAATAGATTTCGACCTTATGGATCCTCCACTCAGCCGCTTGTAGTTTAATGGGGCTTTCTAATCAAGATGGGCCCCATCCCACTTTCTGCGCATTTGAGAATCCCACGTGGCACTTGGCCTTCATGAATCATATCTTTCAAATTATTTTTGGGACCCACTAGACCATGGAAGGAAAGGGGTCATGAAACTTCCTACTAAACTAAACTGAACTAATTAATTAATCAACAATTCAGCTTTATACTAAGAGAGGTTACCAGTTGTGAACTCATCCTAGTTCAAATTCTTATCAGGCTAATCCTAAATTAGAAGAAAGTTATTGCAAAACAACTTCATTAAAGCGCATTAATGTTGAGAACAATAAGGTTGACCATGAGTCAAATATACCTTAATTGATGCAGCTAGATAGCCAAAACTTTTTAGAGAGAGAGAAAGCTTTTGAAAGAGAGAGAGAGATTCATATTTGGGGGATTTTTCTCTGGATTCTCAGTGTTCTCTAACTTTTGGCAAATATATACTTATATGGTCTTCCTTTAGCATATTTATTATCTCTGCCACGAATCTGGGTTTGCTTTGGATACGTGCCTCATCTTGCAAAGCTACTCTTTGAGGTGTTGTTGCTTGGTCATGATAGATTTACTGTTAATTGGTGCGTTGAGACTGTGGAGTGACTAAGTGGTGATCTCTATGTCATGTCTCGGAGGAAGATTAGCAGTGTTTATTCTTCCTTTTGTCGTTGTTGTTTAAGATTTTTAGTATTGGTACTTTTTGGTCAATAAAATTCAAAAACTCTATGAGTTTATAGTTTTTTTTTCTCTCATAATTCCAGAAGCTTAATTGAGTTTGCTGGATGTTCTTTGTTTCTTTAGGAGACTCATGCCGGTTAGTGGCCAATTTTTTTCAATGTTATTAGACTAGATTCGAGGAAACTATGGCGATAGAAAGGGGTTATAGAAAAGTTATTTTCGAGAGTAATTCTCTCGATATCATTTCATCTTTTTTGTTAGCTTAGGTCATCACTTCATCTTTTCGAGAGTAATTCTTGTTGGAATTTTAAAAGGTTTTTAAAATTTTAACCATTTTGATTTATTTAATTATTTCGACTGTTTTATTTTATTTATTGTGGGGTTATAAATATTTAATTTTCATGTTTTATTTTTATATTGAATACCTTAATTTTCTAGTTTAATGTGGTGAAGGTTACATGTTATTGGATGCCTATAAAAGGCCACTCCTCCTTCACATTTGATACAACCACAATACACCATCAGAATATCACATACCACAATCACCACCACAATTTGATTCTCTCCTCTTCTACTTTTTATACTTTCTCTACTTATATTATTATTTTGGGCAATGGTTCTGTGACTTGGATACCTATATCCGTCTATGAACGTGCTCATAGCGAATCTTGAGTTTGTGTACATGGGGTCATATCTTGAAGTCTTGTAAACTATCTCTACCTACACGTAGGGAAGCTACAAAGGCTTTAGATTGTTATAAAAATTATAGTTTTCCTCTTTCTGTAAAGCCAAATACAAAAATCTTTATATTATAAATAACATATAAACAAATTGGAAAGCTTTTAAGGTACAATGAAACTAAAGAAAAACAAATTGGTAGGTAAGTAAAAGCAAAATAAATTATAAGTAAGAAAGTGAGTTTGGTATGGTGAAGCACGTCAAAGACACTGTCCTAAAGCCAACAATTCTCTTGAGATCATTTCATCTTTTTGGCTAGCTCAAGTCACTGGCAGGTTCAGCCCTGAGGTAGGACCAAAAGGGCTATTGGCCTGGGCCCCATGTCAAGGAGGGCCCCAAAATATTTATTTATTTTATTATTCTTTTAAAAGCTGCTTCTAAAATGGTTTCTTAATATGAGGTACAGTGGTATATTAGTATATATAAAGGTCTAGAGTATATATAAAAAGATATAAGAAGCTAACATCAAGATTTCTGAAGTTCCATCTTGCATTAATGATTTCTCTTTTATTTTATTCAAACCAAATCTATGTTCAAGTCCTACTAGCATTAAGAAATAATACTTTTTTTTTATTATTTTATGATGATTGATGAGTTGATGCTCTGATTATAAATGTATTGAATGGACTACCTTTGGAAAGAAAAAAAAACACGGAAATTTCAATGGAAATATTGGGATATTATCAATATCGATAAAAATTGAATAAAAAACACGGAAATTGTAAGAAAAACTTGGAAATTTTTATTGAAACTTTGGAAGATGTTTATTTAGTCAATTATCTATTAGTTTATCACAAAAAATTGGAAGGAAATGCATTGCATGATGGGTTTAACTGATTTAAGTTGATTATATAGCGAGCTGACAAACACTGTGAGTGTAGAAAATATATAGTAATTAAGTAAAGAAGATTAAACACACCATAATCATTTATATATAATGATTTACTATAATATTTTACACTTTATACATTGCATGGTAAGATACATAAGTGACTTAGTATCACATAGTGTTCTTATGAGGTTCAAATTTTTCGCTATCTTCATCATCTCTATGTGTAGAGTAAATGTATTATAAAGAATAGTCATCAAATGATAAATCCCCAAAATAATTTTGCATGTAATTGTTAACATGACACCCATATGGATATGAGATTGGTTGATGTTGTATATAAGGAAAATCATTTGAAGATTGGGTCTCAGATTTTTTCTATGAGCCGCTCGATTCTATCCCAAAAGGGAATGTCAAAGACTCACATTTTCATGTGAAAATCTAATTCTTGCAAGGAAAAAAAACAATATAAATATACATATTTTAGCATATTATCATAAAAACATAAGTAACATGATGGTTAAGGCGTTGGAGGAGTGAAATGCTAGGAGTTTGAATCTCCTTTACGTGGTGTGCTTTGTGTTTTTTTTTCTTCCTTTTTCCTATTACATCGATATTTTCGATATTATAGTGATATTTTGACAAAATATTGCTGAAGTGTGAGCGAAATTATCAACATCGATATTTTCCGATATTATCGATATTTATACGATATGTGTATGGATACGTTCCGAAATATCCGTGACTCGAAAAAAAAATAATATCCTCGATATTTCGTCGATATTATCGATATTTTAGACTATGGAGCTTGGAATGAGTAATTTGTGGTTGATATAATTAATATATATTGTTCTACCCCTCTTTCTTCCTTTGGTGCATTCTACTACTTAAAAAGTCATATTTTTCTTCCAATCTCTTTAAACATTTTTTTTTTACAAATTTATAAATAAACCCAATCCTACACATGTATTTATAAAAAAACCCAAGCACTATTTAAACATAGAAACACACCCAAAATCAACCCCAAAGTCAACTTTTGGGTGTGTTTATAAATGCGTTTTGAGTGTGTGTAATGATGGGTTTTGGGTGTGTTTATAAAGTGTTTTGGGTGTTGGGCTTTTTTTATAATTTCAACCTTCATTTTGAGTGTTTTAGTGAAACTCCCTTTTTTTTTTCTTGTGTTCAATCATTGCTTTATATATAATTTTTTTAAACATTTCCATAAGTAAAATGATATTTTTTTTAAGGCCTAATTTTTGTTACTAGTTGTAAAAGGTCTACACTCTATATACATATGTATAAATGAAAACAAGTAAACAAATATTTTTACTTGTAAGTAGTCTTGCATTTATAGGCCTTTTTTATTTTGCCATGGGCCACCAAAATTTCATGGTCGTGGTCATTAGGGAAGTTTTTACCTATATCTGTCATATTGCTATTGGAATGGTTCTCTTTACAATATGTACCTTTGTACTCTTATTCTTATTGTTCTACTAAAATTCTATCGCCCTTTTATAACAAATAAAAAAAATTACATCCTACTCATAAACGTCTCAATAACTCCCACTGTGTGACCCGTAGGCCCTGCCACATTCGCCTCCTCTACTCTCAATGCACCCTACCTCTCTTTAGGAACTATCAAATCATTCCCAAAAGGGGATGAAAATAACTCCACCATACCTCCACTACAAACGGCTGCGCGCACTCCACTTGATGAATCCTCCATACGACTCTGATTCGCCGCTTGGACCGCTAGGCAACCTACTGCCTCTAACCCCCTTTGCTTCCTAGGCAAATGAGTAAGCAAACCATGTTTGTTGTGCCATATAGACATTTTCCTCCTCCATAGACATACTCTTTCCAATGAGGCAATGCTGCTTACTTCAAAATGGATAGGTAGGTAGATTGGATCCCACATGTTTTTTGTGCTAAAACTTATTCTATTTTTGTTTTTTGTTTTTGGTTAATAAAAGATAAAAGGTAAAAGATGAAAGTAAACAATATAACAATAGTTGGTATTGCATTGCCTAGTCCATTGAAGAGCCCAATTTTTTTCATCAAAAAGACAAATGAATAGGCAACATACTATGTAAATTCGTATAGTACATATTTGCCTATTTCTTCCGCATACTCTCTTGGAGATGCTCAAGCAGATATGTACATGTGTTTTCTTGGTTTTCTTTTTGCCTCAGCCTGATGAGTGTGAGAGTCCTAATTAACAATTGGATCGTTGTACTTAAGATGAATATGTTCAAAATCTAAATGATTCCGTACTGATCTTATAGCATGAATACTTTTACTTTCTTAATTGGAAAAATCATGGAAATATATAAATAGTCAATGACTACTTTATTAGCACCTTACTTTGATTAGTATTATTTCTATTACTTTGTCTTGCTGAGTCACTCATCATCAACAAACTCCATGAAATGAAATGTTGAGTTTCTCTTTTTTGTTCGGGTAGTTTGACTCATTTGCAACTTTGCTCTCTGATCATTTCGATTTTAGCATTTTTATTCCTGTACTTTAATTTGACTTGGAATCAAGTTCAAATCGTAAACTCCATCATCTTAAAATTCAATGTGGCCATGTACAACTATAAGATGTAACACTATTTTAATTTCTTCGATTGTTAAAATTGAAACTGCAAAGATTAAAATGGAAAATGAGTCAAATTAGAAGGAGTAAAAAGTATAATTTGGAGTCAATGGGTTCCTATCACATTGGTGGTGGCTTCCCCCTTCCCCATGACACCCCAGTTCGAACCCTATGAATATAACAAAAAGAAAAATGTATAATTTGGAACGAAATGAAATCATTAGTTTAATAATCACAGTAGAGAAGAGTGCACAAAAATTAAACACCCACTTGTGAGGAAAACGTGGCAATCACTTGATGTCCAAATCCCCCTAAATCCCCCCAAATCCCCCCAATACTTATCACAATGTATATGCATCTATGTGTCATTCATATTACCATATGTATTAACTGTAATCTATAATATTAATTATACGTTAATGCAATACAGTGTTTGTCTGCGCCTGTCCTTTCTTTGTTTACGGCTGTCCTTAAATTAAACATCAAGAGCCAGCTGATTGCAATTAGATATACAAAAGGTGGTCCCCTCCAGATCAAGAATGATCTTTTGGCTATGCAAGTAGTCGGATTGTAAATTAGAGGGACTGTCCACACGCGGTGGCTCGAAACTAAAGCATCAGTTAAGAAAATTATCTGTCAAAAATAATGTAAACAATTAATCAATTTGCTGGGAGTTTAAAATTGTGATTAAGGTTATGTGGGAGCAGAAACCTTCCAAAATCAGAGATCCTCAAATCCTCTTGGCGATTCAGAGACAAAACATTTTTTAAGTTGTAAGTACTAGATAAGGGTACTATGATCGCAATCAAAGATTCTCTCACGCTTAATATGAAGGAAATTTTTTTAAACAAAAAGGAAAGGGTTTTGAGAATTAGGGTTTTACTCAATTGAGTGTCTGGTTTTGGCAATTAAGAGGTTAGCTTGAGCTATAGCTAGCCCTAATTGACCATGTTCAACCCGTAATCGTGTAGGGTAGATCTTTAGATAAAGAACTTGTTATCAACTTCAGATTTAATTTTTTGAGAGATCGGTCATGTACACAATTAATTTAAACTGGAATCTTCACATGATCTAACATGAAAATACCAACAACAAAAAAATATATATGAAGTTCATGGATGGTATGTTGACGTGAAGGGAAACAGAGATCGTCGATAGATCATATCATATTATAAACTAATATCCAATACAGCTGCCCGATACAAGTAGGGGATACTTGCTGCTTATAAATTATACTTAGAGCGGCAAGAGATCAAGGATAGGCTAAGCTTAAAAGGAATGCTTTATATGGTTTTGTTTGTTTGTTGGTACTATAAGTACCTCCACTTGGATCTATATCTTGGTGGGTTGGATTTCACTAGGTGGCGGTTGTTTCTCTTTGGGGGCCACATTTTAAAGATTTGTATTTATCTCCTTGGTTTTAGATTTGTATTAAACAAATGCGATGCCACGTGGTGATTGACCATTGGGACAGTTCACAATTGAAGGTTATTGCTTTAAATGGAAAATATATTAGTACAAGTGAAGTTATCAGAGAAATGCCACTCCACGATTTGGTGGTGCTCATAAACTAATTTAGCAAGCACTCCTCTTGCAATTTGTGGTTAAATAACCAACAAAATCTCATTGTCTCTTTCCAAGAAGCAAAGTTTCCTTAATTATGAGTGCTATTTAACTTTCTCTTATAAAATTAAATGATCTTTTATCACTTAGTTTATCACATAAGTAATTACCATAATTAGCATGTGTCCTAGTTTGTTCTGCACTCAATTTTATCATGAATGGTCATTCAATTTGTTGAAAATCTTCATTTCAGTCCCCAAACTTTGAAATCAATCAATATGATCCTAAATCTTTTCTTCCACACATCAGTTTGCTCCTTGTCATTACAATCCATCAAAATCTTCAATGAAATTGATCACACAACCAACTTTAAAGGGGTAATTTTTGTCAAAATACAAAATATACACCTATAAGACAAAATAAAGCTCACGTCTTTTGCTCAACAAGGTCATTTGCTTTCCTTGTTGGAACCCCACAATGTGAAATCATAAATAAAAAGTAGATAGCCATATGTTGAGTAAAGGGTGTAAATCTATTTGTTGGGCGAATGAGCTATATTTTGATGGAAATAACTTTTAAAACTTGTCATGTGATGAGCTCATAAATAAAGAGTAGATAACCATGTTCAGCAAAGGCCGTGAATATCTATATGTTAGGCGAATTAACTATATTTTAACGAAAATACTGTTTGAAAGCTTTAACCAATTTGAATGAAACTTTTTATTGAATGCCTTAATAGGGACTAAATTGATTTATGAACTAAAAGTTCAAAGACTATATTAATTGACTAGAAAATTTGAGATTTAAAATGAACACTAAATGAGTACATTATTTTATTTACGATTCTCATGGCTAGAGTCTCACTCTAAAGTGGTTAATGTTTCAAAGAATGCCTTGGTTTCCGCCAAAGTCATACTCGCTAGTATCACTCTAAAGTGGTAATTCGTACGTTGTTATAGGTGCTTTGGGGAGTTTCATTAACTTTGATTCCTTGTCATAGAAAAGAAGAAATTCAAAACGAATTAAATCTCTTCGATTAGGTTGAGGATAAAACCATTTTCCGTTGAATTAAAAGAGAGAAAAAAAAGTCAAAGGGATATAGTTCAGTGAAAAAAGACCTTAATTTGCAAACTATTGGTTTCATGTTCGAGCCCACATGATAACATACTAGTGTGTGTGTGTGTGAAAAACTCCCCCTCCCCTTGTAGACTATCACTTGTATTCAAAAAGAGGGAGTAAAAAAAAAACCATTTTCTGTAGCCACAAGCCTTCTCGGGCTTTCACCATTTCCTTCACAAAAATATTTAACACATAATTTTTTTGGCAAATATCGGAAATGACCAAGTACTTTGCACTTTTTGCAATATACTCGAATAAATAAATAAAGTTGAGAAATTTACCTTGCCAAAAATTTGAGGCCCGTGGCCTTTCGGGTCCATTTTTTACCAGGATTCACTCCAGTTTTAAATTCTGACTCCGCATAAAAATCTTGTGGCCATACTTGAATTGAAATTCTTTTATTGATAATTGGACATCCGAACAGCGTTGAACGACATTGTACAGTTAATACATTGTCATTTTTATGATTGGATTCATAGGGATGATTGAATTGACGAAGCCAATTTTGTTTTAGTGCTCCTGCTAAATTGGGTTTTTGGTGTAATTGAATTTTAATTTAGAGGGCATTTGGGTTAATTTAAGTGAGTTTTTGACTATATTTGAATTTTTTTTTTAAACTAACATTTATAAATTTAGGGGTTAAATTTTGGTTAAATTTGATAAAAACTCCTCACCGTATAAGATTTCAATTTTAACAGATGGGATCTTTTCCAAGTTTTGAATCTGTGATTTGTATTCCCCAACTCTTATTTTTCAATATTTCAACTGCTTGAGACTTTCAATGATAGCATTAAAAAGATGAAGTCGGATCCGATGAAGTTAAGGCCCTCAGAGGTGATTTCACATGTGATTCTTGGATGGTGTGCTTATCAGAAATGATTTCATATCATTAGTACAATATTGCAAAACCACGTAGCGACGTGCCACGTAGGTTTGGCCAACAGGCCCGGGAAATTTTTGAAATTTCATCGCGATGTTTGCCTCAAAAATTTGCTTCATCACTTGAGGTCGAAGAAACACAAACTGATTTAAACTATCACCTGGTTGTTAAGGCTCAAGCAGAAGTATTGCAGGTTCTGGCTTTTCCAAGCGGAAATATGTAGTTGGCCTTACAAATGGAAAAGTATAATCTCTTCTCAAGTCAAAAAGTGAATAGAGTGACATTATTATTTCAAACAATTGCATCCTTTTGTCATTCTTACAACAGACATGTATAGTTTTTCTGGGAGCAAAATACATACGTCGCATGCATAACATACTAAGAAACATGCAAGATTTATCATAACATGCTTATCTGGATAGCAAATCAACTTTCACAGAGTCATGTAGAAATTAAGTACTTCTTGGAACAAACCTTCGATGGTGTGCTTAACTAAGCCCATTCTGCAGTAATGCAGCCTCCAAAGGAAACGCAAGGCTGAATGAAGATCCTACGCAAGGCTTACACTGTTACACATAAGCTGCATGTACAGAGTACACACCTATTTACAACTCTCATATGCACACCAAGCATCCAATAGCTCCCAGCTCCACCTCCCGGTTTCCTTTACCAGTCTCTGTGTGAGATGCCCTGCAAACAAATATAATTAAGGGTCGGTTAAGCGCACCTCTCTATTTATTCTCACAAGAAGAAGAGCTAGTGAAATGGACCCTTTCTTCATGCCAGCGGGGGAAAGAAAAGGGGCCCGCTGCGAGAGGAGAGAGTGATTCAGCTGCTAAGCCCTCTTTCTGCAATCTAATAAACTGATCAAGATCCACTACAGAAAGATTCGATTTAATGGTGTCCTGCTGATCCGATTTCTCTGGACGCACTTCAGGACAATCAATAACCATATTGAAGAGAATCAACCACCATGGATCCCCGAGGTGGAAACCATATCTCAGCCTCTGTCCCCACCTTACAGCTGGGAGAGCGTTGAATCAAATGTGAGAAGCTACACAATCAATGGTCGAAATAAAGGCAACAGCCTACCTGGTAGCCATCAATTCCATTTGCAGCCTAGACCCCTGGCCACGTCCTTAAATTCAACAAGTAGGGAAGCTGATCTTGTGCCAAATCAAACCTTGGATAAATAATACTTCACTTTGTCCCCTTTGTGCCCACAATAGGTTCAAAACACGAATCTGATTCCAGCGATCTCATACGCAGCATAAATAAAGGGCAAAATTTTCAAAGGCAATTGGATGATATATCCTACCTAGTGCCTTCATGAATTACAGGAGAGTCAATTGGCGCTGGGTTGCCACTCCGCAAATGCTGTTGCAGATACTCAGGAATCTCTTGTCAAAAGGAGGATGAGCAACGATGTTTGGGTGAGCCAGTCCATCTTGGTGCACATCTTATCAAGAGACTCTCCTTGTCCTCCAAGAAATTGATCCCATGTGCAGTGTTGGGAGGATGGTTTAGCTGTTAAAACTTCATCTCATCTTATCCAAACCATCATCTCCTATCCTATGTTTAGTTGGACTCTTCTCTCTTTTCTGTTGTACCCGTTGTAATGCCTCTCTGTTGCTTGTTTTCTGATGAATTATCTTTCATCCCCCCAAAAAGATTATAAAAAAAAACACTACTCTTACACCACTTTACTGTATATCACTAGCACACTTGTGCATACCAAATACTTGCACAAGACTGCCAAACACTTATTGGGCAAGAGGAGCACATCATCCCAATTAATATGTGTGAGTTCAAAATTCTGATGGTGCACCGCCTAGGACACTCGGTTGAAACAAATTAGGGTTGGCAATCATCCATGACGTGCAAGTGATAAATTATTTTCAAGATCAACCAAATCATAATGATTTTATCTCTACTTTCACTCAACAAAAGCCTATTGTTCATATCTCTCATAAAAAGGCGCTCCTCAATAATGTCTATCCAGCAGACCTTGCTAACCCAAGGATATACTTAAAAATGAAAAAAATTAAGGGTTTAGGGTTCATAAATGGTCCTCAAGATTAAAATCCTTCTATAAATGGTTTTTTCATTTATAAATAATTCTAAAAAGAAAACTAAAATTTTATGAATTTTAAATGAAAAAATTTAAAAAATTTGTTGGGACTATTTGTGATAGGTGTGTGAACCTCAGGGATGTTTTGTGATATATATATGCCACGTCAACAAACTAACGGAGTTTTTGACGGAACCTAACGGCAGGGACCATTTGTGATCACTCATACTAACCTTGAGGATCACGAGTGACACAAAAAAACATTAAGGCCATCTCCAGTTATAGGGCTAAATGTAATCCAGGGCTAAAAATTTAGCCCCTCAAAATATTAATTTTTTAAAGAATAGTGTAAGGCTAAATTTTTCCATCTCCAGCCATGCATGGCTATATTTTAGAGTCCTTCATATTTTATTATTTTGAAAAGGAGAGTGAGAAGTGCTTTAATGATTGGTTGTTGAAAAGCACATAGATGGGGGCCCACTATAAATTTGGCCAAAACTAGGCTACATTTGGCCCTGGCCCTCCAAATGTGGCCAAAATTTTATTTAACCCATGACTAGAGATGGGTTTTGCATTAATTTAGGGCTATATTTGGGATATAGCCCATGGCTGCAGATGGCCTAAGAATGCAATATGATAGTTTCGTAAACCTTAGGAACGTTTTGTGATAATAAGCCATATATTTATAACATATTATATATACATACACTTTATGAAAATGGTAAACTAATTTGTTATTCCTATTTTGCCATTTCTAATTTTCACAGTTATAACTTATAGCCCAATTACCAAAGGACCAGAAGAAATTTCGAGTTATGAATTGGGAATAAAACCAATGCGGGATGATTAGGTAAAGTTCTGAAACCCTGATGCAAGTTCATCCCTTTTCAGACAGAGTCATATCTGAAAGAGGTTCACAATATGTTCTTTAAAAATCGAATATTTGTCCTTCTGTTAGAAATGTCCCAGAAATGTCTGCAATTGAATAAATAGCTCTACAAACTCTTGGCTAGAAAACTCCACCGAAGAAGGATATTATTGCTGGAAAACCAAAGAGGCAAAAAGAGAGAGGAGGGATTGAAGAGAAATCTTTAGAAAGGAAGAATAGATGGTGACTCTTTCATCGCAGTATCGCATGGCTACAAAGGCTGGTAGTATTATGCACACTAAGTTCGAATAAAGTTGTACCTGTTCTCCCATCCAAAAGTAAAATTTAATGCATGACATTTTCATTTCAAGCTCATATAAGAATCTACATGCAATGAAGAATCGTTCACTTGAAAGACATTTGGACCAGGCTAGGAATAACTAAATGATGGATCTATCAGTGAGATGCAAAGATTCAAAGAGATAATGGTACATGTATAAATAAGCTACATCCATCCTGAAGGTCCAATTACTTAGGTATAGCTTGATGCATACCCTAACTATATTCATTTTACAGTTTCAACATACCTACCAGGATACAGGAGAGTTCCTTCTGCTTCTGACTCTTCAAAAGTCTTCTACCATTCACATAAAAGTCGTGCTCTTCTACTTGCTCAAAGTATAATCTCTTGTGCAAGCCAGAATAAAATCTTATGATTGCACACATCTGAGATGTAGTACTCTAGTATAAGACAATGGGATGGGAATAAATAGCAAAGTCCAGAACCTTCATTTCTCTCAGTTTTGCGATATGGTTGACTTATCAGTTCCAGCGCCTTGAGTTAGAAATTCAACATTTAAACTATTGATTTAATCCTTTTTAAGGAAACGCAAGCAGTTCCAAAACACCAAGCAATAGTGGGAAACAGAAGTGGTGAAGATACTATACAGATGACACAGAAGCGCCTCCTTGACACTTAATTCCACATATAGTGCTACCTATATATCAAACCAGATTTTTCAATGTATAGAAAAACTCAAAACAGTATGACCGATCATGATTTATATTGAAATATGTGTGGCAAAAAAAAAGTAAATAAAAGAAGCAATGTACAGACATGAACATGATACAGGAAACAGGTCACATGCAATAGAGTGGCACATGACTAAGATAAATCGCAATGCCATTTTACTTAGCAAATAGTAATTGTAACCAGCTCGCCGATAGACTACCAGGTATTTCTTGTAATATACTGCTTGGCCGACCAGGGTCTTCTTAGAACATGGGATGTTTTTGGGGAGGGAGATAAATACGCTCTTTTGCTAAAAGCACATTGATAATATGAAATACATATAACAATAATTGCATTAGCTCTTATTTGTTGTGTATTTTACAATATTGATAATGTTTCCCTGCTACACTACAGATTATGGATTTGTGAAGCATTGTTCAGAACAGTTTTTACTTCTTTTCTGTCCAAATGCATACGGAGCACTCCCTTGCTTATGGTAATAGCATATTAAATTATAATAACAAAGAAAGCTTACACAATGTCAATGCCAGACCCAATCATAGTACTACCCAATGTTCCCATACATCTGTTGTGCCCAACGTCATCTCTTTGGACCCTCTTAACAAGTGCACACATGCCTGTAATCAATTGGACAATTGACTTCTGAGTAGTGCATCGAATACTAAAAATGAAGAGGTATCAGTAGAATGAATATAAAGCAAAAAAAAGAAAAAGAAATAAGTATGATGAGTACTTATGCAATAATACAAACTATCAAGAATCCACATTATAAATATTGAGTATTATTATGCAGTAGAGAGTTCAGAAAAGAATAATTTCACAACAGATAATCTATCATTTTATTAAGAGAAACTTCTTTCTCAATTATGAAATAACGAAAATACAAATATATAAGACAGACTAAAACTGCTTTGAGAAATAGGGAAGATTATGGCAACGATGAACGAAAAAACACCAAATTTTTCCTTCACAGACTTCTCTTATGACGTTCAACTTTATTTACAGTTCAACCAACCCAACCCTTCTCCTAAGCTCACATTCACATGTTCGTGGGCTACTAGTCTAAATAATGAAGAGCGATACAAAAAAGATGTAGGAGAAAGTCAGAATAAAAAATAGACATGGCTAAATGTGATAATTTGTATTGCAAAATTTGTGTGATTGCATAGCATCTTCTGATATGTTGAAATCTAAATGAGTAGGAAAACAGTATCCCTGCTTTGAATCCCTGCTCGAAACAAAGTTAACATATCTGCTGTGCCTATAATGTAGTATTGAGTGCAAACCAAAAACTGATAAGCAAACCTCAAGGCAAAGGAATTCCAATACTTCTTATAGATCATAAAACCATACAAAATCGGTCAAGATGCTAATGTCAATAGACTCAATGCCATAGTAGAAGTAGCAGAAATTGATAGGTGACTAGCACTGTAAAATGCTATTCTCACTTGATAAAACTATGTAGAAGTGAGATCAGGAAGAACCATCATGAACCCTCCACAATTTCAAGCAGAATGTAACTACCATTTCCTCCAGACTTTTGTGCCTATTGGCTTTATCAAGGCAGGCTTTTGTGCCTATTCTTCACCGCCCCATAAGTCGCTCTTTGTTGGGTAGCTTATTTAGCTACCCAACAACAAATTTAAAACCAACCTACCAAATCCGAACCTATTTCATCATAGGATTAAGAAACTATATTTACTTCCTGGTTGAGCAATAAGCACACTTTAATGTGGACCAGTTTTTCTGTGATTAAGCACTGAGCAAAACCCAAATCAAAACCAAGACAACGCATAATTTCTTCCAATTTGAACATAAGTTGTATAAAACGAAGATGCCATAAGATGAAGCAATTTATGAAGTAGATTTGAATCTAGTTGTGAAATACGAATTAGACCACCTCATCACTCACTAGTGGTGAAAAAAGAACTCAACAGCAGGACTTACACGGCATCACAAACGTTAAACCCTACTCTAATTACTATATATCATAGCACTTCAAAGGTAAAGGGGTCAATGCCCAATTGCGGCAAATTTACAACTAAAACATTCAATATAGAAATAATGGCAAATTTGGAAACTGTTTCCTGTATCTAATAGAAGCACAAACATGCCCATGCTCTGAAATTCATGAGGAAAAAAAATGGAACTTTAGAAGTTCACTCTGAAATCTCAACAATCAAAATAAGAAAACACTTAAATGAAAGTGTTGTCTTGGAATTCTAAAAATAGATTATAACCAGGAAGAAAAGTGAAGAATTCGTATAAGAAAGGAACAAAAGGATATGATAAATAATTAGACTTCTCTAAAATGGGGAGGCCAGTAAAATTTGAGGATGGCCGTTACCGTCTTGATTGAGCGCCGGCCTTCGTTTGTTTTCTTCTCTGTTGTGATTCCAGTGTCCCCCGTTTAAGGACTCCAGCGTGCTGCAACGATATGGGCTTCAATTTATTTATGAGTTTTCTCTGCACTTCTCTTTGTCCAGCTAGTATTCATATTTTAAGTTGACCCAACTTTTAATTCAAATTTTTATAATTTAAAAAAAAAATCCCGCTATCCCCGTAGACTACTCTTAATACACACATAGCAGAAAAAAAATATATATAAAAAAAATAAACTCATCAACCCTACACTCTGCTATCTTGCCCCTTACCACTCTACTTTGAAGCTTAGTGATTAACAACTAATTTATCATTACTTATTGTAAAACAGAGAGACTCATAGTATTTAACTTCTTTGAGGAGCCTTGATCAAATTCTTGCACAAAATTCAGAAGTTTGCTTGGGTAAATTAGCAAGTGGTCTTCCTGATGGCGACCTCTTATATTACATATCTCAATTGATGACCCACAAGCCGCTATTTGCATACCGTATTTAGATTTTGTGAATAGAATATGCGAATGTAGTAGGTTTCTTGGATTGAAAGAGATGAGTAATCTGGCATTAGGTGTAGAGGAGTTTGTGTTTTTCTAAAACTTAATATGAAGAGTGGTGGTGTGTGTGTATAGTTGTACTAGGGTTAAGTATTGTTGGATGACCTTTTTTGTCATTTTACACAATAGTAAAACTTAGGGTTAATTACTCAAATGGTCATCAAATTTGTACCCGATTTACATTTTGGTCCTTAAACTAAATTAGTCGTTCAAATGGTCCATCAACTCTATATTATTCGGTCCAATGGTCTCACCGTCTAATTTTCTATTAGATTTAATCAAATTTTAGGATAAATATGACTTTTCATAATTAACAAATAAAAAAAAGGTTAAAATAAATACAAAATTAGAAAGAAAAAAAATTGAAGAAAAAGAGAAAAAAAAATCATGAGACCCAAACCCAGTGCCCTCTTCCTTCGATTTCTTCTCCCCCATTCCCCACAGACCTCTCCACGCCGACCTTGTACCTAGCGCTCACTAGCCTCCTAACGTGGACATTCAACCAGAAAGTGGGCACATAAGCATTCAAGAAATTGTGATCCATATGGGAATAAATCCCCAAAACCCTCGCAGCAATTTTGGCATCTTGGCCGAAGAACCGATACTTGTAACCGACTTCCACCATCAAAAGGACATCTGGGTACCTCTTCTTGAGGTCCACCACTTGCTGCTCCAAAGGGGTGAACTTGGCAGGTGGGTTGGAAGAAGGAAAAGGTTCTGGAATGTCAGATGATGGTTCTAGAAGCTTATGGAGGAAATTTTGGTGGAGGGAGGGATTGGGTGTGGTGGGTATAGGGTTGTGGGTGTGGGGAGAGAGTTTGGGTAGTTTGGATGGTTTGGAAGATGAGGAGGTGAGGTGGAAGGAGAGGAGAGTGCACTTGGAGGGTGAGAAATTGACAGTGGCTGTGATTTTGGGAGGTGGGATTGGCGGGTGATGAGGTGGGGAGGAGAGTGATGGGTGGTTGTCTCTCAACAACAAAGGGAAATCAAGGGGGAGGGGGAGCGGGTCTGGGTGGTTGTTAAGTTGGGGTTTTGGGTTCCGTAGGAGGGGGTCTGTGGAAGATTTTTTTTTCTTCTCTTTTTCTGTAGTTGCTAGCTTGGGTGGAGGGTGGGGAGAAGCTGGGGTTCTGGGTTCATGGGGTGGGATGGGTTTGGGGGTTGGAGCTTGAGGGTCATGGTCATGGGGGTTTGGGGGTTGGAGCTTGAGGGTGGTAGAGTCTAGTGTTTGAAACCAATATGATTTTTGATACAAATGATTGGTGGATCGATACTGGTGCAACTAAGCACATATGTGGCAACAAGAGCATGTTCTCTAGACTCTACATACCAAGAGATTTCTAGTGGAGAACAACTCTACATGGGAAATTCCTCAACTGCTACCATTGCTAGAAAAGGAAAGGTGTTGCTGAAATTTACCTTTGGGAAGGAACTGACCCTTCTAGATGTACTTCATGTCCCTGATATTAGGAAGAACTTACTGTCTAGTTCATTGCTTAGCAATAAGGGCTTTAAACTAGTGTTCAAATCAGACAAGTTTGTTCTTACTAAAGGGGGAATATTTGTGGGCAAGGGTTATTTGGCTGAGGGTTTGTTCAAACTTAATGTATTGGCTACAAATGCTAGTAATAAAATAAATAAGGCTTCTGTTTATGTTGTTGAGTCTCGTGATATTTGGCATGCTAGATTATGACATGTTAATTTCCATTGTTTAGATAGAATGATCAATTTAGGTTTGCTGCCAAGCTTTGAAATTGATCACAATAATAAAAGTGAAATATGCACAGAATCAAAATTTGCAAGGCAAAGTTTCAAATATGTTTTTGGAAGGTCTAATGAGTTGCTGGGTTTGATACATTCAAACCTTCGTGATTTTAAATCAACACCAACTCATGGAGGAAATAATTATTATATTACTTTCATTGATGATTGCAGTAAATTTTGCTATGTCTATTTGATAAATAGCAAGGATGAGGCTTTGAATATGTTCAACACATATAAAGCTGAAGCTGAAAATCAATTAGAGAGAAAAAAAATTAAAGCTCTAAGATCTGATAGAGGAGGAGAGTATGAGTATATAGCCTTCTCTGAATTTTGTGCTCAATATGGAATAGTTCATCAAACAATGGCTCCATATACACCTCAACAAAACGGTGTTGTTGAAAGAAAAAATCAAACTTTCAAGGACTATTTGTGCCTAATAAATCACGGTCATAAACTGACTGAAGGGACCTCCTCTCGGCCCTAGCACCTACTCATGAACTGAAACGGCCACGTTTCGTTAGGCATTTCGCCTTCCTAAAAACAAAAGAAAAGCTGTAAAGGCAGAATCCTCTCGGCCTCGCGACCGCGGTATTATGGGCCGAGGCCGAAGGCCGTAAAGGACACGGCCGAAGATACTGTGGTTAAATCGCCACGTGGCCTCAGGGTCCCACGCCCCATTTAATGAAGTAATGCCTCTGACTATCGCAGCAAACCCACTAGTCGCAAAAAGCATTTAATGCACTAGAAAAGAAGGGAAGTGACTGAAGTCAGGATTTGGTGATGGAAATCAGAGTGGTTAGGCGCAAATATTCTCACAAGTAATCTTACAACTTGAGGTCAGATCACCAACCACCAGACCAAGGCATTAAATGCGTTCCCACTGCTAAGGGGGCAGAACCCACGATCAGGGCAGTGCTCGAGATTTACCAGGATTTATGGGGGTCACACCACCATGCTTCACGATCCCAAATGCCGATTTGACTACCCACTTTCCCCGATCAGGCTCCACCACGCAGGTCTTTTCGGCCTCGATTGTCCCTCCAGGACTCCTCCTATAAATACGAAGCTCAAGACTACATTCAAAGGGTTCAAACACCAAACCAAAAGCCTTCCAAGGAGCAAATTATATTTTCCTGTCATGCACTTTTAATACCTTTATTTGCTTTCCTAGGAGTAGTGGTAGATTGTAAGGAAAATCCATTCATCAATATATCATACGACCTTTGGTTTTCAAGGCGCCGGAGCACTATCTCTGTTATCATCTCATTCACCCCATATATCATACAACCGTCGCTCAATGAGCAACGAGTCGGAGCACCGCCTAAAACCCGCCACCAACACCACCACTAAACGGCCTTGTAGCTCAGGCCGTGAACCTGATGGCCGAGATCAGTTCCTCTCTCGGCCACAATCGTTTGATTAGGAGTCGAACTCAAAACAGGCGCATCATTTAACCATCTTCTACCCAAACCTCATCACCATCTCGACGCATGGTAGACCGTGCTGGCACGCCTGCGCACAACCGCACCGTATCCAGAAGAAGGACGTCACGTGTTAATGCACATCCCCTCCGCCCGGAGCACCAGGCGTTGAGATTTGCGCTAGCCAACACTTTTGGCACGCCTGGTGGGACTCTTGTCAAAAACTCATGGTGGATAGCAAATATAAGGCACATCTAGTAGCAAAATGCTATAGAGAAAAAGAAGGACTATATTACTTTGATACATATTCACCTGTATCAAGAATCTCATCTATAAGAATATTAATTTCTATAGCAGCCATGTATAAACTAGAGACACATCAAATGGATGTTAAAACGGCCTTTTGAATGGAGAATTAGATGAAGAAGTCTATATGGAACAACCGGAAGGTTTTTGGTTAAAGGACAAGATAAGTAAGTGTGCAAGTTAATTAGGTCACTGTATGGACTTAAACAAGCACCAAAGATGTGGCATGAAAAATTTGATCATGTTATGTTGTCAAATGGTTTTAAGATCAATGAGAGTGACAAATGTGTATATGTGAAGAGTTTCGAGAACTCATGTGTCATAGTGTGTTTATACGTTGATGACATGCTGATAATGGGTACTAACAAAGATATTATCAATTCTACAAAGAAAATGTTATGTTCCAGTTTTGACATGAAGGACTGGGGACTTGCAGATGTCATACCTAGAATTAAAGTTCAAAGAACCAAACCAGGTTATTTTTTGACTCAATCCCATTATGCAAAAAAAATACTTAGAAAATTTGGTCACTTTGATGATCCATCTGTTGTGACCCCTTTTGATCCATTAGTTCATCTAGCAAAAAATAGTGGAGATGCAGTATCTTAGCTAGAATATTCACAAGTGATTGGAAGCTTAATGTATATGATGAACAGTACAAGGCTTGATTTAGCATATGCAGTTAGCAGGCTTAGTCGATATACTAGCAACCCGTCTGATGATCATTGGAAGGCTTTGATTGGAGTGCTACAATTTGTAAAAGGCTTAATAAATTATGGATTGCATTACACAAGTTATCCACCAGTTTTAGAAGGATATAGTGATGCAAATTGGATTTCTGGTCAAAGTGAAACGAAATCCATTAGTGGCTATGTTTTTGTGTGTGGAGGGGCAACAGTAGCTTGGAAATCTACCAAGCAAACGTGTATAGCACAGTCAACTATGTAATATGAATTCATAGCTTTGGACAAGGCTGCTGAAGAAGCAGAATGGCTTCGAAACTTTATGGAAGATATACCATTATTGCCTAAACCAATAACTACAGTATGTATTCATTGTGATAACATGACAGCTATTGCAAGAGCCAAAAATAAGATATACAATAACACATCAAGGTATATATGGCGAAGACATAGCACTATTAGACAGTTGCTCACAGATGGAATAATCTCATTAGATTATGTAAAGTCAAAGGAAAACATAGTTGATCCTTTGACAAAAAGCCTACCTAGAGAGCAAATTAAATATGCATCGAGGCGAATGGGTTTAATGCCAATTTCACAATGAGCTAACCTAATGGAACCCTAACCTAGCTGATTGGAGATCCCATGGTCTAGGTTCAATAGGCAAATTGGTTGGGAATGGCTCAAGGTATGAACACACTATTTACTCATTCCTATGACCAAAGTATGTTGTCTGTAGAAGTTTTTAGGGTATGTTTTGTGAATGGGTTTAATGCCAATTTCACAATGAGCTAATCTAATGGAACCCTAACCTAGCTGATTGTTGATCCCATGGTCTTGGTTCAATAGGTTAACTGGTTGGGAATAGCACAAGGTATGAACACACTATTTACTCATTCCTATGACCAAAGTGTGTTGTCTGCAGAAGTTTTTAAGGTATGTTTTGTACAAAACATTTGATGACGTTAATATTTTGATATTCAAAAGAAGTATGGCAGAATACTTTTAATTAACGTTATGTTACCTATATAGGAGTAAATGTGGGGTCGCATTTAAGAGAATTACATGGCTACATTCTCTAAAGCTCCTATGAAACTGGGATTTGTTCAGGACCAAAATGAACACAACCCCATGAACTTAAGTGTGTATAGATTTAATGCATGTGTGACGTATTGTCTTGGTTTACTACAAAACGATGAACAGTTCAAAGTTGTGAATTCCATTGATTCATTAAGTAGATCCGATACGTCTACACTAGGGAAAGTTCAAGTCCAAAAGTAGATCCTGATGTGCATTTTATCTAATTTCCTCTGCAATTTTTGAGTATGCATATATTCTTTCCAAAAACAAATTTGCATTTCAAACGTGGGGAATTATTGGAAGTTTGAAAGCAAATGTCCCACATTGGAGGAAACAAAAGGTTCTACATGCTTTATAAGCATGAAACCTTAACACCAATTAAATAAGATTGGTGGGCTGATGGGCTTGGTAGTGAAGGCTATACATGGTTGGCTTGCTTGATTAATAATAATATTTAAATAATCAAGACTTGGGCCTGGGGTCTCTGAAAAATAAAAGAAATACACCCAACTGGAAATTAAAATAAAATAAAATAATTTATTTTTTGGATTTCTTTTAGCATAAGTTAAATTCAAACCAAAAGTCTTATCTTTTCGTTTGAATTTGAACATGTATAACTGACAGTAACTGCTATTTTGAAGGGGTGCAATTATGTTATAAAACCACAAGTCCTAAGCCATAATACGATCATATTTTTTGAACTATTTCATAATGCTTTCAAAATTACACACTACTACAAAAAGTGACAAAGACGACCAGAAAAAAACAACGGTCTAAGTGAAAACCGTCGTTGTTTTTTAAAAGACAACGGTTTTATAAAACCGCCGTGTAATAACACCTTAGACAACTAAAAAATGGAGATTCAAATGGATGTTCCTAAAACACGACGTACCTAATTAAAAAACCGACGTCTTATTGAAATAGGATTTCCAAGTGGTAAAATCATAGCCAACAAATAACGGCGGAAGTTATGAACCGACCGACGTAGAAAGTAAAGACGACGATTTCAAAAAAATCCGCCGTTTTTACCCAGAAATTAACACGACCAAGTTTTCGTATAAGGCGCCGTATAATTACAAATAAATCCACGGCGGTAAAATACAAAATACCGCCGTATTAAATTAATGTACAACTACGGCAAAGATAAATATAACGATGTCTTTCTCGTATTTCTACGACGATATCTTTGAATCTCACCAAGTTGGGGTTTTAATTTAACGACGTATTATACAATTTAACGTCGTATTTATCCACTTTATACGTCATACATTATATTTAAACCGTCGTCTGAATAAGAATTTTTTTTAACAATTTATTTCTTGGATTTTGTTATCTTACGTCGGTAGATCTACTTAATGACAAGAATTGAAATAACCACGACGGTTTATATAGAAAACTGCCGACATAATCAGATTTTTCTGAGATCACAAGGGTTAGGAAATCTTACAAGATGGAACTCTGTTGCTCATCATAATCTTACCAGAAAGACAATATTTTAGAGGTTAATGATGTATGTGTATTTGTGTCTTTGAGATACACAAACGCACATACACATTAACATCCAAAAAATTGCTTCTGAAATTTGACGACGGCAGCCTCAGATTTGCAATCAGAGAGACAATTTTTTGGAAGTGGATGATGTGTGTGCGTTTGTGTATCTACACAAACGCACACACATATCAACATCCAAACAATTGCCTCCTAAAACTTCACGACGGCAGCTACAGATTTGCAATCAGAGAGACAATTTTTTGAAAATTGGTGATGTGTGTATGTTTGTGAATCACACAAACCAACATACACACAAACCAACATTCAAACAATTCCTCTTAAGAGATGAGGTGAGACAGAGAAAGGGGCAAGAAGAAGTTGAAACCCTAATCGAATACTAAAACTGAAAGCAACCGTGGAAAAAAACCCTATTTATAATTAAAAAACCAAATCCACGTCGGTTATATTACACATAACGACGTTTAAAAAAATAATCCACGTCGGTTAACAAATACATTACGTCGTCTTAGTCTTACTTAAGACGCCAAGAAAAAACGACGGTATAACAAAAAACAGTCGTTGTTTTTATATTCGTATTTGATTTAAATCAGTCACCCAGAAAAGAAACTTTACAAATTCTAGAACATTAATTTCCTCGGGAAAAAAAACTCTATTTATAAGGCACTGTTTTTGAAAAATAAACTGAAAGAACAAGGGAAAAAAAATTATATTTATAATTATAAAAATAAAATCCACGTCGGTTATATTACACATAACGACGTTTGAAAAACGGATCCACGTCGCGAAAAAAATATTGCGTCCTTTTAGTTTTAAAAGATGACGGTATAACAACAAACAGTCGTTGTTTTTATATTGGTATTTGATTTAAATCAGTCCCCCAGAAAAGAAACTTTACAAATTCTAGAACATTAATTTCCTCGGGAAAAAAAAACTCTATTTATAAGGCACTGTTTTTGAAAAATAAACTGAAAGAACAAGGGAAAAAAAATTATATTTATAATTATAAAAATAAAATCCACGTCGGTTATATTACACATAACGACGTTTGAAAAACGGATCCACGTCGCGAAAAAAAATATTGCGTCCTTTTAGTTTTAAAAGACGACGGTATAACAACAAACAGTCGTTGTTTTTATATTGGTATTTGATTTAAATCAGTCCCCCAGAAAAGAAACTTTACAAATTCTAGAACATTAATTTCCTTGGGAAAAAAAACTCTATTTATAAGGCACTGTTTTTGAAAAATAAACTGAAAGAACAAGGGAAAAAAAAATTATATTTATAATTAAAAAATAAAATCCACGTCGGTTATATTTCACATAACGACGTTTTAAAAACGAATCCACGTCGCGAAAAAAATAATGCGTCGTTTTAACTTAAAAAAGACGACGGTATAACAACAAACAATCGTTGTTTTTATATTCGTGTTTGATTTAAATCAGTCACCCAAAAAAGAAACTTTATAAATTCTAGAACATTAATTTCCTCGGGAAAAGAAACTCTATTTATAAGGCACTGTTTTTGAAAAATAAACTAAAAGAACAAGGGAAAAAAAATTATATTTATAATTATAAAAATAAAATCCACGTCGGTTATATTACACATAAGACGTTTTAAAACGAATCCACGTCGCGAAAAAATATTGCGTCGTCTTAGTTTTAAAAAGACGACGGTAGAACAGAAAATCGTCGTTGTTTCAATTTCTTTAACCGTTCTCTTTCTGCAGGACTTGGCTAGTTCAAAGCATTGACAGCTGAAGCCATCTGATTCGATTGCTCAGGCTTTAGAGGCCATCTAAAGCCATTTCTATTCTTTATCGCATTGTTGAAAACCCATCTTCTTCTTCAGAAGCTCTACGGATAACCCATCTTCTTCACTAATGCCGATAACCCATCTTCTTCTATCACAAACCTAACGGATCTTCTTAGCCAAGAAAATCGAACAGGGCTGACATCTGATCTTCAGGTTTCCCTGATAAGGGAACTTTCCTTCGACAGCGAGTGGAGGCCAGGCTTGCATCTCTTTAGATGGAAAGCAAGGAGTATTCAGAAGCACTAAGTCCCCTGTCAGGATTGACAAGCTTCCTCTTGTAGACATAGATTTGTTGGAGAGTAAGCTCCATTTCTCTTTGAGAAAGACATCCAAATTATTGTCTTGGAGATGTGAGAGAGAGTGTCTGTGAGAGAGGAAGAACTTGGAAACCTAAATGAAAACTGAAACTAAAAGAAAGCGACAGCGGTCCTTACACAAAACCGCGGTCTATTTATAAATTCCACGTTGGTATATTAAAAAAAACAACGTATATTATAAAAATAAACGTCGGTAAATTACAAAACATCGTCGTGTTAAATACTTCTACCATGACGCGAGATATTGATTTATCGACTTTTATTTAGGAGTTTACTACGGCGGTACCTACAACACTACTGTCGTATTTATTTACCACGTCCTAAGTTCAAATTATCGTCGTAGTTTGTCTATTTATACGTCGTCGTTCTATGTAAACCGCCGTCTTATTACTATGAAACGGTTTGTATATACATACAACTTTTCGTCTACCTGACTTACACATGCACTGTTTCCAAACCCGAGAAAAAATTTCAATCTCCCAGAGAAAACTTTTCGTCTTTTTTCCTTGTCAGAGCACTGTCAGAGTATCTCATCGTCTTCCTCTCGTCTTCGTCGTCGTCTCTGAACTTAAACACCAAACTCCGAGAGAAAGCTTTCATTGCACGCAAAAGGTAAGCTTTCATTTCTCACTATTTTTGTTGCTATTTTGCATGCTCATACGGTTTTTGTTTTGAAAATCTTTTTACCTTTTTTCTGGCGAAAATCATTTTTATGCTTTCCAAGTTTGATAAAATACACAGACAAAGAGGGAAAGTTTCCAACTTTGAACACAACTACTTCAACTAAATAAGACGACGGTAGCTTCTTATTTACGTGGTTAAATATGTAGACCACGACGGTTCGTCAGTCGTCCTAGCGTCGTCTTAAAATTGATCTAAGTTGTTTTTAAAATGACGGTCGATTTTTTATTTGCTTGTTTAATTGCAGGTTTGATTTCTCTGAACCATGGTTTTCGTTTTTCCTAATTTGATAAAATACAAAGACAAAGAAAGTAGGGTTTGGTATCTTATATAGACGACGGTATCTTATTATTGACGCCGTGTGAATGTTCATACCACGACGTTATACTAAGATACCGTCGTCTATAAAAGATGCCAAACCTTTCTTTCTTTTTCTTTGTATTTTATCAAATTAGGAAAACAAAAACCATGTTTCAGAGAAATTAAACCTGCAATCAAACATTCACAGAGAAAGAAAAAGGTTTGTGGATTCTTATAAAGACGACGGTATCTTATTATTTACGTCGTGTGAATATCCATAACACGACGTTATATTAATATTTACGTCGTGTGAATTTGAATATCACGACGTCGTGTAAATATCGCCGTAATAAGTTCTTATTATATCTTCTTTAATATTGTTTCGTCGTTGTTTAAGTACTCTCGTTTAAAACATTTATTACGTCTGATGTTATGTTATTACGTCGTGTAAAATCTTATCATATGTCGTATTTTATAAATAACCGTCGTTTGTGTTCTTATTTTTTTCCTGAAATATTTTCACTTGCAGGTTTGTTTTTTCTGTAACCATGGTTTCTCAAGACCAAAGTAAGGACTCTGGCTCCAAAAAAAATGGAGGTAAGGAGCTTGGAATGGTAACTCCTCAAGACAAGCCCTTGAAGAAGATGAAGTTTGTTTCATCTGCTGAGACAGAACCAACCAGCACGACAACAATTTCTGAGGATTCAAAGTCAGGTCGAGGTATGAGCACAATGCCTCGTGTTGTGAAGAGAAAATTGCAGAAAATCAAGCAAGTTGTTGAGTACAATAAAAGGGGGAAAGGATGTGGCCCTGCACATACTGAGATGCAGTCCTACATTGGTGTGTTGGCACGCTCCAGAGTCCCACTTGTGGACAAGAAATGGGCTGAAATCCCCAAGGATATAAAGGAGCAGATTTGGGAAGCCGTTGACATGGCTTTTGTGGTAGGTCAAGGGGGCAAGACCTCGGTGTTATCTTCTGCTGCCAAGAAATGGAAGGATTTCAAGTCTACACTGACGAGGCATTATATCCTTCCATACATCAAGGAGAGGGAGAAATTAAGCCAACCCCCTGAAATATATAAATTCATAGAGAAAGCAGAATGGGATGCCTTTGTAGCTTCAAGGTTATCCAAAGAATTTGAGTCTGTGCATTCTCAACATTCACAGATTTGGGAGAAACTAGAGTACAATCATCGATTGTCTCGAAAAGGATATGCTGGTTTGGAGGATCAATTGGAGGAAACCATGCCTGGGGTAGAAATTGATCGATCTACCTTACGGAAGAAAGCTAGACAGGACAAACATGGTAACATCCCGGATCCAAAGGTGGCAGAGAAAGCAAAATTAATTGTAAGCCTACACACTCTGTTTTAAATTTTTATTAAACTGTGTATAATTCTTATTACGTCTTATGTTATATTTTCCGTCGTGTGAATTATATTACTACGTCGAAATGTTTTAAAAAACGTCATGAAAGATCTAAATCTAGAATCACAACTCTGTTTTCTTGAATTATAGCATAAGACGTCGGTGGTTAATTTTTGCGTCGTGTGAATGATATTACTACGTCCAAATGTTTTAAAAAAACGTCGTTAAAGGTCTAAATATGGAATCACTGCTATGTTTTCTGTAATTATAGCATAAGACGTCGGTGGTTTATTTATTGCGTCGTTTGAAACAACTAACCACGTCGTTATTTAATTAACGTCGTTATAAATATATTATAACGTCGATTTCTATGTTATTGAGTCGTGTGAAATTATATAATGCGTCGTTTGTTTATAAATAACCGTCGTGTGTTTTCTTGTGCTGACTTTTTTTATATGTCTTTGTTTTAGGATGAATTGCAAAAACAAGTGGCTGAAGGCAGTCTTAGTGTATCTGGCAGTAATGATGTGTTGACCTTGGCTTTGGGTCCCGAGCATCCAGGGAGAGTAAGAGGGGTAGGTGCTGGGATTTCCCCTAGGCAATTCTTCAATTTACCTAGACAACAGAGGGTAAAGTTTGCCGATCAATTGAAGGAAAGTGTAAGAATTGTCGTTCAAGAAGTGACTAAGAAGATGGAAGCTAGATCAAGGGAAGAGACTTTAAGGATGGAGGCTAGAACCAAGCAATTGGTAGAGGCTGAGAGGGAACATTTACTAAGTCAGCTTTCCCAACTCATCCCCAATTTTGATCCAAGCATGCTTAAACCGAAAACTAGCCCCTGTCAAAACCAAGGTGTAGAGCAAAGTCCCAAAAATCCAATGTCTGACAAAGCAAGTTGTTCTGGGGCTGATGTGAGATCCCTACATTTAGAGGATGATGCTGCCAAAAATGGGGAACAGCAGGAAGAAATGGTAACATATCTGAACTTTGAATTCTCCGTTTTTTTAAAAACTATTAGACGTCGTTATTATGAATAAACCCGTCGTTTTAAAACCATACCACGACGATTTTATAAATAAACCGTTGTTTTTATTTAAATACCACGTCGTATTTAGTTTACTTGTTTTACACGCCATTAGACGTCGTACTTTGTGGTTTTTAGACGACGGTTTTAGTCCTTACCGACGTAATAGACAAATCCCACGACGTTTATTATTTACCATCGTTTAATAATTTTTTTACTTTCTATACAATCTGTCTTATATATATTTCTTTATTACTGAAAACATAAATCTGGGGCTTTAGAAAATCAAGGTGAAGAGAAGAAAGAAGAAAAAAATGATGAAGAGAAGAAGGGAGAAAAAAAAGATGAAGAGAAGAAGGAAGAAAAAAAAGAGAAAAAAGATGAAGACAAAAAGGAAGACAATAATGATGAAGAGAAGAAAGAAGAAAAACAAGATGAAGAAAAGCATGACGAAGAGGTATATTCTCATAACTTTGCCTTTTTTATTTGTTTTCAAATTTCAGACGTCGATATTCTTCTTTAAACCGTCGTTTGTTTTCAAATTAGACGTCGGAATTTGTTTTCTATGACGTAATAAATTATTTAACACAACGATTTTTATTACCGTCGTTTAAATTATTATCAGACGACGTGTTTTTATTTAAACCGTCATTTTTATTGAATTACCACGTCATTTTATTTTGCTTTATTTCTTTAAACAGGGTAATGAAGTAGTTGATTATTCAAATGTGGAGGTGCCATCTTCTTTACAATCCCTTTGTCATTATGTGGAAACGACACTAAAGCCTTAGGAGAAGATCATGACCTTCACAATTGAGAAGGAGGTGTTTGGTGCAGATCGCAATACCTTCGTCTTGCCTGAAGATATTACACAGTTTGCAGGCATGGAAGAAATTGGGGCTACTGTGGTTGCAGTATATATGAGGTTTGTCCTTATCAAATATTTAATTCACACTCAAATTTGTGTATGAGAAAAAAAAAATATTATAGCATAAGACGTCGGTGGTTTATTTATTTCGTCGTTTTAAACCACTAACCACGTCGTTCTTTTTTTACCGTCGTGATAAATTAGTTATAACGTCTGTTTCTATTTCAGTTCGTCGTGTGAAATTGTATAATACGTCGTTTGTTAATAAATAACCGTCGTGTTTTTTTGGGCTGACTTTTTTTATATATCTTTGTTTTATATATTTAGGTGCTTATATGATCGTTTGAGAGAAGCAAATATGTGCACCATGGTTGGCTTTATCGACCCTGCTCAAGTTAGTGCCAACGCTGGGTCACTAACTGACAGATCACGAATTGTAGCCAGTCGACTTCAGAAAACAGATGGTGAACAGATTTTCATGATGCCTTACAATCCAGGGTTAGTCTCCTTAAAAGGATTTTGTTTGTATGATTTTCACTAACTGACCCCTTATAAAACTGTTTAACTAATTTTGTGTCGTTTGAAACATCTAACCACGTCGGTTCTTTATTTATTGAGTCGTTTGAAACAACTAACCACGTCGGTAGTTAATTACCATCGTGATAAATTTATAATGACGTCGATTGCTACGTTATTACGTCGTGTGAAACTCTATAATACGTCGTTTTTTATAAATAACCGTCGTTTGTTTTCTTGTGCTGACTTTTTATATTAACCGTTGTTTTTTATTTTAATTTTGTGCAGCCGTCATTGGGTCTTGCTGATTGTGAGAGCAAAGAGGGAAACCGTCTATTTTCTGGATCCTCTGCCTGGAAATCGTGTGGTTGATGAGGAGGGCAAAAACATTGTGAACAGTGCTTTAAAAATTTATAATTCCCACATAGGCAGACTAGGCTATAAAGCACCAATTTGGAAAACTCTGCCAGGCACACCAAAGCAACCCAGCAGTGTCGAATGCGGGTATTATGTGATGCGCTTCATGAGGGACATCATCATGGATCCTTCCTTGGAGTTTGAGAAGAAGGTAAGAAGAAAATTTTCTGAAACATTTTATGTGGTTTTTTGTATTATCAACGACGGTACTTTAAAATTACCGTCGTTGAATCGATATACTACGTCGGTTATGAAAAAAAGCGTCGTCTGTGACTAAATTTCTTTTTATTTTGTAAAGCTTAATAATCATTGTTTATGGATTGCAGTTTGCCAAGGGAAAAGAGCAAGCGCCATACCCCCAGGAAGCCATTGATGAAGTTCGGAATGAATGGGTAGATCTTGTTTGCCTTCATATGAAATAGAGAATTTTTGGAACACTTGATATTTTTATATGTACAAATTTTGTCTATAATATATAATGTACAAATTTTGTCTATAATATACATCCTTTTTTTCCCTGAAAATTTGTTGAGGTTTTCATAATTTAAAAGAAAAAACAAATTGTGTAACCGACATGTAATAACTTTCCAACGACATAATTATGTCAAAAACCGACGTAAAAGGATATTTAGACGTGATATACCGTTTGTACGTACATGGGACGTCATTTTAGTGAAAATTTCGCCATGGTTTCGCTTTTAAACGACGTCCTTTGAGTATACGTCGGATGGTGAAACATCCGCCATGGTTTCTTTTTTAAATGACGTCCTTTTTACAAGTGAGTCGTTTATTATTATTTACAACGTCGTTATTTACTTAACCCCGACGTGGTTTGTTGTTAATAAAAGAATATTTTATTATTTTTAATTCAAAATATTCAAAATAAATTTAAAATAAATCCAAAAAATGCAACGTCAACTCCTATGAAGTCATTGATTTATTTTCTTACCCCTAAACCTCAAAAAAATGCAGTTTGAGTAATAAAAGTTTAAAATGACCACTCAAAATAAAATTGTTTTGATGAGTCATAACATCACTTATATAGTTTGATGGTTTATGGGTTAGGGTTGTTATTTATTAGGGTTTAGGGTTAAAGTATAATTTTGGGGTTTAGGGTTTATGTTTGTTATATATTAGGCTGTAAAACCATAAACAATTTTATAAAATTATATTTTACAAATATATAATTTAGGGTTTTAAATTTTAGGGTATTACTTTTAACGACGGTGATTGAGTCGTGGAATACTGAGTTTACGTCGTATAGTGAAAAATCCGCCATGGTTTCTCTTTTAAACGACGTCCTTTTTACACGTGAGTCGTTTATTATTATTTACAACGTCGTTAATTACTTAACCCCGACGTGGTTTTTCATAGTTTTGACGACTTCTGTTTGATTTTGCGTCGTACATAGTTTTACCACGACGTCCTTAATGTAATAAGCGTCATGTTTAATGTGAAATTTTAACGACGGTTGTTTTTTCGGTCGATGTTTTAAAGAGCGCGCTTTCTAAAAATATTCGCGGGACCTAAAATTTTCAAATTTGGCTCTTAGTTTTATACTTCTAACCCTGAACCCTAAAATTTTCAGATTTCGCGCAACATAACATTTCGCTCTCTCACTTCATCTCTAATTCAAAGTTGGGCTCTCCAGGCTGTGTCGAATCCAATTTGGCCATAATCTGTGAGCTCTGCCAACCTGTAAGTACAAACCCTCACTTCCCCTTGTAAATTCATTGAATGATATTACGTTGTTTTGTTAAAGGGTTTTAGATATATGTTTTGCGATCTGTTAATAATGTTGTTGGAGGTATGGGTTCATGGATTTTCTGTTTAATGTTTTCTTGATCACTCTCTGTTATGTTGAATAGGGAATGGATTTCATTTTGTCGGATCTTTTAATCACTCTCTGTTATGTTGAATTGGGAATGGATTTATTGTTTTCATGCTTAGTATATGTTGGTTTCATGTATATGTTGGTTTCATGCTTGGTTTCATGTATATGTTGTGTTCTTAATAGGGTTTTGGGATCTAGAAAATAAATTGGGACACCGACGCGTTTTTAGGCATACGACGACGGTTTTTACTTTAAACCGTCGTTTGTATTACTTATACACGACGGTGTTATTTAACTACCGTCATGGTTATAAGTAGACGACGTTTGTTGAAAATCCGTCGTCTATATATGTCAAATATGTCTGTTTTTGTTTAAAAACCGTCGTCTCTGTTGTATATTACTTGCTATTAGAATTTTATATAATCTGCTATAGTGATGGTCATTGCTTGTCTTTTCACTTTATTATATATAATAGGGTATAGTGTCGGAGATGGATAAGTCATGGATGCACTCGGATAGAAGATCGAAGGCATATGAGTTAGGGGTGGAAGCATTTTTGAACTTTTCTGTAGAAAATCTTCTAACTACAACACATATCCGTTGTCCAGTTTTGTGTCTGAAGAAATAGAGATGGATGATAATGATGTTGGTGATTTTGGATCTGATCCTTATGAGTTTGCCAATGTGATTGGGGATGGAGATCAACCATTGTACCCTGGTTGTAGAAAGTACACGAAGTTATCGGCATTAGTGAAGTTGTATAATTTGAAGGCAAAACATGGGATGAGTGATGTCTGTTTTACAGAATTATTGATACTTCAAGGCGATTTGCTTCCAGAAGGAAATACAATACCGGCCTCTATGTATGAGGCAAAAAAGACTTTGTGTGCATTGGGGCTGAGTTATGAGAAAATGCACGCATGCCCCAATGATTGCATCTTGTATAGGAAGGAGTATGAGAATTCAACTAATTGTCCTACTTGTGGTATCTCAAGGTGGAAGGAAGGCAAAGATTCAATCTTGAAAGAGGGTGTGCCAGCGAAGGTGGTGTGGTATTTTCCTCTAATTCCAAGGTTTAAAAGGATGTTTCGATCACATGAGACGGCTAAGAGTTTGACTTGGCATGCTGCTAGAAAATCAATTGACGGTCATATGTCTCATCCGGCGGATTCCCCGTCTTGGAAACTTCTTGATGATAAATGCCCCGAGTTTGGTAATGAGCCGAGAAACTTGAGATTGGCTCTTTCATCTGATGGATTCAATCCCCACAATTCTCTAAGTAGCAGATATAGTTGCTAGCCAGTTATCTTAGTTACATATAATCTCCCTCCATGGTTGTGCATGAAACGAAAGTTCATGATGTTGACCTTATTGATTTCCGGTCCTAAACAGCCCGGAAATGATATAGACGTCTACTTGGAGCCTTTGATTGATGATTTAAAATCTTTGTGGGATGAGATTGGAGGAGTGTATGATGCACATAATGGAGAATACTTTACACTCAGAGCTGCATTAATGTGGAAAATTAATGATTTCCCCGCCTATGGAAACTTATCCGGTTGTGTTGTTAAAGGATATAAAGCTTGTCCAATATGCGGCGATGATACACCTAGTCACAGGTTGAAAAATGGCCACAAAATTTGTTACATTGGGCATAGAAAATGGTTACCAATCAATCATCCATATAGGAGGCAACGTGCAGCTTTTAATGGGAAACCTGAATATGGCACGCCTCCCGAGCCATTAACCGGAGAAGAAGTGTTGCATATGGTTGAAGATGGTGACAGAGTTTGTTGGAAGAAGAAATCAATATTCTTTGATCTCGAGTATTGGAAATACCTTCCTGTGAGGCATGTCCTAGATGTTATGCACATTGAGAAGAATGTTTGCGATAGTATCATTGGTACATTGCTGGAGATCCCTGAAAAAATAAAGATGGGATTGCTGCTCGATTAGATTTATTGAACATGGGGGTCAAAACTGATTTGCAACCCGAGTATGGAGAAAGACGTACTCGTTTGCCTCCCGGGCCTTGGAATTTTTCAAGAGCAAAGAAGAGAGAGGTTTGCAATTCTTTCTATGGTATGAAGGTCCCTGAAGGTTATTCTTCAAATATAAAAAATCTTGTATCTTTACAAGATTCAAGACTTCTTGGCCTTAAATCACATGATTGTCATACCTTAATGCAACAATTGCTCCCTGTGGCAATTCGTTCTGTTTTGGAGAAGCCTGCAAGGTATGCAATAACTCGTTTGTGCTTCTTCTTCAATGCTATATGTGCAAATACTGTTGATGTTTTCAAGCTAGATAAGTTGGAAGAAGATGTAGTAGTTACTTTGTGTTTGCTTGAGAAGTACTTTCCCCATTCATTCTTTGATATCATGGTTCATCTAGTAGTACATCTTGTCAGAGAAGTTCGTCTATGTGGGCCAATATATTTTAGATGGATGTATCCGTTTGAAAGATATATGAAAGTGCTAAAGGGGTATGTTCAGAATCGTACTCGTCCCGAAGGTTGCATTGCTGAGCGGTATATAGCTGAAGAAGCTGTAGAGTTTTGTACCGAGCATTTATCTGATGTTAGTACAGTTGGAGTGCCTTCAAGCCAAAAGATGGGAGTTTCAAAGCCATTATCAGGTTGCACAGTGAGCGTAGTTGATCGGGACCTGTTGAACCAAGCACATCTATATGCCTTGGAGAATACGGAGGAAGTCCTACCTTATATCGAGTACGTATGAGTTTTATTCTTTAAGTTTCCATTTTAAATTATTTCTTATGTTTATCTTATATGTTTGGGACCGTAATACTTGAATTTTTTGTGTCATGTAGGCAACATATGATCCACATCAAGACCGCTTATCCAAAATTTAGAAAGAGAACAAAGTGGTTGCAGGATAAGCACAATAGCACTTTCATTCAATGGCTACGCTTCAAGGTATATGTTATTGAATAACATATTGGACTTTTAATTTTCTTCTTTCTATGTTAGATTAAATTAAGTTATGATTAATTTGCAAGTTCAAAGTGAACTTAATGAGGAAGACAATCATGGCGTATCAGAAAATTTAAGGTGGCTAGCAGCTGGTCCAAACATGGCAGTGCCATTATATAGGAGCTATCTTATTAAAGGTATAAAATTCAACATCAAGGCACAAGATGATGTGCGGACAACTCAAAATAGTGGAGTTTATTTACTTGCACATACTATGCAAGTTGCTAGTGCCAAGGATAAAAACCCAATTCTCTCAAATATGGGTTTCTATGGTGTCATTCAAGAAATTTGGGACCTTGACTACCAAAAGTTTACAATCCCAGTCTTTAGGTGTGATTGGATAGATAATACTTCTGGTCTTATAGTGGACGAACTTGGATTTACCCTTGTAGATTTGAGTAAAATTGGACATAGGAATGACCAATTTGTTTTGGCTTCTCAAGTCAAACACGTATTTTTTGTTGACGACCCGATGCATCGTGGTTGGTCGGTAGTGCTATCAATGCCTAATAGAGAATATAATGATGTTATTGGTGATGATGGCTTAGGTGATGTGAGAATTGAGTGTGAGCCATTTACTAGAGGGATGACAAATGTTGACACATTTGATGAAGTTGTGGTTTAGTTAGGGAGTCAAAATATTCGAGATGGGTGTGAAGATATATGGGTTGAATGATGCTTTATGTAATTGGCAGTGTATGACATTAATTTTGTAATATATTGTAATGTGATTTCTTCACTTTCATTATACAGGTTTTGGCCACAAAACAATCAGTACAAAAATTACTGGTTCCAGATTACAAGCACGACGGTTTTGATAAAAATGTGAAAAACAAACGTCTGTTCTAATAAATAACGACGTTTTGGAGCATTCAATGACCGCAATATATTTACCGACGTCTTAAAGCAACGTAACAATGAAGAACCACGACGCTATTGTGAAACAGTTATCCAGGATAACACGTCGAACAAGTATAAAGAACCGCCATGTAATTCAAAATAACACGACTCCAATCCCATAATACTGACGTCTTAAAGACGAGATCTTTAACCTGAACGTTACAAAAGACGACGTCGTCATGAATTTACCACGTCGCATGTTCTTTCATAAACGAAGTGGAAAAAGATGAATTCACGACGGTATTTGAAGTCCATTAAATTTGTCGACGTTAAGATATATGAATTAGACGACGTTAATTTTTTTAATGAAGACGTAGAAACTATTAAACACGGCGGTCTTTTTCATGGTAACGACGTTGTATATAAACGACAACGTCATCTTTATAAATTAATGTGTCGTAATTAATGACCCCATCATTTTTTCCACGTCGTTTATTTTCAGATCCTGTCGTTAAAATTATTTTACACGGCGGTGGAATTAGAAACGATGCCATTTTAGAGTCATTACACAACGATTATATTTCAAAATATGACGTATAAATTCTGTAATACGGCTCTCATTTATTTGGAACCGACGTTGTTTATTCATTTCAACGTCGTCTCTGTAAATACTTGCGTCATAAGTAATGACCCTGACATCTATTTCCACGTCATAATTCATAGAAAAATCGAAGTGGAAAATTTATTTTACGACGGTTGTTGGAAATGATGTGACGTAGTAGGTGTCAATAACGTCGTCTATTATGATTGTAAAGACGTCATATTTCTATTTGTCGTTAAAGATTTATTTAACGGCGTTAAGTTTTAGTTCTCGTCGTTGTATGATTATCTTGCGGCCATGTTCTGTTAATATATGTCATATGTTTCCTTTTTAACGACGGTTTTTTGTTGGAGTTTGTCGTCTATTCTCATCCTCGACTGTTTTTTTTATGTCTTTTTGCAGTACAAAGACGTCGGTTTTTATTTTTTGATGACGTTTTTTGTTTTAACAACGACGGTTATTCACCGTCGTGGTTTTGTTATGGAAAAGATGTCTGTGGATTCCACGACTATTTGAAAACAGAATACACAACGGTGAATTCCCGTCGTGTTTTTCCTTTTTTGTAGTAGTGACATACTATATTGGAGAGAGAAACAAACCAACGTTCACCAGAATTTAAGGATCCGGTGCTGGATCCATGAGTTATAGATAGTTGAATCCTGAGAGATAGATGCATGTTGAACTTCAAGCAATGAGGAAAGGCGAAATTCTATCTTTAGGGCATTGCAAATCCACAAGCCTCTATCTTAGGACATTGCGAATCCGCAAGCCTTTATCTTCAATAAAAGTCAGTATTCTGTACTTAATTTATACTTACACATTTATACAATTTTCGTATTTTGCTATTGTCTGCATCTTATAATCATGTATTAATATAGTGATCTTATAATATAATATATTTCTTAATTTTTCCTAACATATATGTGTGCTTGGCTCGGCCTTACTATCATTATATATGAACTCGGATCGGCCACACTATCTCCAAGATGCCTCCCCATGCTTAAAGAGAAGGAAAATTATCTCAAATATATGTGCTCGGCTCGGCCTCATCACCTCAACAGATATATGCTTGGCTCAGCCAAACACTGGTCTTACTTGAAAGTCCCCAGCCAAGAAGCTATTCTCGACTGTGAACTTGGGGGCTTCTATTGACACCATGTTGACCTGACCTCCCCTTTAAGCAAATCCCACCAATTAAGGGATAACCCTTGCTTGTCATACCTCACATCCCACCACATAAGGATTATCTAACCATGCCCCCTCCCATGCATTCTCTACCTCTACTTGGACTACAAAATGGAGCTTATCACCTCCAAGCAAAGGGAACAACAGTTGCCACTTCTCCAAGAGCTCTCCCAAGCCCCCTATTTCTCTTCTACAAGAGCTTTTAAGCTTCTCTCCCCATATGTCTCTCTTGTACAATGTAATCTCCATATTCAAATACAAATACAAAGCTATAAACTATAGTGGATGTAGCCCCATTATGGGTGAACCACTCAAACACTTGTGTTATGTGTGTGATTATGTCTTAATCCGTTAGGTACAAATTCACCGGTTAACATTTTTATTATTTGTTATTTATTATATTTATGGTCGAGTCAATTTGTGTCAGGGCCCAAAAGGGTAGTGTCATGGGCTGACCCAAGGTTTCAGCTTTGCCCAAGCCCCATCCAAACTTAGAACTTGCCGAGACGAGTGGGCCTAAACAACGGGAGATAAGCATGTACAATTATTGTCCTCCACTGTGGATAGTTTTCACCTAATTTCTAACCAAAATACAAAAATATTGCATGAACAAAATTTTATTTTTCTTTCTAAACACTAAAATACCAAAATATGCCATGAACTTATGCTTTTGCCTACCGCATTCTAGCGTAGAAATTCCTAAACACATAGTAGTATAGTACTAGCCAAATAAAGAAAATCAAAACAAGACAACTGAAGATAAGAGAGATCATAGAACCAATATATGCCATGCAGTTCAGACATAGAACTTTGTTTTGCGTGAATGACGATTCTGGGAAACCTGACAACAATTAATGCCCAGACGTGGCACTCAGACCGGGCCTCACGAGCTTTTTTTAATTTTTAGGCCAAGCCAATCTAAGGTTTCAAATTTCAAAGCCCTGGCCAGCTCATTGGGTCGGGCTTAGACAACATTGACTAGACGAGCTGCCCATGTGCCTAGATGGGTCGGGCCTTTTTTTTCATTTTGTTTACTCTATTTTTTTCTTCTAAAATCTTCTTTTTTTTTTCTTTTTTTTTTTTTTTTACTTACAAGGAATGAGCAACACTTTATGTAAGAATGGACAAATTTTTATCAATTAATCAATGCCCATATGTGACGCTCAGCCGGGCCTAACATGCTTTTTAGAATTTTAGTGCTAGGCCGATCTGAGGTTTCAAATTTCAAGGCTCGGGGTAGGCTTAGAGGAGCTTGATGGTATGTGCATTTTTTTTTCAACTTGCTTACTCATTTTTTTCTAAGTCATAATAACTTTTTATTACAGAAGAATGAGAGCACCACCACCACCAAGGATGAGGATTTAGAGAGTTGAGAAAATTGGAGCTTGAGATTTGAAAAAAATAAATGAATGAGAGTACGACCACCAAGGGAATGAGGATTTAAAGAGATTGAGAAATTGGAGCTTTAAATTTGAGAGAATAAACCTTGACAAGTTAGAAAATTGAGTGAAGAAGTATAGTATTTAATTATGTATTATATTTATTATTTATTACATTTATAGTCGGGCTGGGCCAAGGTTTCAAACCCTTTGCCTAAGCCCTACCTAATCTTAGAATGAGCAGGGACAAGCAGCCATAAACAACAGGAGATAAGCAAGTACAATTACTGTCCTCCACTGTGGATAGTTTTCACCTAATTTCTAACCAAAATATGGCATGAACAATTTTTTTCCTTTCTAAAAACTAAAATACCTAAAGATGCCATGAACTTATCTGTTTTTACCTACCGCATTTTGGCGTAGAAATTCCTGAACACATAGTAGTATAGCACTAGCCAAATAAAGAAAATAAACACAAGGCAGCCAAAGATAAGGGAGATCGTTGACTCTGCTGCTTTACGATAGTGGAGAGTAGGACCAATATATGCCATGCAGTTGAGACATAAACCGTTGTTTTGCGTCAATGAGGATTCTGGGAAATACGACAAAGATTAATGACCAGACGTGGTGCTCGGATAGGGCCTCACGACCTTTTTTGAATTTTTAGGCCAAGCTGATATGAGGTTTCAAATTTCAAGGCCCTGGCCTGCCCATTCGATTTGGCCTAGACAGTCTTGACGGTGTGGGCCACCCATGTGCCCGGATAGGCCGATGATTTTTTTTCATTTTGTTTACTTCTTTTTTTTTTTCTTCTAAGTCTTCTATAACTTCTTATTACAAAGGAATGAGCAACACTTCATGTAAGAATGGAAAAATTTCTATCGGTTAATGAATGCCTATATGTGACGCTCATAATCATTTGCACTACACGAGTTTATCTAGCCATAAACACAAAAAGATTTTGTTGTGCAAAAACACTAATTACATTTTGATTTATCACAAAGAGCATATGGAGAAACCTTTGATTTATTTAGTAATATTTTTTTTCCCATTTTGTTTTCTTATGTTTCTTTTTTTAAAAATCTTTTATTATTTTTTATTACAAAGAAATGAGAACATCACCACCTCCAAAGATGAGGATTTAGGGAGATTGAGAATATTGGAGCTTGAAATTTGAGAAAAATAAAAGAATGAGAGCACCACCACCAAAGGAATGCAGATTTAGAGAAATTGAAAAAAATTGAGGAAATTTGAGAGAAAGAACCTTGACAAGTTAGAAAACCGAGTGAATAAGTATAGTATGTAATTGGGTATAATATTTATTATTTATATTGATGGGCAAACCTTGATGTGCTCAGACGAACCGGACCTCACGCCAGCCCAAGCCCTACCTAATCTTTGAGCGGGTGTAAACAAAGGGTCATGTCGTACTTTGGCCGATCGGGCCTCGAGCTACCCACTTCAATAACCCATGGAGTGTGGGCCAAATGGTGATCCCTAACCCAAGCTTATTATTGACTCGCATATACTGATATTGAAGCATCAAACATCAAATATTGGGATTTAGATGAGGGATTGGCTTGGCATTGGAGAAAATACAAAATTAAAATGTAATGATGAGCTTGTGCGTTTTCTTGGGCCTCAAGCTTAAGTCTTGTGGGGATCTTAGAATATAAATGTGAGAGGAGAATCTTGCAGATCTTCAAAATGAGAGAGAAAAACCAGAAAGAGGGTTGATTTGAACACCCGAGATTCAAAAAGAGAGCAGCTTGGAATTGGAAATGTTGCCTTCTTTTTCAAACTCTATCTTTTTATTTTTCAGATGAGAGATAAAGGATTTTTCATTCATTTTTAACAATAGTTTATTCTATCATTTTTTTCAAGATGGACTATGATGTCTACCACTCAATGTGTTCAAGTTAGGCTACCATGATTAATCACATAGAGCTGCTCCATGTGGTGGACTCTCCAAGATATCGCTGCTATCTATGCAACTGTAAATTTTATTACAAAAGTGGCCTTGTTGACCACACCAAGAAGAAGCATCGGGAAGAGTTCGAGGTCAAATTCAAGTGCAACTCTTGCTGTCACATTTTTTTTCATCCAGGCAGACATAGGAGCCCATGTTTGCAGCTACTACAAACGTGGATCTCACGCATAGGCTAGGCTTCTAATATGTATGTGTTTAAAGGTAGGAAAGTAAGAAAGTAAAGTATTGTGTTTGTTTGTAGGCGGTGGTGTGGTGTAATTAGCTAAGTGCTTGGTGGCTGGGGGGTGGTGGGGGTGTATTGTGTTATGTCTTTCAAGGTTTTGTCCAATATTTCCTTCCTACGCCTATCACAGGTGTAAGATGTTTTGAGTAGCACTTCATGTAAGACTAGACAAATTTCTATAAGTTAATTAATGCTCGAATGTGGTGCACACCGTAGACTCTGTTGTTTCGCAATAGTGGAGAGCAGGATCATTAAAGCCATGCACTTGAGACATAGACTGTTGTTTTGTATGAAGGAGAATTTTGGGAAACCTGACAACGACTTGGGTATTTTTCCAGTCAACAGGTTTGCAAAGACATTGAACTCCTCTAGTTTCAGAACTTTCAGACTGGAAATTGAACCTTAGAATCGGAGAGTGAGCAGATTGGTCAAATGGTTGACCCTCCAGGGAATCTCGTTGTATAATCACTATTCTACTCGGATGTGCACAAGCCATGCTAACCTCAATTCCCAGGCCTTGCCAGTCAAATTGTCTGTTTTCTTCTTCTCATACTCCAAGCGAGGTCAGGCGGCTTCCAACTCCTTTCTCATTATAAAGGTTGTGATGAATAATTTATTTCATTGATTGTTTATATAAGGAAGATATACTTATTATATACAGGTTTTAGAGACCTACATTAAGTAAATACAATGGAGTAAATATAAAGAATCAATTACAATAATCTAAAAAGGGAAGGCCAGCTTGGAGAGGATTAGGCTTGATTGGAGTGGTTGACTTCTGATGATGAAGGAGGTGTTGTCGTGGATTGGGGGGGAATCCATTTTGCTCCCCTGCAAGACGGTGGCACCATCTGAGACACTAATCTTGGTCCAGAGTAATTGAAACCATGGACAAGGAAGAGGTTTTGTGAGCGCATCGGCAAGTTGATCATGAGTGGAGACATGGGACACTTGAAGGAGACCACGATTAACACAATCATGAATAAACTGAAAATTGAGTTCAATGTGCTTCATGCGAGAATGGAGGACTGGGTTGGCATAGTAGAAGGTGGGCGCAATGTTGTCATAAGATATGGTAGGTTTGTGTGGGGGAGATACACCAAGTTCCTGAAGGAGAGAGTGAACCCACGTTAACTCAATACCTTTAGCATCAATGGCAAGATACTCTGCCTCTGCGGACGAGCGGGCAATAGAACGTTGCTTGCGAGAGCTTCATAAGATTAAGTTACCGCAAGACAACAAAACCAGTGGTGGACTTGTGGTCATCACGATCACCAGCCCAATCCGCATTGGAAAAGGCATAGAAATGCAAAGAGGCACAATGATAGAGAAGAAGTCCATGGGAGATAGTACCCTTCAAGTAGCGAATGAGGCTTTTCAAGCCCTGCAAATGAGACACAGTCGAGCAATGCATGAATTGCGAGAGCTTGTTAACCGCGAAGGAGATGTCCGGGCTAGTGAGGCAGAGTTATTGGAGGCCACCAACGAGTTGACGAAAGACAGTGGCATCTATGAAGGAAGAGCCATCAGAGAGAACTAAGGAATCGATAGTAGATAGTGGGTTCTTTGGCGCCTTCCGTCTTGGCTTTGAAAAGGAGATCATGAATATACCTGAGTTTAGACCTGCCAATATGTTATATGACCCATTAACACGACACGAATTTGGAAAAAAAATTCGGTATTCGGGTCCAAGTTATCATGTCGTGTTGCTATTTGTTGACCCATTAGCCACCCAATAAGCTATCGGGTTGTGTCGTGTCAATTCGCGAATACCCATTAACCGGGTAAGCTTATGATTTTTTCCCCTGATTATCTCTCTCTCTCTCTCTCTCTCTCCTCCTCTCCTCTCTCTCTCTCTCTCTCTCTCCTCTCTCTCTCTCTCTCTCTCTCTCTCTCTCTCTCTCTCTGTAGGTTCCATTGCTAGGAGATCATCAAATCATGGAAGACATTGCTGCCAGCGAATCCCACGACTGAGATGATGAAGAAAGGATAAAGGCAGTCCAGGGAGGTGAATTGGAGGATGAAGCGCGAGAAGGGGTAGTGTCACGAGATGAGAAGGGAAAAGTGTTTTCGTCAAATTGGACATGACGAGAGACAAAAACCTGAGAAGTAGAGAGGTCAAGACATTAGTAAGTGCTTTGAGTGAAGGAATAGCCAAGGAAGAGGCAAGGACGGGACTGGGGGAGAAGTTTGTTAGAGTTGTATGGGCAGAACCATAGGAAGCACAAACAGCCAAAGACACATAGCTTAGTGTAATTGGGATCATCACAAAATAGGGCTTTATATGGTGAGATGTTATGAAGCACGAGAGTGGGCATCCGATTAATAAGATACACGGCAGCTTTAAAGGCATATGACCAAAACGGAAGGAGCAAGAAAGCTTGATGAAGGATAGTTAAACCAGTTTCAACTACATGACGGTGACGACATTCAGCAACACCATTATGTTCAGGGGTGTGGGATGGGGTGATGAGGTGAGTGATGCCATGGGTGGCAAGGAAGCTTTTAAGTTTAATGAATTCATCGCCTTCGTCAAAATCTAGGGTGATAATTTTGGTTTTTAAATAATTCTCAACAAGAGCTTTAAAATTAGTGAAAATAGAGAAGACATCAAACTTGCGTTTCATGGGATAAAGCCAAATAAATTTGGTAAAATGATCAACAAAAATGATGTAGTAAGAGAAACTATCAATGGAAGAGTACAGGGCAGGGCCCCAAACATCACTATAAAGAAGGTCAGGAGGACCTTTTCTAACAAGGGAAGAAGTTCCAAAGGGGAGTCAATGGCCCTTATTACAATGACACGAAGTGCAAACAGTAGGATCGGAAGGCATAGCAACCGAGGAGGAATGTAAAATTTGAAGGAAGGTGAGATGATTAGGGTGACCAAGCTGACAATGCTAGGAGGAGGGGGGGGGGAGGGGGCCCACCAAAGCTTGTGGCAGAGGGCGAGACAAAGGCAACGAGGAAGGTCATTCATATGTATAATCTTTATTTGGGCCGTGAAGTAATGCCGCCACTTGCTCATATCCTTGACAAGAAAAAAATAAGGAAAAAGTTCAATAGAAGTGTGATTTTGTTTATTAAATTTAGTGGTAGAAATTAAATCTTTGCGAATAAAGCGAACGCATAAGACATCATTTAAATGAAAATGTGTGACAAAAGGAGATGGAAGTGGTGTGGAGCTAGTGTGTGATGCGTAAACCTTTACCAATACCAATAATAATCTCATCGGGACCATCATAAGCAGTGGAAGAAGTAACATGGTGAGAGGCACCCAAGTCTAGGAGCCAAGTAGGAGCCTGCAATGTATGAGTGGTAGTATGATTAACCACTGGTGGAGTGGAGGAGCCAGAGGAAAGATGGGGGCAGCGATTAGCACTATGACCTTAAGTGTCACATCACTAACAAACGCCATGATAGCCTGTGTTGGAACGCCGATTGGTGTTGGAGTTGTTGTGAAAGAACCCGAATAGACTATGGAGGAACCCGACTAGCCACGAGAGTGAGAAGGGGGATGATTGCCATGATGAGAAATGCATGAAAAATTCTGTACTCCATGTCATCATAAAGCTCATCCTCTTTTTCAGTGGAGAGATCATCTCAAGACTCTACATCTTCTTCGTCCTCATTTCCAGGCTCATCCTCATCTACTATCTCATCCATATAAATCCTAATATGCAATTCCTCATTGTCTAGTACCTAATCATCAAGATTCGAAATGACATAATTATCAGTAGCACTTAAAGGGTTATCTATAGTTGGAGCTAGATCACTATTTTCTAGCACATCATAAAAATCTCTTGGTTGAGTTTGGGTTGGCACATGCCAATGACTGTCTTTGGGATCTAAAACATAAAACACTTGTGTAGCTTGAGAAGCCAATATGAAAGTGTCTTCCGTTTGTCTCAACCGATTGAAATTAACCAAGGGGAAACCATACGCATCAAACTTCATCTCCCTATCACTAGTAGTATCACCCAACCGATTTAAATAATGTAATTTTCCAACCATTATCATCTCGTTCTGTTTAACCCCCATAATTAAGTTCATAAATGTCTTTAAGAACACTGTAATAATCAACATTTCCAATTACTGGATTGCGGTCTTTTGTGCTTGAGTAAATAAATGTCTGTGCACATTGAAATACAACACTATTATGATTCTTCTTTTTATCGTGTACTGATTTAATACAGAACTTGCACCCATGAATTATGTGATTCTTATTCTTATTCACAAATCTACTAGGACCAATTGATAGCCAACGCAAGTCCTCAGATATTGACATATCATGGGCTGTGTACAATTTAGTAACATATAATTTAAAACAACAACTAAAGTAAATAACTTTAATTGAAAATATGGTGTAGCAACATAAAAAGAATCATAATAGAACTAAACATACTTACATGATCCTTAAACCAAGTTGGAAATATCTTATTTCTCATCCCCTCAATTTCTCGTATGGTCTTTCATCGATTACTTTGTCTCAATTCTTGGAAGCAATTTCTGTTTTACAATATAATGTAATGACTTGTTAGTTATTAGTTCATAATTGAGGATTGAAAAAAAAAGGTTATCAACAACTTGCTTGTTTTTATTTATATATATCTCACTCTAAAAAGGGGAAAACTTCATCGCAATTGAACAAGACAACTCTGCGACATTGGTCCCAGACATCTTTGTCAAGATATATTTGTTCACCTGAACCCTTAGAATGACCTGAAGAGTCAAAAACTTGACACCACGACCAATACCATTTGCATTTCGACCCTTTTGATTCCTTCGAGTCTCAACGTTGCTTAGATACATGGTACACATAGCTAATCCCTCATCGACAAGATATCCTTGTTCCATACTTCCTTCAGGATAACTCTTATTCCAAAGATATTTCTTTAACGTTTGTAGGTGTCTAAAGACATGGTAAAATTGAACATGTTAATTTAAAATTAAAATGGAAAACTAGAAAGAATAAATAAGAGTTGAACTAATTACCTTTCAATGGGATACATCCACCGATATGGGGTAGGCCCTACTATTGCAGCCTCATCTGCCAAATGCATGATTGAGTGTACTATCACAACAAAGAAGGAAGAAGGGAATATATTTTCCATCTGGCATAATGTCACTGCAATCTTAGGTTTTAAAGCCATGTATGACGCTTCAGATTCCTTCTTACTACATAATCGTCTAAAAATTGCACTTAGCTCAAGCAATACAATGGTAACAAGTTTTGGTAATACCTGTCGTATTACAAGGGGCAGCAGCTCTTGCATTATAATATGATAGTCATGACTTTTCAATCTGTGTATTTTCATCTCATTCACATTAACACATCTAGACAGATTTGTAGAATACCCATCAGGAACTCTCACATTGGCCAAGACTTCACAAAACATTGTTTTTTCCCTTTTCCTCATGTCAAAAAGTGCTAGATAAAAAACCTCCTTACCTTTCCCATTTATATAAAGGTGTTGTTTTTTCCTTATATTCAAAATTTGAAGGTCCTTACGAGCTTTTATTCCATCCTTTGTCTTCCCAGGAATATTTAACAATGTACCTAAAACGTTTTCCCATTTATATAAAGGTCCTTACGAGCTTTTATTCCTTCATGCAATGCGGGCACGCTTTCTTCCCCTTCGTGCTCCATCCTGAAAGAATGGCATAGGTAGGAAAGTCATTAATCGTCCATAACAACGCAGCCTTCATTGTAAAGTTTGGTTGGTAAACACATCAAACGTCTTAATACGAACCTCCCACAACTCTTTCAACTCATCGATTAATGGCTTCAAATACATAGAGGTAAATTATAAACTGACAGTACAACATGCCATGTACTATGGGGTTTGCTCATATTTGAAAAGGGATTAAACCCATCACTCGCACGTTGCGTATCTCCGAAGAAAATTCAGGGTATGAGGAATCTAAATGCTTCCACGCATGAGAATCTAATGGGTGCCTCATGAATCCATGTTTAGGACATTCGGTTGCATGCCATCTTATATCTTCAGTAGTATGCTTCAACATAAACAACCTCCCACAATATTGACTTTGTACCTTGAAGCACCACAAAGTGTACACTCAGTCAGGTCTAATGTATCTTTCCAAAATAGCATACAATCATTGGGGCAAGCGTCAATCCTCTCGACTATGAGTCCGAACTCCCTTTGGCAAACAATTGTTTAACCAATTGTAACAGCATTGTAAAGACATTATTGCTCATGTTCCTTAAATGTTTAATCTAGAACAATCTTACGACATAATACAATTTCTTATATTTACGCCCAGGGTACAACTCCATGTTTGCTTCTTCAGGTAACTTATAAAACATTTCAGCCTCATGTGTTTGGCCATCAAAGATAGGTGGTTCTCTCGAAGTTCCAACAGTTTCTCCAATTATTGTTTGCACAAAGGCTTTATTGAGAAAATCATGAATGTCTTCTATACCTACTTCTTCATTGTGAACTGATTCTGTATCCTCTTAGAATGGTAAATATGTCATGGGCTCTCCACGATGCCTCCAAAGGGCCATTCATATATGTGGGATCCATTCTTTTTTCTATAAGATGCAGTTGGATGATGGTTCTTTCATAGCGATAATGGTTACAACATTTTTTGCAAGGACATATGACCTCCAAAACCCACTTTGGTAAAGACGTCATCTAAAAACATTCTCATTCTGTCTGCGTATTCCTTACAATTTCTCCTAAAATGTACCAAACTTTTATCCATAGTTCACCTAATATTGAGTGCAAGGCATCAAATACAATTATTCCGCATAGATCATCCCTCATACTTACTGTCTATAAATTCCTATCAAGTGGGTCAATTTATTATCCAATGGATGACCCTCATAACCCTCTACTTCAATTCACTAGCAATACCAAATTAAAATACCAAAACCTGAGTCTAAAGAATATATTAAAATTGCACATTCATTCGACTGAAGTCTGGCGGCTAGGGTTTGCGTTGTCTAGTGCTCATGTCCTGCTGCAGAGAGCTCTTTCCCTGCTTATAGGGCGTCTCTGTCTGTGTAGGATTGATGACGGTGATGGGCTCGTGACTCTCCAGGGTTCGACATCGCGTTTTGTGAAGGTTTTGGGGTGAGATTTAGAGTGGGCTATGGAGGCATTAAAGGATACCGTTCAAGGATTTACCATTAACCTGGCTATCTCAAAGGCAGAGGCTTTGGAGATTATAGGCGTGGATAAGCTGAGTAAATTGAAGGCTGATTGTTTCCTTTTGGTTGGGAGCTTACTCAAAGCTAAGCCTTTTGATAAGCCTATAATTTATATATATTTTATACCTCGTTTACTTATTTATTTGTTAATTTCCTTGGGTTAAATTGGTTGTTTTAATTGGTTTTGTGAGATTTGTGAAGGAACTATGGAAATAGGAGAAAGTGTGCTAAAAAGGGTAAGAAGATGAAGATTGGAGATTAATCAAGTCAAACAAGGAGAAATAAAGAAGACCATATTTTAGAAGGAATCCTACTTTTATAACAATTGTAATTATACTTTAGATAGGATTTCTAGGAGTTTTATAAATAGGAAGTTTAGGTCATTGTTCAAAGGACCACCGACCATCACCCATCACCCATCATCCTCCATATTCATACTCATAGCCTAAATATCCAAAGGAGAATACGAAGAAAGCTTGCGCAACCTTGGCATTCTACTTGGAGAATTCGGTGCCTTCCATATCTTCATCAATCATCATGATTCTCAATAAGTCCTTCATGAACTAATTCCTTTTACTAGGGCTACGATGTATCCTAGCTATGAATACTCAAATTCTTTTATATTGTTAATTTTATTTATCTATACATGTTGAGTGCTAGTTACCGTTCTTAATGCTTTCAATTAATTGGCCACTAATTGCATGATTGGAAGAATTAGGTTGAGACCGGAAGGAGATTCCTAGTAAATAGCTTCTTGTAACAAGTATCATAAATTACATAGCCGACTCGGAAGACTAGGTTATGGTTTGTGTAATCTTTATTGTTTTCCACAAATCTTAATGAGTTCTGAGCTATCTAAATCCATAACTAGGAATAGAGTGGGTTGATGGTAAGGAATACAACTAATATAACTCGGAAGAGAGTATTGGTGAGGTAAGGGAAAACGATTATCAACATGTTAGATAATTAGAATTAACAAGCTAGAAGGATTTGGGTGGAATTAGCTAGGTGAAATCGGTGCCCTAGTGCTTTATCATCTTTATTTTCATATTTTACATTATTTCCTTAATCTCAATTTATTTTGTTTGCTTAATTAGTTTTTAATCATCATAATTCTCTTTTCGTTTAATTCAAATATAATTAGAAATAAATCACTCTAGTATTTAATGGATTATTTGATCCCTGTTGGAACGATACTCTACTTACTACTATATTAATTTGAGCGATATTGTCCACTTGCAATTAATCACATCACCTTTCCATAAAGAGGCGTTGTTTGGTACTATGAAGAATATATGGCGTACACGGGAGGATGTCACTGCGGTCCCCTTGGATGCACGAGAGAGGTTTTTGTTCTCCTTCAAGTCTGATCTTGATCGTAGAAGAGTGTTGAGGAGTTCTCCTTAGACTTTTGATAAGGCCCTGTTGTTGCTTGAGGCAATAGATGGTTGTGTTGATCCGATGACAGTTACTTTGGATACCCATAACTTTTGGGTAAGGGTTAGGCGTATTCCCCTTGTTTCTGACTCCAGCAATGGGCGAAAAATTAGGCAACTACCTTGGATCTTTCGTCATGGTGGATCACGGATTGAATAGGGATTGTTTGGGCAGTTTCTTGTGCATCAGGGTAGGGTTGAAGATATCAGAGCCCCAAAAGCGTTGTGTTACACTTCGTTTAGCACTTGATGAACTTGCAAAGCTGTACGAGATCGAGTATGAATGGCTACCTTATTTTTGTCTGTATTGTGGTAGATTGGACCATGTAGGTTCAAACTGTGAGTTGAAACAGACAAGGGATATTACTATGGAACGATATGGGTCGTGGAAGACTATGCTCAAAGATGTTTTTTGTATTAGGATGGTCAATGATTTGACTAGGAACCGGGTTGGATTAGGGGGGGACGAGACACAGTTGGACAATTATGCTTCACCTCTGAAGGTGGTGGGCATTGTTCGCCCACGCTAAGCGATGGGGAATGGCCAGGGAGAGACAACCATGGAGGAAGATGGTTTGGGAAGTGATCATGTGCTACGTCTATTCAGAAAGAGACGATTTTCTAGTGAAGGTGAAGGCTATACCACTACACACTATGCCAAATTTCACTTTCCGCAACACTACATAGGCATCGATGAAATGAAATACCGATACTGTTAGTATATTAGGCATCGATTTTATAAATAATAAGACTAAAAGTATATAAAGGCATCAGCACAAATATTTGGATTTTACTACCGATGCCATTGATTACACTTAGCATCTATGATAGATATATACTGATGCAAAAATTAAATTTAAGCGCCAATTTAGCTCTGATGCCAAAAGCCTACAGTTGACCGCTACAGTGATTTTTCCCTAAAAAATTTCAGTCCCTTGTGAATATTTCAGATTCCCCCCTTCTCACCAAAAATTTCCCTCTCTTGATACCCACAGACGACAGTGAGCTCCCATCTTCTCACCTTCAAACTCCATCTATTCTCTCTCGCTATACCCACAGTCACCGTCACTCTCTCATCCCGTCACAGACAGTCACTCTGGCTGCCTCCTCTTCGTTTTGAGATCTGTGCTCGTCGGTCATCTCTTTCCTTCCTCTCGACGCTTCTTCTTCAGCTAGGGTTCGTAACTCTGATCCTTTGCTGGTACGTTCTTGCTTTTACGATTATGAGAATGTCATTTTGTACACTTTATGCTGCATTTTTAGCGGATTTTACCACCATTTTTCTGTTTGTGGATTTGATCCCATGTTTGCGTTTTTATGTGTGTGGAATTTCTGCTAGTTTATGGGATCAATTTTTCTAGATGTTGAGAGCTAGCCTTGTTCGTTGTTATGGCTCTGAGATTGCTCATGTTCTCTGTGTTGTGAATTACTTTCTATTTTCTAAATTTTAGTAAAGTTAAAGTCATAGTTTGGTAGATCTATACATGGCATTTTTTGATTTGGGTAATTTGTTATACATATAATTTTTAAGTTTAGGGTTTGATTATTCTTCATCTAAGTTCTATTATTTTTCATAGATGTTGCATGTTGCAATTTGAAGCTTATTTTTCAGTTTGTTAAGGGTTGTGGTTTTTTTACATTGTTTACTGAAAATGGGTGCCTTCTTTCAAAGACTGGGTAAGGGCACCACAATAACCTTCAACAACTCATTTGGAGGTCAGTTGAAGTTCAAATTTTGCATTCCCTTTGGAGCTCACGCAACTGCCTTTGGTGGAGTCTCTTATCTCTGCCTGTACTGAATCTTGATAACTACAGGTAAGACAAAACATCTTCCTCTTCAATCTTGAGTGTCTTTGTTTCTCACTATTTGAGTTCTGAGTTTCGTATGCTTCCATTTATGCTTTTACTATTTCTATTTGGATACCATTCTGTTTAAAATTGTTTGAATACTCTGGTTTGGTCTTTGAGAGTTAGTAAAAAAACTTTGGTTCTTTGTTGGCAACTGTGGGAAATATTGTGATGCAATTTTCTTTAAATGATGGAAGGTCAATGTTGTGCTTGTAATTTCCATTGCAATGGATGGTTTAGAGTGTAAATTTGATGCTGTTTGTTTGAAGCTTTTTGTGTCTGCATGGTTTTTTACTCTGCGTGATTCATGTTCTCAAATAGAGAATCCAATGGTTGGTTGATAAATGCATCACAATGGTATAGTTTTCAAAGATTTGAGCCCATTATTCTGTTTTAGGTTCAGCCACCAATATTAAAAGCCGAAATTCAAGCTCTAAAATAAATTATTTAGTACAAATCCAAGGTAACCAACTTACCTTATTAGATTATGCTTGTTTTAGCCAATTAATCATTACTTTCGGATTAGATTAACTTTATAATTAGAAAAACACTTAAGAGCATCCCCTAATTCTATTGTAGCCTACCATCCAAACCCACCAAAAGGTGACACATTCGCAACTCCTTTTCTTACCTGTATGCATGCCTTTTTCTTGATTTAGAGGCATTAAATATAAGGTCAGAAACTATGAATATCCATAGCAGCACCATGTAGTATGTAATTCATGTAACATCATTGCAATTGAGCTGAATTGCATGCAATTGGTTGCTGCCCTCTTTGTTTGAATATAAAGTAGTGTTTCCTTTAACTTAATTGTGTATTGGTAAAAATGATGGGTTAAGCAATTGTGGAAAAATCTTGGATGCTTGCCGATAGGAGAAGTAAAGAGTATGAAATGGGAGTTGAAGAATTTCTAAGGATAGCATTAGCAAATGCTATTGATCATGGACACATTCGTTGTCCATGCCAGAAATGTGGGAATACAAGAAAGTTTACGATTAGAGTAATAAGGGAGCATATGTATTTTAATGGTTTTGACCAAACATACAAGGTTTGGATATGGCATGCCAAGCCTATTGAAATAAATGCTAGTGAAATTGTAAATCAAGAACCACAACCGGAACGTGATTTTTTTGGTGAAACGGTTGACATGTGCGAAGGTGCACATGAACACTTCACTAAAAATCCAGAAGATTTTAAGAAGTTTATGGAGGAAGCCGAGAAGCCTCTTTATCTTGGGTGTCAAAAGCACACCAAGTTATCAGGATTGGTTAAGTTGTACAATCTTAAAGCAAGGCATGGCATGACCGACAATTGTTTCGCGGATATGCTAATCGAAGTTGGTGATTTGCTCCCGATTGGTCAAGAGCTATCCTTGTCTATGTATGAGGCAAAGAAGACATTGAATGCATTGGGATTGAAATAAGAGAAGATACATGCATGCTCTATGATTGCATTTTGTATAGGAAGAAGTATCATGATTTGACAAGCTGCCCTAAATGTGGCCTTTCAAGATGGAAGGTGACAAAGAAGAATGTAGTGAAGAAAGGGGTCTCGACAAAGGTTTTATGGTACTTTCCCCTTATCCCCAGGTTTAAACGTATGTTTAAGTCCTTGGAAACATCTAAAAGTTTAACTTGGCATAATGAAGCTCGAATGAAGGATGGTCGATTGCATCATCTAGCTGATTCGCCATCGTGGAAGCTGATTGATTATAAGTGGCCAGATTTTGGGAGTGAGCCAAGAAACCTTAGGTTAGCTCTTTCTTCGGATGGAATCAATCCACATAGTTCACTTAGTAGTAGATCTAGTTGCTGGCCAGTGATTTTGGTGACATATAACCTTCCTACAGAGTTTTGCATGAAGAGGAAGTTTATGATGTTAACATTGTTAATTTCTGGCCCTAAGCAACCTGGCAATGATATAGACATCTACTTGGAACCATTAGTTGGTGATTTAGCGTTACTATGGGATAGGGTGGAGGGAGTCTATGATGCTTTCCGGAAAGAGTCATTCACTTTGAGAGCTATCCTTTTATGGACAATCAATGATTTTCCGACATATGGTAACTTGTTTGGGTGCACTACAAAATGGTATTATGCATGTCCAATATGTGGTGACAAGACATATGCGGAAAGGTTGGAACATGGAAATAAAATGGCATTCACTGGGCATCGAAGATTCTTATCACGTTATCATGCTTACAGAAAATTAACCAAAGAATTTAATGGTAAGGAATAACTTGACCCAACAACAATGCCTCTAGTTTATATATATATGCATATGCTTAATTTAGTTTAAGGCTAAGGTTATGTTTTTTTTTTTTTTTTTTTTTTTTTTTTTTTTTTTTTTTTTTTTTTTTTTTACATACATACATGTATTTTTTTTTTTTTATGTAGGGTAAGGATTGCAAATTGGCTTTCGACTCAAAGGACAATATTGTTGCAAGTGGCACAATTGTTGACATCAATGTGCCTCAACAGCTGCTTCATAATGTTCCTTTAGGAGAGGGAAATATAAAAGTCTTTGTTAATTATGCCATAAATGGAGCTTCTCCACTACCAATGCCAGTGAAAGGAGTGTTGAATACTGTTGAGGATGCTGTTGGGTCTCAAGTAGCTTGGCCAGAGGATCTTATAGTTTTTATAGATGATATATGGTAAGCAACCTTACTTTTGAACTTCTTTTATTTCATATTATCCCTAATATATATGTGACCTTTTGGTATATGTGATAGGAGAAGAAAAAGAAAACAACAAAGGAAAAATTAGCAAAGTCATTGTTTCAGTCTATCCGGGAAACAGTACCAAAGTCTTGCAAGATTTTATATGGCTTTGCAAAGAAACTGATGTCCTAAGGTCAGACTCTCGCTTCATATATTGATGAGGACATATTTGGGGTAGAAAAGATTATATATGTCCTAAAAGAAGATGTTATCAGCTTCATTCAAATGAATGAAATAGGACAAGCTGTAATAACCGCTTACATTAGGTAATAGTCACTTTGTGTTTTATAATTTTACGTTTATATTTGGATATTAATAATGTATTTCAGTTTACTGACTCTATGATAATGGTTAACAACTATTTATTTAAGTTGGTAAAAGACCAAGAATGGGAACCAATGATTGTATTTATGGACCCAAGTCTTACCTTTCATGATCTAAAGTCACCGGATGAGGCATGGAGGGTTCAATACATTGTGAAAGCTTTGAACCAAGTTAGTATTGACAGCTTCTTTTTTATCCCATACAATCCTGGGTAAGTAAAGTGGTTTGTTTTTTAGAATATATATTTGTGACTATTACTAATATATTTCCAATTAATATGTAGGGGTCATTGGATCCTTACAATCATTGACGAAGAGAAAGACAATATGTATATCATGGATCCTCTTGGGGCTCGTCACCCTCATGATGTGTGGAAACGTATTATAAACGCGTAAGTCGTTCTTTTTTAATTATTTCCTTAATATGTCAACTTTTTCATTTGTATTATAGCCTAAAATCTTCTGTTATTTTTGTGCTAAAGTGGAATTAAACAATTCAATGCTGAAAAAGGGAGAGGCTTGCGTAGACCACCAACATGGATTATACTTTCGGTATGTGTGTATTTGACAATCTAGTAAGATTAATTTTAGGGAATGTAAATACTAAATGCTGAATGTGTTTTGCGCATAATGTAGGGTCCTTCTAAACAAGCTGATGGAAAGACGTGTGGTTATTGTGTGATGCGGTACATGAAGGAAATTTGTGAAGATTCAACCCTTGCATTTTGAACTAAGGTACTTATACAAATTATATACAGCTTCAGTATTTTTAGTCTTTGTTAAGGATTGGATGATTGGGTTCAGCTAAAATACCAAATTTTTTTTATTCCTTTGTTTGATGTTGTTCCTTTTCGACTCTAGCAATGTTTCTAGCTTTGAGGTGACTTTTTTTTTTTTATTTATTTTTGTGTCGATGAATGTTAAATATAAAACCTTATTGTGCATTCTTGTTAAAGATTTTATATAGTTTTTCTTTAGCTTCTTGTTAAAGATTGCGCATAGATTCTTGGTAAAGATTTTATATACTTTTTCTTAATCTTATATGGTCTTTTCATTTCATTTCAGTATGCAAGAAATGGGAAAAAGAAGGCGTTTTACAGCCAAATGGAATTGGAGAAGGTTCGAGATGAATGGGCATGTCATGTGCTAGAGTGGATTTGAGTTTGAACATTCTCCTTGTTTTTGTAGTATTTTGCTTATTTATGTATGGATGATGTATGGATTTTGGTTTATTGGCAAAACTCATAAGTTTACATATATAGGGATGTTTTTTTTGATGTTGCAATGACAATATATATGAAATGGATGAGATGCCTCTATATTTTGAGACAGAAACTAAGTAAAATATGATGTGAAATGTGGAAAATTGCTTACACTTTATTAGTAACAAGGATGTCTATTGTGTATAACAACCTCAGTTTTGCCATAACAACTGAAGTTAAAAAATAAAAACAACATCATCACTCTCTGGGAAACGAAGCCTATAATCTGAAAGGTGAATAATATTTGTAGAAAGTCAAACTATTTGTTGGTTTTTCACTTCAGCATAAGTACAAAAAATGAATTTGTAAACCATAAATTGCAACAGCAGTGGCATATTTTCTGAAGTGGTAAGTCAGCACACGCTTCAGTATAAACAAAACCATTGATGCTATAAAGAATATTTAGCATCAGTGCTAATATATTCCCTGATGTTATTAAAGGTTTAGGCATCAGAGGTCAACGCTCTTTTTGGCATATGGTAACAACTTAAGCATCGGCAATTAAGTGAAGAGCGAAGTCGTAAATCACCTTTAGCGACGGGGAATGTCCAAAGCGTATAACTATATCATATGCATCAGTTCCCAATACTTTGGTTCTTGGGTACTTTTAGCAACGGAGATTCTCCAAAGCTAAAGGTCAATTTTCGCATAGTGACAGCACCGATGGGGGAGGGGCCAGGTGAAACTCATAAGGGTTTATCAGTGAGCGTTGGGGGATCAAGAACTGAGGAGGTACTCACAAAATTGCCAGAGACTAGGACTATGGAGAAGGCGTTGATAGACTGTGTCGATGTTGAACAACAACTAGGATTATCTTTGTTCTCTAAGGGTAAATAGCAGATAGGCAGTAAGGGGGCCTTTACGATGAGAGGTAATCGAACGAAAAACAGGCCAACAAAAGGATACAGGCCATGTAGAGGTGGTGGACGAGGGAAAGGAGAAGTGCAGTTACAAAAGCAAAAGACGAGCCAAAATGGTCAATCCGTGACTCAGGAATTGGGCCCATCATGAGCAATGATGATCTTATGCTGGAATGTTTGTCGTTTGGGCAATCCACGAACATTTCGGGCTATGAGATTCCTCCTTAGATACAAAAAGCCTTGGGTCGTTTTCTTGTCAGAAACGAAAAAAACTACTTGTCAATGGAATACATTCAATGGCTGCTAGGTTGGGCTGGTTGCTTTAGTGTGGGCACTTGCCCTCCTTTGGCAACATGGGGTGGATATAACGATTCATTCTTCATCGCCAGGTCATATTGATGCCATCATTGGGGGTTTGGAGCCAACTGCATTTAGGTTTACTAGTTTTTATGGAAATACATATATGAGTCTACGCACGGGATCTGTTACGATGGATTGCAGGTGATGTGACTGGCCTATGGTTGGTAGGTGGTGATTTTAATGAAATCATTGCGATGCATGAGTATTTAGGCCGTCGATTTAGGGTTATGTCACAGATTAGGGATTTTGGCGCAACTCTTGAGGATTGTGGTCTGTCGACGGTGGGTTTCAAAGGGTATAAATTTACTTGGTCCAACCGATGGAGAGGTGGTGGCAATGTTAAGCTAAGTTTGGATAGGATGGTGGCGAATGATTTAATGTTTCTAGCTTTCCCGGATATGCTTACCCATCATCTTAATTCTGTGGTATTGGACCATCTCCCTATCTTTATGGGTTTGGGTTGCATAGTTGGGCAAGGAGGAAGCAACGCTTTATGTTCAAGGAACTTTGAACCACAGTTGAAGGTTGTCAGGATACCATTACTAGTGCTTAGGGGGGCTGATCAGGGGTCTGTTTTGAGAAAATTGCCACTATAGTAGAAGGTGGGCTATATTCCCACTAAAGTAAGATGTTGGCATAGTAAGCTAGATATTTTAATGGAAAAGGAGCAAGATGCAACAATTACTCTTCAACAGAGAGCTCTATCCTGCGAGATGGATGTGTTGTTCGATTGAGAAGAAATGTTGTGGCGTCAGAAGTCTCGTGTATCCTGGTTGAAATATGGGGACTAGAGCACAAAATTATCATGAGCAAGCCAAGAAGCAAGGAACATAGAATTCAATAAAAGGGATTTTAGATGACAGTGGTAATTGCTATATGTCTAGAGAGGGAATTGGTAAAAAAATTTGTGACTACTTCTAAGGATTATTTCAGACAAATGGCACGACTGACAACTCTCACATCATTGAGGTGGTACAGCCAGCTGTAATGTTGGAGCATAATGAGAGTCTAAACTTTCCCTTCCCTAGGGATGAGGTTGAAGGTTCCTTGAATCAAATGTTCCCTACCAAATCGCTGGGTGTAGATGCCATGCCTGCTCTATTTTATCAGAAGTATTGGGATGTAGTGGGTAATGATGTTGTGGCTTTCTGTCTAAATATTATGAATGGGAGAGCCAGTGTGAAGGAAGTGAACCACACACTCCTGACTCCCATCCCGAAGGTGCACAGGCCAACGAAGGTGACTGGGTTTCGACCAATCAATTTATGCACAGTGCTATATAAAATTATATCTAAATCAATGGTAAATAGATTGAAGCTGATCATGCCCTTTATTATTTCTGAGTATCAAAGTGTCTTTGTTCCTTCAAGGCTTATCACTAATAACATTATTACGGCTTTTGAGAGTATCCGTGCTATTTAACGGCGGGGTCGAAGTAAGCTGAAAAAGATGATCCTCAAGCTTGATATGTCAAAAGCGTATTACTGGGTGGAATGGGATTTTTTAAAAGCTATGCTGAGCATATTGGGTTTTAATGCCAGATGGGTTAACATGATTATGGATTGTATTTCTACAGTTTCTTATTCAGTTCAAGTGAATGGAGAAGCTAGGGGTATGATTGTGCCAAATGTCCCCTTACTTGTTCCTGATTTGTGTTGAAGGTTTATCGACACTACTGACAAATGGCCTCAAATTGAAACTTATTAAAGGGGTTTCTGTGGCTCAAGGAACTCCCACTCTCTCCCATTTATTTTTTGCTGATGACAGCTTACTGTTTTGTAATGCACATTTATCTGACATGACCAATTTCCTTCAAACTGATCCCATCACAAAGCAACTAATCTCAGACATGCTCGGGGTTCGGATTGTGGCTTGCCATGAGAGATATCTGGGGCTACCTACACTTACCCAACGAAACGAAAATAAGATGTTCAGCCATGTTCGTGACATGTTATGGCATAAATTATCTACTTGGAATTCAAAATTATTGTCAGCAATAGGTAAAGAGGTATTAATCAAAGCGGTGGGGCAAGCACTACCTACTTATACAATGGGTGTTTTCAGATTACCACAAAACTTGTGCCATGAGCTGTCTGCAATGCTCGCACGTTACTGGGAGGAAATTTTTTTGAAAACTTTGAAGCTTTCAATAAAGCTATGGTGGCAAAACAGGTATGGCACATTCTAGAACACCCTATCTCTCTGGTGGGGAGAATGCTAAAGGCTCGTTATTTTCCGAATGGAGATTTTAAGCAAGCAATTGCGGGGCCTTCACCCTCTATGATCTGGAAGGCTATTCTGTGGGGTAGAGATGTTGTGGATGATGGGCTTGTGTAGCGTGTTGGGAGTGGGCGTTCCATACAGGTTTTCAAAGATCGGTGGATCCCTAAGCCTTTTACCTTTAAGTCGATACAAAATGGAGGGTTGGCGCCGACCGCCCGGGTGTCTGACCTCATTACTCCTTCTAGAGGCTAGAATCAAGCTTTATTGGCCACATTTTTTCATGAGGATGATTGGGAGGAGATTTTCGGGATTGCTTTAGGAGCTGTTGTTCATATGGAGGATGGCAAATATTGGTACTTTGCAAAAAATACACAGTTAAAACTGGTTACAGGGTGGCACTACGACAATGCGAAGGGAATGGAGATCAAGGTGAGTCAGATCAATGTTCACAACAAGGGTTCTCGAAAAGAATTTGGAATCTAAAGGTACCAACTACAGTTAATCTCTTTCATAGGAAGGTTGTGAATTCCCCGACAAGCACAAGGTGTGGGGTGGGTAGTGAAGATTCGGGGCATGTGTTGTGGATTTGTAAGAAGAATAATGTTTTTTTGGTGTTATACAAGTTTTGTGGCACGTATTCAAGCCTATGGCAAGTCTTTTGCTGATCTCTTTAAGTTGGCTGCAAAAGAGCTCTCACATGACAACTTGGACCGTTTCGATTACTGTGCGTGGAAACTCTAGCAAATGTGAAATGATTTTTTCCAGGGAAGAATTACAGCTGAGGCTGTGGTCTTGGTGGAGCGTACAATAGAGTGGCTAGTACAGAACAAAATTTGTATGGAGATATCAAAACCTGTTGTTTCTCCCCTCTTGGTTGGTGGATTCGCCCACCTTACCACACCCTTGTGCTCAACTGTGATGGTGTCGTAGGAAAGGAAGGCCGACAGAGGGGGTTGGGGGGTTGCATATGGGACTACAATGGTTTTTTCCTATGAGGTTTTGCTGCTACAGGACCAACGGGTTTGGATGCGATTGGAACTGAGCTAGCGGCCATAAGGAAGGGTCTCTTTCTAATGCAAGCCAACAATATTGGGAATGTGGTGGAGGATATTCGTCGACTCATGGTGGACTTGGCGGTTTCAAGAGTGCTCTTTCAACTCTGGTCCAGCAATGGAGTGGCGCATGCATTGGCACAGTTTGGATTATCGGAAGGGACTACTTTTGTTTGGGAAGATGTCGCTTCGCCTTGGCTGGAGTCGAGCCTTGCCAGAGATATGGAGTTAGGCCAGGTTTTTATGTATTTAGTTCATGTCGGAGGCGATGCGGCACTCTTTTTCCTTGACCGGATTTTCCCCCTTGGGGGTTTTTAATGGTAAGATTTTAACGAGGCCATCTTTTATATCAGGACCCGACCCAAATTCCACTTTGGAATCCGAGCCAAACCTTATGCGTGTCCGACACCTGGCGGGTGCTGGGCACAAATGACAGAATTGCCCTTTTAAGTCAACTTCAAAGTTTATTACAAGATTGACTTTTGCTGAAAATTCGGCAGAGTATTCCCTGTAATTTGATCAGTTCCCAAAATTTCAACCTGTCAATAAGCATAAATAGATAACCCAAACATTCTACATGCTTTCATATAATATTCTAGCAACTCAACATCAAAACGAAATGGCATCATGCCTACAACAATCCTAGGGCAATATTAGAGCAACTAAACAGATTAATTTACAAGTATAATTCAATTATACAGAAACCCTACATAGGGAAAGGATGAAATGGAAGGTGGAATCTGCCCAGTGGTGGCGCTCTGGTGCACGTCTATTGCCTGAGGGTGCAAAACATTCAAAAATGTGAGTTGACAAAAATAAAGTTTTAGAAAATAGTATAAGAACATACTAACATGTCCGTAGAAATATTTAGGAAACTTAATCAAATTGCATACTATATTCGTACAGAAATCAAGCAGGCATATTTATATTTATATAAACATTCAATCATTTAAACAAATTATCAAACCAATTAAGTATCATAAAAAAGAAATAACTTTCTACCACCTAGGTGTACCCATGATATTCCGTCAATTCCTTAATTTTCCGTCAATTCCTCGTGCCACCGAAGCGACATGTCCTCACAGGCCTAGGGAACACAAAGTCACCCGAGCCGCAATCCGAGCCGGACTCAGGAGATATTTGGTCAACCTTCTCCGCATTCCTTGCTCCCACGATCTGGATATCCCTAAGACTCGTGGGGCAAAAGTCAAGCGCGCTGACAAAACCGAAGGCAACTAGGATGTCCGTGGACATCGTCATATCCGAAGGCAACCAATTTATCCGAAGGTAGCAATTGGGTACCTATGGTGGTTTAAAACAAATATATTTCTAAAAAAAAAGAGATTAAAGATTATAAAACTATTTCTTAATTATCCTTAAATCCTGCTGCCATTCATAAAAACTATAATTTTATTTCTCATCAAACCACTCAATTTGGTAATCACCTCATTTCCTACTTTCCAAGCCCTTTCTCATTTCCAACATAGCAGTATATAAATAAAACATTTAGATCCAATTAAACATGCTTGGAAAGCCATAGTCAATAATAACTTATTCAAGATCAAATAACATAAAATCATTTATAAAACAAAAGTCCACTCACTAAGTGTCCGAGTTCGCTGGACCTTTGGAGGGTCCCTCATGCGGGTCAGCTAGTGCCTGAGTACCTATTTATGCCATTACGAATATTTAATTAATAAAGTAGCTCAACATAATCATTTCATTCAAAACCCTGACCCTCGGCTTCTAGAAGTGCGTACACTTATTTTAAGACCATTCCTATGCCCACTTAAGCCATTCCCAATGATTAGAACGGTTTAAAAAGACCCGGGACTCGATAAGCAATAGATTTCCATATTGGTCGACCCGGGACCCCATGGGGTCCATGACCTCCAATTGTCAATCCGAGAGTTTCTATAGGTTCGACATATTAATCAGGATCGCTTGATCGAATGGTTCCGGTTAATTTCACCCTAGGGTTCGCAATTTCGGAGTATCCAGGACTCTGATTCACGATCCGTCGAATCCTATACGATCCTAAAAATATGGGGTACCACATACAATAGTTTAGTTCGATCCAACAATTCGAACATATTGACCCGAAAATCGCACAATAGGCGAAATCCGTTCGAAGCTCAAATGGTATCCGAATTGGAATCCGAGCGCACCTATACGCTCATGACAACTAGGGGATCGCATTGGGACACAATGCCCCTTTGCTATAGTGCCCACGCGCCGGCAGCGCGTGGGTATCCTAAGCGATAGTGGTTGCCGGAAAAACCTCAAAATTAAGGGCCAAGATTCCTACCCTAGGTTTAGGACATCGATTGGAGCCACTTTTGTTCTTGGACCAACCCCGAAAAATGGCTGGAAGTGGCCAGAATTTCAATTCAAAAACCGGCCAAACTTTGAATCGAAAATCGGGTTATCTAAACTAGAAATCGATCAAATCCTACCCAGCCATCAGCTAAAGCTCGAAGAATAGATGAGATTCCATACCTTGACTACCAAAAATGACGATTGGAGGAGAGAGAACAAAGCCGGGGAAAATCACGCGAAAAACCGATCTGGTTTTCAGTTTTTTCCGGTGGCTAAGACGGCAACTGGCGGTGGGATGAGGTTGGGGTTCGAAGGCAGGACCTGGCCGGTCCTTTTGGCAACAGTTTCGTGTGCTACCGTGGCCGGTTGGCCGGAGTTCGAAAAGAGAGAGTGAGAGAGAGAGCCGTTGGGGAGAGAGAGAGGGAGAGGAGAGAGAGTGTTGCACGGAAGAGAGAGAGAGGGGTTTTTAAAAAAAAACAAAATCTGATTTCCTACAAAATTACAAATTCGCCCTTTTTAGTATTTTTTTTAGTCATGGGCTTAGTCCCTTCTTACCTTTATATTTGGGTCCAACCCCATGTACAAATGTAAATATATATTATCATGATAATGAGAATATACTTCTTAGTGGACGTAGCCCATTCATTAACGGTGAAACACGTATATCTTGTCCTCTGTATATTTATCGCTTGCCTAAATCTTCACACACATGCTGAAAGTCCTCACCTTTACCCATCATCTATCATACCTTATCACTAAGTTGGGCTTAAAAGTGCTGAACCATTTTTTAGCATCAACAGTTTGGCGCCGTCTATGGGAATCGACACACAAGACTTATATCGTTCTCTCCTTCTTCAGTGCCCTTCGACACCCCTACAATCAGCATCACCTAAGTTCCCGTTCGGCAATACCTTGTTGGAGCAACCATGAATGCTAAGGCAGTAACATGTAGAAGATGAAGCCTTGCAATATTGCAGAAGAGGAATAATATGAAGGACCCAACTCTTCTACAAACCCTTACCTTTCGGCACCTGGCAAGCTAAAGCTGTCGAACAGCAACATATTGCCCAACAATAAGATAAGCTTAGTCTTCCTCCTTATTAATATAGTGGAAAATAGGCTATCCAATTAAAATAAGCAAAAGCCATTTTTGTTGCCTATATGCTTTTCAGCAGTACTACATCTTATTAAAATTCAACACTTATCGTTTGGCAAGTCAATAAAATATCTATGCAAAGAGGTCTCATGTTGTTCAAAGTACGATAAAAGTTTGCCCTCTCAAGATATCTCATATTTGAAGACTCCAGACTAAGGCATCTATACCCTAAGGCTCTAGGACTTTCCAGGTTGCTAAATTCTCCGTTCCACCATTAACAACACTACTGATTCAGAAGGGTTCCAATATACCAAACAGCACACCCATCCAAAGATTGCTCAAGTCACCCAAGAGCCTTGAGAGACCACCACCACCATGCCGTTTGGTAGCCTTTCCCCACCGACCCACTGGGGTACTTGGCCTTTTTATCAGTCGTTTGGAAGCTTCTGACTACTACCATGTCTTTTTTGCATCCTACACTTATCGCTTGGGAATGCTTGAACTGTCATACCCCTCAAATTTGGGAAATCTTTTAAAGGGACCAAACAGCACCCAAGCCCAACATGCATATCGGAGATGACAATTACTGACCGGCACCCAAATCAAGGAAGAAATCATTATTATCAAATCCAGCTGCCGTTCGGCACCACTCATGCTCAAACAAACTATGCTATACCACCATGTTGGTCAGAGGCTCTCTAAGGAACGGTCCATCCGAATGGCAAAACATAGAGGTTCAACGAAGAGCATGTTGACTCCTCATCCATGCCGAACAGCACCCCAAATGGTTGAAGCTCCAATATGTCTCCCAGGACCATGTTCACTTCAAAGAGATAAGTAGGTACCATTTAGCACCCTTTTAGAAGGAAAAAAAAATGAGAACATGGCCAGCTACAACTACATCCTAACGGCATCCATGTGCTAAAGCCAATTGCCAAACGACAATTAAACAAAAAGGTAGAGAAGAAAAAGGAAAAATGCAAAGCACTCCAAACTTTCCACGAATTGCCATTCGGCACCTTCCTTGGAAAGCATTACTGGAGGAAGTCCACGTTGCATACTTTACTAAAGAGATAAGTGATTTCTTCCTCACCCTTTTATCATATGTTATGCTATATAAAGTTTGAGACTTTTATCAATACATCTGTCTCAATAAAAAAATATTGATAATAGCATAAGGTTGCCAACAGATATGGTGAATATCAAAATGATAACCACCGAAAAGTTGTTTAGTCATGCAACTACATCCCGAGCCGAGAGATTCCTACCGTACGACACCATGCTGTTGAGGCCCAAAAAATCCACGCTTCGGCCCAATGCGATACCTTACTAAGAAGAAACCCGATTTGGGCACGCAAAAGTTCATGCGCTTGCACACATGCCACGCCAAACAAATAAGCAACACGCCACGCTACAAGCTTAAGTGGGCCCAAGCCACGCTAATGCCTGGGGCTTGCTGAGCGGGTTGTGGTATGGATGGTTACGAGTATTCACGAGGCCTATTGATGGTCCAATGAGTGGAAGTTTTGGGCTACTTGGGAGCACCAAAACTCAAGCCCATTCCTTGAGTCCAAACATATGAGCAAGCATGAGAGAAAACCCAATAGCTCATCACCTTAAGAAAAAGCCCAAACATCTTTAAAAAATGTCCAATAGCCATAGCCCATAAAAAATCCCACATCAGCCAAAGCTTCTAGCAGTCTGACGAAATCAAAGGTAATTCACAGGCCGCTGGAAACAAAATACCAATAGTCCAGCCTAGCATCGTGGAAAACATCAAGCATCTCTGTTAAAACCATATCAAAGCCAAACCAGCAAAACCAAGCAAACCAATGTGCTAATCACCTTTTTGACCAAGCACCCTTACCCATTCTTTCCTCTTCAAGCTTTGGTGAAAAAACAAGAAACAAAAGTGGGTGGCTCCTCACCCACATGAAGAAGTCCAGCTGCCTGAGGGCCTTGGAACTCCAAAAAGCTTCATGCCTACATGCTCAGGCTAGAGAAGTTTCACCAAACAAGACTAAATGGAGGAAAGTGAAGAAAAGAGGGAGGAAAGCTTGACAAAATTAAGATTCTCAGCACCTATAAAAGGAGCCAGTTCCTACCCAACAAAAACAACTCATCTTGGTTGTTGCAAGCCTCCCAGCAACCAGGAGAATTCATCGAAGGCAAGCATCCCCTTTGGCCCCTTCAATTTCATGCTTTGTTATTCCATCTTCCTCTTTTTTTCTCTTTCAAAACCCACATCCAGAGAGAGTAAGCATCATCTCTCATCTCTGGAACCCTTCAATTTCAAGACTTGTTCTTCCATTGCTTCCCATTTTCTCTTCTGTCAAATCGCCCAAAAGCTTGACGAAGCTTTCATCAAGCTACTGGAAATATGCTAAAGCCACCCATGCTTTCATCTTCTACCTCTCTTTCCACAACATAGATCTATAGAGCAAGCTTCATCTCTCAAAGCCTCTGTTCCTCATAGGAAACCTAAGCCTTCTCTCTCTCATGCTAAACTCACGAATACTCAGCTCCCATGCCACAAGCTCTCATGCCAAGCCCATTAATTATCTGTAAACAACTGTTGGTTTCGTTGGTGAAGAAGACCAGGGTGTTTCCTAAGGCTCAGCTATCCTTTCAAAACACTCTTGGGGCCTGATCCTTGAACTCAGACTCAAGGGGCAATTTCACACATGTTTCTCTTTTCGGCAGCCCAAGCCCATTCGTCAGGCTGCTGGAATAAAAAGACCCTTACATAAAATGGCGACTCTGCTGGGGATTAGGTCGCTATCTTCACCAATACCTCCAATCAGAATCAATAAACCAGAGAAAATAAAGAGATAAGAACATCCCTCTTTCTTTTTCTATTTTCCTTTTTGTTGGCTATCTATTTTGCAGAACAAGCATAACATGCATTACTAACATATGCCTTTTGCTGGTGTCTTAGATCTCCATTCTCAAGCAAAACCAGATCTTGTACAAGGACTGGGGGCTTAGGCAAATTCATCATTCATGCCATTGAAGCGAAATACACATGCAAACTCCAAAATACTTGGGGGCTTCGTGCCAAGCAAATCTGTGAAAAGAAAAGGAGTGAAGCATAGGCACCTCAAAGTTTCTCATGCTAAACCAAGCTATACCTCAATTCCAAGAGCTGTGTGAACATTATTCACATCAGCAAGCCCAACTATATCATTCCAAGCGAAGTTACATTCTTCCCGCTCCTACTCTACAAGCAAAGAATTTCTGTCACTTGCCTTATTTCAAATCTTCTTAGCCCCAGCCTCATTTCAAACATCATGCCATTGTATATGCTCCTCATGCCCCAAAAGCTCAATTTATCCTTGCAACAATTCGACAAACTCATCTGTCAAGCATTTGAAAAATTCACAGGGCGTAGTACCAATCCACATGCCAAGAAATTTCATTTCATTCAAGCATTCCAAGCAACTCAGGCATTTCAAGCAAATTGAATAACTCATGCTCTTGCAACAAAGCCATACAACATCATGCTCTCACAACAATGTTGCTCAAGAACATGCTCTAGCAATACCCAGATCAGAACTCAATGCCAAGAGAAGGGACATGCTAAATTCCCAAGCAAAAGCAGCATGCCAAGCAAAACTTATACACAAGCTTTCCAACTATTCCAGCTAGAACATCTCACCTTTAGAAAATCACTATAAATCAAGCTTACAACCAACAAATCCCAGACTTTCCAGATTAGAACTAGACACATCAAGCTTCATTTTCCCAAAATTTCGTTGCATTTTGAGCTAGGGAAGCATGTCAAACAGATTCCTAAAACAGCCCATGCTGCAGGAACTGCACAGCTCCAGCAGCTTTTCCCTTACTTCGAAATTCCACCAAAAATTCATTTTTTCTTCAAATTACGCAAGACCAATTCCAAAATAACCATTGAGGAGTCCATTTTCATGCCTCAAAAGCTCCAACTCAGATTCGAAAAGAAACATTTCAAAAGTTCAAAAAACAGCCAGCAAGCTACTTTGAGATATTTTGACAAACACTTGGCATGCATTACCCAAGTGAACTTGTATGACTCTTGTTTATCACCAAGCTAGAATCCTAAACTAGAAGCTCAACCTTAGAATTCAATTTCTAGTTCACAAATTCTGGAAAATACAGAGGAACTCAAGCATTCATGCATAGAAAACAAGCATGCAACAAAGGCATCAACATCAACTCTTGAACATGCTTCAGAAAAATGGAGGCAGAGAGCACTACAATGGGTGGATGATCCTCAATTTTGGATATGTTATAAACAACATAATTCCAAGCAAATTTTGTGAAGCAAGCGCAATCATCCAAGCATCATAAGTTAAAGACACATGCAGAAGCAGAATCTGCAGAAACTCACCAGCCATGGATGAATGCAGAAGTTGCAGACCATCTTTGAGGTATCAGAAAAATTCTAAAAATTCTACAAATTTTACAGGCTATAGTACTCGAGCAGATGAACAACTTTCATCAAGGAATATTTCTGATCCAAGCTTCCGAAATATGAATTATGCACAATACCCACGGTTTGGGTCTTGAAGAAGAAGAAGAAGAAAGAAGAGAATGAGAGAAAATCAGAAAATAAAGCATGCCATGCCAAATGAAAGGAAAGGAGAGTAGCTACTTGCAAATAAAAAATTCAAAAGGAAGGGGGCAACACAATTTTGCCCATGTGAAGGCCAAGCCAGTCAAGGGGATAATGTGCCCAACTCTCGTATGTGCTCTCAAGCCCGTATCTCTTCTTCAACCCACCATGCATCAATACAAGCATTTGTGAATCAATCAACACAAACCATGCAACTCAAGCATTTCACTTGATACAATCATTTCAAGCAAACCAAACCAGATATCACAAGATCAAGCTTTTCAAGTAACACAGTCATCATAAAAGTGAGAACTTGGCATTTCTAGCTACCGAAAGCACAGAGAAGAAGCCATGCTATCATGCCAAATTGTCCCCATTGCAACAAAGGGATATCCTAAGTTCATCACGCCATGCAATGCCCCAAACAAAGACTTAGAAGGCCACGCTACAAGAATTTTTGCAGCTCATGCCAATCCAACCTTTTTTCTGATGATTATGGTGCACTTGGGGGCTGAGGAAGGAATTCATTACAGTCACCACCAACAGCAATTCCAAAACCCCAATAACCAAGATTCAAGCCAAGCAAAACATGGAGGATAATGATGCGTTGTACGAGATGCTCTCGGAAAATAACACAAGCTCTATATTCATGCTGCCGGAAGAGTGAACCCTCATGCCAAATCAAGCTATATCTTGATTCAACTCAACCATTAGATTATCCAAATCCAAGCTAATCATGCCAAGCCAAGTCACGTTTTTCCAGCACCTATTCCATGCCAAACAAAATATCCTTCAAGCACATGCCCTATTTCAAACATTCTTCCATCACATGCCCTATTTCAAACATCATTCCAGCACATGCCCTGTTTCAAATATCCTTCCATCACATGCCCTGTTTTAAATACCCTTCCAGCACATGCCCTATTTCAAGCATTCTTCCAATATCTAGCCATCATGTCGCACGCTATCACCTTCATTGAGGTTTTGCAAATCAAGCGTACATGTCAAGCATCCAAGCATCCAAGCATACAAGCCAAAGCCAAGTATACATGCCAATGCCAAGCATCCAAGCATACATGCCAATGCTAAGCATCCACGCATCCAAGCATACATGCCAATGCCAAGCATTCAAGCATACAAGCCAAAGCCAAGCATACATGCCAATGCCAAGCACCCAAGCATACATGCCAATGCTAAGCATCCAAGCATACATGCCAATGCTAAGCATCCAAGCATACATGCCAATGCCAAGCAATACCAAGCATACAAGCCAAAATCAAGCATACATGCCAATGCCAAGCATCAGGCTAAAATCAAGCATACATGCCAATGCCAAGCATCAAGCTAAATACCAAGAATACATGCCCACTCTTGGTAACTCTAGTAAGTGACCTCCAAAAATTACAGTGTCTAGGAAAGTTCTTCAAGGCAACACCCTCGGTGTTTAAGAAGGACTGGGTTTTAAGCGGGACCATTGCGACCCCTCCAACCTTCCCGGAAAAGACATGGCTGTAATTTCAGAGGCACTTAACTAGTCATCCTTGAGTTGCTCCTAAACCCATGCGCCATGCCATGCCATGCCACTGCAATTTATTTTGGCCTGGAATTGATTATTTGGACCATTTCAATACACATTCATGGCCCCAATAATCAAGGGGGCTAATGTTGAGGGCCAAAAAATCCACGCTTCGGCCCAATGCGATACCTTACCGAGAAGAAACCCGATTTGGGCACGCAAAAGTTCATGCGCTTGCACACATGCCACGCCAAACAAATAAGCAACACGCCACGCTACAAGCTTAAGTGGGCCCAAGCCACGCTAATGCCTGGGGCTTGCTGAGCGGGTTGTGGTATGGATGATTACGAGTATTCACGAGGCCCATTGATGGTCCAATGAGTGGAAGTTTTGGGCTACTTGGGAGCACCAAAACTCAAGCCTATTCCTTGAGTCCAAACATATGAGCAAGCATGAGAGAAAACCCAATAGCTCATCACCTTAAGAAAAAGCCCAAACATTTTTAAAAAATGTCCAATAGCCATAGCCCATAAAAAATCCCACATCAACCAAAGCTTCCAGCAGTCTGACGAAATCAAAGGTAATTCACAGGCCGCTGGAAACAAAATACCAATAGTCCAGTCTAGCATCGTGGAAAACATCAAGCATCTCTGTTAAAACCATATCAAAGCAAAACCAGCAAAACCAAGCAAACCAATGTGCTAATCACCTTTTTGACCAAGCACCCTTACCCATTCTTTCCTCTTCAAGCTTTGGTGAAAAAACAAGAAACAAAAGTGGGTGGCTCCTCACCCACATGAAGAAGTCCAGCTGCCTGAGGGCCTTGGAACTCCAAAAAGCTTCATGCCTACATGCTCAGGCTAGAGAAGTTTCACCAAACAAGACTAAATGGAGGAAAGTGAAGAAAAGAGGGAGGAAAGCTTGACAAAATTAAGATTCTCAGCACCTATAAAAGGAGCCAATTCCTACCCAACAAAAACAACTCATCTTGGTTGTTGCAAGCCTCCCAGCAACCAGGAGAATTCATCGAAGGCAAGCATCCCCTTTGGCCCCTTCAATTTCATGCTTTGTTATTCCATCTTCCTCTTTTTTTCTCTTTCAAAACCCACATCCAGAGAGAGTAAGCATCATCTCTCATCTCTGGAACCCTTCAATTTCAAGACTTGTTCTTCCATTGCTTCCCATTTTCTCTTCTGTCAAATCGCCCAGAAGCTTGACGAAGCTTTCATCAAGCTACTGGAAATATGCTAAAGCCACCCATGCTTTCATCTTCTACCTCTCTTTCCACAACACAGATCTATAGAGCAAGCTTCATCTCTCAAAGCCTTTGTTCCTCATAGGAAACCTAAGCCTTCTCTCTCTCATGCTAAACTCACGAATACTCAGCTCCCATGCCACAAGCTCTCATGTCAAGCCCATGAATTATCTGTAAACAACTGTTGGTTTCGTTGGTGAAGAAGACCAGGGTGTTTCCTAAGGCTCAGCTATCCTTTCAAAACACTCTTGGGGCCTGATCCTTGAACTCAGACTCAAGGGGCAATTTCACACATGTTTCTCTTTTCGGCAGCCCAAGCCCATTCGTCAGACTGCTGGAATAAAAAGACCCCTACACATGCCAAATGATCGATCAAGACATCTAAGCCCAGCTAGTCTCCTCATCGGCAATGATCACACATATGGGCCAAAAAAATCTGATGTCGACTCGGAAGGTGTTATCGGCAACTTGCCGTTGGCAAAACATCCATGTCCACCTTTGTTGGGAAGGGTCAAAGTCGCCCCGCCCAACGACAATAAAAGCCAAAAGTCTCAGAAAATGGCATCCAATCAAAAAACTGGGTGCAGTAATCCACAATCCAAGATGTGAAGGCATGAAACAATGTGACATGCGGCATCCCTTCTTTGCCGTAATCTCCTTCATGCCATCACGATAGCTATCTACAAATCGGCAACACAGCAACCTCTTTGCCTTATACCAAGGCAACCCATGGAGTTTTTCTCATCGAAGCCACCACAGAATGCCCCGACCTTAAAGTGATCGGCAATTCAGTGGTCAACAGTTTCAGCCTTCGGCGATTTCCCATCGATGCCCAAGAGAGGATGAGAACCCACTGTTCACGGTAGGAAAATCAATATTGTCAAACGGCAGCCGGCAGCCCCTGTGTGACCTCCTCTCCATATCTCCCTTAACGTTAGGCAAGTCAACACAATTTGGCCAAGAGGCACGGATATATCAGCACCAAACAGTAACCCCTCTTATCACCCTGCCTTTGGAGTTGTAAGAGACATGCCAAACAACAATGTTAAATTATCAATGGGAATTCGGCATAAGAAGAGCCCATCGCATGGATGGCTCCATAAAAAATCTGCAAGTCTCTCTATGCCGAACGACACCCAACATTCTCAAAATTTAGAGGGCCCCATCCATAGTCAGTCATCTACCACGTTGAATTATGGGCTTCATTGCTCAGAGCCTCATTGAGTTAATAGTGGCCCCAGCCATGCCTCAAAAATCAAAAAGGCACATGCATGGGTTCATCCAAAATAAGCACTACATGCCTTATTAAAGTCTTTGGCAGTAACCAATAATCTAGTGGAGGCCCACTTATGGCACTTGGCATTCATGCCAACACAACAAAAAACAAAAGTAAAAACCCAAGACTATTAGTCATCGACAGTAGCCATTGGTAAGGATCATCGGCTCATACGCCAAAGAAAAAAAAATCCAAGCCTCTTAGCCATTGACAATAGCCATTGGTAATGATCTTTCACATTGAGCTCAAAGAAAAGCACATGTTTATTAACCATCGGTAATAGAACATCGGCATAATATGCAAACTCTATACCTTCAGCAATTGCCACGCAATATTGTGTCATTCGGCACCCCTTTTTAGAGTAAAAATATGGGGACTTGAGCTTGTTCTACAAGTCTTCATCATTTGGCACGAGCGATTCCTTGGGCACCCTGTCATTATTCCGGCGCGAGTGATGCCTTCGGCACCCCGCCATAATTCGGCGAGAGCAATGCCTTTGGCACCCCGTTATTATTCAACAAAAGCGATGCCTTCGGCACAATGGCGAATCCATGAATTTTTCAGGGGAGGTGCAATATTTAAAAGGCTAAAAATTTACAAAGGACTCAAGCAAGGCCCTGGGTTCGAGTTCTAACATTCGTGTAGTGTGTTAAAAAAAAATAAGGCTAAAAATTCAAAAAAAATGTATACAACCAAATGCCCTTAGAATTTAACCAATACTAATGTCACTCATAATTAAAACAAATAAGAGTTTTACGTCTACAACTAATTGATTATAGTCTATATGGATATCAATTAATATGAACAAAATCCTTGTCATTGGCACAATTAGTTTACCAAAATTCATATCAAATATGAACAAAATCCATGTCAATTACATAATTAATCTAACAAAAGTCAATACCAATTAATCTAACCAAAAGCACATGTAAATTGGAGGTCATGAAATAAAAGTACACATGATTAAAAGTTTGGGGTAATTTTCGGTGAATTTTTTGGCACACATATGAGTTTTTAATGAATTTTTTAATTTAGGCCAATTAGAAATAGACATGTGTCGGCTTGCTATTGGACCATTTAAAAAAGAATCCAAATCAGAAGCGCTGACGCAGAGTCTTCTTCTTCCTTGAACTGTGCCTCTGCAATTTAACTTCAAATATTCTAGAAAAACTTCGAAAATTCATAACTTTGGTTGTGGAGCTTCGATTGATGAACCGTTTTCTCCTACATGCTTGTGAGCAAGGATTGAAATATCGGCCGATACACCGATATATCGATATTTTCAACTATCGACACCGATACTGGGGGGGTAAGGCCATATCTTCCCCTGTATCGACGATATATCCCCCGATAAGTGCGATATTCCCGATATTTTGCCGATATCTCCGATATTTTTCGATACCCATAATAGAACCCAAAAAAAATTCAAAAGTTTTGAAGGCAATTGAAGTAATCTATGCATAATCCACTACCCACATACCTCCAATCCATCTGAAGAGGACATGGCAATCAATTTTGGATATATGAGCATAGGAACTAGACCTACTACTAACTCAAATGAATCTTATTATGGCTATGGTTATGTCATGTCTGATTATAGTGGAACTAGTTATGGAGCTCAAGATGATGAAACAGATTATGGACCTACTAGTTGGGTTAATCCTAACTATCCTATATATGGGAGGACAGTAGGGAGCTCGAGAGAGACTTATGTGCACCATGTTCTAACATGGCTTACAAACTGCTCGGGTTACATGACTTGGTATGACTATTGTATGAATCTGGATGGTTGTTCCTCATTGTTTGAACCTCATAGGAGCTCTTCATTTATGTAGGTGGACACTTATCTAAATTGTAATCCAATGTTTAAACAAACTATGGATTTATGCATGGTTTATTCATTCTAATCAAAATTTTGTTTTCAAACTTTTCATTAATGTGCATTACATACCACTTATATTTCATCAATGTATATCTTGTTATTAGTAAATTTTGAGTTTTATTTGTTCAATACATTCCTTGATAATGTACATAACATCTATGAAAGTTTTACACCAAAATTATGTGTTTCAATGCATATATCTGTCCTTTTTGTTGATTTTTTCCTGATACCTAAAACGATAATGATATATCCCTCGAAATATCTGTAAATTGGAGGCCCGATATTATCTGCACGGCCGATATTTTAATCCTTGCTTGTGAGATCGAGCCCAACAATATAAGGTAAATATTCCTAGTCTCACAATGCAGCAAACAATACAACGTCTTCAAGGCATTTAGTCGAACAATTGGTGGGCACTAGCAAAGGGGCAAATTCTGGCATCTCAAAGGAAGTTTTTGGCAAAGGGAGGTGCAGCTGCACCTCCTTGCACCTCTGTGGATCCGCCAGTGCTTTGGCACCCACCATAATTAGGCGTGAGTGATGCCTTTGGCACCCCATCATCATTATTAGAAGCGAGCGATGCCTTTTGCACCCCGTCATCATTCTGCACGAGCGATACCTTCTGCACCTTTTCGTCATTCGATGCGAGCAATGCCTTAGGCACCCCATCATCATCATTTGGCGCGAGTAATGCCTTTGGCACCCCGTTATCATTCAGTGAGAGCGATGCCTTGGACACACCACCATTCGACACGTTATCATGTCATTCCATATCCGGCTTTGCATGGCTTCCAAATATTCATAAAGGCAAGTGTCACCTTGCATGGTGTTATTGCATATCACATGCATATGTACTGTTGGAAGAAAGGAGCATATCACCATTGATCCGAAAAGATAAAGGCCACCTTGCATGAGGATTATTGCATATGCAGGTAACCCATAAGCCACAGGGTTACCAAACGACAATTTCAAGAAATTCAAAAATCTATGATTGAAAAGTCAAAGTGCCGATCAAAACCCCATCCACCAAACACCACTTGTCCAATCCAAAAGACAACTATGCTTGCTACCAATTCTCCATCAGTTTCAGAAAGCTCACAAATTAGAAAACCATGCTTGCTTGTCGCTTATTCATGGGTTACCGAACGGCACCCACTTACTCATTCACACTAAGAGGTACATGCGATCTCTATGGATTCGGTGGCTTACTCAAATTACCGAACGAAAGTTAAGTGGAGCCCTTTAATGGCCACCCAAAATTACCAAACAACAACAGCAGAAAAGTCTACTCACAGCTCCAAGTGCTATAAACAAATGGCACCTCATGCAGCTCTAAATGCAGACCAACTTTTATTGGTCTCTAAAATCAATTACCAAATGACAATTCCAAGTTCTCTCGTCAAAATTCCAAATAGCACCCAAGAGGTTCAAATTGAAGCATGCAAGTTGATGTGCCCATATCATACCGTTTGGCACCATGTCAAACAACTAATCAATACCGCCCTACCCAACATGCATGCATATATTATCGGCAAGCTGGGGTGAGGTTGCTAAAGATTGGGCAACTACACATGTTACCATACGACACCATCCACACCATACAACTTGAAAGAAGACTAAGGTGTTGCTCGGTCAATGCACTGAAAATTATAAGTCCTCAACCAAGAAGTAGCTCCTTACTTGAGAACTTGGAGGACTTCTGTTTATACCATATTTGACTAGGCAAGTAGAAGCAACTCTAAGTAAGGCAAAGAGTCTCACATTGGAAATACAAGAGTGAAAACTCCCCATCACCTATAAAAGGTGACCACTCTCCACTTATGAGGGGATCCTTGGGCTGGGCTTGATCTTTAGCCATGGGCTTCTCCCTTCTTACCTTTATATTTGGGTTCAACCTCATGTACAAATTTAAATACACATTATTATAATAATGAGAATATACTTCTCCGTGGACGTAGTTCATTCATTAAGAGTGAACCACGTATATCTTGTCTTCTGTATATTTATCGCTTACCTAAATCTTCATACACATGTTGAAGGTCCTCACCTTCAACCATCATCTATCATTCCTTATCACTAAGTTTGGCTTAAAAGTGCTAAACCATTTTTCAGCATCAACAACACCAAACAACTAGACCCACTTAATAGCTAAAGACTCACGTCATAACAAAAAATAAAGTATATATATTAAACAAAATATATAAACTCATAGATAAAAGGTGGATAATCTCAATACTATGAACAATCTTATTCAACAATAATCAAAGAACAACAATATAATAGAAAAAAATTAAAGGGAAACACACTTGGATTCTAAGTTTCCAACAAAAATTCAACATACCTGCAATAGATTAATACATGCATACCCGCATATTAGACTTCATCAACAAATAATAAAAAATTAAAACAAGAGCTTTGAAAAATCAAAGGATGTAATTAGTCTTCACCTATACAACTAGTACATCATTTATATCTTGGAATAAAATATCAGTATTCTAATTTTTATAACTAATTGGAAGGATTCATGGGTCATTACCTATGTTCAAATACTTGAAAAAATAAAATAAACAAACAAAATAAGAACAAAAATCTAACCAAAACAGGGACCCTCTTTAAAGAAGAACAACCAAGTCAGCCCCAACTGAAAAGAGCAAAGAAACCCTTAAATTTAATCTCTCTCTCAATTTGAATTAGCAACCCCAATTGAGAAGAGCAAAGAAAACTCCCAAATTTAATATATATATCTCTCTCTCAATCTGAACCAGCAAACACGGAAATCACTACCACACATCCCTTCAACTCCATGACTCTAAGGAAGAATACAATTTCTTCTTCAATGAAAAGAAGAGGGAAGAGATGGTCAATTTGGAGGAAGTAGAGAGAAAGTTTAAGTAAACAATTGAAGTTTTATTTTATTTATATATATCAATAGTAAAAAATTGAAGTTAAAGATTATATTTAAGAATAGTATTGGCAATCGAACTCGTTAGTGACAAGATTTGGCTTCCTGGTGTCTAAAATTTTAAGTGCTTAATATTTTCACTTCCCGTGCTAGAAGGGACTGGCGCATTGGCTTGCCAGTAAATTTAGTAGTGACAAAAGACTTTGTTAGTATTATTTAGTAGTGACAAATCATTTTACTTTGCCAGTATTGGGTCCCAGTGCTAGCTGAACTGCTCTTTTGCTAGTATTAGGCCCTGTTTGGGATTGTATTTTTTGGCAAAAAACCTGCTTCACTTTAAAGTTAAGCTGTTTAAAGTGTTTGGTAAAAATAAAATAACCCGATTATTTTAAAAGCAGAGGCCTTTTGAAAGCAGCTTTTAAAAGCTGGTTCTACGTTGCTTTTCAAAACTGCTTTCAAAAGAAGCAGAGATGAACCTTTAATGAATTTTTTTAATTCCCAAAATACCATCATTCATTTTTAAAAATGACATCACCTCCACTTCCACATCCAACTTCACCACTTGCATCACCACATTCACTACCTCCACAACCACCACCACCACCACCACCACCACCACCACCACCACATCCTCCTCTTCCTCATCCTCCGCCACCACCACCACAACCACCACCACCACCACCACCACAACCACCACCTCCTCCACCAACTCCACCACCACCTCCTCCACCTCCACCACCACCACCACCACCTCCTCCAAAACCTCCACAACCACCACCACCATGCTGCCACTGCCACCACCACCACCACCTCCACAACAGCCATCCCCACCACCACTACCACAACCACCAACTCCACCTTCATCACCACCACCACCTCCACTCTACCACCACCACTACCACCACATGATTAGTACATAACACTTTCAACATCATGTTTATTTTAGTCATTATTCACAGTTACAACAATTTTATATTAAAATTTACCAAACGGTTTTGTCACTGCTTTTTGCACTAACAACACTTTAAAAATATTGTTTACCAAACATGGAGCTGTTTTACTTTACAGCTAATTATTTTCAAAGCACAGTAGAAACAACTTTTTTTTTAAAAAGTGACAGCAATCCCAAAATTGTAGTAGTGTTTGAAATTATTTTATTTTATTTTTGTATTTAGGAAATTCTCGTGGGGTAGTGTTGGGTTCTTCTAATTTTTTTGTTTGATTACAAACGATATTCCACTTTAATTTAAATTTTTGTTTAATTATAAACGATATTCCACTTTAATTTAATCTAAATAAAGAGGAGGTGGATTTGAACTCGAGTGTGTTTTTTTTTACTGAGCAAAATGATTTTGATAGAATAAATTTTTTTAAAAAGTAGTAAAATAAATAAATTTGGTGGTTTTTTTTTCATTTTATTTAATTTTCGTTAAATTGGTTGGTTGGTTTGCATTGATTTTGAAATTTGAAGTGTTTTGGTGCGAAACTGGCCGGCGCGCGATTGAGTCGAAGCAAGGAAACCCACCAAATCCCCGAAAAAGGCAACAGCCGAGCCTAACCGAGCCGAGCTAAGCCAAACAGCACCTGTTGCAATGGATATTAATGTCAAGGACAGACCAATACAATCGCGGAGATTCTGAATTATGACGCGAACCATACGGACCGGAAGCTGACGTGGCAATCAAGAGGCGGAAGCAGCAGATCAAACGGCTGAGATTAAATAAAAAAAACCAACATCCCCAATCGAACAGAACATGGGTTGAGTAGGAGGATTTGGAGAAAAGGCTGTCAGCCAGGTCACCCTATCTTTTCTCGTGGTCGAAATGATTCTTCACCCAGAAAATAAAATTCCAAACAAATTAAAATTTAGAAAAAGTGGAAATAAAATAAAAATATGCAACATTTAATTTGGTCCAAATTTCATGTGCATTTCAAAACCCGGAGCTATATATATATGACCCTTTCTCATTGCAGGCTCACCCTAATTCTGCTCTGTTTTCATTTCGACCATTTCTTGTCAGCCTTGAAGAAGAGAGAGACACAGCCAAGCCTTCGTCTGCAGAGGTTGGCTTGGTTATTCTTCATCGTCGTCTTCGATTGTCTTCGTCTTCAAGGTAATCTGAGTGGATCTCTGCAATTTCTGTGTGGTCGTAGTTTGAAATTCTCTGCGTGTTGTTTTTTGTTTGGTGAAAATTGAGCTTGATTTGTAATTGACGAGTAGATTGGAGCTCATTTGTGTCTGATCTGGAAGATTTGCTGCCGATTATTGTGTGTTTGTGATTGTTGGAGTTAAATCTTGGATGAGCATAGTGATCTGTAGTCTCTTTTACCGATCGCTTTGGTAGATTGTGATTTTGAATATTTCTTTGTATTGAGGTGGTTTTGAAGTTTGATCTGGTGCTCTCTTCTTTGGATCTAATGCTAGTGATCTGCTTTGTTTTGCATATCTCTGTTTTTCTCTTCTTTTAGATCTGTATATCTTAATTAGTTGGAATTTGATATGCTTTGATTTGTTCTTATATTCAGTGAAAGCATTGAATTTGAACTCTGATGGTTGAGATTTAAGTCTCATGCAAACCTTTTTCATTGCCTGTGAACAATAAAAACCCAGGATAAACAGTGTGTTTGAAGTAGGTATTAGAGTGAGCTGTTTTGATAAATAAAAAAATGTTTATTTTGCTGATTGAGCATTGTAGTAGCAATCTATCTAAGCCATCGGGATAATATGGAAAAAAAATCTTTTTTATTTATAGTAGTGATGGTTTGATTTTGTCTTGTTTGCTTTTGGCTGGTTATGATGAATGGGATCTACAACTTTAGGCAGTATTCATCAGTGTGTGTTGTGTATTGAATTGAATAACATATTGTAGGAGTAGTGTGCATGAGGTTTTTTAAGGTGATTCTTTATGAATGAAAATGTAAGAGACTTATAATGCACAAAGGAATAATGAGAATGATTACCTTTTTGTTATACACGAACTAAATTAACTGACAAGATATTTGATAGTGAACATGGCATGGCATTTTGATCACTGATATGGTTTCACTCATGAAGTATATTTTTGTTGTATTAATTCTGTATGTCTTGGTTTCAGGTTTGTAAAAGATGGCTGATGCTGAGGATATTCAACCCCTTGTCTGTGACAATGGAACTGGAATGGTGAAGGTAAGTGTCATTTATTTGCCTCTTTTGTGTTCTTTATGCATTGAAGTTTAATTGAAGCTTTAATTAAACCGTTGTCATATACTACGACTAATTATGCAGGCTGGATTTGCTGGTGACGATGCACCCAGGGCTGTGTTTCCTTCTATTGTTGGTCGACCACGACACACTGGTGTTATGGTTGGTATGGGTCAGAAGGATGCCTATGTAGGTGATGAAGCCCAATCTAAGAGAGGTATCCTTACCTTGAAATATCCCATTGAACATGGTATAGTAAGCAACTGGGATGACATGGAGAAGATCTGGCATCACACTTTCTACAATGAGCTTCGTGTTGCTCCTGAAGAGCACCCAGTTCTTCTTACTGAGGCTCCTCTCAACCCTAAGGCTAACAGAGAAAAGATGACGCAGATCATGTTTGAGACCTTCAATGTGCCTGCCATGTATGTTGCCATCCAGGCCGTTCTCTCTCTGTATGCCAGTGGTCGTACAACTGGTTCGTATCAACTATTTGCTGAGTCTGAATCTTGATATCTTATTATTATTGTTCTGGCATTGAATGAGCTTCCCATTGTACAGGTATTGTGCTGGACTCTGGTGATGGTGTGAGTCACACTGTGCCAATCTATGAAGGTTATGCCCTCCCTCATGCCATTCTTCGTCTGGACCTTGCTGGTCGTGACCTTACAGATGCCTTGATGAAGATTCTCACCGAAAGAGGGTACATGTTCACCACCACTGCTGAGCGGGAAATTGTCCGTGATATGAAGGAGAAGCTCGCATATGTTGCCCTGGACTATGAGCAAGAACTTGAGACTGCTAAGAGCAGCTCTTCAGTAGAGAAGAACTATGAGCTTCCCGATGGCCAAGTAATCACAATTGGAGCTGAGAGATTCAGGTGCCCAGAAGTTCTCTTCCAACCATCACTCATTGGAATGGAAGCTGCTGGAATTCATGAGACTACCTACAACTCTATCATGAAGTGTGATGTGGATATTAGGAAAGACCTATATGGAAACATTGTGCTCAGTGGTGGGTCAACTATGTTCCCCGGTATTGCAGACAGGATGAGCAAGGAGATTACTGCTCTTGCTCCTAGCAGCATGAAGATTAAGGTTGTGGCTCCACCAGAGAGAAAGTACAGTGTCTGGATTGGAGGGTCCATCCTTGCATCCCTCAGTACCTTCCAGCAGGTGATCATCATTGTTGTATCTCTTGTTTGTTTATGATTTCCTTTCCTTCATTTTTTGTAAATTCCTATGCTATATATAGTTTTTGCTTCAGACTGATGCTTTTTTTTCTTTTCTAATTAGATGTGGATTTCCAAGGGTGAGTACGATGAGTCTGGTCCATCCATTGTCCACAGGAAGTGCTTCTGAGTTCTAAAATGTTTTGATGGTGAGTTATTTTTCAATTTAGTTGGATTTTCGTGTCGTGTCATGTGAAGTCAGTTTGGTTGGCAACGATATGGCGTTGAGGTGGGGTCAGTGAAGGACGGAGTAGATTCTGATGTTGATGTATCATAGCTTTTCATCCATGTGAGAGGCTTTGCTTGCAATGGCAATGGTGTTCTGTATATGTGGTGGGCAGAAAATCAGTCGAAATCCATCCTCGCCTTACCTAATCTTTGGTTCAACCATCTCTTTCAGTAGGATGTTTGTAGCAGGAGAGTGATTGGGATGCTTTTTCATTTTTTTTTCCTTTTTCCTTTTTCCTTTTTATTTGCCTTTTGTTCTATATTTGACGGTCTTTTTTCCTGAGAACATTAATATTAATAGTTTTATTGTATCTGAAATTTTATGGTAGTGTCAGTTTGTGGTCATAAACTGCTATGGAAATTATATTTAAATACTGGCTTGAAAGCTTGAGAGGAATCTTGTCTCTTCTGTGCTTTGAATTGGTTCTTTTGAGGTGTGTTGGCGTTTTGTTTTTGTTCGTGGTCAGGGTTTTATTTTGTCAAGGAATCCTTGGCCTCAAACGAATGGATGGGCTTGCCATTTGCCAATTGTATGCGAGGCCTGCCAAGGGTTTTATTTCTTAATTTTTTGTAATTGTCTTTATGCATACTTCACTTTGAAACTACTTGTGTGTACCTACCACTCAAATATTCTAACAAATACAAAGAAAAAAAGAAAATATCAAAAAGAAGATGAGAGTTGGTACTAGATCATTTGGCTAACTCCACTTTAACCTAAGTTCAGGCTCCCTCCGGGTATTTGGTAAACAAAGTAAAAAGATTGGAACCGAGGCATTTATTCCGTGAACATGACCAGCTAACTTCTCAGTTCCCAAAAGAAACCTCCTTTTTGAGCTTGGTTTTAGAGTGGAACGTCAACTTCCTTCTTGAGTTAACCTCAATGAAATTTGAATCCGTACTATACTTCCTTTACAAACTCGATGCATGATCTCTTCCGCGAATCAAAGAATCAGAGTATGGCGATCTCTACAGTACCTATATTTTTGGGTATAAAGTTTTGTATGGGAGTATATGTAGTGATGATAGGTATCAGAAACGGAATAATTTTTGTGTGTTGGGGTTTAGATTTAGAGTGGATGAAGTGAAAAACTTGTTTTGGAGGAGGGCACGGTGTTGGCATCAAGATCCTAAATAAAAGTGAAGAAAATGTAACGGCCATTTGTATTTGGATTTGAATATCAAATATTATGTCCTATTTTTAGCAAAACAAATTAATTGTACGGATTTCATTTCAGTTGAGGATTTCAAATAAGAAATTGAGAAATTTTCATCTCTCCTTGAACTTTTAACGTGAGAAGTCTGGCTCAACCTAACATGAACTGACTCTTGTGAGGCCAAAGAATTTTTTAAATTAAAATTTATTTTCTGACTACACCCTCAGATGTTATGTTTCTTAAACCTACCATCACTTTAACAGAGTGAACCTTAACCATTAAAGGCATAAAAAATCGCACAAGTTGATGAAAAAGCTATTCGTAACTAATGGAACATAAAATCGTCTCTTTGAAGCCTTCAAATGAGATATGGTTCAATAATTTTTCATTCTCCACCCTGGTACAGTGTTTAGTTGGATTGGCTCTGGTTTTTGGTGTGCTCTCTCAGGTGGTCATGGGGTAAGCCTCCATGGTATTTGTGTATGTGAGTTTCTCCCTTCTCCATGGTATTTTTACATCTTAACTTAATGCCCATTTGGGCCAAGTCGTAGCTTGGGTTTTCGTTATTTGAAGTGGATGGATTCTTTGAGCTATTTTAAATGGCTAAAAATGGAATTATCTATTAATTAATAATACCTAGGAAATCAAGGATAATTCATGCTCTTTTTTGGCGCAAATCAATTAGATAATTGATTTTAAAAGATTACGATCTGATCTTCACAAAGGCGTGACCTAACAGACTATGATCTCTCCTGATAGGGTAAAAATCATATAAAAGGGAGGAGATAGCTCACGCCAAAGACACAAATTTTCAACAATCAATTTGATACAAATCCTAATCCCTTTCTCAAGGCTAGCCAGTTTATTGATAATTTCTCTGCTAGATCTATCTCTCGTATCAATTTCCAATTGATTTGCATCAATTGAAGGCGTTGTGCTTGACCATAGTGCAAGTTATGACATCATTTCTCAACTGTTATCATTGCTTGACCATAGTGCATCATTTGTCTTGAGTCATGAAAAAGAACTACATGGAACTAGTTTTCCCATTCAATTCGAAATTGTTTGATCAAAGTCAGTTTCTTGGTGAGGAAGTTAATTCTTATTCAAGTCTATTAGGGTTTTACACTACTAATAGTGGCACGCTCGCAAAGTCATACAATCTCAAAGCCTACTCTCTCCAATGCTTTCACCGTCCACAACTGGGGACTTGACAGGTTGGGAGAGGAGCTCATGTCTTGGGGAGATGTTAACAGTTTGGGGTTCTCTTTTTAGGTTGATGTACTGTAATCATAATAGTATGGCGGATGGACAATTACTGAAGGACAGTTCTGGTAAGTTGGATGGTTGCAGTCAATGCATGAACTTATTTTCATAGATGTGTGTGCGATCATCTATAGAATAACCATTATATTTAACCCCAATTTGCGTAAGAAAGCAAACAAAACAAAAATAATTATACAACTCCAAGACAGGAATGCTGTTTTATAAATTTCACTGGGTGTCTAAGCAACTTAAATCTTCTTTACTACTTCACAACCACTAGCAAAATCACGATGCTACAAAATGAAAAAGGGGGAAGCACACTCCTCACTAGTTTTCTGCACCTGAAACCGCACCCGCAAATCAAATAGATAAGAGCAGTAGATCGATTATTGTACTACCATTCGAACCCTCGCTACCTTAGGCATGTCATCCATCAATAAAGTTGGGGCATAGCCTTCATGCATTTACTTTCACTTTCTTCATCAGCTTTATGAATTCCCCAAAAGCTGCAGTAAAAAGTTTCCGTTAATCAATACTGGTTTCTTAATGTCACACAGTATGCATGCACCATCAGAAAGAAATGGAAAAGGGTGTGTAGGGCAAGAAAATTAGCAGCGAAGAAGACGAGGAAAAAAATCACACGCTATGAGCTCTACCTTCCCCTTGCACCAGTGTATTTGATAATTGTAAAATAGAAACATAATTCACATTACCATAATCTGAATCACGAGGTCCTGGGGATGCTTCAGGGTGGTATTGAAGAGACATGATGTTTTGTGCAGGATAGGCAAGACCAGCGCAACTTCCGTCATTGAGATTGACATGAGTGACTTCTACACCTTCTGGAAGTGATGCAGGGTCAACTGCATAGTTGTGGTTCTGCCACAAAAGAAAATGCAGAAAAAGTTTTTGAATTCATAGATGTAACTCATATGATTAACCAAAAGAAAAAAAGGAAAACAAATTCTAGCACAACAAGCTTAAGACACAATATACAGTATTACCTATCACTTGGCATGCTTACTTCAAGATGCCAATTGAGTTCTTTCAAATTTATTCAAATATAACAGTACTCAAATATTGTCACATTATATTTAAAAGAAACTTATGTGATTTAGTTACCTGAGCACTGATCTCAACATGTCCACTACGAAGGTTACGTACTGGATGATTTCCTCCATGGTGACCAAACTTCATTTTAAATGTTTTACCACCTAATGCCTGGCCAAGCAATTGATGACCCATGCAAATTCCAAAAACAGGAACCTTTCCAAGTATCTCCTTGACTGTTTCAACAGCATAAGGAACAGCAGACGGGTCTCCAGGGCCATTGCTGAAAAGAACCCCATCTGGTTTCCTCTTAAGAATCTCTGATGCTGGCCATGTTGAAGGCACAACAGTAATTTTACAGCCATGGGAAGCCAAGCGCCTAAGTATGTTATGTTTGATTCCAAAATCATATGCAACAACCTTCAATCCATACACAGAAAAAGAGTAAATTAAGACCGAACTACCAACATGGCAACATTGGGGCAACAATTTTAGTAATTCAAAATTCAAATAGAACTTTATGAGAACTTACATGAAAAGCCTCTCCATCTCTTCCACTGTAGTTAAATTCCCACTCTGAATTTGTTTTATCCACCCATTCATAAGGTTCCTTGCATGACACACCACTTATTAAATCGACCCCTGCAAAATTAAATTAAAACCATGAGCCCTTAGCTGTGCAATATTTACCAACTTCTTTAACTAACTCCATGAGATCCTTACCAACAATATCCCATGAACGAGACATTTCTAATAATTCCTCATCTGTTTTCGACTCTTCTGTGCTCAAAACACCAACAAGGCTTCCATCTTGTCTTAATCTGCGGGTGATAGCACGTGTGTCAACATCATCTGTTATATAATCAGCCAGAATCAAAAGAAAAAGTCAGAAGTTGCACAGATAAAGCATATCACACCAATTAACATGATTCAGAAAAAGATTAGAGCCTGGTTTAACTTACAAATTCCCATGATATTCCTTTCGGCTAAATAATCACCAAGTGTTTCTGCACATCTCCAATTTGAAGTACTGCAAAACATGCAACACAATAAACAAAACCAATTTACTGAAAAAAGTGAGCAGAGCTAATCAGAAAAGTTAGCAAAAGGAAGCATACCTGATGCTTATACTTCTGATCACTAGACCACCAAGGAAGCATTGCTTTGATTCTTCATCATCTGATAGGAAACCCATCAATATGAGAATTCACATATCCAAGTCAGCAAAATTTTTAAGACAAAGAAAAAACCAACCTACCAAAATTCACACCAGTATTTCCAATATGTGGGTTTGTCATCAGGACAAATTGACCAGCATAACTAGGGTCTGTAAGAATTTCCTGATACCTGCATATAAATGTAGAATGCCCATATATCAGACTCCATGTATGTTCTTAGCAACTCTAGAAACATTCAACCCAACCAAAGCTGTGGTAACTACTTCCATTCATGCAAGCACTTGATCTTCTTTACCCAAAGTGTGATTATCTTCAAGCCCTTGGGGTTAGCCCAAGTGGTGACGTTGGGTGGATAATGAGTTAGGATTTGGACAGGGCAAGGGTTTTATTCCCTCCAATGTAACAAAATAACAATATTTATTATCTTCACTTTCAGATGGAAGAAAGACAGGAGATGTATAATATTTCAATAAGTTGGCCAGGTTGTACTCAGACGACTCAATAATTACTCAAAACATTTAGTGACTGACTTATGTAGTAATTTGACTAATAGACAGTATCCATGCAAGTTAACATATTCACACATTTTGAGGTGGAGAAACCATGGCTTGTAGGAAAGAACATTTCACAACTATGTAATGTGCAGGAAGGTACTTGGCACTTAGTTTGACTCATTTGAACGACAATTGCTAGCCAATGGTCTAGGGGCCTAACAACACCCTCCTTTCCCTTAACAACAAGTGTGGTGGGTGTGTTTCAGGATTGAGTGCCTGGTATGTGCATGTAGTTTACCTATTAGGAAGTAGGAAGAAATTAAAAGGCAATGCCATCCAGGTAAGAAGACATGGAGCCTATATATCTCTTCTACCAATACGGGGGGAAATCATGCATGTTTGTTGGCCCATAGAATAGTTGGGAGTCAACTATTACTGTTGGTTGAAAAACTTTATAAAAAAATTCAAAATATATCTACATGTATAAACACAGAGGAAAACATAAGCTGCTCATTCAACCTGCCCAAACTCCTGTGGCCTGGGACACATAAATATCAACACCAGCTCCACAGTAATCACTCAGATTCCATCTATTTTGCACCTAGGAAGGAATAAATCAACTAGTCTGAGAAATCAAAACACGCCACGACATGTAAAATCAACCTCTCCATATTCCTATACCCTTGGGCACACAAATATCTATTATTTATTTATATATACTCAGAAATCACACCAACGCGCTTTGCTCATTTGAACTCAAAACTGGGGCCTCATGCGGAACCCAACAATCGTTGCGAGGCAGGAAACTCTAGCAAATAGCTAGGCTATCTTGATGAATCAAACCCCAGACCACGTGGGGGGAAAACCACAGGCCTGACCACTCGACTATAAAAATATGAACATCGGCACCATGGTAATGACTCAAATTCCGTCTTTTTTTGGTCTTTAGCAATGAATCAACTAAATCAGGAAAAGGAAATGATACCATAGTAGGGAAGTAATTGCTGGAATAACTTAACGTTGCAATAGCTTTCAAAAAGACTAGGAAATACTCGTGTAAGTAAATATACTGCTCAAGTCAATATAGGAGGGTCCATGCTGAAAGGTTGAGAAACCCTTTGTATTATAGCAGCTCAATCCCACAAGAAAGAAAGTGACATGATAGTTGACATGTTAAGATAAATTCCTGGAAATGCACCATTAAGTCATCTTACCCGGTCAAGGATGTGTTGAATACAACTTCACCAACTTGGGTTCCCGAAGCACCAAATGACTTTGCTCTCCAGATTGAACCATCTTCAAGCACAAGTCTAGCATCTGAAGTCTTCCAAGGTCTCTCTGACAAACCTAAATCATAAAAAATAATAGAAGTGTAGAGATCAAAGTATAAGGGTCTAGCATGCTAAGATTTTCTTGTGGAACAGCGATGAAAAATACAAATGGGAAGGGAGAAAGTTCGGTATTAAAGATTAAAAAAAACATTGCAATAGTAACCCCGTATTAGTAAGGAACTAACAACATCTAATATTATAAACTCTTGAAACTTCTACATAGAATGTAAAAAATCCTACTGTGCAACACATATGATGCCGAAATTTGCAGTTCAACTGATTGTTTATTCATCCAAAACATGTTTTCTGAACATAAGAACAAGAATTACATAGCTGAATGACTTGTGGATTGTTTAACCAAACAAAACCATCATTTTGTATATTTATTTTCAATTAAAATTTCCATGGCACCCAATCTACTTGCCCTTCAATACAATTACTGTGAAATTAACTGTCAGTGCATTAAATATAATCTTTAAAAATTAAAAAAAAAATTCAGATAAAGAACATTTCAACCCTGAGGCACACTAATGGGCTGGAACAGTTGGCATAACCAAGAACAACAATTGAAATGAGGGGAATGAAAGAGTACTCGCAGTACCTGGGACCGCGTTTGCGGTGGCGGAGGAGCATCTGAGAGTGCAAACCCTAAGCTTTGTAGGGTTTGGAGACTTTGGAAGAATGAAAGTCGACGGGTTTCTTAGAGCTAAGTTGAAAGCAGCTGTGGCCATTCTCTTCTTCTTCTCTCTCTGTGCCTGTGATGGTGGTGGTGTTTCAGAGAGTTCAGGACTGAAGTATCAGAGAGATTCGACCAAAGAGAAAAAAGAAGTTTCTTCTGACAGCCAAAAGATTGTAGACACTTTTATGTCCAGGCCGCCGGCAGCAGGAGCAACGCTACGCTTTGCTTTAATTTTTAGGGGCATTTGCTAGCTCACTTTGTTTTGTTTTTTATGTTAACAAGGTTTAAAAACTTGGATGACTGAAAAAACCCTCTTTATTCGGTTTTATAATCTTGGTTTTTTTTTTTTTTTTTGTTTTTGCTCTTTTTTCACTTTTATTCTAAAAATATCTCTTGCATTAAAGAGATAGGAACAATAAGAACATTTCCACTCATTTGCCATGACAAAAGTTAAGGGGAGGTAAGTGTTGTTACTATTCATATGAATAGTGGTTGTCCTATCAATTTTTTTGTTGGTTTTCCACTCATTGCTATGGCAACCCAAGGGTATTCACATGAGATATCACGAGAGGAATTTGTATAGTGTTTTGGTATGAAAAGTGAATAATATGGCTAGGTATTTATAAAAATAAAAAAATTCTGAAATTGTTATTATTTTTTTCAGAATTTATTTATATTTTTCTAAATTTGTTTTCATTTCTGACATCATAGACCTCAGGCAACAACTCGAGTTCTTGCCTTCGGGCCTGCAAGGGATTGGTGGAGCCCACACCTTGCCTAGGATGTTTTGTATCGCTAGAAACAGCTTGAAGGGCCTAGGCCCCCTCATGCCCGAGCTGGGTGGTGCGGTGGAATTGCTCTAAGGAGACACTGTCTGAGACTCTAAGATAAGTGCTATTATAGAGTAAAAAGAATGTTGATTTTCCCACTTCCCTTTTGTCCATTTACACTCTCTTTTGTTTTTTTTAAATACTTTTTACGAGCATTTCCGCTCATTTGCCATGGTAAAAGGCAAGGGTTGTTACTATTTATGTGAATAGTGCGAGTCCTTGCAAAAGGCAAGTTGGGTTTCCACCCATTGCCATGGCAAAGGGCAATTATTATTCACTTTAAATTTATTTTATTTTTTTATACTTAATGATTAATTCGGATAAGATTTTCAGTTATTACGTGTTAATATTTATTATAAAATTCACATTGCATATTTCAAATAAAATTTTCGGATAAAATTTTTGATTGCCACGTGTCCATATTTATTATAAAATTCACATTTCAGATTTTGAATAAGATTTTTAGTTGCTACAATTGACAACAATCATCCATATCCTCTCTATCCTTTCATTTCTCATATTTACAAAACACATTCTACTTTCAATGTCTTACATGAGGAGGTTGTTGGAGAGGGCCGAGCGAGAAAATGAAGAAAGAATGCGTAAACGTGCTGAAGAAGAAAGGGAGTGGCAAGTAGATGATGATCAAGTGCCATGGCAGTGGGTATGCTCGATCAATCAAGCCAACACCACCATGGTTCACAACCCGACCGTGACCCAAACATGGACAAACGTAGGCACTCTAGAGGTAAGAATCTCTTGAAAGATTACTTTATCCCAAATTCATTGTACTCTAGTTTTGATTTTTCTAGGGTGATATAGAATGCAGCCCCATTTGTTCAATAAAAACATGCATAATGTTTGCAATTGCAATGCATACTTCGTTTAGAAGTATGATGCTACTCGGGTTTTGGGTTTTCTTTTGGAGCAAAAACTTACAGCTTCTTTACGAATGCTGGTGTTTAATACATCTACAGACTAGGTGGATGAGATTGCTAGGATGAGGAAATCTACTATCCTAGAGAGCTTGGTCAGATTATGTGATGAAATCGAAACTATCTACACTAGGGATTACCTCCGGAAACCTACGCCTAGGGACCTCCAAAGGCTTCTACAAAAAACCGAGGCTCGAGGTTTCCCAAACATGATTGGAAGCATCGACTACATGCACTGGCAGTGGAAGAATTGCCCAACTGCCTGACATGTAGATTATGAGAATAGGAAGGGCCAAAAAAGTATCATTCTGAAAGCCGTTTCATCATTCGATACCTAGGTTTGACATGCCTTTTCGGAGATGCGGGATCTCAAAAAGACATAAACGTGCTCAGTCAATCCCCGGTGTTCAACGATGTGTTGAGAGGTCAATCCCATAAAATTACGTATGAAATCAACAATACCATCTACTCAGGTGGCTACTACCTAGTAGACAAAATTTACCCGAGGTGGATGACATTCATCAAAACAGTATTGCATCCCCAATCGGAGAAGGATAAATACTTTGCAGCCTATCAAGAGGGTTATAGGAAAGATGTGGAAAGATGTTTTGGTATTCTCCAAGCTTGGTGGGCAATCATTAGGGAGGTTGCTTGTAGGTTTGATGAAGAGGTGCTTCGGAGCATTATGATGACGTGCATCATCCTCCATAACATGATTGTGGAGGATGAGTATGATTATTAGAGATGTTCAAACCCGATCCGATGAACACGACATTGACAAGAATTTATGAACGGCCTGTGGGACAAATGGACAACCACTGGAGCACGGACCGTTGATTAGGGACAATCATTATGAGAACAACATGATTAACCGTTACACAGAAATGCAATCTTCTTATGTTCACGAAACACGTCAAGTTGACTTGATGGAGCACTTATGGGCGTTGAGAGACAATCACGGTCAATAAAGTCAAGTTTAATGCTTAGTTTTGAATTATGCTTAGTTTGTGTTTTGTTTTGAATTATGCTTTCTTTGTGTTATGTAATGAATTATGTTTTATTTTGATGTATGCAATGTTTTTAAATAAATAGCTATATTATTGAATGCTTTCTTTATTCAATAAAAGACAAGCAATATAACTAATTAAGAAATACAACTAATTCAATAAAAGAGCAATACAACTAATTAAGAAGTAGCAACTCTATCAATACAACCTAATGGTTTTCATCATTTAACTAATTCGTGTTGCTAGGTCCAACGTCAATGAAAAATATTTTTCTCATAACATCCCTTCGTTCTTCCTTCCAAAATGACTTTCTTTCATGGGACATATGGCTTGTATTCATGGTCGTGGTTTCTCAATCTTTATTGTCCATGTCTTGTTTATGTGCATACTCCCTTTCTCTTGCAAATGCTTCATCTCTTGCCTAGTCAGTCTCATCTCTTTTCATGTCTTTCTCAATTATTAGTGTGTCATTGATAGCAATTTGCTCCAAAAATTTTGCACAATCATTGTTCGAAATGCCCCCTCTCTTGTTTTTTGTCGCCTTTCTCCCAATAGGCCGTGGATCCTTTTGGATTGGTGAGTCTTGATTCATCGGCAAGTCCAACGGCGAATTCAATGCCAGTGACACTACTACAAAAATTGAAATAGACGACGAGAAACACTGTCATCTTTTTATTTTTATTTTTTAAGCCGTTGTTAAATCAACAACCATCTTTTTGAATGTCAAACTACAACGGTAATTAACCGTCATCTATTGAATCTAAAGACGACGGTTTTTAAAAGAACTGTCGTTTATTAGATGCAAAGACGGCAGTTTTTCTAAAAGAACCTCATCTATTAGATGTAAAGACGACAGTTTTTCTGAAAGAACCGTCGTCTTTATATGTAGTGGACGTCACTTCATTTATTATATCCAAAGACGTCGGGTTTGTTTAAAAAACCGTTATCTATTAAATGTAAAGACGACGATTTATTGTCTATTAACTCTAAGACGACGGTTATTAACCATAAAATTGACATAATTTTACATTTTAGTTTTTTTGTGGTTGTTTCCAATGGTATCAAAAATATATACTGAAATATGCTATTACCCACGCCATACATATATATACTCAAAAATTGTTTCTTTCATAAATAGAATATCAAGAGTACAATAAAACAAAATAAAATCTAAAAAATGAAAGTACTCTAAGGCTGCTAGCTACAAGCTTCAAGCCTAATTACAATAAATACACCAAAATTCCTTTACTTAATTATCCTTCAAGTCAAGTTATCCATATGTATATAGAGCTATATAGTCATCATCACCAATTTTCCTTTGCATTTCTTCAACTTTTACCACTAGGAGTAGCTTCGTTAGAATCACTTTCATGGCCTAGGGAACTGCTTAACAAGCCAAAATAATTTAATAGTGAATCCAGATAACATTACCAATAATGAAAGGATTATTAATATAGTGCTACCTAATATAATTACTTAACTTGAAACAACCAGAATCATAGATCAATAGAATAATGAAAACCTGGAGTAAAAGAGTACTATATTCTCTATTGGATGCTGATTAACTCCAAAATTTGAGATATAAGTCTACAAATTTGGAATATTTCAAGTATCATGTGACAGAAAATTCATACCATGGTTGTTGGAGGAAGCCTGTATAACACCATGATAAGATCCTTTAAGAGCCAGGACCTAAAATAAACAACTCCTACGTCAACAGAATTGAAGAAAATCTGACCATAACTTCCAAAGTTACATCACTTTAGCGGATCGTTACAATAGACTTAGCCTAACTAGGGAAAAAGTAGCCACGCAATCATAACTAAGAAAAAGCAGCTGCTTAGAAAATTTAGCTTATCTAAAGCTTAGACCATAATTCGTACCCCATCCACCTCACATAAACTATTCTAGTACTAGCTAAACATATACAAGTGAAACAAGGGAGATAATAACATTGAATTCAGATTATAAGTCTAACAATTGAATCCATATGGTGCCAAATAAAATACCAGATACTCATGCTCCAATGCTGGAGATACTAAGTATAAATGCCAAAATAGTGTGTGCTTTCAGTATCATTTGTCATCTCAACTATTTAGGAATATTTTCCGACAAAATTTCATTTACTCATACCAATTCAGTTGATCCACAAAAGCCAGAGCGAGCTTAGGAATTTTTTAACCAACATAACTTTTTCTTTATTGGTTTCAGGGAGCAGAGATTTTATTAAATAAAAAATTATGCATTAGAAAATTACTTGTTGAATTCCATGTAATGATACTTGTAGCTGTTGTACCATGGGGCAGTAAGACAATGAACCATGGTTTCAACTTGATGGGGGAAATGTAGAAACAAGAGTTGATTTAACAAATGTAGCAAGTATCTAGTTATGTCATCACCTAATTACTTCATAGACGATGATTTTGACAAATATACAGATGCCAAATTAACAAATTAGACAGTCAGAATGAGAGCCAAATGGTAAGTCAAATGTAAAACCTGAGAGTTCTTGGAACGAGCAGAGGGGTGATCACTCAAGCTTGGGTGGACTTCATTGACTGTCTTAGAGAAATCAATTGACATTACAATTGAGAGTTCATAGATAGTGTTGACATGTGTGTATGCAAATGTAAAATCTGCACAAGGCACATCCAGAAATAAAAACAAGAAATTCAATAGCAAACACAAGAGAAATTCAAAACCCAAGTTAAATTTAAGATTATCACTGCATTTAGTACCAATTATTTTACACAAATGGATAGTCTTATCATAATCTTGTATTTTTTTTACACATGTTTAGCCTCCCAAAATCATGGTTAGGATTTCAAGCCAAACAAGAAACTCATCTAATTGCATAATCTTAAAACCAGGGCCACTTTCCAGGCCCTGCAACTCAACAACAAAACACTAAAAGGTACAAAAAAAACATATGAACTAGAATTTCTGAACAAAATAAAAGCAAAAAGGTTAAAAAATGAAACTACTGAACCATATACAGCTTAAATCAAGTCAGATCTAACCACAAAAACATACATCAATAAGCACCGAAATTAAAGAACAAACAAATCATAACCCTGTATCTCAGACAAACAACCATCATAAACAAGAAAAAATAAAATTTGAAATCAAATCAGAAGAATCCTAAGCTAACCCTAAAAAAGTAGCTTCGTACCTTTTTGGTCTATGAGGAAGAAGATCTAATCTAAAGCTCGTAAAATGGAAGATGGGAATCCATTTGAGGGCTTAAAAATGGTTGCGACGAGGAAGGGTAACTGCCATGGGAAATGAGGGAGATGGCGAATGCAGCGAGCTCGGTGGACTGAACAACGCGATGGAGATGGTGATCTCGGCGAACTCGGTGTCCTAAACGACGTGACAGAGATGTCGATCTTGGCTAGTTCAGTGGACGGCGAGAGGGAGATGTGCTTCATCAATGTGAGGGAGAGGATTTTCTGAAAGGATCATGAGAGAATTTGAGATAGTATAGTGTTTTGAGCGAGCAAGGGTTTTTTGAAAAGCTCCGCACTTGCGAACTTAAAGTGAATTTTCGTTTAACGCCTCCTAAAAACACGATGGTCCTAATAAGGTATCATCGTAATTTTAAAAATCAACTCAATAAATCGGCGTATTAGGTACTTTAAAACAACGGTTTTATAACATTTGTTGTCTTTTAAAATACTAAGACAGTTTTTATATAAATGGTCGTCTATTGGGTGTCGTAGTTTAACAAAATTGTAGTAGTGTGAATTGTAGAACGGCGTCTCATTCAACACATCGTTCGGACCTGTGGGAATAATTTTGAATCTCAAACAATTCTTCACAACCTTCCAACATTGGTGATTGTTGAAAGATTTTTGGCCTTGGCCAATGACACTAAACCACATTTGTACTTGCATAATCTATAATAAAAAACAAATTGGAAATGCAAGAAAATTTCTAAAATATATGACATTAAATTTAATAAAACAGCAATTACAAAAAATGTACCTCGTTGCCAAGATTTTCGCCACTTCAAACGTTGTCCCTCACTTTTGCCGACGCATCTCTCCATTTCCCTAACTCTTTATTCAAAATTTTCCACCTACTAGCCAATGCCATTTCCATACGAGTCGAACTCAATCTTTCACAAAATTCGGCATGAGTTTTTCTCCACATATGAGAGAACTTCATCTCATTGCCCGTGATCGGGCAATGAACAACTTGGACCCAACATTCACACAACAAAACATCTTCCGTGGTTGTCCAAGACCCTCCGGCTTCTATGGAAGAGGCCATTTGTATTTTTACACAAATGAAATTTAGTAGTATAAAATTTGGTCTGGAAAGTGAATAATATTGGAAGGCGAAGAATTTGTTTGAAGATTTTGGTGTGGAAAGTGAATAATATTGGTAGGTATTTTTAGAATAAATTTTAGAATTTTTTGGTATTTTTTCCAAATTTTTTCAATATTTTTTACACAAAATTTGGCAACTGTTGGATTGGAGTAGAAAGAATGGATCAGACACCCTTGGAAGCGCCATGTGGCTTCTATCCGTTAGGGGAAGGCAGGGCTGACAACAGGCTGGCGTCAACCACAAAAATTAGAATTTTTTTTATTGTTGGCGTGTGTGACATACAAGGGAGTGTAAGTGGACAAAAAAGTAGTGCGAACTTACAATTTCCAACAAAAGTAGTGTAAATGGACAAAAGAGAAGTGGAAAAATCAGCTTCTAATAAAAATTGTGAAAAATGGCTATTTTAGCACAAACCCTTTTTTTCCAGAATAATTAACAAGCGAGTTCTAATTTCTTTTTAGGATTAACTACAATAAACCACCCAAACTATGGGGGAAATTTCAAATTCATACCCAACCTTTAAAAACTTGTTTGACCGGTACCTGAACTTATGGAAACCTTTCATAAGATACCCTCTGTTACTTAGTCCGTCACGAGCCTCATTAAGTGATGATGTGGCACTGTCTGACATTGGTATTTTGTTTGATACGATCCATTTTGAATGGTCACCATAAGCGGCTCAAAACCCAACTTGCCACGTCTAATTTACGCTCAAATGTAGAAGGAGTCGATGCATTCCCCAAGACGACGATGAAGCCCTTTTCTCCAAATTGAACCCAAATTTGAACCAAAAAAAAAACTCTTTCATAGTGTAGAAAAAAGAACTTTTTTTTTCCCACTACCAAAAGCCTTTGATTCTTGTGGATTAAAGAGGTTAAGGGAATAAAATCTTGAAAGTCTGAGTTGTTATCGGTGATGGCTTGGTGTAGCGGACCTCAACAAAAAGTGAGACCAGAATACGGTAAGTTTTGCACCCTACTTTTGCAATTGGGGGTTCTATTTATAACTTCCGAATGATGGGGCCTTGTTTTTGGTTTTGTTTATTGGCGTGGTGCTCTTGTGTTTTGTGCTTTTATGGTTTACCCTTTTAGGGTTTGCTTTGCTGGTTTGGGGTTTTTCCATTTGTTTATGTTGTTTCCTTTTACGGGTTGTGACTGGGGTGTGTACTAAAAGGTGGGTTTTTGCCACTTTGTATAGTAAACGCAATGAGTTGTGTGGTCCCAATGAATACTATACTATATTTCCTATCTGATTACATGTGCATTTTGGTATTTTTAGATGATCTTGATATGTTCACAGTCACCATGTATCATGGGGGTAGATAGAGTGACAATTTTTATGTTGGTGGTGATATTGCCTTTTTTGATTACGTTGGTAAGGACAGATTTTCTATGGTTGAAATAGGTTCTATAGTTAAGAAATTGGGTTATCTAGAGGGAATTATACTATACCGTTATAAGTTACATGGGTCTTCAGACTCTCTCACCTTGCTTCAGTGTGATGAAGATATCGTAGATATGTGTGCATTAGTTCCTGAATTTAGAGAGTTTGAGATATATCGAGAGCATGTAAACTGTGACGTTGAAGAGTTCCTTAAAAGTCAAGCATCCCAATCCAGTGTTTTAAAGGTGGATACAATTACGAAGTCTAAAGTGGAAACTGAGGAAATATATGTGATAAGTCCATAAATTTACAAATTTATGTACTCTTTATACTTAGTTTTTGTTGGAGAATTTGGTTTAAAAAGGACTTATTACTTTATTTTCTCAATTTTCAGCTTTCCAAAGCAAGTAATTTGTTTTCAATGGAAATACGACTTTTTGGTGGAGTTTTAGTACGAGACCAGATGAAAGCTAAGATCTTGAAGATGATTGTGGAATTTTTCTAGAATTTTCGGAGTAGACAATGAGAGCAGTTTTTGAAGTTAAGTCAGCATAAGATGCAATCCCGTCAAAACTGTGCTGCTGTGGAAGAATGACTATTTGAAGACTTTCCTGATTTTTCCTCAAGGCGTGTGATATATGGCTGGAAAGATAAGACAGAAATATACAATTTACATATTTTTGCTGAATTTTCTTGGAGGAGAAACAACCCCAAACGTACCTGCAAAGTAACTGACGTGTTATCCCAGTCCAAGTTGGAAGAGTACCACAATTGGCTAAGTTTTATTGTTTCTTCCTTATGTTTTTGCTTATGTCGAATTCTATGATTATGTGTAACTAATTTTATTTTTCTAGGGCATGATGTAGCCCTAGTATGATAATCTAGTTTTCTTATTTTACCTATCTATTGATTGTCATTTGATGTTGGATTCTTAATCACTGTGCTTAATAACTTAGTTGATTATCTTGATGCTTGATCACCATCTAGACTTTTAATTGAGTTAATCGGATGCAAATTAGAGCAAATACCATACTTAATTTGAGGCTTGCTTCTTGTGATTAGGATTTGTAATTCGTCTAGGGTAAATACCATACTCCTAGGGTTTACATGCTTGTTCGAGGTTTTCATTGATCTTAATGAGTTTCTATGTGTTGATATTTGACCTAAATACGATAGGCAAATTGCATGTAGGAATATACGAGTTAGCCTAAATACCATAGGTAATTCATGAAAAAGGAAAACTAAGCGGCGACATCAAATTGTTAGTTAATGGGTAGGTGAATAGGAGGCTAGATCGGATTACTAGTGTTGAATTCATTGTCCTAGTGCTTTTATCAATTTGAATTTCTCATCCCTGTGTTTCGTGACTTTCTACATATTTTGTCTTTTAATTACGTTGTTAATTAAATCATTCTTTCAAAAACCCCTTTCGTGTTTATGTGAGTATGCTACGTGTTTAATTTCTTGTTTATATAGTTAGAGTAGTTAAACTATTTTGTGAAGTAAATTAGGTTAGACTAATTGGTAGTTGAACTCAATCCTCGTCGGAATGACCTCGTATTTGCCATACTATATTACGATTGACCTTGTGCACTTGCGAGTATAATTTGTGTTTAGACTAATCTTTATAATCTCCATTTTTTAGGTTGTCTAAAATTCACAACAAAATGAGGACAATCCCCTAGCAATTATACCAAGTGGAGTTGAATTTGGGTTTAAGACTGGAGTGGTGAATGTAGTTGAAACTGGCTTTGAGGCTGGAAATGTGACTAAATGAGGAGGCATTGGTAAGGGAGAGGAGAAAAATTAGGATAGGAAAGGCAGTTGTCATAGAAGCATCTAATTCTTCTAATTCATATGATGGTTATCCTTTTGACGACTTAGAATTGGTTGATACTGGCTATGTAATGCATGAGAATGATGATATTGACCTAAATACCTTACTAGGAGATGATTGGCTTGGAGGTTTTTGATGCACAAAGAAACAAGGGCAGACTGCATGTGAGGCCCAAACTGATGATGCCAATGAGACTCAAGAACCTACAAATGAGCATGAGGAACCTGCAAATGGGCTTGAGCAAGGTGCAAGTGGGCCTGAGAAAGGTGCAAATAGGCATGAGCAAGGTGCAAGTGGGCATGAACAAGGTGTAAATATGTCTCAGTCTAGGAATGGCTTGGAGGGGTTTTTTGGCAATGAATTTAAGCCACTAGAAGATATTGAGGAAGGTGACCATATTAATGCTGAGCTCAGGGCTGTATCAGATAGGGAGGAAGATAGTGAGTCAAAGAGGTTCACAGAATACAATTAAGAGACAGACAAGCATGATCTATAGTTTGAGTTAAGATTGATGTTTTTTGATTGTCATGTGTTTAGAAAGGCAATCAAAGCACACTGCTTGAAGCATGGGAAAGATGTCACCTATAAGAGGAATGAAAGATACAAACTGAAAATTCCTTGTAAGACAAAGCCATCTCCATGGCAGATTTATGTATTTGCTAAGAGTTCTGTGGGTAGGACCTTGGTTGTGAACATTTACAATCCCAACTCTATTTGTACCTGAGTTTGGGAGAATAAATAAGCCACTACCAAATGGATAACTGACATATTCATCACCCTTAAATTCCACCAAAGTCACTTGTGGATGTTGTTTATAAGGAATAGGCAGTTGGTGTATCACACATGAAGTGTTATAGAGCCAACAGGGATGCTCTTCAGTTGATACAGGGGACTATGGATTCACAATATAGCAGGCTATGGGATTATTATGAAGAAGTGAAGAGAGCTAATCCAGGAACTACTATGAAAATTAAGTGTGATTTCAATGGAAAGGATGCAGTGTTTTAGAGACTCTATATCTATTTAGGAGGGTGTAAAAAGGGATTCAAGGAAGGTTGTAGGCCTTTAACAGGGTTAGATGGTTGTCACTTGAAGGAGTCTATGGGGGACAACTTTTGACAGCCATTAGAATAGATGCAAACAATGAGACTTAGGTCATTGCTTATGCAGTGGTGGAGATGGAGACAAGGGACTCTTGGACTTGGTTCCTTGAACTACTAGCAGCTGATGTTGGAATTGTTAACTCATATGGGTGGGCTTTTATTTCTGAAAGGCAAAAAGGATTGCTTGGAGCATTTGAAGATGTAGTACCTTATGCTGAGCATCGTTTTTGTGCTAAGAATCTATTTAGCAACTACAACAAACTGTACAAGGGCAAGGCACTGAAGGACAGCTACTGGGGTTGTGCAAGAGCCACTATAGTTCAGCAATATCAAAAGGTAATGGATCATCCAAAGACTCTTGATGTTGGGGCCTAGGAGTGGCTAGTGTCTAAACCTCCACAATAGTGGTCTAAATGCCACTTCAACTCAGGAGTTAAATGTGACATGCTCATCAACAACTTGTGTGAGTCATTCAACAACACAATTAAGGCTGCAAGAGATAAGCCAATCATCACTTTAGTGAGATGATAAGAATTCTACTTATGATAGTAGAATCGCATCCAAAAAGAGCTTGATGATGAGTTATTCTTACGAAATATGCCCTAACATTTTTAAGCTATTGCAAGATAAAAAAGTTATATCTGGGCAATGCACTGTGATGTGGTCATAAGGCTCTAAATTTCAGGTGGATGGTGGCAAAGGGGATCAATATGTGGTGGACTTAGACAGACACACATGTTCTTGTAGTGAGTGGGACTTGTCTAGTATATCATGTCCTCGATATTGTTGTAGTACAGTACAAAGGTGGTAAACCAATTGAGGAGTGGGTCAATGCATGCTATAGCGCAGCAACCTATCTTGGAGCCTATGATAACCTTATACAACCAATCAATGGTCCAAATCTGTGGGGCAGGTCTGAGCATGAAGCTATTAAGCCATCTTCATATAGTGGACAACTAGGAAGACCAAGGAAACTAAGAAGAAAGGAGCCTGAGGAGAAAACAGCCAAATGTGGGAAGAAATGGCTTGGAAAACAGGGCATTGCTATGAGGTGCAGCTACTGTGGAGAAGAAGATAACAACACCAAGACTCATCACATGCATCTACCTCCAAATCAAAAGAAGAAAACTGGAGAAGCATCTGTCTCCAAAGGGAAAAGAAAAGGGGGAAAAAAAAAGCTGCAATGGGTAAGAAGACAAATGAAGAAGCAAGTCATGTAAGTCTCTAAACCTTAGTCTCTTCATTTATAAGCTATGCTTGTATGGTTACTGTGACTTATAAAATTCCCTTAATGTTTACAGACAAAAAACCCATCAACTGAACCAATTGCAATGAGGATAAGAAGGTCCATATCCACTAATTCAATAAAGGCACCCACCCAGGTTAGTAACAATTAATGTGGGATTCATTTAACTGCACATGTGGTGGTTCTAAGTATCAACTTGCATGAAATGCACATTTGTGTTATGTAGGCCAGCCAAGTAACAAGTGACCATGGAGAAAGACCAAGTCAACCCATAACTAGAGGCAGAAAGAGAAAATAATTATGCAAAAACAAGTCAAGGCAGAAGATATTTGGATCATAGTTTTAGTTTTAGTTTGGTTATGTTTTGCATTTTGAGATGGGAAGAATTATGTTCAACTCTAAAATGGTATAGTTTTAAATGGGAATTGATGTATTTTCATATGGGAACTTGTGTTAATTGTGAGTTGGGTTTGAGATTGGAACTTATTTTGAGAATTGAGATTGGTGCTTATGTATTTTGAGAATTGAGATTGGAACATGTGTATTTTGAGTGTATTGCAGATTGCAACTTATGTATTTTGAGACTTGAAACTTGAGATTGGAACTTGTGCATTTTGACAATGTTAATGCATAAATTACATTTCATTACAGCCAAGGCATAAATTACATTTCATTACAATTTTATCATACAAACTAAAGGTGTCAAATAGGATGAGCCGACCTAGCACGACACGAGCCCAACCCGTTTAAATAGGGCACAACACGGCAAGAGCACTAATATTAGTGGGCCGTGCTCGAGACAGGACGAAAGCTTGGGCCTAGTTGGAATCCAAAAATCAGATATAATGGACCAGGCCGGCCCTTAGCCAAACATGGACCGGGCCAACCCCTAGCCCAACATGGACCGGGCTTGGCTTGAGCCTACTTCAAGCAAGACTCGAGCCTGGCCCACTTAGCCTTTAATTTTTTTTTGTTGAAACAAAAGTCAAAACCCACTTAACAATGAAAATAGACTTGGAGAGTTGGACTCAAAGCATCGAAGCATGAAGAGCCGTGTGTGAAGAAGCGATGAAAACAAAGCGTCGTCTCTTCCTCTTCCTCTCGATTTTTGCATCGATACCCTTGGATTTGGTTGGAGGAAAAAGCCGTTGGCTTCTTCTTCCAACATATCATAAATCTTTAGGAAATACCCCTAATTATAAAAACCCTCTCTTTCTACATACTTGGATTTGCATGGTAAGAGCTTTAACCCTATAGTTTCTATGTTTGGTTACTCAAACTCTGTGAGAAACATTGATTGTAGGGTCTGAGCTTGCTCAAACACTAATAGAGTGGAGAAATCATTGCTTGCTCAAACTTTGTTTCCATGGAAAATATAAATATTCTTCAAGATTTATCGGGAAATTAGCAAATTGAAACTTTTGGCTTATATAAAGACGGTTTTTGTTTGCTACTTTAATTAGTTCTTGAGCCTGGTGGTAGAACATATACTATTTTTGTTTTGATTTTGATTTTTAATTATTTATCAAAGACAACAGTCTAAATTTTTTGGTTTTTTTGATGTGGATACACTACAAGGAAAAACCCTTTTGGCGACCAAACATATTTGGTCGCCTAATGTATGGTTTTAGTCGCTGATAAATATTGCCAACGAAACTTTCGTTGCAATCTAGCCTTCGTAGAAGGGTTGTTAACGAAATTGTAGAACACAAAATCATAGCAAAATAGTGTAGTGGTAAGTTAGTATCGTTCCACAGAGACTAAGACTAATTAACTGAGTACTGATTATGATTAATCCTAAACTTTATCTGGATGTTCGAATGATGAGGCTTTGATTAACAAGAATGAACTAACATAAACAATAATAAACTTCGGCAAACACTGATGGTATGAGCGCTAGGGTTCCGATTTCACCATAACCAATTCTACCTTATTCCTGTAGCCAGTTAATCTTAATTATTATCCATGTTAATGATAAATTTCCCTCAATTATTCAATATGACATGCCTGTCTATACCAAAAGTATTCCTACAACTATCCTACTCTATGTCTAGATGAAGAACTAAGAAGTAGAAACCCATTAAGTTCTATGGAAATTTATGGAAACCGCACAAGCCTCAATTAACCTTCCAGTTCACTCAAGTAACCTATGTTATCAATTACTAGAAGCAAAATCCTAAGTTGGATATTCCTATCGTCAACTCAAGCATCAAATCAATTAAGTGGTGATCAAGCACTCAAAGCATTAAGAACGATAAGAGATACTTCACATGCAAAATAATATCAAATTAACATAAACACATAAATAAGGTATTCATGGCTAGGCTACATCGTAGCCCTAGCAAAAAGGAAATTAGAACATGATAAACTTATTGAGAATCACAGAGTGGTTGATGGTAGACATGAAGATAAACTCGAAAACTCCCAAATAGCTCCAAGGTGACCGGCGACAGCATGACTTCTCTTTTCAAGAATTGGGTATTTTCGGGTAGTGAAAAGTATGGATCCCCTCTATGAGGCCAGCCCTATGCTATTTATAATACACAAATCCTTAACCTAGTTACAATCGAATACTACCAAAAATAGGTTTCCCAATATCTCTTTGATTGCTTCTCCAAATTCCACAAGGATTTGACCAAACTTCCTCCTTTAAGCTTTGACCGGTTGATTGCCTTCTAAGAAACATCTTCTTTGTCTCCAATTAATCCTTGTCATCACCCATTTCTCATAATTTCGTCGTTGATCCCTTGCCTCTTTGGACATGCAAAATTGATAAATGACGTGAAAGTCCAAGGGATTGGCGACCAAATAAATATTTGGTAGCATTTTACCATTGGCGTCCTACAGTTTGAGTCTCCAAAAGTGTAAAAGTTTGGTCACTAAAGTTATGTTTATTGGCAACCAAATAAAAATTTGGTATTGGTTTATATTTAATGTCAATATTTTTGGTCGCTTATAATAAAAGCTTTGGTGGGAAAATCTATCTACTTCCAAGTTTTTGTCTCAAATATTGAATTATTTTGTCGCCAAGTATGTTGATTTTGAGGTTTTTAAATTTTTTTAAAAAACTAAAAAATCTATATTTTATTGAATATTAATAATATGTTTTAATTTTTTTTTATAATTAAATTAATATAGTTTTTATAAAACTTTTATTACATGTCCCAAATAAAATTACCATATATAAGACTTCCGCAACTAAAAATTCTACAAAGTACATAATATATATCACCATAAAAACATATCATACTCCACGCAACATTTTCTTTTTAAAAGAAAAAGGGATTCATAAGCAAAATACAGTGACATGTACCTCCACTTTCCTTCAAAAACACACAAAAGTACTTCTTCATCTCTTGAAGTCTTAGGAACAGTTGCCACAAGCAACATAAACTTATGCATCCATTCATACCAAAGCCTACATAAAATTTTAGCTAAGTTTATGTACTACTTAATATATGGATGAGCAATGTGTGTATCACAATCATACTTACTAGTCAGAAGTATGGTGAATCTGACCAAAGTTACAAATCATATTCTTGATCACACATATCTTTGATTTGAAACAAAAACCACATACCAAAGTCAGATTGTAGGATTTGAGTCCATCAAAGTCACAAAATCACCAAGATCATCCATACCCAAAACAACCGAAAGGTTTAAAACCTACCTAATGACCATGACCAATATCTTCAAGACTAGTATACACACCATCATTACTACCTTCTTAGTTATCACCGTGATCAGTTGTAGAATCATCAGAATCTGAATAAGAAGAATCAGGTCGGACCCGAGGTCCCTTACCATTGCACTTACTGTTGCATTTACACTTCTTCCTAGATCTATCATTAATCCCAGCTTGCATCTGCTTAACGATGTCACAAAGTTTCTCCATAGTTTTTGAGAGCTTATTGTATCTCTCATCTTCAGTCACATAGTTTTTGCCATATCTACTTGTAGAGCGAGAACTAGTCTCCACTCGAATATTCGAGCCCAATCCGCGTATCCTCTTACCTGATCCAATCCCAAATTCTTTAGCCATTGTTGATGCTCTTTTTGGAAGGGTCAACTTAGATAGGGGAGTATTGGATCTTCAGTAGGGGAGAATTTGGAGAACTTGTAGAAGACAAGGAGGAAGAAGTAATTGTCAAGCTACGGACACCGGTGTGGTGCTTGTCGAAGGCTCTCCGATGCTTAAGTCAGCTATGTGTTGTAATTTTGGTAGAGTAACAGTAAATGTGAGAAAATAGTTCCCTTTTTTACTTGGGCACTGTTCCCTATTTATAGGGAAGTGAAAATGGGAGTTTTGCACAAAATTTCGATGTAGGACTTTGTGTAAGCCGATGTGGAGGTGACATGTGTCCCCGGAAATTAGGTTCGGTAGGCGGGAGCTTCTGCAGGTGGCTGCCGCTTCATAATAGTGTCTTCCTTCGGCATGTTAGAAGGTGTTGACGTCACTCTCCTTCTAAGGTTTTATCTGTGTGTACCTTTGGGGTACTTCAGTAGGGGAGAAAGCGTGTCAGCCTTGGTGCCCGTTGTTTTGGTATTGGATATACTTGGTTGATTATGGTGTAAACAGTAATCCCCAAAGTTTGCGGTCAAGAAGTAGCTTTTGGGTTGGGAACTTGTGAGATTTTTGTATAATCATGACCGAGCATTCTTGATTAAGTAAGAGCCGTAGGGCATTCCCTAGTCCCCTAAGTTGACAAGCTAGAAGGTGCACCAATCTATAAAGGTATGGCTCAGGTGCCAGAGATTGCTAGGCCTTCGGCATGGAGCCGGGGAGGGCCTATGGAATGACCTTAGTGTCATCAAGAGGAAATTTTGAGGCCTTTAGACCCTTGGCACTATCCTTGTTGTTCGACAAGGAGCCAAGGACGGTTTAGGCTTAGGCACGAGGTGTGGCCACCAGAAGGTCTTTTGCATGCCCTTTGGGCCTTTGGCAGTCCTTATCATTTGACAAGGAAGGATGGCGGGGCTTGGGCTTGGCTTGACTCAAGCTTCAGCAAGGGGAAGCGCATGGTGGGCTTAGGGTTTGTCTCAAGCTTCGGAAAGGGGAAAATTTTTGTGAGCCCTTAGGGCTTACAAACGGCTTGGCTAGACTTTGGGCAAGGGGTTGGGCCTCGTGGGTTTTGGCAAGGATTTGAGTTGGGCTTCGGTAAAGCTTCAGTAAGGCTGGGGCATGGGATTCAGCAAAGGCTTCAAAAGGACGTGCGCGAGGGATTTTGGAAGAAAGGAAGTGAGTCCTCCTTGTGCCGTTCAGCAAGGGTGGTTGGGAGGATTATTTGTGAAGCCTTGGCCCTACCATTCGATAGTTTTCACGAGCACACCCAGTTTCGGTACGGTAGGTTTTCTTTTCGAGCCCAACAGTTCGGCAGCACAGGGTGATCTAGAAAGGATTTGCTTTGTTTTCGAGCCCAACAATTCGGCAACAGAGTCCCTGCCGAACAGCAGGGTTGATTTGGAAAGAAAATCTTGAAGGCTCCTTGCCCGCCTTCAGCGCAATTTGAAAGGAGAAGTGCAGTTTGTTGCTGAAAAATTCGCGAGGCAAGGTGTGTAGTTTGTACCTCGGCAAGGTGTTACGGAGAAATTGGTGAGGTTGCGGTTTTGGCGATTCAGTGTGGGCTGTGCACGAAGAAGGGCCTAGGTTGTGGCACGAAGAAGGGCTGCTTCGGTAGGGATGATATTGTAGGTACTTTTCGTGAGCCCCTTTTCTTTATGCACGGACCTTGCCGTTCAGCAAGGCTGGTTCAAACCCTTTTTTTTTTTTTTTTTTTTTTTTTTTTTTTGGATTTTGGATTTTTTTTTTTAAATAAAATTTGAATGAATTTTGGAGCAGGTATAAGAAATTCAAGAGGGAAGGTGAAACGGTGCTAGGGTTTTTGCGTAACTCAAGGTGTCAGTATCTTTGAGTCCTTATATATAGAACCTTTGGGTGAATAAGGTAAAACACTTGAGATTTTTGTGAGAAAAATTTGGGAAAAGTGAGGAGAAAAGGAGATTTCTGGCGTGATCTTTGTGGTGGTGCGGTGGTCAAAGTGATTTCCAACAGCCGTTCTGTGGTGGTGCAAAAAAGGTTAGAGCTTGTTTCTCTTGGATTTTTGGATTGAAATGTCTTGTTTGGTGTGAATATGTTGAACATTGGGATGAACATATTGAATATGGATATGAACTTGTTGAATATCGTTCGTAGAGCAAAGAGCATGTAGGGGTGCCATCCTTTTTTGCGTTTTTGCATTTCGATCCTTCTTGCATGTGGATTAGTCCCTTTTTCTTGTTTCTACATATTGTAGATGTCTGAGAGCTTGGGTAGAGAAAGTCAGGACCCCTTGCCTTTGGTGGGGAACATACCAAAAGTGATGAGCCAAGCTTGTATGTATGTTATGAAGGTGAGAGTTCCCAATCAGAGTATGTGGTAGAAGGTGTGATAGATAGTAGGATGGTAGGGCTCGAGGGTGAGAGGGGGGGAGCCTTCAGTGGATTCTTAGGAGGCTGAATATATGGAGATGCAGAGGAATTATAGTGTGTTAAAGGCTGTGGCTGATCGGGTTCTGGCCATGCCACAGACACCAGATGTGGGCTCAAGCAATCAGGTAGGACCATCGAGGTCTGTGGAGGTAGCCGTGGCTTTTGCCTCGGAGGGGTTGAAAGTACAGGTTGGTGTCCCTTTGCTGAGGAAGAATACATTGACAGAGGGAAAATTGGTGGAGATTCGGTCAGATTATAGTGTCCCACCTTCGGTGGGTTTGAGGCTACCGACTGCGGCGGATGTGGTGAGATATCCTCCAAAGGTATGTGTGCTCATTTTTACAAATATGTATAACCATGGCTTTAGACTACCACTTTATCCATGGGTGCAGATGATGTTAGCCAAACTAGGGTATGTGTCGGGGTAATATAATCCCAACTTCTGGATTTTACTGTATGGAGTATATATTGCTTGGTGGTTGGCAGGATTGGGGGAGCCAATGTTTGAGCCATTCATGTATCTTTATTTAGAAATCTCGGAGGAACATGTGGTGTCTAGCCTATGGTGACTGGGAGTGTCTGTCGGGGAAGATCGTTGCTAAACACGTTTCTAGCCATTTTTAGTCTATAGGTCATGGGTCCCCTCCTTCAAGACTAATTGTTGTTTTGTTGTGTTTTAACTGTTTTCACTCTTAGTTCTCCATTGTTGTTTGCTATTTCGAGTACAGAGGTTTGAGTGGTATCTAAACTTTGTTGCAAGTTCGATGAACTGGGGGCCTATCTCAAAGGAGAAGAAAGATGAAGTTGGGAAGGTAAGATCGCTGCTATCGGAGACTGATCAAAAGTACCAAAACTTAGTCACACCGAAGAATCTTCTAGAGTCGGGACTCTTGCAAGGGAGTAAGTGTTTGAGATATTGTGGTTTTTTGTCTTCTTCTGCTTCATCTTCTTTGCTTTTTATGATTGTGACTAACTCTGCTTTTTGATTTGCAGTGGCAGGTGTTGTAAAAAGAGCGACGAAGGTAGTCGTGCACATTGACGAAGCAGAGAAGCAAAAGCGGTTGAAGGAGAAGAGAGAAAAGGACAAGGCATCTCGGGCGAAAATAGCAAAGAAGGAAGGCGGCAGGCAGGCTACGGGAAAGCGTCCTCGAGATGATGATGAGGGGCTTATCTCCAAAGCCTTGGCTGGGAAGAGGAAGTCTTTGGAAAAAGCCCATCATAGTGTGATAGGGACGGAGCCGAGGCTTCAGCCCTTTGATCTTCGGGCACCGCTAAAGCTTCCCTTTGGTATGGAGGAGGTCTTTATTGAGGGGATGGAGGCGGTTGACTTCGGTGGACTACGTCAGCAAAAGAAGGAGGTGAGCCTGGCGATGCACCGGCAGAAGGTGCCCTTAGTCAACGTCTTCCTGGAAGGCGTTAAGAGTGACCCCGAGGCGTTGGCAAGGACGCAGACCTCCTCCTTTGTAGAGTGGGAGCAGAAGACGATCCTCACGTCTGTCTATATAAGTTATGTCTGTAAAAATTTCTTATTTGTTATGTTGGTTTTTCTTGAACTGACAAAGCTTTGTTTTGTAGGCCTTTGGCAAGATGTATGTCAATCTGGCTAAGGCAGATAAGTAGATCGAAAGGATGAAGAGGCGCGAGGAGATGGCCAAGGGTAAGATAGTGGAGGCACAAGAGGCTATCCAGGAGAGGAATGCCTTGATTTTGCAGAAGGCAACCCTTGCAAGGGAGATGGATGAGCTGAAGGAGAGGTTGGTGTCTTCTAAGCGGGCGCTCGTTGAGGCCGAACAGAAGAAGGCCGAGAAGATAGTTGCTGCCCAAGCGGAAGCGGTCAAGTCATACCGAACTTCAAAGGAGCTGAACAGTTATATCCTGGACCGCCTGGTGGATGAGCAGATTCACTGGGAGGAGAACTTGGTGAAGTTCAACCCTTCCCTTGAGATCAACTTTGATATGAGTGGTGTGCCTCCTTCGGTTAGTCCTGCTGCCGATTCTACTGTTGTTGCCTCGCCAGTTGAGGAGACCGTCACTACTGCCCCTGAGCCTGCTGCCGTGGATGTACTGCCTGCTGAGGATTGAAGGCTTTTCCTGCTTTATGTATTTTGTCCATTTTTGGAATAGTGATGTGTTATTTTTATTTTGTATAAACATTTTGCCTTGCCATGGGGCAAGGTTGCCTTTATTTTCTATGATATTAGACATATTTTCTTTGGTATCAATTGTGTTGGCAAAAATGATAACATGTGATGATAGAGATAAGTGGCGTGAGAAATAACTAACGCACAAATATTCCGGGGATTAGGAGGGATGCTAATCAACACAAATTAAACTTATTAAACTGGAAACTAAGTTAAGGGAACAATGATTGGGGGGAATTCTGACGATTTAGACTAAAGTAAGACTGATAGAAGCAAACAACTAAGTTGTGAATGAAATATGGATTAAGGGATAGCTAGAGGATTCTTCTCCACACATGGAACATATGCACACAAATCGATCTCCAGTTACCCTTTCTATAAAGTATGAATGACAAAGCCCCAAATTAATTGTGAATGCACTAATTAACTCTCAGATTTTCCTAAGTTCATTGAATTGGACTCAGCGACGCAATCAAATTATCCTTATCAAGTTCCCTATATGAACAGCATGATAGAGATACATATCAAAGATCATTAAGTTCTATGAAAATCATAAGCCTTGACAAGACAATTGTAACTATGAAAAGCATGATACTCCTGCCAAGAATTTACTTAACACAATCATGACTAGTGACTTTTACTACTTGTGAATATAAGTTCATAACGATTAGGTGAAATTCCCTTATATTCTAGCATCAAATCCCTGCATACAAACTAAGTATGCATCCTTAATAAACATGCAAGAATAAGTCCTCAATAAAACAGAAAAGTAAATCACATTCATACTTTATGAAACCATAACTGGAAGTAATCAATTCATGTAAAACATATGTCCATGGCTTCGAATTCACCTCTAACTAAGAAGAAATTCAGTTACACATGTTCATAATAATTGAAAAGCAATATAGAATAAACATTTGAACTAATCAAGGGAAGAACTCTGAAAAACCCAATGGATGCAGCAGGTTCCGGCTCCAAGTTCTTCTTCTCCCTTTCTCCTTTCTTGCTACGGCACCAAAAGAACTCCCTTCTCCTGCGGCAACCCCTCCTTTATATATGTGATAGATCTAGGGTAAAAGGGCCCAGCAGAAACCCATGAAATTAGGGTTTTGTTTGGAAGATTTCTTTAGGAATAATAGGGCCCAATAGAAACCCACGAAATTAGGGTTTTTAGGTTTTCTAATCTGAAATTAATCCCCCCCTTTTACAGCTGGAATTTAGGTCGAATAGGATTAGGATAAGGTAAAATAAAATAAAATCAGTTAGGGTTTTTTACTTCCCAGAAGCTGATTCTTGAATTAATTTCCCCATCTTTTTAGCACATTCCTAGCCTCTTCGAACTTCAAAAACGTTCATCCATCTTGGCCCATGCATATGCTACCCATTCCAAGTCCAAAACTGCTCTAAAATGCTCCAAAATGCCCTTTCTTGCCAATCTTGCCATCTGGACCTACAATAGTACGAAAATAAGCTAAATCACTCTAATAAATGGGAATTAACTAAGTAAATGCAAAGAAATAAGATACCAAAGTCGCATAAATATGCTCCTATCAAATTCCCCCACATTTAGCTTCTGCTAGTCCCTAGCAGAACAAAGAAAACAAAACAAAACCTAAACCTTCCAACAATTGCCTCAGGGATTTCCAATGAAACATGACATGTTAAAAATCACTACTCACACAGATTTGAGCCATCCTTACCCTCGAGCTCATACTTAATCACAGTAAACACTCACTAGCTCACATTTAATCAATTAAAACAACATTTGAAAGTGGTAACATGCCTTAGAGAATTCACTCAATTCCTCACCCGATATACTCTCTATTTTCACACAGATTTTCTGACCACACTCCCTATACTAAGTATATGTGAGAAGATTGATGTAAATGTGTAGACTAGCACTCACATATGTTATAACAAAGAAAGCACTTTCTGGAATTATTAATACGAACATGTATATGATCTCATGAACAGAATGCTACTACTTAGAAGCGAGAACCAGGGATTCCATAAGCTCATACCAATTTCAAACTCCACATATTGAAACACATAACAATCAAGATAGAAGTCTAAGGGTTGTATTGGGGCTAAGGTATTGGCTAACAAAGAAAGGTTAAGGATAAACAAAGGTTCTTAAAGTAATAGTAAACAGAGCAATGAAATCAACACTTGGAATTCAACTTGTGATTGCAGCACCCAATTTTTAGCACAAAGGGGAGATTTATTCAGATTCACATATCCCTTCTTTTTTTTTCTCTCTCTTTTTTTTTGTTTTTTGTTTTTTGTTTTTTTTTGGACAACACTAATCCAAAGGAACAAATCCTTCCCCCACACTTGTTTTTTTGTTTTTTGTTTTGTTTTTTCTGCAAATCGTAAATCAAAAGGAATTCCCAACAAGTCATGCTTGACTATTCTTTAAGAACAAGGGTATGGATATTCTTATACTAGGATAGGTAGGGATAATGCAAGCTAACAAAGAAAATAAGCTAAATAAGGCTTCAAAATGGTTAAACCTACAATGCATATGCAAGGGATAAGGCTTTTTGGCTCTGATGGTAACTAAACAACTTCATCTTGTTATTTGTTACGCAATCAATTTGATGCTTTGAATGGAACGGGCATGAGTTCTAGTATTTGGAACTAAAGAGATGAAAAAGCATTCTAAGTAGCAACCAAGCAAAGAAATAATGAGATCATGCAACGACTTTAGAAAACAAGAATATCAAGATTAATAACTCTCCAAACAAAGAACAGGCTCAAGTCTCTCAGGGTTGCAGCGTTAGTTTGAGTTCCTTCCTTCCAGCATGTTACAAAATTATCTTTTTTTTTTTTTTTTTTTTTTTTTTTTTTTTTGTTTTTTACATGTGAATTCGTAATTGACAACTATAACTAAGTATTAACCAAAGAGCATATCAGACTTCCACCCATGTTTGTAACTTTCTTTAAAAGTCATGCAATTAAAAACCAAATCCTCATCATTGTGTTGGAAGGTACCCTAAGACACAAATAAACAACAAAAACGACTCTTTTTGATTTTTTTTTTTTTTTTTTTTTTTTTAAAAAATTTAAATAAAGCACGAAAACAATTTTAAAACAGTGAATAACAACATTAGTAGTGATAGGTGGTGAATTTTGAAAATAAATCACGAAAAGCACTCTGTTTACCCCCCACACTTAAACTAAACATTGTCCTCAATGTTTCAAAAGAAAACTTTAAACAAGAAAGCAATAAGAGACAACTAGCAAACAAGACAATTATAGCAAAGTAAAAATAATAAAGAGAAGAGTAAAAGAGAGCAAATCTGGTTGTAGAGCCCGGAGATTCCGTTGTCTTTCTATTTGAACACATGGGTTGCCTCCCAAGAAGCGCTTGCTTTAACGTCTTCCAGCCGGACGGTACCTCCCTTTAAGCTTCACTAGGGCCAATGGCATGGAGGGGTACATCCTCCACTACATGCTCCTCAAAAGACTCATAGTATGGCTTCAAACGGTGTCCATTCACTTTGAATTCATGTCCCGTCTTAAAACTTTGAATTTGGACTGCACCATAGGGAAAAACATTAGTAACAACAAAAGGACCAATCCATTTAGAACGCAACTTACCCGGAAACAAACGAAGGCGAGAGTTGAAAAGTAACACTTTCTGCCCCACAGAAAACGTTTTACTACGAATCATCTTGTCATGGGCAGCCTTTGTTTTCTCCTTGTAAATATGAGCGTTCTCATAAGCTTCAGTCCGAATTTCCTCAAGCTCATTCAATTGCAATTTCCTATGAAGTCCAGCGGCATCAATGTTCATGTTGAAAGTCTTGACTGCCCAATGTGCACGATGCTCCAACTCAACTGGAAGATGGCATGGTTTCCCATAAATGAGCCGAAAAGGAGACATTCCAATTGGTGTTTTGTAGGCAGTACGATATGCCCACAATGCATCATTCAAACGCAAGCTCCAATCCTTTCGAGTTGGTCCAACTGTCTTTTCCAAGATCTGCTTGATTTCCCGGTTGGAAACTTCGGCTTGTCCACTTGTTTGGGGATGATAAGGTGTTGAAACCTTATGCGTGACATTATACTTCTTAAGTAGTGCCTCTATGGTCCGATTACAAAAGTGAGAGCCCCCATCACTTATAAGTACTCGTGGCATTCCAAATCTTGCAAATATGTTAGTTTTAATAAAATCTGCAACCACTTTGGAATCATTGGTACGGGTGGCTTTTGCTTCCACCCATTTTGAAACATAATCCACAGCAAGTAAGATATAATTAAAACCATGTGAAGAAGGAAAAGGGCCCATGAAATCAATACCCCAAACATCAAAAATCTCAACAGAAAAGATAGGGGTTTGCGGCATTTGATCTTTTGCACCTATATTGCCCGTTCTTTGACAACGATCACAAGTCATACAAAAAGTTCTAGCATCCTTAAAGATAGTAGGCCAATAAAATCCACATTCTAAAACCTTAAGTGTTGTGCGTTGTGTACCAAAGTGACCCCCACATGCATAAGTGTGACAGAAGGTTAAGATTGAATTAAACTCAGAATCATGCACACATCTACGAATAATTTGATCAGGGCAATATTTCCACAAATAAGGGTCATCCCACACATAAAACCGTGCAATTTTTTTAAGTTTATCGCGTTGGTGCCTAGTTATGGTGCTTGGAACTTGTTTAGACACAATATAATTCACAATATCAGCATACCATGGCTCACTTACCTCAATGGTCAGCAATTGTTCATCTGGGAATGCCTCTGGAATAGGTAGAAGGTCTTCTTCATGTACCAAACGGCTCAAGTGGTCAGCCACTACATTTTCACATCCTCTTTTGTCCCTAATTTCCACGTCAAACTCCTGAAGAAGAAGCATCCAGCGAATAAGCCTTGGTTTGGCTTCTTTCTTTGTGAGTAAGTACTTCAAAGCTGCATGGTCAGAGTAAATTATAACTTTAGTACCAAGTAAATAAGAACGAAACTTATCTAAAGCAAACACAACAGCAAGAAGTTCTTTTTCAGTGGTGGAGTAATTCAATTGAGCATCATTCAAGGTTCGGGATGCGTAGTAGATGACGTGTGGCTTCTTGTCTTTCCGTTGTCCCAAAACAGCCCCTAAAGCATAATCTGAAGCATCACACATAAGCTCAAACGGAAGGCTCCAATCTGGTGGAACAATGATAGGTGCCGAAGTTAACAATTCTTTGAGGTGATTGAACGCCTTCTCACATTTGTCATCAAACACAAACGGCACATCCTTTTGTAGAAGTCGGCACAAGGGTGTTGAAATCTTCGAGAAATCTTTGATAAAACGTCTATAGAATCCTGCATGTCCAAGGAAAGAACGAACCTCTCTCACCGAAGTGGGAGAGGGTAAGTGGCGTACAAGACCTATTTTTGATTTATCAACTTCAATTCCCTTTTCTGAAACTATATGTCCTAAAACTATGCCTTGTTTTACCATGAAGTGACATTTTTCCCAATTTAAAACAAGGTTGGTTTCAATGCAACGTTTTAATATCAACGTGAGATTAGTTAAACAGCCATCAAAAGAGTCACCAAAGACACTGAAATCATCCATGAAAACCTCAATAATCTTCTCAACGAAATCGGAAAAGATACTTACCATGCATCTTTGAAAGGTGGCTGGTGCATTACATAAACCAAATGGCATTCGTCGATAAGCAAAAGTACCAAACGGACAAGTAAAAGTAGTCTTTTCTTGGTCATCTGGGGCTATAACAATCTGATTATATCCCGAATAGCCATCAAGAAAGCAATAAAAAGAATGACCAGCTAACCTTTCAAGCATTTGATCAATGAACGGCAAAGGGAAGTGATCTTTCCTTGTGGTGGCGTTGAGCTTCCTATAATCAATGCAAACTCTCCAACCTGTTTGGATACGAGTGGGGACAAGTTCATTCTCTTCATTTTTTACCACAGTGACTCCTGATTTCTTTGGTACAACTTGAACCGGTGAAACCCATCGACTATCCGAAATTGGATAAATGACCCCACAATCAAGAAGCTTAATGATCTCCTTTTTCACAACTTCCATCATTGGAGGGTTGAGTCGGCGTTGAGCCTCTCGAGTTGGTTTAGCCCCCTCCTCTAGAAGTATGCGATGCATGCATGTTGTAGGACTAAGTCCTTTGATGTCGGCTAAAGTCCATCCAATAGCTGTTTTGTACTCTTGCAACACCCGAACTAGTTTTTCCTCCTCCACTGCCGTGAGTGATGAAGAGATTATGACGGGCAAAGTCTCTTTATCTCCCAAGAAGACATACTTCAAATGATTCGGTAACGATTTAAGCTCGAGAGTGGGTGCCTGAATCACCGAAGGTAACAACTTGTTAGTAGAAATGGGAATTGGGATTGGGATTGGAGACTTACCAACATATTGTGGCAGTGACTCAAGGGCAGCCACCATCTCGCCAATTTCTTCATGATTAGGTTCGGCCCCATTTTTGATGAGTTCAATTCCTTGAACAATGGTGGTTTCAAGGACATCCCTATCTAGGGATTCGAGATATTCCTGCGCCAAAGAATCAAATGCATCAATAGAGAAACAGGAGTGATCATCAATAGGGTACCTTATAGCTTCAGAAATATTGAAATCAATGATATTGCCATCAAATTCCATTGTCAACGTCCCCTTGAACACATCGATCTTGGTTCGGGCTGTTTTCATGAAAGGTCGTCCAAGTAAGATTGGCAATGGTGTAGAATGGGCCGAATCCTCCATCTCAAGCACATAAAAATCTGCTGGAAATATCAAGTGGTTAACCTGCACCAAAACATCTTCCAAAACTCCTTTCGGATATGCATTAGAACGATCGGCTAATTGAATTATAACGCCATCATTTTTAAACTCTCCTAAGTTCATAGATGCATAAATAGAGTATGGCATGACATTAATGGAAGCACCTAAATCTAACATGGCATGTTCAAACTTGGTGTTACCAATAACACAAGGGATTGTGAAACTACCTGGATCTTTGCATTTAGGTGGCAGTTTTCGTTGCAAAACTGCGGAAACATTCTCACTTACCCTTACCACTTCTTTGTTTGAAATCCTCCTCCTTGTTGTACAAAGCTCTTTCAAGAATTTAGCATACCTTGGAACTTGCTTTATTGCGTCAAGAAGTGGGATATTAACTTGTACCTTCCTGAAAGTCTCTAAGATGTCTTTTTCATTCTCTTCTTTCTTAGATTGCATAAACCTGCGAGGAAAAGGCACATTTGGTGGGATAGGGTTAGAATGAGTTGAATTTGGAACAACCTTACCTGAGTTTGGTTGTGTAGGAGCTTTGGGGGACTGCAGCAAGGGTTGTTCCTCCCTTGCCGTGGCTTTGTCCACCTCCTTCTCTTTGAGCAGCAGCTTTTCGTTCTCTTTTGGGCTTTGTTTGGACATTTTGGGATTGGTTCCAATCTCTTTACCACTCCTCAAGATGATAGCTTTAGCCGTTTCAAAACCTCCTTTTGGATTGACAATGGTTGAGCTAGGTAGTTTGCCTTCTTCTCTAAACTGTCCCATGAACTCCGCCATCTGCCCAATTTGCTTCTTCACTTCGCTCATCTCTTTGGCTTGATTTTGTAAACCCTGAGTCAAAGAAGTTAGTACTTTAAGCATTTGATCATTATCCAATGGCGAACCTGAATTTGATTGGGCAGTTTGTGGTGAGGCTGTGGTGGTGCGAACGGCCTTTGATAGAGCCCTGGAGGTGGCTGTCTATATCCGCCTTGTTGTTGTTGAGGCTCCCTCCACTTCAAATTTGGATGATCTCTCCAGCCCGGATTGTAGGTGTTTGAAAACGGGTCATACCTAGGTTGATTTTGGCCTTGATAACCTACGACATTGGCACTTTCCCATCCCCCATTCTCTATTAATTGAGGACATTGATCAGTGGGGTGTCCATGCATAGAGCACACGCTACAAGTGGCTGTACTTTGCACTTTGGATCCTTCAACAACCTGCGAAATAAGAGTAGAGAGATTAGCCATTTGAGATTGAAGTTCCGAAATAGCACTTACCTCATTAACTGGACTTGGCCGTGTATGATCTCTCCCTCCAACTCCTTCGTATTGTTGTGCATTCAAAGCTCGGTTTGCTATTAAGATCTTCGCAGCAACTGGTGTTTTGTCAACCAAAGCACCTCCCGCTGAAGCATCAAGCATTTGTCTCTCCAGTGGAAGTAGTCCTTCATAGAAATATTGAATTAAAAGCTCTTCCTTCATTTGATGTTGTGGGCAGGATGCAACTAACGTCTTAAAACGCTCATAGTACCCTGGAAAGGATTCTCCCGGGCCTTGTTGAATTCCACTAATTTTCTTCCTCAAAAGAATGACTCTTGAAGTTGGGAAGAATTTCTCTAAGAATGCTTTCTTCATACTTTCCCAAGAAGTAACGGTTCCAGGTGCTAGTTCATAGAGCCAATCTTTAGCCTTGTCCATAAGAGAGAATGGGAAGGCTTTCATCTTCAAAATATTCCCATCCACGTTAATGGGTGTCATGCTTGAACATACTACTTCAAATTCCTTCAAATGCTTGTTTGGATCTTCCATGGACAGCCCATGGTATTTGGGAATGTGATGTAGCAAACTCGACTTCAATTCAAACTCATCGGTCTTACCTACAGCTGCCCTAGGGTATTGAATGCAAAGAGGGACTGCAGTGTCCAATCCAGAGGCTGAAAGTTCCTTGATTGTTCGATTGTCTACAGCCATGTCTTGTTCCTCTTCAAAGTCCGTTTCAGCTTCAGATTCAGGTTCGGAACTAGAACTAGAGGGATTGAGTTCTGGCTGCTTCCTCTTCTTTCTCAAAGTTCGTTCGAAATCGTCGTCAAAGTCCCAATATGTGCGCATGAACAGGGTGTGAACTTCGAGTCATAAACTAGTACCTAAAACAAAGAAAACAAAATAAAATCAGAAACACAAGAAAAACGAAAACAAACGGAAGATTAGCAATTTTGCTAATCCCCGGCAACGGCGCCAAAATTTGGCGTGAGAAATAACTAACGCACAAATTAAACCCTATAAATCATGCAATCGTAGTACGAGTAAGTAGGGATCGTTCTATTCCGGGGATTAGGAGGGATGCTAATCAACACAAATTAAACTTATTAAACTGGAAACTAAGTTAAGGGAACAATGATTGGGGGGAATTCTGACGATTTAGACTAAAGTAAGACTAATAGAAGCAAACAACTAAGTTGTGAATGAAATATGGATTAAGGGATAGCTAGAGGATTCTTCTCCACACATGGAACATATGCACACAAATCAATCTCCAGTTACCCTTTCTATAAAGTATGAATGACAAAGCCCCAAATTAATTGTGAATGCACTAATTAACTCTCAGATTTTCCTAAGTTCATTGAATTGGACTCAGCGACGCAATCAAATTATCCTTATCAAGTTCCCTATATGAACAGCATGATAGAGATACATATCAAAGATCATTAAGTTCTATGAAAATCATAAGCCTTGACAAGACAATTGTAACTATGAAAAGCATGATACTCCTGCCAAGAATTTACTTAACACAATCATGACTAGTGACTTTTACTACTTGTGAATATAAGTTCATAACGATTAGGTGAAATTCCCTTATATTCTAGCATCAAATCCCTGCATACAAACTAAGTATGCATCCTTAATAAACATGCAAGAATAAGTCCTCAATAAAACAGAAAAGTAAATCACATTCATACTTTATGAAACCATAACTGGAAGTAATCAATTCATGTAAAACATATGTCCATGGCTTCGAATTCACCTCTAACTAAGAAGAAATTCAGTTACACATGTTCATAATAATTGAAAAGCAATATAGAATAAACATTTGAACTAATCAAGGGAAGAACTCTGAAAAACCCAATGGATGCAGCAGGTTCCGGCTCCAAGTTCTTCTTCTCCCTTTCTCCTTTCTTGCTACGGCACCAAAAGAACTCCCTTCTCCTGCGGCAACCCCTCCTTTATATATGTGATAGATCTAGGGTAAAAGGGCCCAGCAGAAACCCATGAAATTAGGGTTTTGTTTGGAAGATTTCTTTAGGAATAATAGGGCCCAATAGAAACCCACGAAATTAGGGTTTTTAGGTTTTCTAATCTGAAATTAATCCCCCCTTTTTACAGCTGGAATTTAGGTCGAATAGGATTAGGATAAGGTAAAATAAAATAAAATCAGTTATGGTTTTTTACTTCCCAGAAGCTGATTCTTGAATTAATTTCCCCATCTTTTTAGCACATTCCTAGCCTCTTCGAACTTAAAAAACGTTCATCCATCTTGGCCCATGCATATGCTACCCATTCCAAGTCCAAAACTGCTCTAAAATGCTCCAAAATGCCCTTTCTTGCCAATCTTGCCATCTGGACCTACAATAGTACGAAAATAAGCTAAATCACTCTAATAAATGGGAATTAACTAAGTAAATGCAAAGAAATAAGATACCAAAGTCGCATAAATATGCTCCTATCAATAAGCCGAAGTCAGGTGTTTCATTAAATAGATACCGAAAGGTAAAAAGTACATAGTGTGTTAACCTGAGACCTAAGATAAGTGCTTAAGCATGAGGAAACAAGAAATCTTACTGGGACACTAAGTAAAAAGTGTACCGTGATCACTTGTGGTAGTACTTAAGGTGATCAGCGTTCCATGGATGAGGCACCTTTTCTTTAATAAAAGCACAGATAATTTGTTATATTCCTTCTAACTAATAAATAACAAAATGATCATAATCAATGAGTCACAATAGTACCTAATTAATTAAGAGACCTGGTATTTCTCATATGTGTACAAGTTATCAACTAACCAATGCCACTCCTATTTTCCTATGAGTTACAAAGACCTTGTTAGTGGGAGGTGTGGCCCGTGCAAGCTGAAGGTCATGAGCATATTCCTTAAAATGCTTATGGAGCTTTGCTTTCCATTCTCCATTAACTCCTGGTCATATGGTCATCAATAAACTCCCAAATATCCAGATCCTCGAGGTCGACATCAAACTTAAACTAACAATTAACCATGAAAAAAAAATATTGGATTATCATTTAAAATATAAACAATATCTCATATAAACTAAAAAAAATCATCATCTAAAATCATAACCCCCCCCCCCCAAAAAAAAAAAAAAAAAAAAAAAAAAAAAAAAAAAAAAAAAAAAGGTACCATATCCATCCAGTGTTGTCTAAAGTAAAAATTAAAGAAAGTAAGTGTTGACCTTCAGTGCTTTTGCCATATCCATCTTCTGCTCCAAGGTTACTTTCTTCCACCCGTTTACATTTAGTGGAGCGTTCACTCGAGTAATTAACCCAATCTCATTGACAAACATATTTTGGATCTCTATAGTTGCCACTAGTGTTTGTGACTTATTAACCACATAACAAGTACCAAGCCCCACAGTTGGACCAGGAGTGTCCCTCTGCTTTGACAAAGTCTCTGAACAATCTCCCTGACCTAAAAACCAAAAACAACTTGTCCAAGAATCTAAATTGTTTGTACAATTGGAGTTCTGCTCCTGAAATCAGCTCAAATTTAAAGAAAAATTCATATTAACATCCATATTAAATTGGAGTTCTAGTCCTATATACATTTGCGACCAATTAAGTTCATATAAAATCTGAGACAAATTAGTTCAGCATCATAATAAGTCCATACTTCCAATCATTACTCATTAGCTAGCATATTAAGTCCATAATAAAAATATCTTCAGCATCATAATAAACTCATTTTCTACTTGTGTGAGTAGCTGTTAGCGAGGCAGATGTAGACTCCTGATGTGAATGCGGTGATTGCAATGGCGGCTAATCACATGTTTGCTCATATTGGTGATCTTGTGGTCGTGGTTCCTGTTGTGATCGTGGTGCATGTGGAGCTAATCTTTGTTTCTTATTTTTAGTCTTAACCGAATCAACAACCTTATTAACCATCTTGCAAATAAGTATTAGGCAAAAAAAAATTTGTAACATTCTAAATATCTATCAGACCTTCATATACAAACTGTTTTCTTTTTTAGGTAACTTGTACAACAAAAGATATTTATAAGTAGAAAACCACATTACATGTAACCAGGGGGGATATGATAAACCTTACCTTGTAAAAATATCAAAACAACACAAAATACAAAGAACATGTCAATCTAAATCATTATAATCATCACTATGAACACTTTCTTTCCTCATATCCAGAGAAGTATTCTTCTTCCAAAGGATCATTATCAATAAAATCTTCATCCTCATCATCGTCGTGTGCTATTGGTTCCAAATTAATGTCATCCACAACTACTTCAAGCTCCGCATCTTCCCTGCAAAGCGATGTAATTGGAAGAGCATTTTCATCTCAAGAAGTTAGGACAATGTCACGAGCATCATGGATGCCACCCTCGTACATTGTTTTTGCTTCATGAGCAACCTCATTCTCAGGAACATCCCACGCATGTCTATGTTGAATCTTTGGAATGACTTTCCAATTAGAACCTAATTTAGGGTTGTTGGGGTCTTTTTCCGTTGGAAGGTTCGTCTGGGCTTGTTAATTCTTGGACTGCTATAGAGTGGTGAATCAAGCCTTCGTTGCCCCATTTTTTATGAGTTAGCGAGAACTAGGCCCAAAGTATTTAGAGGGAGAACCAAGTTCCAGGAGAGTACTCTGTTCTTCTTCCAGCGGCTGCGTGTTTTGTGCTGGTGTTTCCGGCAGCTTGACGAAGAGTTGAAGATGGCGCATTGATGTTGCATAGGCTTGGAATGAGGGTTTGCTTTGGTGAATCAAGATACTAGTAGGCTTGGCATGAGAGGCTTGTGGCGTGGGAGCTAAGAGAAAATGAGCATAAAGAAAGGATTAAGGCTTGAGATTTTGGGTGTTTTCGATAGATAGACAAAGAGCTTGTAATGTCTGCATTCTCTTACCAAAAATGTAATGATGTGGTTTCAACATAACTTGAGAGGATAGGTGTTTCAGATATGGGATGGAGCTTTTTGAGAGAGAGAGAAAAATACATAGTAAAAAGTTTAAACCTCGAAAGCATTTCTGAGTTCTTATCTAAGGCTCTACAGTCACCAGAGTTACTCGCGGTAACAGTCATTTTCACATTTCTCAGCCCAATGTTATTAACTTAAATCTTCACTTGGACCAATCTTAGGGGTCGAATGAGGTGTATTGGGTAAGCATAGTCCCACAGTTGTGTATCATACAGAACAAAATTGGATACAAATATTTAGCTGCAACTTCTTATTATAAAGCTCACTTACTATGCAGTTGTCTTGATTTGGAAATGGTATTGCAAAACTACATTGTACTTTTGCACAAACTACATTGCAGTTTCGGAAACTGCATTGCACTTTTGGAAACTGAATTGCAGTTTTCATTTAATTACAATTGGATTTTTGCTCTTTCCTTGGCCTTCAACCTCACCAATTTGAAGAGTAGAGGCTACCCAGATAAGGAATTGGGTAGGCAAGAGAAGAGTAGAACTACCCAAGAGCAAGGGAACTCAAAATTGGACTTTTGGAAACTGCATTGCCAAAAACAGAGTATTTTACCAACATGTATTGAATAAAAAAAATATTGTTTTGTTTTGTTTAACTCTATAGCTGAGCATTTTTGCCCAAACTCAGCATTGCAATTTCCATTTTTATATTGCAGTTTCTGTTTATGCATTGCAGTTTCCATTTTTGTATTGCAGTTTCTGTTTATGCATTGCAGTTTCCATTTTAGTACTTTCATCTTGGTTCCTCCATTTTGCTTCAATAAAATTAATTTTTGTTTTTGAAGCTGTTTTCGTTTTTGTTTTTGTGTTTTTAACATAATTGATATATACATTGTATTTTTGTTGTAGTTTCTGTTTTTATTTGTAGTTTTTGTGTGAATATGTGTTGAAATGATTTTTTTTTTAAAAAAAAAACCTTTTATTGTTTATATAAATATTGTATAATTGAATAAATATTATAAAATCAAGTTTGGTGTAGTGGTTTATGAGTGAGCCTTCCACCCTTGAGGGTCAAGCAGGGACAGACTTTGGCTTTGGCTAAACTGGGCTACAGCCCAGGTGGCTTTTAAAATTCCAACCCAAAATAATATTATAGCCCAACCGGCCAGTCATCTAAGTGAATATCCTAATTTTACCCTTCTTAGGAATCCTTTGCTTACACTGCTTGCATGTGGGGAATAAAAGGGAAAGCTGCAACCTATAGCAACATCACATAGGAGAGAAATAAAAAGAAAAGGGAATGCACATAGCCGGTGGAAAAAAAGAAAGAAAAAAGAAGAATTTTTTTTAACTATTCTTAGAGTGGTCAGCTTTGTCACCAAACTCATATTGCACCCTTGCACACGTAAAGGAACACTCTTCTTGTTGTTGCACTCACCTTCAAGACTTAATTCAAGAAGTGAACCAGGCTCTTATATTTGTTAGGTATGGTAAGCTTCTCAATTTGTTGATGTTGAAATTTGAGAATTTTTTTGGATTTTATTTAGTATCAATTACAGATTTGCAATTGAGACTTATGAATTATCAAATAGGATTTGTAATTTATTTTGGTGTTCTTGCTTATCCAATGGGTTATACTTTAACTTCATAATGTCGGATCATCATCCAAATCCTAAGAGATCAAAGACTATTCGGGATTTTTTAAAAAGAAATAATGAAGAATCAACTAGCATGGGTTCCAACCCTTCTCTACTTCCTCCAATTTGTGAGGAGCAACCTCATTCTGAATCTCAAAGAGTTGAATTTGAAAGTTTAAGAGCTGAGTCTCAAAGAGCCAATTTTGATCAAGAAGTTGATACCAATTCTCTTGGGCGTGATCCAGGATTACGTCCTCAAATAGACACATTTCCGCCTAATCAACGTGATAATGTTCGAAGAGCATATATTCTCTTAGGACCATGTCAACCAAAACTAAAGGAATATCCATCTCATTTAGAAGGGAAACAAATGCGTCGATTTAATGGTAATTGGTATAACCAATATCCTTGGCTTGAGTATTCTGTTCATAAAGATAAAGTGTTTTGTTTTCCATGCTTTCTTTTTTACGGTGATCACTCACATAAGGCATTCACTGTAGATGGATTTACTGTAGATGGATTTAGAAATTGGAGAAGAGTTGGTGGCAAAGAGTGTGCTTTCCTTACTCATGTAGGCATTATAAATTCACCACATCATTTTGCTATCCAAAAATGGATGAATTTAAAGAACCCGACTCACCATATTGACAGAGTTGTGCAACCCTCACAAGAAGTTGCGAAAAATAGGTTGAGACTTACAACCACAATAGAGGCCATTAGGTATCTAGCAAATCAAGGAATGGCTTTTAGAGGTGATGATGAATCTCATGACTCCACTAATCGGGGTAATTTTATTGAGTTGGTAAAGGCTTTTGCAAGAATGAATGAAGAAGTTGAAAAAGTTGTGTTACAAAATGCTCCTCTAAATGCCCAATATATTTCACATAAGATACAAAAGAAGATCCTAAATATCTATGTTAACAAAGTGAGGAAAAGGATACGCGATGAAATTGGGGAAGATGGGAAATTTTGTATTCTCGTTGATGAAGCACTTGATGATTCTAAGAAGGAACAAATGGCTATTATCATAAGGTGTGCTAGTTGTGATGGGCATATTCGAGAAAGGTTTTTTGATATTGTGAGTGTTCATGACACTAATTCCTCAACTCTTAAAATTGATATTTGTAAAGTGTTTAGTAAGCATAGTCTTTTAGTAAGCAATATGCATGGTCAAGGATATGATGGTGCTAGCAATATGCGTGGTGAATGGAGTGGCTTACAAGCATTATTTCTCAATGATTGTCCATATGCATATTACATTCATTGCCTTGCTCATCGCCTTCAATTAGCTTTAAACGCTGTTGCTAAAGAGGTAGGACTTGTTTGGAGATTTTTTTCAATGTTGAATAACATTGTGAATTTTGTTGGTGCTTCTGCCAAATGCCATTCTAAATTAAAATTAACTCGACAAGCTGAAATTGAAGACTTATTAGCAGCTAAAAGACTTGGAACATGTAAAGGGGCTAATCAAATTCGATGTCTGCAACGACCTGGAACTACTCGTTGGGGCTCACATTTTAGTTCTATTAGGAGTTTGGTTGATTTATTTGGTGCAACCAAGACACTTCTAAAGGATATCAGTCATAATGGACCTACCTCACCCGGAAGTGCCCCTTATGAATGCCTTCCTGACCGGGGTAAAGATTGATGCAGGGGTGCTCGCTCGGACCAAGGCTACGGACTTCTCGAATCTAGTCCAGAAGTCAGTCTTTTCTACCACCAATGTAAGTATCCTAGTACCTTGGTTAACTTTTGAGTTATTCATTTTTGAAGTTAAGTCCAACTTATGATAATGTATGTTTTGCAGGCCTTTGGGGATATGTACCTCACCCTAAAGAGGGCAAAGAAGGAGGTGGCCTTGGCAAGACGCCATTCCAAGACAGCGAAGGCTGCTACTACTGAAGCTCAGGTTGCCCTTTGAGAGAGGAACGCACTTCAGCTGAAGGTGGGGAGGCTGGAGTGGGAGCTGAAGGAGACAACTTGGCGGCTGGAGGCAGTAGATGAGGCCAAGGCTGAGGAGGAGCATAAGAAGGTGGATGAGCTAGCTGCGGCTCGATGAGATGGTAAGGAGCAGTTCAGGTGGGAGAAGCTAGTGGCGAGGTTTAATCCAAACTTGGATATAAACTTCGACACTAGTGGTGTTCCTCCTCCCATTCCTTCTGGCAGGGGGTTGCTCTTTGCGTCCCCCTCTTCTGTAGATGCTGCGAGTCCCCCAGATACCCAGGCGAGTAAAGGTTCTGAGGGTGGCGATGGTGAGGCAGGTTTTGAGGCCGAGCTGGCAGCTGAGGAAGCGCTAGAGCAGCGTGATGATGCTTGAGTGCCTTGTAAGCTTGTGTTTATGATGTAACTTTAGTATTTGTTCCAGACTTGTTTATTTTTTGCATGGATATTGCCCTGCCATAAGGCAAGGTTACCTTTGTGATTGTGTGATAGCATGCTTTCCCTTATTTCAACTATGCTTGTTGCCAACTGAAGTTGTAAGTATGAGTATAAATAAGCCTAGGTCAGGCATTTTCATTAAGTGGGTGTTGAAAGGCAATAAGTACAAAAGATGGTCGAGTCAAGGCTCAAGACCAAAGTCTAAGAAAACATAATGTTCTAGGGTCTAGGTATGTTTACTTATAGTAGTACTTGAGGTGATCAACGTTCCATGGATGAGGCAAAGGTTTGCCATGGTGATCGCGGAGCTGATAAGTGCTTAAGTGGCAGACCTTGATAATTTCATAAGGACCTTCCCATGTTGGTCCCAAGGTACCTTCGGCTGAGTTTTTGGTGGCCAAAGAAACCTTTGCGCATGACCCAGTCTCCAATCTTGAAAGTGCGAGGTTTGACTTAGGAGTCATAATACTTGGCAATGCACTGTTTGTAGGCGAAGTTGCGCATGTTGGATTGGTCACGAAGCTCGTCAATTAAGCCGAGGTTAAAGGCTAACTGCTAGTCATTGGCCTCAGCATCGTAAGTTGAGGTTCGGTAGGAGGGTTGGCCAATTTCTACAGGAACGACAGCCTCAGTGCCAAAGGAAAGGGAAAAAGGTGTCTTTCCTGTAGAGGTTCAAAAAGTAGTGCGATATGACTAGAGGACCTCTGGTAGTAGTTCGGGCCAGCACCCCTTCGCCTTGTCAAGTTTGGTTTTGAGCGTCTTTTTGATGATTTTGTTCACAACCTCCACTTGGCAGTTGGATAGGGATGGGTTGGGGACACGAAACATAGGTGGATCTTGAGGTTGGAGCATAATTGCTTGAATTTGGCGTTGTCAAATTGCCTCCCGTTTGCGACATATGATGTTTTGCGAGATGAAGGTCTCAATACAGGCAGCGGTGATGGTAGCAAGGGGTTCTGCTTCAGCCCATTTTGTGAAATAGTCGACGGCAACCACTGCATATTTGACCTGGCCTTTTCCCTCTGGCATGAGTCCAACAAGGTCCAGTCCCTATTGGGTGAATGGCTAGGGGTTGACCACTAGAGTTAGTGGTTTGGTAGGAAGCTATGGGATGTTGGCAAACCGTTGGCATTTGTCACACTTCTGGGTGAAGTCTTAGGCGTTAGTATGGAGTGAGGGCCAAAAGTACCCCTGTCAAATGGCCTTGCGTGCTAAAGATTGGGCGCCAGAATAGTTGCCGCAAATGCCTTTGTGAATTTCCCGAAAGACATAGTTGCCCTCATCTGGGGTTAAGCACCGATGGTAAGGGAGGTTGAAGCCTCACTTGTATAGGGCCCCATTGATGAATAGGTACCTAACAGAGTGATAGCGAACGCAACGTGCTTTGGTGGGGTCAATGTGCAATTGTTGGTGCTGTAAGAACTGGAGGATAGGGTCCATCCAAGTAGGGTTGCGGTCTATGGTACAAACAACTGGTGTCTTGGTGCTCAGTTTATCTAGGAACTCCATGTGAATTTTGCGGCCATTGCCCTGCTCTAGTGCCGAAGCTGGCCTGGCCAATGCATCAGCGTGGCTATTTTCAGATTGCGGGATCTAGCTGATCTCGTATGCCTTGAATGTTTGTTGTAAGCTATGGGCGTGTTGAAGGTATGCCGTCATGGAGGTATCCTTGGCATTGAAGTCATAGTTGACCTGATGAACCACGAGTTAGGAGTAGCTGAATATTTGTATTTGTTGGGCCCCCATCTCCCGAGCGAGCCGAAGTCCAACTAAGAGTGCTTCGTATTCGTCCTCGTTGTTTGAGGCATGGAATTTAAAGCGTAGAGCGTATTCTAGGGTAACATGGTCTAGAGAGATAAGGACTAGGCTTGCCTCACACGCTTGAGCATTTGTAGATCCGTCAACGTGGAGTGTCCAAAAAGGCTAGTTGGGGTCGAAGCTGCCTTCACCAGCGACGTGGACGAGGGTCGAGGGGGTTTTGGCTTCGATAGTGACTGCGGGGGTGGTCGAATCCTTGGGTGCTGTAAACTCGGACTGGAAATCGGCGATAGCCTGACCCTTAGTGGCCGATCGTTGTTTAAAGTGGATATCAAACTCCCAGAGCTCGATAGCCCACTTGACCAGTCTGCCAGATTTCTCCAGCTTCTATAATACCTGCTATAAGGCTGGTGTTTGGGCCAAAATGTACACACCCAACCCAGCAATGGAGCCTAGAAAACAAAGCTCATAATCCAAGCCATTTTGGGTTTTTTTGTCCAAAATCGGAATCAAGAAAAGGGCCATGTCTGAAAATGAGCAGCCACCAGAATCTTTTCAAGATTGGGCCAATTTTCAAACAAACACCCAGCAAATTTCTTTTATTTTATTTTTGGAAAAAAGGCCATTAGACAAAAAATATTTGGGGACTTTTATCCACTAAAAAAGAGAGAGATTAGCCCAGCCTTTTTTACGCCATCTAATTTCTACCCCAGAAGATTGACAAAATCAGAAAATCTTTTCCTAAACAAACCCACGTGACTAACTGGCGTTGAAAAAGTCAAAAGTTTCAACTATTACAGAGAGGTTGATAGGGAAATTAATGAAGGCAGGTTTTACAGAAAGACTTCTCTATTTTTACTCAGCCAAAAGAGAAAAGGTCAGAATTTATATATATATATATATATATATATATATAGAAGCTCTGCACCAAAATAGATGATCTTCCTAAGAGATAAGCAAGCTACAATCTCAAGAGATAAGCAAGGGAGTTGTTCAAACAAGAAAAGCAAATTGACCATCATGTCAGATTGTGCTCTTTCTCTTTACCAAGAACAAACAGAAAACAAAGAAGAGTTGGTTCTTCTTTCAGAAAAGAAAGGAAAAGACCTCCATGAAAACTGATTGTTGATGGTTCTTCTCTGGCAGAACAGATAAAATCCCTTTTTCTTTGACATTTAAAAATAGAAAGATCTTGATTTTTAGAAAATCTGCCGCCTATTTTAAAGATTAAAAATCCCACCCCAGCGTTTTCTATAAATATGATAGGAGATGAACAGGTCAAAGTCAACCAAAAATCAATCAAAGACAAAACTCAAAATGATCACTTGATCTCAAAAAGCCTTCAAACAAACTGAAGCAACCAAAAGCTCATTGAGCCACAAGAAAGAAGCCAGCTACAACTCAAAACCTCCAGTTTCAGTTCAGATTTAGAGAAATAAGTCATTCAAAACGAGATTTCTCTCGTTACAAATTTGGTTCAGCAAAAGCCAAACCAAGTAAAGGTCGGGTTTTTACAAATATGAAAACCTCAACAAATTTATGGAAAGCCCTGATCAAGCAGAACAGGTACCATAGTGCAGTTCCAGCTCAGTAGTCAAGTCCAGCCACTTCTGCCCCTTCCAGACTGAAGAGGTCCCAATTTTGCCCGTTCAAGAAGCCTTCCAGGGTTTGAAATAGATTAAAGCTCTGCCAAATTCGAATGTCGGCATCGATTTGCAACTGAAACTTAACAGTTGAAGTTGTTGATAGTCCAGTCCAACACCGGCATATCCAGTCCAGCCTGGATCAGAAGCATCTATCCAGGCAAAAATAGAAGTCCAACCTTCTTTTTGTCTTCTAGAGTTGGTTTTTCCCTTTTTGAGTTTTGTAAAAGGCAGTTCAGCCAGAAAACAGTTCACTTTCTTATCATCTATTGTGGCCAGAACTACCAATCTTGTACTATGAAAAATTTTGAAGTCCTCACCAATCTGAGGCAAGAAAAGAACTTACTTGGGAGATATTCCTCACCTAAATTCACAATCGCTTGTTTAGAAACCAGTAACTTGGGGCGCAAGTTATCTATTTTTAAGAAGTCTGCTAGGATTTTTCATTACTAGCAGTGGCACGCTCACACACTAAAGAAAGTTGACTTGTTGACCAATCAATGGTTCTCAAGGCAATGAGGCACTTTACCCTACCATCACAGGAACAAACATAAAACCGATGAACAGCTGGTTGGTTAGAACATGAATCGTATGGGCCTAGAAGTAGGGTCAAAGGTGTTTGGCCAAAGTGACTAGGGTGAAAGCCAGTTTCTCTATGTCCGGATATATAACCTCAGCATCCTGCAATGCCTTGTTAACGTAGTGTACTGGATGCTCAGCACCTTCGTGCGGTCAGATTGACACGGAGCTAACTACTGCATGGGAGACTAAAAGGTAGATCATTAAGGTTTCACCAGGCTAGGGTGAGGATAAGAGGGGCACCTTTCTCATGTACGTCTTGAGGTCAGTGAAAGCCTTATCACATTCTGGGGTCCAGGTGATGTTGCGTTTATTTCCTTTAAGGGCTTTGAAGAAGGGGGCGCAGCAATCAGTGGCCTTGGAGATGAACCTGGTTAAGGCTGCAATACGTCCCGTAATGCTTTAGATGTCCTTGACCGTCCTGGGCACTTCCATGTCCAAGATGACCTAAATTTTTTTTGGGTTGGCTTCGATGCCATGCTAGCTAATCATGAAGTTGAGGAATTTGCCTGAGGCAACGCCGAAGGCACACTTCGTGGGGTTAAGTCGCATGTTGTGTCGCTTCAACACTTCAACCATAATAGATAAGTTGGGGATGTGCTAGTCAGCATGGCGACTTTTGACTAGCATGTCATCAACATACACTTCCATGATATACCCGATCAACGGGGTGAAGAGGTTGTTCACAAGGCGCTGATACGTAGCTCCGGCGTTTTTTATGCCGAAGGGCATCACCTTATAACAATAGAGGCCTCAATCAGTGATGAAAGATGTGTGGGCCTGGTCATCAAAGTGCATGAAGATCTGGTTGTAGCCGAAGTAGGCATCCATGAAGCTGAGAAGGGCGTGGCCCGTTGTGGCATCCACAAGTTGGTCAATTCAGGGGAGAAGGAAGTTGTCCTTTAGACAGGCGCGATTTAGGTCGGTGTAGTTGACACACATTCGCCAACCCTTCTTCGGTTTGCGCACCATTACCACGTTGGCTAGCCACGTAGTGTAGTCTGCCTCCTTGATGAAACCGATACTTTAGAGTTTCTCCACCTTCACTTTCATGGCCTCATATCATTCTGGGTCATAGGCTTGACGCTTCTGCCGAACAGGTCAGACGACGGGGTTGATGCTAAGTCGATGGGAGATGAGATCTGGCGATATGCCTGGCATATCATTGTAGGACCAAGCGAAGACCTTAGAGTTGACGCAGAGAAAGGCTATAAGGGCAAAGCGAAGGTCAGGGAGAATGGAGGTACCGATCTGTACCTGCCGATTCAGGAAGTCGTCATGAAGGTAGATGAGTTCCAGGTCTTCCATGGGTTCGACTCGGGGGGGTAACGGATTCTTCCCTAGGGGTAGGGTGAAGGCGTTATAGTTAATTGACGAAAGTACCCTTAAACTTAACATAAATTTTAAAGGAGTTAGACGTGAGTGGTGGATTGCAACACTTTACAAGGTTCAGGTGGTTAAAAATAAAAATAAAAAGTTCAACATAAATTTTAAAGGAGTTAGACGTGGGTGGTGGATTGCAACACTTTACAAGGTTCAGGTGGTTAAAAATAAAAATAAAAAGTTCATGTGATAATGATGCACATACCTAAAAGTTCATGTTGTATTTATGCAAATTTCCCTAAAATAAATAAAGTGTATTTTAATAAATAAAATTAGAAAAACAGATACTATATATATATATTGGAATTTTGGTTTATAGAAAAACCTGAACGACAAGAAAAACCCATCGTTTGTTTCAAAACTTTCAAGGGTTTTGGCTAGACGTCGTCGTTCTGCGCTAGGTTATTAAAAACAAAAATTAAAAATTTGGGTCAGATTCTTCCTCGCACTTGCATAAGAACTCTGCAACAAAGCAGCCACCTCGCACCGCTACAAGGCGCACCATTTTCCGGTCAATTAGCTCCGGCGATTCATGACCATCTCTCTCCGATACTCGCGTCTGCATTAAAACTGCTAGTTGCAACTAGCGATTCACAGTCGCATCAAGCAAACAAATATGCTGAGAAGAAGACTCGCATCCCTTCTCTCCACCGCCATTCGCACTAAACCTATTCTCTCACCCTCTCCAATCTCATTCCAATCCCTCCATTTACTCCAATGCCCAAACCCTAACCCTAGCATTGGCGATGTCAAAGGGTTCGGCTTTCAGCCTCGGGGGTTGAGAGCGTACAGTCTGCTGAGCTTGAACGATCTGAGAGGCAAGGTTCCCAGGAAGCAGAAGACGAGGAAAGGCCGCGGGATTGGGTCTGGTAAAGGCAAGACTGCTGGTCGGGGCCACAAGGGTCAGAAGGCTAGAGGCTCCGGGAAGTTGGGTTTTGAAGGTGGTCAGACGCCATTACGACGTCGTTTGCCCAAGCGTGGTTTTAAGAACCCTTTTAGTCTCACTTTTCAGGTACCCTTTCTTTTCTTTTTGGTTTTCATTGTGTGTAATATGTATTGCTATTTTGTTGGGCTGCTCTGAAAATGGTGGAATATGAAGGAAATGGAAAAATAGGGTGGTTATGCTGTTTATGGTGTTTTGTGGCTAGTTGTATGGCATTGAAGATATGCCGTATGCATGAGTTTGAGTAAAATTGCTCCCTTTTTATTAGAATAATTGAATAGTTAGTTTCATGTCTCTTAGTCTTTAGTACAAAGAGGTTGATCAATTAACTTATTCCTGTTATATTTGTTTTATATGTCAATTCAGGTTGATATATTTAACAGGAATATATTTGGGATCATTTATCGTGTACTCTGTAAGATGGCCAAAGTGCTCTGTTTGTGTTTGCGTGATCGTAAGTGGTAAAAGCCTATAGTTAGTAATGACACACTGAGTTTATGCAAGCCCATGACCTATAATGGCCACCAGGGTTTATGTTAACTTTGTGTGAATATACCTCTCCTGATAGATAGATAATAAGGGAAGTAGCTTCCTCTATACTCTAGAAATGGTAGTTGGTAGTAAAGTGCTAATTGTAGAAATGTCTTCAAAATAGGCTTCGCTTTGTAGAAATGTCTTATCATACACACTGCATAAGTAATCAACTAAGGTTGTACTAGAAACTGGAGCCCGTTTGATAACCATTTCAATTTTAGTTTTTAGTTTTCATTTTTTGTGCTGGAGTATAGAGGAAAAAGAGGGAGAATGAGAGTGAAGATGAGATTGAGAGGGAAGATGAGAGGGAGGAGATAAAAAAGTGAAAACAAAAACTAAAAACTGAAATCTATTTGAAATTGTTTTCACTTTTGTTACTACTCCCTCCCATCCTCCCCTTTCATCATCTCTCTTAATCTCCTCCTCACTCCCAGCCTCACTCTCATTTTCCTCTATACTCTAGCACAAAAAATGAAAACTAAAAACTAAAATTGAAATGGTTATCAAATGGGCCCCTTTCTTTTCTTCTCTGAGTTCTAGATCATCTTACTGATAATGACCATTCAAATGGAATGAAGCCCTTAAGCATTGGGTCAGTTGGTGAGTGGTGGAGTAGGGTTGGGCTAGGATTTCAGTTTAACTTTTTCCAAGAATAAAATCAAAATGAGTGAAAGAAACAATTACAGAATGTTTATGCGAGAAGGAAAACCATGTCCTAAAGAAACACATGTCTTGCCTAACATGTGTCAAATGAGATTGAAAATTTGTAAAACTACCTGTATCTGACATCCTAAATATATACCACAAATTATACTGCTGAAAATACTGCCTGAAGCAAGAAAGAAAGCACTTGAATCGAAGTTATATCACAACTTTTGGGGTACAATTGAATCCAAGCTCTTTGCTTCAGTCTTCCTGCAACCTTGGCCCTTCATTGAAGTTTGTTCCATTTTTTGCCAAGATATTGGGCCAATGGCCTGGGTCTATGAATTCCATGATACCCAGATATTGTTGCCATCTCACAACTGTGTGAACATAGATGTCAATCTTGGAAGCATATATGTATATAGAGAGAGCTTTAAATCAAATAACTTTGTTGAAATTTCTAGTTCATTCTTTTGGATATTCATATTTTGAAGCAGAGTTTGCTGCTATGGCTATCAGATTTTTATCCTTTCCTTTTAATTGAATTTGAATCTATTGACGCCTTTTCTGTTTCTGGAGGCTTTTAAATGTATCACCTTTATTTCCATTCATTTTCTGATATTGTATGCATGCCTTTGTGGCAGCCAGTAGGATTGGGAAAAATTGCCAAACTTATAAATGCAGGAAAGATTGATTCGTCTGAGTTGATTACAATGAAAACACTCAAGGTGCAGTAAATTCCTTCTCAGACTATTGAACCAATTCCTGCATCAACTTTGTTTCAATCTGATAATTATTGTTACAATAGGATACAGGGGCCATAGGGAAGCAGATTAAAGATGGAGTCCGATTGATGGGACGTGGTGCTGAACAGATCCAGTGGCCGATTCATCTGGAGGTACATCTGGGCTTTATGCATTATATGGACTTGTGTATTATGTGGGTGGGGGTGTCTTTCTTGCTTTACCTCTTCACCGTTTTGGAATTTTAAATTGCCGCATTCACCTCAAAACTGTTTTTGTGGTATGGGAGTGCCTCACCGCATCAATTTTAGATTTTTGACCACTGCCAGTATGATGGTTATCATTGATTCCATTGTTTTTTTTTTTTTTTTTGTTTTTTTTTTTTTTTTTTTTTTGTCACACTGATTTTACTTTTGATCTCCATTAATTTTTTAAAATGTTAAACAGTTTATTTTCATAAAGCAGAACCATGTTATGAGTGGAATATGTTGATTGATCATGTTTATTAGTGGCAACTTTGGTGATGGCCTGAAATGTTTTCACTAGGTAATTTATTTCATATAAACATCTTTGAATAAAAATTACTCCCGTAACTTTGGTCTTAGATTTCTTAAACTAGTTTGCAGATAAATTTTAATTGGGTAATATTTAGTGTTGTAACTTGGAAGATACTTTTGTATGCCAATTATTTTCAAGATATGTATGAAGTAAATGTATCTAGGTCAGACTTTGGATTTTATCACCGTAATTCTTTTATGTGCTGGTTTGTCAGGTAATCTCCAAGACTTTGATATTGACTTGAGTGTAAACTTGTGCACTTGATATCTTTGTTTTCACTTACGTGCAACTCAAAAATGGACTTATAAATGAGGTTTGTAGGTATCACGCGTCACTGTAAGGGCAAAAGAAGCAGTTGAAGCTGCAGGTGGGTCTGTCAGAAGAGTGTATTACAACAAGTTGGGCTTTCGAGCATTGCTCAAACCTGAGTGGTTTGAAAAGAAAGGCAGGTTATTGCCAAAGGCAGCGAGACCTCCCCCAAAACAGAAGGACAAAGTCGATAGCATCGGCCGCTTGCCGGCCCCAACCAAACCTATTCCTTTTTTCACTGAAGAGGAGGTGGCCTCCAGTTCATCCACTTGACAAAAAGGGAGCAAAATCAGTTCTTTTCAGGATATTTGTACTTTTACATCCAGTTCCTTCACATGTTTTGCATGTGAAGTTCATTTTCATAAGAAACAGTAATTTTATTATAAGGCAAAATGATTTGGAGGAATAAATGGAATGAGTAAAGCTTTTCATGTTGCCTCTGGATCAGCCTATTTCAGACTTCTCTAGAAAATGAACTTCATCAGATGCTTTGACACGGTTTAACTATTTTACTTAAGCAATTATCTCAGTCGATTAGATTTGTGGTTAAACCTGCTTAGTGTAAACCTCATTCAAGGATGAGATTGACACATCCCAGATATTGTCCGCCTAGGGCCACACCCTCACAGTTTTGTTTTTTGGCTCAGGCTTATTCTATTTAGACCAAAAAGCCTCTTTCTAAGACTGTTCAGTGCCCGCACAATATAAGGCACTTCACCCTTCCCTCTCCGAGCAACGTGAGATTGCTCACTGATCTTGTCTCTTCTTGCCTTATATTCTTCAAAGCTCACAAGTCTTAGATAATCCTCGGTCATGTAGCACAACAATAACAATTTTGGAAGATGAGAGACTAAAAATAAAGTCGGGTTTTAGTTGAGGGACTATTGCTACAATTTTGCCTAAAAAATACATGTTGGATGTCCTTAGTTTTCCCTAAACCCTTTGAAACTCATTACCTAAAACTTCTCCCAATTATTAATATTTTTACACCATCGGTTTTTGTCAAGTGAACTGATGGTTTGGTTAATTGCAAAACGTAAAGTGGACCAAATTAATCAGTTTAGTTTGGTTCTCCATCAAATTTTAAAAAATAAAAATAAAAAACCGGACCAAACCAAACCAATCCGCTTAGTTTGGCCAGTTTTCGAGTTGAAATGCCCCGCCGCCGCTTGTCGACCATTGACAGCCAGCCATCGTCGCCCATCGCCCATTGCAACCAATTCCGTTGCCCTTTATTCACCCTAAAAAGAACAGAAATTTTTGTGACCCTCAAAGAAGGAAAGCCTCTTTCGCAAACTACTATACCAAACTTGTGTTTTGTGTATTTGTTCAGTTATGCAATATTATTAACAATCAACAATTTTTTTATATAATTAAAAAAATTTGACACCTCAACGCGCAAGATTTGTACCAAATCCCTCATGTTCTAGAGTTATACATAACAAAACAACGTAGATATAAATGATGTAAACAAAACCAAAAACTACACAAAAAAGAAAAGAAAAAAAGACCGCAACAATAACAAAATCAAATTCTATAGAAATATAAACTGCAATGCATTGTGTATTTTAATAACAACTAGCCCCTTGGCACATGCTCACGCATGTGCCAATTGATTTTATTTTTAGAATTAAGAAAAGATAACATGAGTAGTTATGTTCCATAAAAATAGGACCTATTATATGATTTTAATTTTAATTTTAATTTTTTTTAATATGAAAAAAATGTGAATTTACCATAATATCCTCATTTAATTAATAATTTCAATTCTTAATGTTTGAATTAACCAAGGGTATTTTCTGGCATTTTGAATGTTTCACCATTCTCTTCCTTTTGATTTATATATATAGATGATCAATCAACAATCTAATAAAAACATAACTAGAACAGTAATAAAACTAAAATAACTATCAATCTTTTTTAAACTCATGATAAAAAAAACAAAAACTACGACCATAACAAAACCTATGAGAACCAATTCAAAAACAATGATCAATTGAGTATAGCCAAAATTTTATTTTTTTAATTATTTATTTATTTTTATGTGAATGCCATCGCCGTGGAGGATTGTGAGTGTGGGTATAGTTTGAAATATTGATAATATCGACGAAATATCAAGGATATTTCGGTTTTTTTGAATCATGGATATTTTAGAACATATCCATGTACATATCGTATAAATATCGACAATATCGACGATAATATCGGAAAATATCGATGTTGATAATTTCGCTCACACTTCAGCAATATTTTGTCAAAATATCGATGTAATATCGAAAATATCGATGTAAAGAAAAAAAAGGAAAAAAAAAGAAAGAAAAAAAAGGGGAAAAAGGGAGGAAAAAAAAACACAAAGGGGATTGAACCTCTCCCATTTTACTCCTCCAACACCTTAACCACCATATATCACTTATGTTTTAGTGATAATATGCTAAAATATTTATATTTATATGGGTGTCATGTTAACAATTACATGCAAAACTATTTTGGGAATTTATCATTTGATGAATACTCTTTACAATATACTTGCTCTCCACATAGAGATGATGAAGATAGTGAAAAATTTGAATCTCATAGTAACTCTATGTGGTACTAAGTCACTCATGTATCTTACTATGCAATGTATAAAATGTAAAATATTGTAGTAAATCATTATATATAAATGAATATGGTGTGTTTAATCTTTTTTCATTAATTACTACATATTTTCTACACTCACAGTGTTTGCCAGCTCGCTGTATAATCAACTTAAATCAGTTAAATCCATCATGTAACACATTCCTTCTAATTTTTTATTATTATAAACTAATAGATAATTGACTAAATAAACATTCCCCAAAGTTTCAATAAAAATTTCCAAGTTTTTCTTATAATTTTCGTGGTTTTTATTCAATTTTTATCGATATCAATAATATCCCGATATTTTCATATTTTTGGACTACCGATATTTCCGATATCATCGATATTTTAGACCATGAGCGTGGGTTCCACAAAATTAAAAGTAACAAACCAGACCAAAAAAAAATAAAAAAAATAAACCCCTCTCTCTCTCTCTCTTTCTATCTCCTGACATGAAGACTTAGGAACTGTCAAGTCTCAACCACACCACACGTATCTAAACCTATCCTCATTGTAAGAAATAAAAATACATTCAAGACATGCAGCAAAATCAAACACAAACACTTTCTATTGTTTGTTAGTTATTACCATAAAAGTAAGTAAAATATAAAATGGATTAAAATAAGAAAGCAAACAAGGACAGCTTAAAAGAAAAGAGCCCCCCGTCAGTGAATTAGATAGAGCCATTTACTCTGCTTCCTCCAAGCTCCCCTGCCATGGCCATGAGCTTGGTGATGATTTCCAAGCAATATTAAGAGAACATCTTGTGCCATTTAGTGAGATTAGCTTCATGGGCACCATGCTTGCCCAACCACCAATCCCAGCTTTCCACGCAATTCCACCAATGCTTAGAAATAGACCCACAAACATGGCGGTAGCTCCTCATAGTTTTCTCTCAGCCACACATCAATGGACTCAAAGCACGAGATTTGGGCAGTACCCATTTGGGTTTAGGACCACTTACACAGTTAGAGTTGCAGAGCAAAGTTCGAGCCTTATTGGGGACGAGACACCCACTGAGATTAAGACTGAGCTTTACCAAGCACTCGAAGGTATGTTCTTTTCAACTCCAGCCTCTAAGATTACCTTACTTTGAAGAATTTGGTGAAAATTTTGAAGTAAAAATTGAATTGGGTTGCCACTAATTTTTATCCTAGGAATCAATAGAGGGATTTTTGGGGTCCCATCTGCGAAGAAAGCTGAGATTGAGGCTCTGGTGAAGCAGCTGGAGTCTCAGAATCCTACTCCAGATCCTATTCTAAATTTGGAAAAGGTATATTCTTTTTTCTTTTTTTGTTCAAGTTTCCTTGAGACTGGTAGTTATGATTTCTTTTTGAAAGTTTTCAATTCTTTCTATAATTGGAAGATGGGTGGATGCTGGAAACTTGTTTACAGCACAATTACAATTTTAGGCTCCAAAAGAACAAAGCTAGGATTGAGGGACTTCATCTCCTTGGGTGATTTCCTGCAGAATATTAATGTTGCTGAGGTACAGAGATTTTTGATTAAATTCCGATTCAAATGTTACATTTTACAAAACTGTAAAATTTGTTGATACTTAAGAGTGTTCAACTTGGTTTACCATTTTAAGCATTCCAATATGTTTTCTTGAAATATATGGTGATTTGGTTTGTTGTGTTTTACAATTGGGCATTTGCTCGTGTGCCGAAACGGAGGGCCAAGCAGTTAATGTGATCAAGTTCGATGTGAGAGGATTGAATCTGTTTAATGGGCGGCTGACGATTGTGGCCTCCTTCAAGCAAGCATCCAAATCAGTTAAAGCCCATCTGCCCTTTTGCTCACCCTTTGTATTCTTTTCTTTGATCTGACTGGAATCATGTTCTTAAATTTTTTCTGCTTTCAAATTCTACAGAGAGTTGACATCAAATATGACAACTCCACAATCACTCCGGTTCAGGTAGTTTAAATTATATGCGCCATTCACACGCACACAAGCACACGCACACGCACACCCCCACAAACTATTGCTTCATTTGCTTCATCATACTGAGGTGCTGTTATCGGCCATAATTTTGAGTTTATGTTTGGAAACACATTAGTTGATGAACGTGTTTCGGAAAAATTACCATCTTCTGCTCGGAATCTTCAATCCAGAGGGTTGGCTTGAGATTACGTATCCTAAATCACATTAGTTGATACCGTGTTATCAATTTTCTATTTCCTGCGCTTGAGGGTTGCCTTTTGGATGCAGACATATCATATTGCATGTTTTCCTGAATTCAGTTACTGCAGATATCTTGATGAAACCATGAGGATCGGAAGGGATGATAAAGGCAACATCTTCATATTAGAGAGATCAAACGAAAATTCTCTTCAAGCGTCAAGCTAGATTCAGTTCGTCGTTATATCCTTACCGATTGAAAGATCATTTTTGAAGAGTACATTTCGTTGCTGCATTGTAGCACTTCTGATATTTTTTGTAATTGTAACTCATAAAGCTGCATGTCTGCGGTCATCTTTTTTCCAGAGAAATAATGAAAGACGAAGATATGTGCTTTCATGATGAACGATTTCAGAAGCGTAACTAATCAAAATAAGAAAGCAGTTAATTGTAATGTTGGCTGCAAACAGTCCGTTTGCCCCTACTTTTCTTCCAAGCAGACCTTTAAAAATGCCTCTTCTTACTTATGGGGAAAACCCAAACTTTCACTGCCCTGCCCTGTAACAGTAAATTTGTACTTTTATTTGGATACAATGGGGGCAAAGATGCCCAAAGACAATTCCTCTCCCAAGTTAGAGATAAGGCCAGCGGCACCAATAGTGTTAAAAATTCAGGCTTAGCTTCAAGAGCTCCCCAGAGCAGCTTCAACAACCAGTTCTTAAGTATACTCATTTTTGGAGGCACTCTTGATCAAATTCACTTACACACTTCTGATGCGAACAAGGTAGTTTAAAGTCAAAAACAAAGGCGATTTTCAAATTTCCACTTCCAGATTCACTATTAAGCTTGAAGAAAATAGCATGAACCCCAGGGCACTCCATGCTGCCTCTTACTTCCACCTTTGAGGCGCTAGTTTCTTTCTTTCTTTCTTTTTTTCTTCGTCCTGTTATGAACAAAGTTGAGCAGTGTTTAATTCAAACATGGTCTCATGTCGAAATATATTAGGGTAATAAAGCTTATTTTATAACCAAAACAGATCATCAATTAACAAAATATCATCAACAAACCGAATTGCCAATGCAGAGCCTCAAATTATGTAACGAGGTCCGCCATAAAAATCTTAAATCTCCAGCAAGCTTTCTCTCACTATCAAATATAAGACTGGCACATTGACTTTGACTGTAAAAGTGCCAGACGAGAAGCACTGAGACCCCAATTATATAATTCTCCTAAAAGCCGTAGGATTAAGAAGAAGGAACACAAACAAATTAAGATGGTAAGATCAGCTTCCTCTCATATCCTCCTCATACACATTTGTTTCATTTTCCTTTCGTTCTCGTCACCATGCTGTGCCAACAGCGGTGACCTTGACGCCCTTTTGAAGCTGAAGAACGCCATGAACACAGGACACAAAACTTCAGGGGTGTTGGAGGACTGGAAGCCCTCTGCCCACTACTGCTTTTTCTCTGGAGTCTCATGTGACCAGCAACAAAGCCGAGTGGTCGCTCTTAACGTCTCCAACGTGCCTTTGATTGGCTCCATCCCAGAGGAGATTGGGCTTCTAAACAAGCTCGTCAACCTCACCATCGCTGGCAACAACCTAACCGGGAGGCTTCCCGCCGCGATGGCCAACCTGACGTCTCTAAAGCACTTGAACATCTCCAACAACATCTTCATAGGCCGGTTCCCGGGAGAAATCTTCCTTGGGATGCCGGAGCTTGAGGTTCTTGACGCCTACAACAATAAATTTAGCGACCAACTGCCACCCGAGCTGGCCAGCTGTAGAAGGCTAAAACATCTTCAAATGGGAGGAAATTACTTCACGGGAGAGATTCCTGAGAATTATTCTAATATTCAGAGCCTGGAGTATCTAGGACTCAACGGTAATTGTCTCACCGGAAAGCTACCGGCCAGCTTGGCTCGGTTAAAGAACCTCAAGGAGCTGTACGTTGGGTACTATAACAGTTTTGACGGCGGCATTCCACCGGAGTTGGGATCGCTGACGTGGCTGCAAGTGCTGGACTTGGCCAGCTGCAACCTGAGCGGCAGCATTCCCAGGAGCCTCGGCCTTTTGAAACATTTGCGCTCTCTGTTTCTGCAAGTTAACTGCCTTAACGGTTTTATACCACCTGAACTTTCAGGCATGGCGAGCCTCGTGCTTTTGGATCTCTCGATCAACAAACTCACAGGAGAAATACCAGAAAGTTTCTCAGAGCTGAAGACCATTAGCGTTCTCAACCTGCACAGGAACAATCTTTACGGTTCCATACCTGACTTTATCGGCCATCTTCCTCAACTGGAGGTGCTTAACCTATGGGAGAACAACTTTACATTTGAGCTACCTGAGAGCCTTGGCCGGAACGGCAGGCTTGTGGATTTGGACGTCACCAGAAACCACCTGACAGGGTTGATTCCTCAGGATCTTTGCAGAGGAGGGAGGCTGAAAACATTGATTTTGAAGGACAATTACTTCTTCGGGCCAATTCCGGAGGAACTAGGCCAGTGCAAGTCCCTTGTCAAAATCCGAATGATGAAAAACGCAATCAATGGGACTGTTCCTGTTGGGATCTTCAACTTGCCTAATGTGGTCATGATTGAGCTAAATCAAAACTACTTGTCTGGTCAACTTCCAACACAAATGCATGCGGACTCACTGGCAATCCTCACGCTTTCTGATAACCAGATTTCTGGGGTAATCCCACGGGCAATTGGAAATCTTAACAACTTACAAACTCTCTCCCTGGCGATGAACAAGTTTTATGGGAAAATACCGAAGGAAATCTTTTATTTGAAATGGTTATCGAAGATCAACATCAGCATCAACAACCTGGATGGTGAAATTCCAGCTTCAATTTCTAATTGTTCGTCTCTAACGTTCCTTGATTTTAGTCGAAACAATTTGGTTGGTGAAATCCCAAGAGGGATAACAAAGCTAGAAACAATTCAACTTGTCAATTTCTCTAGAAACCAACTCACGGGACAAATACCTGATGAAATCCCCTACATCACAAGCCTCACAACTTTGGATCTCTCTTACAACAACTTCACTGGAACAATCCCACAATCCAGTCAGTTTCTGGCCGTCGTGTCGTTTGAAGGAAATCCCTATCTCTGTCGCAATGTCTCATGCCCGTCCTTGATTAACCAGAGAGCTCGAGACCACAATGCTTTTGGTTCTCCTTCGAAGCTAGCTCTTATCATCATTGGACCGCTTCTGGTTCTCCTACTTATCATCCTTCTGATATTCCTACTTGTCAAGGTTTATAGAATCACAGAGATGAGAAAGATCCAAAAATCTAAGGGTTGGAGGCTCAAAGTGTTCCAGCAGCTCCATCTCAACGTTGAGGACTTGCTCCAGTGCTTAAAGCTTGAGAACATTATAGGCAAAGGGAGTGCTGGGGTTGTCTACCGCGGGACCATGCCAAGCGGCCTTGAAGTGGCAATCAAACAGCTTGTTGGCTCAAGTAGAGGAGGACAGAGGGATCATGGATTTTCAGCGGAAATTAAAACACTAGGACAAATCAAGCACCGAAACATTGTAAGGCTTCTGGGGTACATGTCAAACAATGAATCAAACTTGCTATTGTACGAGTACATGCCGAATGGTAGCTTGGGGAAACTATTGCACGGGCCAAATGCAGCGGAATTGCAGTGGGAGAGGAGGTATAAAATCGCTGTGGAGGCCGCTAAGGGACTGTGCTATCTCCACCATGACTGCTCGCCTCTGATTATACACAGGGATGTCAAGTCCCATAACATCTTGTTGGACTCCAACTTGGAGGCTCATGTTGCCGATTTTGGGCTCGCTAAGTACTTTCAAGGACCTGCAGATTGCATGTCTTCCATTGCTGGTTCCTTTGGCTACATCGCCCCAGGTGCGTAACCTAATTCATCATCAACTAATTTCAACTCAACTTATCAATGGATTGAATTTCAACCAGTTTTCCTGTAAGTATTTACATTTTTTCTTTCTTATGTGATGGTGCACCCAGAGTACGGTTATACGCTGAAAGTGGATGAGAAAATTGACGTGTACAGTTTCGGTGTGGTGCTGCTGGAGCTAATAACTGGGAGGAAACCGGTGATGAACTTGGAAGATGAGGACATGAACATAGTAAGTTGGGTGAGGAAGACCACGTCAAAAATCCCTTATAAGCCATCTCCTGCATCACCAGCAGTACTATTGGCACTGGTAGATCCCAAGCTCAGCGGGTACCCATTGCAAGGTGTCCTGCACTTGTTCAACATAGCAATGATGTGTGTCGAGAACGACAGCTGCGCAAGACCTACAATGAGGGCAGTCGTTAACAGGCTCACCAATCCTCCACCGTCTTCTCCGACCTAAGTCTACCTTTAGATATGTTGGTAGACCAACACAAAAGTGATCCTGTTTATGTTAGTGCTTTGGTATGACAATGTTGCTTTTTAAATTTTACTAAACCTTGTTGGTGCAACTTAAGATTCAGTGAAAAATGGGCTTCATGAGTTGCTGTGAAAGTGATCGAAATCTATACTTGACTTGCTATTCCAATTTCCAAAGCACAAGAAATATGCACAATAATAATTTTTTTTCTTGAGTTGTTAATAGAATTAGGCAAGACACCGATATGTAAAGGACAATATTAATATTGAACAACCCTGCATTTATCTTCTAGTAGAGAAATGAAAAGACGTCTTTGTCGTGGTCGTCATACTTTCTTTTCACATAGTTCTTTGTTTTGTGCAATTAATTTTCTCGTACAAGATAGAGAGAGTGTTATTCTATTGGATTCAATTTTATAAACTCAAAAACAGATTTTAAACACTCTAAACATTCTCATTATTGAAAAAAAAAGTGAGATTTTACAAAAATAATTTCTTCCCTCGTCTCCCTCTCTCTCTCTCTCTTCTTTTCTTTTGTTAATTTCTATTTGGGAACTAAGGTTTTTGATTTTTTTATTTTAATTTCAATTTTTTTAGATCTTAAAAATAGTTTCAAGTTCAATAACAAACAAGTTTTTAGATCCTAAAATCAATATTTAAAAACTCATAATTTTTTAATTCATTTTTTAAGTAGAATACCAAATGAACCCTTATTTTGTTGTCGCGGTATTTTGAAATGGCCTATTACTCGACTATAATGCTAGGCACACCAAACTTTTTTTCAACTGTATATTATCATAATGTGACTCTTGCACATAATGTGAGAGTCATGAGACAATTAGACTATGTAGGGTCCATTCAATGAGAGCGGGTTAGGACAAGAGTTGGTGTGTGCATGTATCACTCATCGAACGCATTTAAGTATATTCCACAAAAAGTATGCTGGAATTCCAACCATTGTCCCTTTCCCTTATCTTCCTCGGTCTCGTATTTGAATCACTTGATGGTCATGATACACGAGCATCCCCCGATGTGGGCAACTTTTGGTAGATGAATTGAATTCTTAAAAGTTGTTTGAATGGTGTATTAGAAAAGATAATTATATACTACTAGTGCTCAAATAGGTTAGCTAATTAAAAGCAGAATCACTTGTGATTAGCGATTGGTTTCCTTTTCTCGCTTTTACCTAACCCCTTGTCTGTTTCTTAATAGTTTCAGGTTTTACAAAGAGATCCACCTGTCCAACAATAATGCAAACTTGTGTGATTATGAGGATAAAACTTGATTATAATACTTTGGAAAAAGAAATGAAAAAAGATGGTTAGAAAATCAATACTTTTCCTACTCTTCTTTCTCACTCGCTCATAAACAGCAATCGGTTTTTGTTTTGGTTTTTTTTTCCAAAGTTCATTCAAACCCCCAAAAAAAAAAGAACGGAAAAACAGAGAATACAGGAGCCGAAGAGGCCATGAACAAAGTACAACAAGCACATGAAAGATTAAGCTAAAACCAATACAGTCTAGCATAATAAATCTTCCCCATCACAAAATCAAACAAAGTAAAAAACAAAAAAAAACAAAACCACCATCGTCGCTAGGGGAACAGGGACTGCACCAAAATGGCCACAAAAGAGGAGAAACACTTCCTCCACACAAATCAACACCACTGCACATAGAGACCCACTGATCATCCGTCAAGGACAAAAATTTCACAAAACACATAAATACATCAACACACCCACAATCATCCAAGAGTCACCTCCTCCATCGCATCCGAATCCGCCAATGAACCCAAGGAAAAACAACAACCAATCACAACAATACCATGATATATACTTGAAGATCAACACCAAGAGAGTGGAAAGTAGTGGTGCAAGCACCAAAGCTAGAACCGTCTCGAAGCACATTCCTAGGCATATGTGAAAAAACGCATATAGAAGTAGTTGATGTAACCCACAGGAGAAGCCATATCCAAAATGAGGAGAAGGCAAGAAGAGGAGGGAATGTGGAGGAGGAAGTAGATCTGGTTGTGTGGGGTGCTTGGCAAAGAAAGGGGGACACAAAATCATTCCGAGACATCAAATCTCAAAGCAGAGTTGTTTCCCTCTTTTCGGTCGAGTAGGCCGATTGAAGGAGTTTTTGGTCCTTCTTCTTTTGAGTGCGGGACGTGCCACCACCAAGCCCCAAATTTAGGCTTGAATGGAATGTGAGTAGATGGATATGTTGCTTCCGAGATCTAACTTTAATCAAACAATTGTTTGGCCGAGCAAGGAACCTCCTCACGGCCTAGGTTCTTTCACTAACTCGAGGTCAAGGCTTTATGTGAGCGACCAAATTATGTGGAGTGGGTGGAGATGAAGATTGAAAGTGAAATGTAATGAAATGAAGAACACGTGCGTAAAGTAAAAGGTGCTTGAATTTAAATATAATTGAAAGACAAGTGCGGAAAGTAAAGTGCGTAAAATAAATAATTTAAAGACGAGTGCGTAAAGTAAAGTGCGTAAAATAAAGAATGTAAAGACGAGTGCGTAATGTAAATTGCGTAAATTAAATAATTGAAATTCGAGTGCTTAAAGTAAAGTGCGAAAAGTAAACTAGATTACGAAGAACAGTAAAGATTAAGCAAAGATATGAATTGAAAGAACTGCAATTAAAATAGAATTGAAACACAAGTACAAGAATGTAAAGGCATAATTGAAATCTACGGAAACTAGAGCGGAAAAAATAAGAACTGGGCTATGACTACATTATGCTACTCCTAGGATAGAAATTGAAGAGAATGTAAAATGACAAGTTGTGTGTTGTGTCGGGGGTCCTTTCTCTCTTCCATAAGCTTGGTATTTATAGGGGCTTTGGTGCGTCTCAATTTGGTCGGTCGTCAATTGGCCTTCAAATCAATCATAATTGCTCTAGAATATCTTCAATCCCTTGTCTCATGCGTGTGATTGAATGTGAATAATAATATTTGATTTGATTTTCCTTCCATCTTGAGCTCTCCCACAATAACTTCAGTTGACCATCAAGCTGGCATAATTCCTTCCATATTTGAATTGTAACCTATGAGAAAATCCTCCCATGGATTATCTCTCTCCTTATTTAAACTTTGGCTGATTTTATGTATTTGGCCGCTTTTAGTCTTTCGACCACTTTTATGCTCTCGGCCATATTGATATATTCACCAGATTGGTGTATTCCACCACATGTAGATATTCTGCTACATGTAGATATTTTGGGCTTCTATCCGACCTTATTGATTAGGCTCACCAAAATATAGCTTTGGCTCACTATTAGTTTAATTTCAACAAGACCCAAACAAGAGCCTAAGGCTTAAGTAGTCACCACACCACATGAGGGAGAAGCAAACAACCTCACCAAGAGAACCACAGACACAACCAAAACAGACTCAAATCGAAGGTATAAGACCAGACCCGCCAAAAGAAACCAAGGTAGGGGAGATACGGAGGTAGCAGCACGAAAGAGAAGGAGAGGGGAAGAGGGACAGACCTCATCCCGAAATGGGGCAGTGCGGCACTGGGAAGAGAGGGGCATTCAATTTGGTTATGTGTGCATTGCATGTTTAGAATGCTAGTCAAAGTGAAAAAGGATATATCTCCGACATGCCAGACACTAAACAAGTGAAGAGACAAAGTAAACATATGGAGAGCAAATCTACGAGTAGTCTACTAATTTAGGATGGTAAGGCCATCTTCGGTCACAGGGCTAAATGTAGTCTCGGACTACAATTTGGCCTTCCAAAATATATTTTTCAAAGCATAGTGTAGGGCTAAATTTTTCCATCTCCAGCCATGCATGGCTATATTTTAGGGCCCTCCATATTTTATTATTTTGAGAAAAACTATGGTACAATACTCATACATTCAACTACTATGTATTGTTTAAATTAATTAAATTACTATTTAGAGACAATACCCCAGATATGACACATGTACGTTGATAAGCATTTAACAAGATTTCTGATAAGAGTGTGGAAAATATTTGACAAAAAAAGAAGAGTGGAAAGTTGTGAATAAGTAGAGAATGTGATAAAATTTATAAGAAATGTGGAATGAAATGAGTATGAAATTTTTTGAAGAAATTTGGAAGTATTTATAGACATATTTTAGGTTGTTTTAAACAAAAGAAAAGGCCAACGACGATTTTTGAAAAAATTGATGCACTTTCCAAATTTGTTTATTTATTTAATTTAAAATTTTTTTTTTAATACATTTAAAATGTTAAAAGAAAAAAAAATTAATGGCTAGCTGAGGTCTATTCGCCTTTAATAGCAGCCCTTGGATTCATCTGTGCGTTTGCACGGACTGATCCCGTGATCACGCCCACCCGTGATTCTTTCTCTTTCTGAGCAGCACATGCGCTGGGTTGAATTTAATCAGTTTTCTTGTGACAAAGTGTGTACTTTTTTTTTCCCTTTTTTTTTTTGTGATGGTGCAAATAGAGTACGGTTAAATGCTGAAAGTGGATGAGAAATCGACGTGTACAGTTTCGGTGTGGTGTTGCTGGAGCTAATAACTGGGAGGAAACCATTGATGAACTTGGAAGAAGAGGACGTGAACATAGTAAATTAAATGAGGAAGACCACATCAGAAATCCCTTATAAGCCATCTGCTGCATCATCTGCAGTACTATTGGCACTGGTAGATCCCAAGCTCAGCGGGTACCCATTGGCAGGTGCCCTACACTTGTTCAACATAGCAATGATGTGCGTCAAGAACGATAGCTGCGCAAGACCTACGACGAGGGCAGTTGTTAACATGCTCACCAATCCTCCACCGTCTTCTCCGACCAGAGCCAACCTCTAGATATCTTTTGGGATTTGGACTAATACTTTCAGTAAATAATAGACCAACACAAAAGTGATCCTGTACATTTTAGTTCTATGGTACGATATTGTTGCTTTTTAAGTTGTACTAAAACTTGTTGGTGCAACTTAAGATCGAGTCAAAATGCGATTCATGATGAGTTGCTGTGAAAGTGATCGAGCTACTGATTGAACATGTCAGAATCTATACTTGAGTTTCTGTTACAATTTCCAAAGCACAAGAAATATGCACATAATATATTAATTCTTTTTTCTTAGAATGAGTTGTTGATAGAATTAGGCAAGATACCGATATGTAAAGGACAATATAGAACAACCCGAGATTTATCTTCTAGTAGAGAAAAGAAAAAGACGTCTTTACCTTGGTAGTTCCATTACAGTTCTTTTTTGGTGAAACTGGTTTTCTTAAAAAGATTGACGGGTGTTGTTCCGACGGATGCGTAATTTTGATGTTGCATCATGGTCTATTACTCGACTGTAATACTAGCAGGGACGGACCCAGGAATATGAACTCGTAGGGTCATAGTGTAAAAATTCAAATTTTTTTTTAAAGATTAAAATAACATTGAAAATGAAACAATAGTACATTCATTCATAATTTATGTTAAAAACAATATTACAAATTACAATTGGCCACGACGAGGTTTCATATTTTGAAAACGTAGCATTATAGCTTCATTTTCAATACAATCAAAAACATGTCAAACAAATAAGCAACTCAGTGTTTACCCCATTAAAACGAGCATCTAACTTCGTAAATTGCTCATCAATGACATAAATAAAGAGCTTCACACGATAATGATGACGAAAACGGTTCACTAATCATGTAGGCGAAAACGGTACATCAATCAAAGCCCTAGAACTAAAGTAATGAACTTCAGAAGATTTTGAAGAAATTTTCTACTTGTCCTTAACTCAAGAGCGAAGATTGGTTGAGCAAGTTATAAGTAAGCAACGGGATTATAACAAGAACATGAAAGCAGCTTAGCAGGAGGAGGTATTTGGTTGGTACTTGGTAGTGCATCTTAGGAGTCGTTATTGATCAATTATTTATTTCAAGTAGGTAGATTGCTACTTGGCTGGCAATGGTGGTGGTAATTTTCAACAGGTAGATCCCTTAGGCTTTGGTTTTCACTCCTTGTTAGGTCGTTAAAAGAAATTTTATGTAATCAAAGGGTCTGTTATCACTACAATCTGTTTTATTTATTTTTTTCAAAGGCCTGGACCAAAACGACGTCGTTTTGGCCAGGTCTTTTAAAAAAAATTCGGTGCTGCTAGTCCAAAACGACGCCGTTTTGGTGCCAGCGCATTAAAAAAAAATTCGCTGGGTTCAAAACGACGCCGTTTTGGATCCAGCGGTTTTGAAAAAAAAAAACAGACCTACAGCTCCCCTGTTCATCTTCTTCTTCCTCAGATTTGCAGCTCCTCCTTCAGCCATTCATGGGGTCACACACAGGTTCAAAGGGACCTTCTACCTTACGTTTATGGAGTCCATAGGGTCGTTTGACCCCATTGACCCCACTGTGGGTCCGTCCCTGAATACTAGACACCAAATTTTGCACATGATGTCGAACTCATGAAATAATTAGGGTTGATTCAACGTAAGCGAGTTAGAACAAGAGTTGGTGTGTGTACATACTTCTCACTCATTGAATGCCTTTAGATATATTCCACAAAAGTATACTGGAATTCCAAAAGCATTGTCCTAAATTCTAATTTATCTTCTCGTGTTTGAATCATCTCCATGTTCATGATACACGAGCATTCCTCGATGTGACCAATTTTTAGTGGATGACCTAAATTCTTAAAAGTTTTTTGAATGTGCGTTAGAAGATTATACTATGCTTCTAGTGCCAAATAGGTTTGCTAATAAAAAAAACAGAATTAGTGCGTTATATCTGCTTTCTTGCTTTTTACCAAATCCCTTGGCTGATTGCTTCCCTACCAACTATTGGTTTCGTGGTGCAGCCAATCTCCTGCCATGCTTTTCTTAGTAGTTTCTGGTTTTACAAAGACAACCACTTGTCCAACAATAATGCAATCAGTTTGGTTACGCGTGCATTGCATGTTGGAACTTGGAATAGTCCAAGAGGAAATATAGGAAAAGCAGCTTAAATCGGAAAATATAAATATATACACTTGTTTGGGAGTGATTTTAGATAGGTCAATAATCACTTTTTATAAAGAAGGCTTTTTCTCATAAAATCACTTAAAATGATTATGGGCTTGTTTGGGAGTGCTTTTGAAATTGCTAAAAGCGCTTCTAAATGGGTAAAAGCACTTCTATCTTTTAAAAATTATGTTTGGCAGAAATTGTAAAAGCGCTTTGGGTGGGATTCAAAACCACTTGAAGTGGTTTTTTAAGAAGCACTTGAGAAATGCTTCTTCACAGAAGTGCTGCCAATTGAATACACGGGAAGCACTTGGCTCCCTTTAATGAAAATTTCAAAACACCAAAAATATCCCTATTTAATTTTCAAAAATGCCAAAATACCCTCATCTGTTCTGTCGCTCGCTTCGCATAAGACTCCATCGTGTTATTTCTCTCTTTTGGCCTCATGGTTTCTTTCCAGGCAGTATCAATTGAAGGCCATGGCCATCCTTGCTTTTCCTCTGGATCGTATTATAATCATTAAAAACCATTTGGGTATTCTTTGTTTTTGGATTTCCTTATTTGAGTTCTCTAATTGGATATGTTCTTCTATGATATTTTATTATTTGGATGAAACTGGATCTTCTCTGCCTTGAAGTCCTTTTCATGTTTTTGAATTTTTTATTTAGCGTGTAAGAATTGAAGTCTTTTTCATGGTTTTGATTTTTTTCTTTTTCTTTTTTGAAATTTGTATGCATGGACTTGTCAATTTCTTTTTGTTTTGTTTCATGAGTAAAATTTGCAGTGGGCTTGATTGAATTAACAGTTTCATACGTTAATTTGGGTCAATCTATATTGATTTGTTCGTTTAAAAACTCCTGACCCAACCAAGAAGATAAAACAATGGAATTGGTGGAATTGAACAAAGCATTCTCAAATTGCATGGTCAAACATTCAATTATTTATCTGATATGTGATTCTAAGGTTAGTTGTTTTTTCAATGTAGCATTATGATAATCAATATAGGTCTACTGATTTTAACAATGCTGCAAATCCCAGCCCTGTGACCCCATTGTTAACTGATTTCATAGATCCATCTCTATGTTATCTCCTTAATTAACTACTAAGGATTTGGTCTTTTGCTGGGATCCATCTCTATGTAATTTTTATTTCCTATGTTTATTATAGTATTTTGGGATTCTTTAAATTTTTTTAAAGTACTTTTAAAAACGCTTTTATTGTGCTAGCTAACACTCAACAAAATATCAAAAGCACTTTTATGTAGTGTAAAAGCACATTTAAATGTGACATCCAAACAACAAACTGCTTCTTTGTAGAAGCGCTTATGTCATAAGTGTTATTGGCATAAGCGCTACTGGCATAAGCACTCCCAAACGAGCCCTATATGGAAAAGCATATCCATAAGTGATTATGCCCCTCCCAGAATTAGGATGGTAAAGGCAGTGACAAAGCTATAAAGGACTTAGAGACCTAGAAATTCGACAAAATGGTTAGTTCGGTTATGAGATTCCGAGGATTCAAAGTGAACTTTTGAAGTAGGACTCTAGAGTTCTTTGACCATCCATGATTGTACATCAATGGCGGAGGCACTAACCGAAAATAGTGCTTTTGGGCCCCTATATATAAGAAAAGTATCACGTACATTAATATATTTTACATAAAATTATTTTAAAAAAAAGTTATTTAAACAAGATAAAATGTTAAAAGGGTCCAGCCCCTTTAAAATTAGACAAACCAATCTAGTCATTGTCCGACAGTGACATGAAATAACTCTTATGTCACTGTTGGACAGTGACCCAAAAGTATACAATGTCACTATCTAGGGCAGGCAATGGGTCATGTTGTGTTAGGTTCGTGTTGTGTCAGGATTATGTATGTGTCAAGAATGCTCAACCCAAACACAACTTGTTTAATAAACATGTCGTGTACAGGTTAACCCGCTAATTTTCCGTGAGGGTTTCGGGTCATGTCAAGTTGACCCGCCAAGTAGTAGCAAATAAAAAAACATAATTTTTGATAATTTAATCAAGTAATTGCATTTTCTATGCATAAAGATTGAGAGAGAGAAATTTAAAAAAAAAAATATGAAGAAAATGAAGAAGAAACAAAGAAATGAGTTGGTGGGTTACATAATTATTTTAGCAAGTTAGCCGGTTCACTCATAACCCACCTATTTATTAATGGGTCAATGGTAGGTTAACTTGAAAATGACCCAAAAATTTAACCATGCGGGTCGTGTCAGAAAATACCACCCTCCGACTGTAACATAAGAGTTATTTCATGTCACTATGACTGGCCACCAATTTGTCCAATTTTTGAGAGGCTAGACCATGTTGTCTTGGTGCCCTCCTATTTTTCCGGTAAAACCCCTATATTTTATGACGTGTCTTAATCATTCCTTTTTTCAGACTGATTCTCCCAAAATTTAGTAAACCTATTATTATAATTATAATTTTTTTGTTTTAACGCAAATCCTTAAAAATGTAAAAGTCTTTTTCACCCAATCTGTCTTTTTAAGATTCTGACAGAACACTTCCAACTTGCTCTTAGAATTAGAACCAGGTTTGTAACTTCTGTTTATTCTCATATTCTCTTAATCTCCAAATAATATATTATCAAGTTTTAATTGATTTAACTCAATGAAGTAAGATTTATTAATTTTTCTCTTGTTTTCTTTTGTTTTCTCTCCAGTTATGGTTTGTTTGGATTTTTGAAATTGACTTATGGTCGGTTTGACTAATAGATTGCTTTGAAATGATTGGCTAGTTTGTTTTGGTTTACATGTTTCAGAAGATGTCCATATAAGTTTGGGACGTGAACTCTAATAATGAGTTTACAAAAGTGAAAGGGATTACTTATCTTCCACAAAATATGGTTGAGACAAAAAAAAAAAAAGATTTGTCCTTTGGTATACTTGCTTTTGACTATCACGAATTCTACTAGTTGCAACTTCAAGTGTAGAGTGATTAATTTTTACTATGAATATTGTGAAGAATCGAATGGATGATTTATGGATGAACAAATTGCATATATTGAGATAGAAATTGGGAGTTTCGCTAAAACACCCAAAATGGGGGTTGAAATTATAAAAAAACTCAAGCACTATTTAAACATATAAACACACCCAAAACCCATCATTACACACTCTCAAAATCCATTTATAAACACACCCAAAAAGTTGACTTTATGGTTGATTTTGAGTGTGTTTCTATGTTTAAATAGTGCTTGAGTTTTTTTATAAATACATGTCTAGGATTTGGTTTATTTAGAGCACTTCCACCAGTTAGCCCCTTGCCATGGCAAGGGGAGCCCTAGGGCGGGTACTATTCACGTGAATAGTGGCTGCCCTAGGGCAAAAAAAAATTTGTGTTTCCAGCAATGCAAGGCTTGCCATGGCAAATACTATTCATTTTTTTTTGTTTTTTTCACAACTTTGTTTACTTCAACAATTAATTTGTATAATATTTTCGGATAAGATTTTTGGGTTCCTACGTATGAAAAATCATTTTCTCAAGATTTTTAGCGGAGGTGCAATATTGACTAAGTATGAAAAATGGTTTTTCAAAATAATCATTTTCTCAAGAAAATTTTTGGCGGCTTTTATTCCTTACACATCAAATAAGAAAACTTGATTTTATGGGATTTTAATATGAAGTATATATTGACTTAATGAGCCATCATTTTTAGCCTAAATCGTATTTTGCACTAAAAACGATTTTTCATATTTTGATTTGGTGGGAATTTGATTTTCTAGTATTTTTATTTGAATCCAAATGGGGGGTACTTCCTTATTTACATTGTAAACTTAAGTAAATGGAGTAATATAAAAATAAAATAAAAGTATTTTTATTTCTTAAATGTTGAAAATGGAAATAAGGTATAGAGAGAAAAAAAAAGAGTAATTTTTTGGTATTTTTTTTCAATTTTTTATTACAAAAATAATGGTTGTTGGTGTTAAAAGTGAAGAGTATTGGTTGGTATTTATAGAAAAAAAATTCAGTCTTTTTTTCGTATTTTTTAAAATTTTTTCCTATTTTTTTTCATTTTTTTATTGGGCAAAAAATTACCTGCCGTTGGATTGCTGGAAAAAAATGATCGGAGAGCCCAGGAGCTTCCACGTGGCATAGAGCCGTTGGGTGTTGCTTTTTGGATTTTTTTATTCGCGAAAAAATGGCTGCCGTTGGATAAGTTTAAAAAGCAGATCGGATGGCCCAGCATGCGACACGTGGAATCATGCCGTTGGGCGGCTACTGTAGCGCGCATCAATTTTTTTTTTAAACCGGGCGCGTGTATTGCACGCGCCAGCTTTAAAAAAATTTAAACAGCAGCGCTGACGTCATCCCAGCCCGCGGGCTGGAGCTCGGGCCAGCCTCCCCCTCGGGCTTGCCCAGGTTTGTGGGCCCCACTGTTTGCCCTGGCAGCTTATTGTTGCTGGAAACCACATTTTGGGTTTGCCCCCCCCCCAACCCTCCCCTTGGGCCCCTTGGTGGAAGTGCTCTTATAAATTTGTAAAAGAAGTTTTCAGTAGACTCATAAAATTCTATTTCACTACTGTTGTACATTGATATAAATATAAAATTCGCTAAGTACCCTTCTATATAATTATAATAGAGAGAGTATGAGATATTGAGAAGGAGAGTTAGAGCTAGTTGAGAATAGTACGAGAAATCAAGGCATCTAGGGCTAAAGCTCAACAATTGTGCTAATTTTGGAGGACGAATCCAAGAGAAGAAAGTTGAACTAGAAACGTAAAACGTGCTAGGCTTTTGTGGGTGTAATTTTTGCAGCCTAAGCCCCTATCATGTAACAAAATGTAATCTCCTTTCATATTTAGTTCAATATTATTTATATATTTTTAAAAGTTGTATATTATGGACAATTACATTATGCCATGTACACTGGCAATCCAATGAATTTTTTAAAGGAGGTGCAATTTTGGCCATGATTTATATATAAAAAATAAATAAAAAGAAACAAGCGTTGTGCAACAACCCGTGGCGGATCCAGGAATTTTCATTCCGGGGGTCAATGTATAAAAGGTTTTAAAAAAAAATTCTATACAAAATAGACCCATCAAAATGAAACGATAATATTCTAATTCATAGTTAATTGATAAAACCATACAAAATACTCATGTTCATTATCAAAGAGAACTGCATCAACTTCAAAAATTTGATACACACTGCAATAAACCAGAAATATCTCTAAGAATGTGGTAATAAACCAAAAAATTAGCGGAATCCTCTTCGCCTCCCAAGGCATCTCGTCCTATTCGACGTAAGAGCTGGCATATATTAGTGCAATCCTGCTCATTTTAGGGCATTTACATCATTTTTTAGGTCCGTCGTCATTTTGATTTTAGGCTTTATCTGCATTTTTTTTGGGTTCTAGCTCTCAAACTTTGGACCCTGATGAGTACTATCTTAAGGGGAGCTTATTCAAGGAAATATTTCTTCAATATGTAAGAGTTAGGTTATTCTTGTAAAACTCTTTATGGATTGAACATCTAAGGTGTTTTTGCCTAAATTGACCTTTGGTCCCTTCATGCATTCATATCATACATGAAAAATTATTTCATGTAAAAATATTGGCTAAGTATGAATTGGAATAATCATTTTCTCAAGATAATTTTTGGTTGCTTTTATTCCTTACGCATCAAATAAGAAAACTTAATTTTATGAGATTTTAGTATAAAGTATATATTGACTTAATGAACCATCATTTCTAGCCTAAATTATATTTTGCACTAAAACCAATTTTTCATATTTTGATTTAGTGGGAATTCGATTTCCTAGTATTTTTATTTGAATCCAAATGGAGAGTACGTACTTATTTACACTGTAAATTTAAGTAAATAGAGTAATATTAAAATAAATGAAAGTAAAAGGACAAAGACATTTACTTAAATGCTGAAAATGAAAATAAGGTAGCAACGCAACGCAGAATATCAGAAAACTGACTTCATTTAGGCTTTTCGTCGAACATCTAGAGTGCACCTCCCTGTCTAAGCAGAGGTGCAATATGCAACACCTATATATTATACTCATATATATCTAGTATATCACGACTCATCCAAAATACAGAAATATCTCGTATACACGGCCAGTGGGTAAAATAATTAACATGATTTTGTGTGACAAAACAAGAGCAATAACCCTTATTTTAGCAACATATTTTCAATCCGTAACGTAGGAGGTTGGAAGAAAAGAAATTTCATACAGTTTCCCACTCAAAATCTATTCCAAACACTTTCGTGCTTATCAGCTACACCATATACCCGAACTTCGAAAGATTATGTTTAAGCAGCAGGTTTAGGTTTTTCAGACTCCTGCTGTTGTTTCCACTGCTCTGGTGTCAGAGCTTTCTTTATCGAGAGAGCATGAATCTGCTTCATCTCCTCTTCCAGAGCAGCGTTTACCACCCGATGCCTCTCCAGCAACCTCTTCCCTTCAAACTTCTCCGATACTACCTCAATAGTAAAGCTAGCACCACATCTGAAACCACATAAATTCAATTGAACAAATAAAAAGTAACTTATCCTGCAGAAAGTTCATAAATTCAAGCTAAACTGCAACAAGTTACTTACCCTCCAGATGTATCAATTACTTCCTGAAATATAAAAAGTTCAAAAATAATTAGTACAGAAATAATGGCATAGGAGCAAACATATTGCATGGAATATGAATATGATAATTGGTTGCAAATGAAATATCATCAACAATGCAAAATCAAAGTCTTTCCACGTGATATTTTAAAAGGATATGGAAGCGATTGTAAGAAAGATGGCCATATAAATGGCCGCCATCTGTTTCTATAGCACTCAATGCAGCATGTTCTCTGCGGTCACTTCCCTTTATTTCACTTTTAAGACTGACCTGCAAACTCAACTCCAGTCGCCATGCATAACAGCTTAACTGATCAGAGCATCCAATCAATTTGCAAACTCAGTTGATTCTCATACAGACTACTAATAAGGGGAAGCATCAGTTTTTGTTTTCCTCAACAACTGCAGAAATCTCCTAGGTGCCAACAACATAATCAAGTGTCTACATATGCCTGATGGATGATCCTAATCTTCCTTTAATCGAACTTTAAACTTATAGTGGCCGCTGTTAGACAGATTCTCAGATGTCATGGTTCAACTAATACAAGGCAAACTAAGATGCAGACTCAGAGTTAGCCATAAATTGCCGTCTCTCCCAGCAGAAGTAAAGTGTAATTAAACATTTGAAGACCGTCCCTCCTACTAGCACCATGATTTCCAATATAACCACTCAGAGCATAGTGATCTCAAAGTCCTCAATAACCCTTTCTTACTTTACTACTTTTCACAGCATATCCACATGTCCTGCCCTACCGAGGACACATCCAAAACAAGTCCTAACTAAGTTACTTTTCAACAACCGATCTAGAAAAATATCAGCTGCAACGGGCTTCTATTGATCAAAATCTTATCACATACCAGCCAAAGTAAACAATATACGCATAATATTACACTAACCAAATCCTCAGGCAGGTTTCAATAGAGCACAAAGAAATGTCCAGGGTCGACACTCTTTATTGCTTGTTTTAGGTTAGGTAATTATTATTGGTATCCTTTGCCTCATTTTACTGCCTCCCCCAAAATTAAAATTAAAAAAGATGTTTTCCGTATCAACAGAATCACTGAACATGTAGTTTAGCTAACTTATGATAAATTGATAATGAGCTCCTTCACAAAACTAAGGCAAAGGACTAAAATCAAACCACACCACAGAAAATAAAGAAATTACTAAACCACCTCTATGTTTGTATAACCCTAGATTACCAGAACAATCCATTACCAAGGCAAATCAAAGAACAGTTGAAGAATCTGAGGTAAACCCAGTAAGTGGAAAAGTGCTAACTGAAACTTAACCTAATTAAAAAGTAATCCAAAGGAAAAAGGAGGCGTATATTTATTTATTTTCAATAAAAGAAAAAATTTATATGAAACATAAGAACAAGGAAAGATTAAAAGACAATAGAGCTTACGAGATGTGCAGGGTTCAACTTTGAGGTCAGTGAAGACTCAACTTGCTCCTTTGTCACTCCCATCTCTCTCTGATTCTTGCTCTCTTTTCTTTCGAAGTTTGGTCACAAACTCTCTCTGTTTCCAGTTGAAAGCGGAAAAACCAGAGTCGCTTAAATTCGAGATTCTACTTCGGTGGACTGTATTCAAGGCCCAGTGGAAAGGCCTATTCGGCTAATGAAAGCAATTGCTATTATTTTTCCTTTCCTTTTTCTTTTGCTTAAACAAGTTTTTTATTTTTTATTATTAATTTTTTTTTATAATAATTTTTTTTATAGGACCGTTTCTATTGAGATATGCGATAATATATTAAACTCACACATACTACACGAATACTAAGACTCAAACCCAGGGCTGTGCATGGAGGAGCAATTACTCAAACTAGGCGTGGGCACAGGTGGGTTTGGAATAGTAGATGGGTTTTCCATTAACCATACCAAACCTTTTAGTAGAGCAATTTCTTTTCCTTTAATCAACCGTTAAGCCCTTTAACAGTTCGGTTGGTTAACCGAAAATTCAGTTCGGATTAGTTCTGTATACCGATAGTACCAATTAACAAAACACCTATTAATCTTGTAATAAAAATAAAATTGATAACCATTTCCTATAACATAAGTTCATTAATAAAAACTCCAAAGTATCCAAATAAAAGATAAAATACCAATAATCCAATTTATCTAAGTAAGAAATTAAATATATTAGTTTTAAAGATACAAGCCAACATAAAACAGATTCCAACAAATTAATCAAAATTTGATGCAAGCTTAAAATTATATCACGAGAAAAAAAAAGTATAATAAGAAGAACAATAAGAGAAAGAATAATAAAAGGAAAAGCCACGTGTTGGCTTCTTGGCTGGCTGGAGAGAGAAGAAGATGGAATCTTCTTGTTCTTTTAAGTTTATAACCTTTCTTTTTGCTGGGCTTGGGTAACTTGGGGAGAGTTTTCAAAATTTAGGGTGACAGGACTGGGCCGTGCACAGCCCCACAGCCCACATTGAATTTTAAAAAGCCACTAATATGTTGACACATGTATATTTTGTATTTAAATAATAAATTATTTTTCTTGCTCGGTTCGATATGGGTTTCCACAGGTTTGGAATATTGTTAATCACTCTTCGGATCGGATTGGGAGAATTAAAAATTTAGCTAAATCAAACTAAATTATCAATACAGTACAGTAGATACGCGAATTTTTCGGTTAAAATGTCAACCTCAATTCTAAATCACTACATTAATGGATTCTTAACTTTGCTTAAGTAAGTTTAGACATAGAGACTTGTGGACCATCCTTAAAATGAAATCTTTTTAAAGCCACAATTTCAAGATTTGGATTGCTTAAAATACCTAAAATAAAATAATTCTTATTTTTTTAAAACACCGAATACGATTACAAATAAATAAATCATAGTATTTCACCATAAAATTGGACGACCTCTTACCATGCACGGAGGGATACACCTTACTCGTTAGTATCCCTTTACAAATAGAGAACTTTTAGGCTTTCATAAAAAATTAACTTGGTACTTTGAAGCATTTGGTATTTTGAAATTGGAGATGGAAATAAATTCACGAATTATGATACTTGTTGTCGCCATAACTACAATTGTTGCTTCGATTGCGTATGGTAGTAACGGCACAGCTACTGCTAGTAACGGCACAGCTACAAACAAAACAAGAATTATTAGTGGAACAGCCACATTCTACACAGTACCTTTTGTTCGTATGTATTAGATACATATTAATTATAATTTTTTTCTTGCTTACAAAAAATACTTGGACTTATACTTTACCATTTCTTCACATACCTTGATGTTACTTGAGTTTGAGCTATATATATACATTTTCCTATGTGGATGTCCGAACGTTATTATCAAGTGAACGTAATGTATTTTCTACTATGCCTCTTTGCTTCCTCAGTGTTTTACAATGACGTCTACATGATAATAATGTGTGGACATCCAGATAAGAGAACAACTGACTGAAGCTCCCTACATATACATATATATATATTTATTTATTATATATTTTTTGAGGACTTTTTCTATTAGATGGACGATATTATACTAAACACACACACACTACATGTATGTTAGGACTCGAACCCAGAACCTTTCTTAAGAGAGCGATTGCTCCGAACCACTACACTAGTAAATCCACGTGAGTCTCCTAATTAATCAAGGAGATTTATTTCCTTGATTAATTAAGGTATTTATTTTCTTATTTTATATAGTTGACGAATCATTGTAAAATTAGGAGATATTATCCTAATTGATTACTGTATCCATTTTCTTGTAAAGCACTCATGTAAACTCCTATATATACTTCCTTATAGAGAAGAATATAACTTAACCTAAAGTATTCAAACCATGTTCATATTTTAGCATGGTATCAGAGCAATCGATCCTAGGTTGTCTATAAACCTTCATATCCAATTTCTCATATTCAAATCCAAAACCCTAAATCAAATTCTTCATATTTAAATTCCTCAAAACCAAATCCCTCAATCTAAAGTCCTCAAATCCTCTTATCAAAATCCCTAAACACATACCCTCAAATCTTATATACATACCTCTCAAATCAAATTCCTACATCAAATTCATACATACTATTCCTCAAATCACGTTCCTCCAATTAAATTTCTCACATTCTCATATTACATCTTACTTCCGCTGTGATGTTAGGACCCCCTACGATTCTCTCCCTTATTGCAGACTCACAGAAGCATGTGGTCAATCATGCTAACCCGACTATCCAGACTCGTGCTTCTATTGCCGCAACCAAAGGTTTTCCTTTTCATACATCCTCTCACAAATCCGCATGGATTATTGACTCGGGTGCTACGGATCACATGACATTTGATCTTGGCCAATTTATTAGTCGCAAATCATCCACTTCGTCGGTGGTGTCTACTGCTAATGGTACCCCTCCCCTGTGGTTGGGGAGGGCTCTCTATCTCCCTCTACTTCCCTACATCTAGATTTTGTATTGCTTATTCCATCCTTGGACCATAACTTGTTATCTGTCACATAACTTACTACTACTCTGGGGTGTTTTGTAACATTTTGGCAGAATCATTGTGTTTTTCAGGACATCCTCACGGAAAAGACGATTGGCTGTAATACTCGGCAAGGAAAACTCTACTACTTAGTCTAGGCACCGGATAATGAGACCAAGGTTGGTCAAGTTTTCATAACCAGTGGAACTCGTTTTGAGGGGGAGAGAGACAAAGTTTGGTTATGGCATAAACGTCTTGGGCATGCCTCATTCAGTTATCTTAAGAGTTGTTTCCATAATTATTTTCCAGTCTTGATGTTTCAAGCTTCCAGTGTTATACATGTGAACTGGCTAAGAGCCATTATGTCCCGTTTCCCATTAAGTTCAAAAAATAGTTTGGTTCCATTTTTTCTTGTTCATTCAGATGTTTGGGGACCTGCTAAAATTGTCACTCCAGTAGGAGCTCGATGGTTTGTCACGTTTATGGATGATCACACATGCATGACTTGGGTTTCCCTTCTCAAAACTAAAGGGGAAGTCAGTTACAGGTTTCAACAGTTCCATCAAGTGGTGGAGACTCAGTTTCATGCTAGAATTCAGGTTATTCGTTCTGACAATGGCAAAAAATTTCTCAACCATGATCTTAACCAGTTCTTACAAGATCATGACATCATACATCAACGCTCATGCCCCTACACTCCCCAACAGAATGCAGTGGCTGAAAGAAAGAACATACATTTATTTGAAGTAGTTCTTGCCTCTCTCTTTGGTGCCAATATGCCTCGATCTTTTTGGGGAGAAGTCGTCGTCTCTACAGCATACCTCATTAATCGGATTCCCTCTAATATCCTAAATTTCCAAACACCACCTCAAATACTTCACCACCATATCCAAATACGTCCCATCCTAAACCTGGAACCTTGAATTTTCAGCTGTGTTGTATTTGTCTACTTACATGATCACCAATGAAGCAAATTGGATTCCCAAGCCGAAAAGTGTGTTTTCATTGGTTATGCACCTCATCAAAAATGATACCGGTGTTATCATCCTCCTAGTTAGAAGGTCTCTACCTTCATGGATATTGTGTTCCGAGAACAAGTCTTATATTTTTCAGCAGCACAGGAGGAGAATCGAGAATCCACCACTCCTCAAATTCTCAATTTTTTCCCCTAAGACGTCACTCTGCTTCAAAACAACCGATCGCCAGTGGAAAGCGACCGGTTGCCCCCCTTTTGCTCTTCGAGCACGGAGAATCTGCTTCAAAATCACCAGTTGCCAAAGGAAAGCGACTGGTTGCCAGAAGATAACGATCGATCGCCAAAGGAAAATGATCAGTTGTCTCCACGCTGTCAACTCACAGAAACAGGAATGCTTGGGTGTAATTGGAAATGACACCAGAGAGCAACTGAAGCTGTAAAAGTATTTGTCTCAGGAATTTGAGATGAGGGAATTAGGTGACCTGAAGAACTTTCTCGGAATTGAGGTAGCAAGGTAAAAAACTTGTATATTTCTGTCTCAAAAGAAGTATGTAATGAGTCTACTCACAGAAACAGGAATGCTTGGGTGTAAGCCGGCTGACACACCCATTGAGATGAATCACAAGTTATGTGAAGACATGGACCAAGAACCAACCAATAAGGAACAGTACCAATGCCTTACTGGAAGGTTGATATACCTGACACACACAAGACCAGATATTGCATATATTATGAGTGTGGTTAGTCAGTTTATGCATTCACCTAGTGTTTCTCATAGGAATGCAGTTGATCGGATTTTAAGATACTTAAAGTCAGTCCCTGGGAAAGGATTAATGTTCTCAAAAAATGGAGATCTTGAAGTTGTTGGATATACATATGCTAATTGGGCTGGTTCCATTATAGATAGACGCTCTACTTCTGGTTACTTTACATTCGTGAGAGGTAACCTAGTCACTTGACGAAGTAAAAAGAAAATGTGGTTTCCCAGTCTAGTGCAGAAGCAGAGTATAGAGGAATGGCTCTTGGAGTTTGTGAATTATTGTGGATCAAAAGACTCTTGACGTAATTGGGCTTCAAGCCAGAAAAGCCAATAGAGTTGCATTGTGACAACAAGTCAACTATCGATATTATCCATAATCCAGCTCAACATGATCAAACCAAACATGTTGAGGTGGATAGTGTTTAGGCCAAAAAAGAAATTTGCAAGTGCAAGCCCATCTAGGCAAAGAAAGGCCTACGAAACAGAAAAGAACAAAGGACTGGGCTTTGATTCAAAAAAGAGAGAGAGCCCAAAAACACATCAGAGGCCCACATCTTTTACAAGGTGGCAAAGTTGTAAAAAAACACCAAATTTAAATGGAAATTGACCACTAGAGCATATCAAAAAGGGGGATTGAGCCCAACCTCTAAATACTCACCATTGATCTCAAAGCCTAGAGTAAAAGATCAACAGATTTTTTGGAAGGTCTATTCTCAGAACCCACGTGACTATTTGACTTTGAAAAGTCAATTATTTCAACTAGTCACAAAGAATTTGACAGAGAATTAATGGAGGCAGTCTTGTAGGAAGATTTCTCTAGTCTTTCATAGTTAAAGAAGATATCAAAGTCCCCTTTATATATTCAGAGAAATTTCTGCAACAAAGAAGGCACCATTTTCAAGAAATAAACAGACTACGTTTTGGAGATAAGTATGAAGCAGGGAGTTGTTCATCTGGAAAAACAAACTAACCATCACAGTTGGAGCTCTTACAAAGAGCAATTAAAATTGAAGAGGGGTTAGATTTCCTTTCAAGAAATATAGGGAAGTGATTGCCTTAGAACTGACCATTGAGGGCTTATATGCTAGAATTGATAAAACCCCCTTTTTTTCTTTGCATTTAAAAAATGAAAGATTTTTTGAGAAGTTTTGCCGCCCATTATTAAAAGAAAGAAACCCCACTCCAAAACATGTCTTATAAATATAAGAGAGGGTGAACAGAGTGGGGGACAGCCAAAAAAATAAATCAAAGACAAAACTCAAAATGATCACTTGATCTCAAAAACCTTCAGACAAACTAAAGCAACTAAAAGCTCATTGAGCCACAAGAAAGAAGCCAGCTATAAATCAAAACTTCCAGTTCCAGTTCAGACTTAGAGAAATAAGTCATTCAAAACGAGATTTCTCTCGTTACAAATTTGGTTAAGCAAAAGCCAAATCAAGCTACTATTTTTTTTTTTTTTTTTTTTTTTTTTTTTTTTTTTTTTTTACAATGAAAACCTCAATAAATTTATGGAGAGCCTTGGTCAAGCAGAACAGGTATCACAGTGCAGTTCCACCTCAGTAATCCTTAAGTCCAGCCACTTTTACCCCTTTCAGACTGAAGAGGCCGCAATTCTACCCGCTCAAAAAGCCTTCTAGGGCTTGAAATAGATTAAAGCTCTGCCAAACTTGAACATTGACATAGATTTACAGCCGAAACTTAACAGTTGAAGCTGTTGATAGTCCAGTCCAGCACAGGCATACCTAGTCCAGCTCAGATCAGAAGCACTCTATCCAGGCAGAAATGGAAGTCCAGCCTTTTCTTTGTCTTTCTAGAGTTGGTTTTTTCCTTCTGAGTTTTGTAAAAGGCAGTTCCGCCTGAAAACAATTCACTTTTTTTATCATTTATTCTGGTCAGAACTACCAATCTTGTACTGTGAAAAATTGTGAAGTCCTCACTAGTCAGAGGCAAGAAAAGAACTTACTTGGGAGATATTCCTCACCCTAATTCACAATCGCTTGTTTAGAAATCAGTAACTTGGGGCACAAGTTATCTATTTTTAAGAAGTCTACTAGAATTTTTTCATTACTAGTAGTGGCACACTCGCACACTAAAGAAAGTTGACTTGTTGACCATTTAATGGTTTTCAAGGCAATAGGAAACTTTACCCTACCATCATAGGAGCAAACAAAAAACGGGTGAACAGATAGACATTTCATCAAAGAAAAAATTGAGAATAAGATCATTTGCCTACCATTCGTAAAATCAGAAGATCAACTGGCTGATGTTTTAACAAAAGCTGTTTGTGGAAGAGTATTTCATGACTTACTTACCAAGTTGGGCTTTGGTGACATATATATACCAACTTGAGGAGGAGTGTTGACGTGAGTCTCCTAATTAATCAAGGAGATTTATTTCCTTGATTAATTAAGGGATTTACTTTCTTATTTTATATAGTTGACAAATCATTGTTAAATTAGGAGATATTATCTTAATTAATTACTGTATCTATTTCCTTGTAAAGTACTCATGTAAACTCCTATATATATTTCTTTATGAAGAAGAATATAACTTAACCTAAAGTATTCAAACCATATTCATATTTTAGCAAATCCTTTACTCATATTATATTTAGTTTGATGTCAATGCGATAGTTTCAAGCTTATTCTTAGTTTGATGTTAATGCAATACTTTCAATTTAGAGACTCTCCATGTTTCATTTGGTGAAGGTTAATTTTGAGTACATTATACTTTATTGCCTGAAAACTTACTTTGGTGAAGGTTAATTTTGAGTACGTTATACTTTATTGCCTGAAAACTTACTAAGTGTTAGCCTTTAATACCTAAAGTTTGCTCTAAAATTGGTTTATCTACAACTTTCACACCTCCATTTGTTTTCCCATCAAATCCTCCATTAACACATGACATGGCAATGAATAACCTATATGGAATCCCTCATCTTGTACTACATGGACTAACAAAATTGATTGTCACGTTATGGGTTAACTGGACTGAAATGGGCATATATGCAAAAATAACGATTTTTTTTTTGTTGGTAAAAGTTGGAACGCAGTAAACTTCCAAAATACTAATTTAGTCAATGTACCTATAAAAGTTGGGTAAATAAATTATTTTCACAATACACCCATAAATGTGCTGGCCTTAATATACCTACAATATACCCATGGTAGGTAAATTACAAGTTATATTATTGCATAATAGTCAATTATTATGTAAATTATATCCAAAATGTGTTTATAAAAGTTGGGTAAACCCTATTATTTGAATAATAAGTAAATTCATACTAGGTACATTATTTTTCGTAAAAGAAGTAATGGGTACATCATGTTTTCAACATAAAAATGTATGTATGCTATTATATTTATAAAACAATAACATAATAGATAATTAATCACATATACTTCATAAATAAATTTAAAAAAACAAATTTTTTTATTAAATAAACTGATTAGGTATGTTAAATATGAATTTATTGTTAAATTTTAAAAAGTTTCCAAATTAATTTATACATCCATTATGAGATCTTTCCAAATTCAACATATGTCATTAGTTACAATCCAATTAAAATTTGTTTATACATTAGTTTCTACATTAATAAACAAAATGCAATAATGGTTTAGTTATGGGTATTTTAGGAATAAAAAAAGTATAATAAACAAAATTTTATTCAGACAAAAATAAAGAGATGGATCCGAGAACAAACAAGATTTTATTCAAACAAAAAATAAAGAGATAGGTTGTAGTTGAGGAAAAATAACTTTAAGGGGTTAAGCTAAATTTACTATTAAAGGATTCAAGTAAATTATTAAGATAATGACACTACAGAACAACACTGAGGCGCAAATGATTAACATACATTATTATTTGCTTAGATATATATATATATATATACATGTAATTAATTCAGTAAATTTATGAACAAATATAATCAAGAATGATGTCCTATTGAATTCTAAATTATGCCTATCCATAATTTCATATTAAGATTATTGATCACACAATCATGTCAATTAATCTTACTTGAAGCATGAATCTAACTAGTATTCTTGAATGAGTGATTTACACTAGACTTGGCAATTGCATTGTGTTTGTTGTACATGTTTGTGTCAACTCACTTTTTTTAACGGGTTGACATGACATGATCCATTACGTTAACAGATAGAAAATACCAAATACGACCATGATTTGTTAAAATAACAAATGACACGACACGACACGACCCGTTTAAAGACACAAAAAAAAAAGAAACAAAAAAAAAAAAAAAAAAAAAAAAAAAAAAAAATCAAGTAGAGAGTAGTCAATGGAGGGGAGAAGGAAGAGAAGAAAAAATAAAGATATATAAAATTACAAAAATATCCTTACTTTTAACAGGTATTTGCGAATTCACACGATATGACATGTTAACTTAAGGGTCCACCCATTTTCAACACAAGCTGTTAAGCCCTCGAACATCGATTTTTTGTTTTTTTTTTTTTTTTTTTTTTATCCATGAATTTCGTGTCGAATTAACAGATCATTTACAATATTGCCAGGTATAATTTACATTTACACTCCCATAGAATTTTGGTGTTGTCATAAAACCCCCCTATGTCCAAAAATTGATGATAAGCTTTCTGCAAATGAGAATTAATTTCAAAAATTAGATAGCATATGCACATTTTGAGGTTACTTTTGTCTTTTAAAGAAGTGTTTTTAATGACATTATCAATTTTTTTAATGAAAAAGTAATAAAAAAGATTTTGTAAAAACAATATTAAACCCCAACGAATATTAAGAATTTCTAAAACTTCACAGATATTTTATGAAAACACCCAAAAAACCTCCGCGTGACAGTCAATGTGAACAACTCTTTAGTAAAGTAGTGGAGCGCCTACCGTGGCTAAAGGTGGGCTACGCGGGCCTTGGCTTTTCAGTCGAATTTAGCTGCCAAGACAAGAAACAACTTGCCGCTCCAAGTGTCCCAATCTCCACAGACAAGATATTTCATCTCACTTATCCATCCAGTTAAAGCCCACTTATCCTGACTAAAGTCAAACACGATCGCAAGCCTCAAAATGTTCAAAAAGTCCAACGTCAACTCAAATAAAAAAATATTTAAAAACAAATTGGCCTTACCCCAATCAAAATCTGCCACGTTATTAACCCAAAGTAAAACCCTACGCGGCAAAAACCAAAAAACCGAAAAAACCCAAAAGGCCCAAACTCCCAATTCTTAAACTGCAGATCCCCCATCGAGTTTTTTATTTTTTACCATTTTCACTTACCGAGCGCTCCACAAATTCACCTTCTTCTTCCCCCCCAGGAAATCTCTCTGCTGTAGTAGAACTGTAAAATCTGGAAGACCCCATGCTCGAAAATTCAAAGTTACCGGAAAATCCAAGCACCGCCACAAGCAACCAGAATAATGAGGAGGTTGCTGGCGGCGGTGAGCCAGCCTCGGTTGGGTTTGAAGAGGAAGATAGGGCGGGACTTGAAGAGGGTTACCGGAACTGGGCCGGTAATCGATGGCCTCGCCAAGAGACTTTGGCTTTGCTGAAGATAAGGTCAGATATGGATGCTGAGTTCAAGGAAGCAAGTATTAAGGTTCCTCTTTGGCAAGAGGTGTCCAGGTGAGTTTGCTTTCTCTTATTGACTTGGATTTATGCTTTCTCGGGAAAATCTGCCAGGAAAATGTTTATTTGTTTCCCCAGAAAATGAAGCTAAATTCAATTGCTTATATCTTGTTTCCTCATAACATTACCACTCGATTAAGTTAATGGATTTTCAAGAAAATTAATATATTTTAAGCTGTTATTTACTCTTTTAGCAATTGGTAAGATGGAATTTTTGGAATTGTGTTATTAGGAAAATGGGAGAGCTTGGACATAATAGGACCGCCAAGAAATGCAAGGAGAAATTTGAGAACATATACAAGTACCACAGAAGAACTAAAGAATCTGGTCGACCCAATGGCAAGGCTTATAGGTTTTTTGAGCAATTAGAGGCTCTAGACCACCACGATTTTGAACTTCCTCCTCCTCCTGCTTCTGAAAAAGTTCAAACTTCAGTAGCAGAAATAGCAACAAACCCAACAAATGTTGTTTACAACGCAATCCCATGTTCTTCTATTCAACATCCGGATTCAAGTTTTGTTGAAAACTCTAGTTCTACCACATCGTCTTCGAGCAAAGAATCTGAAGGCACCCATAAGAAAAAGAGGAGATTAACTGAGTTCTTTGAGAGGATGATGAATGAAGTGATAGACAAGCAAGAAAATTTACAGAAGAAGTTTGTAGAGGTATTGGAGAAGCATGAACAAGATCGAATAGCAAGGGAAGAGGCATGGAAGATGCAAGAATTGGCTAGAATTAAGAGAGAAAGAGAGATACTAGTTCAAGAGAGGTCGGTTGCAGCTGCAAAGGATGCTGCTGTTCTTGCATTTCTGCAGAAGTTTTCAGAACAATCAGGCACAATGCAATTTCCAGAACAAGCATTTTCAGTGCATTTCCCAGCACAACCACCGTCATCAATGCAATTTCCAGAGCAACCGTCCCCAGTGCAACTTCCGGAGCAACCACCATCAGGACAATTTCCAGAGCAATCAACCCCAGTGCAATTGCCTGTTAACTCACAAGCCGACACATTTATGGACAAGCAAGAAAAGACAAATGATGCAAATGTTGTGCATATGAGTTTGGATAAGCAAGAAAGGAATAATGGTAGAAGTTATATGCATATGAGCTCTTCACGGTGGCCTAAAGAGGAAGTTGAAGCTTTGATTAAGATCAGAGCTGATTTTGATTTGCAGTATCAAGAAAGTGGACCTAAAGGGCCTCTGTGGGAGGAGATTTCAGCAGCCATGGTAAAGCTTGGTTATGACCGGAGCGCCAAGAGGTGCAAAGAGAAGTGGGAGAACATAAACAAATACTATAGGAGAATAAAAGAAAGCAACAAAAAAGGCCTGAGGATTCAAAGACATGTGGTTATGTTCGCCTGCTGGATGCTTTGCACAATAAGAAGACTAATAGCGTTGAGAGTCAAGTTAACTCTACTTATGAATTGAAGCCTGAGGAGCTATTGATGCATATGATGGGTGGGCAAGCAGAGCAGCATCAGCCGGAAACAGTGACTGAGGACGGTGATAGCGAGAATGTTGATCAGATTCAAGGAGATGATGAAAATGCAGATGGAGATGGATATCAAATTGCATCCGGTAATCCTTCTTCAATGGCAATTATGAGCTGAGGTTCACAAACATAAGAAGTCCTTCCTGAAAGCTTAAGTTGGTGTGCGTAATGTTAGAAGTGAGTTGGGGAATGTTGTGGCTACGGCAGCGTTGTGGGTTAGATTTTGGTTTTGAGAACTTTGTTTTAGTGTTGGTGTAAGATGGTGTCTACAAACATATCTTGAGGTTTATCATATGTTGAATCATAAGAGAGAGAGAGAGAGATAGAGAGAGAGAGAGAGGTGGGGTTTGTAAATTAGTATGGCTTCGGTCCTGTTCAATCCCCATGTTTGCAGAAGTTGGAAATGGTTGGTTTGATTTGAATTAATAAAGACCTGCACCAGTGGTCCTGTTACAATGAATAGCTCCATTTCTTTTTTAAATCCAAGAAAATGGTTATTATTATCACTCGTGGGCAATCAATCTATTCAACTTCAACCCATCGTCTTGCCATAATATCACTTGTTGTCTTCAGACCAAAAAAAAAAATATCACCTGTTGTCGATGCAATGACTAAGTATGGATTAAAATTTAATCATCCTCCTTAAGTTTTAACTCAATCATTATTGTCCGAATTCAATCATTCTTTTTTGTTTGTCTCCCATGGATTTAAATCTAAAAATAAAATAATAACGCTCATGTTAGTCAAAGTGAACAGTAAGTGTTTTGCTTTTGTCTTTAACAGTGGTTAGTTTTCTTACGTTTGAAGTTGGTTCTATGTGTCTTTTTCTTTCCTAAAGTATAATTTAGTAAATTTATTATGCTCGAAAGGTAAAATAGTTGGAGTAGCTATAATCAATCATTGTTGAACTACAGAGTACAAACTAATCCTTCACGTTGATGTCATAATCTCTGCTTTTGACACTTTCAATCATGATTATTATGATTTTATAATTAAGACTTCCAATCCAAAATGAGTTTGAAATAAAGAATTAAAGAATTAACATAATTTTTGGAGATGTGAAGCTTGTCTATTTATAGCCATAACATTAACTCAACATTAAACTTAATCACAATCAGCATACCCACTAAACTTGCATTAACTCTAATTCATAAACTAAGTAATAATAGCTAAACCCTTTAGATTCTAACTCTTTATTTCCTAAACTTCTAAGATTTTAAAGGGACAGATCCTTGATCCACTACTAGCAACATCAATATTGTCTCCAACTTAACTACCTATTTAGCAAGTGTGAGGTTTTATACAAAAGGTCTCGGTGTTATTAGGAGTGGAACAATTTATTATATGAGATTTTCTATTTTGTTAAGTTTTCGATGTGGGACTCATGTATTCTTCAACATCTATCTCATTGTCATCGCGATGCTTCAATTCTCAATCTTTGATTGCCTTCACGCCTCTCAATCCTTTGACCCAACGAGGGCTGCATTGCTCAACTGATCAACTTTGTCATCTTTTTTTATCAGACAAAAAAAAAAAAGTCAAAGTCGCTCCATTTTTTTTTCCCCTTTCTTTTTTCTTTTTCCTCCATGGAGCCAGATCCCTCCATCTTTCATGTTTCTTCAATTTGGGTGCACATCTGTCCCCATTTTCAATTTTGGGAACCCTTGTCCCGATTCTTCATGTGCCTTTTTTTTCTTCGGTCGGCATCATTGTCCTTAATTTATTCGGCATCTTTGTGCGTTCCTCTCTCAAGCAAAAAAAAAATACTTTCATTAAAGATCACGTCTCACGAATTCGAAAACTTCTATTCCTCTTACTTGCAACACACACAATAATCCTTTTTTTTTTTTTTTTTTTTTCGACAAAGTCATAGATCAATACTCCTTTCTTTATGGCATCATTGTGCCATCACTTCTAGGGTTCATTTTCCCATCATTCATCCATCTTTTCTCAGCATCAATGTGCCATTCTCTCATTGGCATCTTGTGTCCTTCCTTCGGCATCTTTTTCCTTTCTTCTTTTTATCATTCATGGAGCCCAGTGCTCCATCTTCTTTTTCATGGAGCCAAATCGCTCCCTCTTCCATGCTTCATCAATTTGGGTGCGTATCTGCCCCAATTTTCAATTTTGGGAACCCTTGTCCCATTCTTTGTAGGCCTTTTCTTTCTTCGACATCATTGTGCCCTTCTTAATTTATTTGTGCCTTCCTCTCTCAAGGGTTCATCAACCCATTGCAAGAAAAAAAATCATTGTTCTTCCATACTTTCAGTGCAGACAAGATCACATGTCTCACAAATTCGAAAACTTCTATTCCTCTTACTTGCAACACACACAATAATCCGTCTTTAACTACTTGAACGACGTAGTCATAGATTAAGATTCCTTTCTTCATGGCATCATTGTGCCACCACTCCTAGGTCTCTTTTGCCCGTCATTCATCTGTCTTTTTTCTGCATCCTTGTGCCCTTCTCTCATTGTCATATTTGTAAGTTATATTGTATTCAAAATAATCTTGAACCAATTTAGCACTTAAACCACACCTTAACACAAATTTGACAATTAAACAATAGAACAAGTAGAGATAAGACTTACTTGAATTAGTCATAATCAAATATACAAGATGATCTTCTCCTCTCAGTATTCCAAAATGTCAAGGCTTTCAATAGGGCAAGCATACAGAATATGAACGTGTAAATATAAGAGCAGAGACCAAGCCTTTTATACAAGTTGCTTTACAACTGACTCTCCTATTAAGAGACAACTGCTAGCCAAAACGTGGAGATAATGGATGATATCCACCTCCTGTAACAGTTATTCCATTTAATCATTATCTGAATAAAAGTCTCATAATATCTTAATTTAAATATAACTCTATTTATTATTTATATGACACCTCATAATAATGAAAATGCAAACTCACAAAATATATGGAAAAACTTACATTCTCCCACATGAGTGTAGCCAATTCATCAAACAAAAAGTATCATATTGAATAATCAACAGTGATCACTGAGTTATATGAAATTATAGGTGACTTTTGACAACTAACCATACTGATATAAAGAGCTGAACTTTAGAAAACTTGACACACTTAAATTGCACCAGCACTCTAAAATCACAAACTGATCATATCATAATGTAAATGTTGCAGACATGGAATAAGAAGTGTGAGTCTCGGTACCATGAGACTCCCAAATTTCGTTGGTCTTATGATGTCATGAACATCATTCAATTTCAACATAACTTTGCAAAGACTTCATAAACACAGCACTAGAACCAGAAAAAATATTAAAATATTCAAAGGTGAAGAATTACCTTACTCCCACATTCAAAACAGATTAATCGAAGCTTGCAGACCCATTTTTGGCACTAGTCTTTGAAATGCAGTCACATGCAAAGCTTTTGTTAAAGGATCTGCTATCATATGCAAAGTGCCAAGATGCTCAATATCAATGACTCCATCTCTGACCTTGTCCTGAAGTGTCAAGTACTTGATATCCAGCAGCCTTGAAGCATCAGATCTTTTATTGTTTTTGGCAAAGAACACAGCTGAACTATTATCACAATATAGCTTCAATGGCCTCTCTATACTCTTGACAATTTTCATACTGTGAATCAAATGCTTTAACCAAACACATTGCCTTGCAGCTTCAAAACATCCAATATATTCAGATTCCATTGTAGACACTGATCTGGTAGTTTGCTTCTTACTTCTCCATGAAACTGCACCACCAGCTAAGATAAACATATAGCCACTTGTTGACATTCTGTCATCAACACAGCCTCCCAAATCAGCATCTGAATAGCAAACTAAATCAAGTGAATCCACATAATGATAACACAACACATATGATTTAGTCTTTTGCAAATATCTGAGAACCTTTTTGCTTGCATTCCAATGAGCAATACCAGGATTTGATTGAAACCTTCCTAGTACACTTAGTGCAAATGCCAAGTCTGGTCTAGTACAAACTTGAGCATACATCACACTACCTACCAAGGAAGCATAAGGCTTATCTTTCATAGCCTCAATTTCAAAATCTGTCACAGGACATTGATGAGTAGAAAATGTATCACCCTTACCAATTGGAACATCACCACCACTACATCTTTCCATGTTGAACCTTTTAAGAACTCTGTCAATGTAATTGTTCTGAGATAACCCCAAAACTCTTCTTGACCTGTCTCTAACAATCTCAATGCCCAAAACAAAATGAGCCTCACCTAAATCCTTCATATCAAAACTACTAGAGACCATACTCTTAGTATCTTGAAGCAATTGAACATTTGAACTTGCCAAAAGTATATCGTCTACATAAAGAACCAGAAAAATAAAATTGGACTTCACCATTTTCATGTAGATGCAATTATCAAATCTGTTTTCAACAAAACCAAATGAAGTCACAACCTGATCAAACCTTAAATACCATTGTCGAGAAGCCTGTTTAAGTCCATATATTGACTTATTTAACTTATAGACAAAGTTCTCTTTCCCCCTTTCAATGAATCCTGGTGGCTGCTTCATGAAAATATCTTCTTTGAGAAAACCATTGAGGAAAGCAGTCTTCACATCCATTTGGTGTAATTCAAGATTGAAGTGTGCTGTGAGAGCCATGATAATTCTAAAAGAATCTTTGGTTGACAGAGGAGAGAAAGTTTCAGAGTAATCTAAACCTTCTCTTTGTGTAAACCCCTATGCAACTAGCCTTGCCTTCAACCTTTCAACTCTTCCTTGAGAATCCCTTTTAGTCTTGTAAATCCACTTGCAGCCTATTGGTTTGACACCAGCAATAGGCTCAATCAAAGTCCAAACACCATTCTTGTCCATAAAAGCTAATTCCTCTTCCATAGCAGCTTGCCAAAGAGTTGATTGAGAACTTTCCATGGCTTCTCTGTAAGAAACAGGATCATCAAGATCTCCAATGTTAAATTCAACTTCCTGTAAATACACCATATAATCACCAGGAATTGCAGATCTCCTCGGTCTTTGAGATCTTCGAAGTGCAGGCTCAGGATTAGCAGGTTCTGCCTGTACTTCTGGTTCTAGAATAGGCAATGCATCTGCTTCCTCAATCGGTTCTTCAAATACTTGTGGCTGTGGAACATTATTTGTAACTATCTCAGATGTTGAACATGAAATTGGCACTGGAATTGATATTGAGTTTCCTGAGGATGCAATTGAAGTTTTATCAATTTCTTCAAAATATAAGAATTTTTGGACTGTGAGGAAGATGTGCTGAAATCCTCAATAAACTTAGCATTGTTAGTCTCTGCAATTCTTGTATGCAAAGTAGGACAATAAAACTTAAATCCTTTAGACTTCTCAGAATAACCAACGAAGTAACAACTAGTGGTTCTCATATCAAGCTTCTTTTCTGTTGGATGGTAAAGCCTAGCTTCAGATCTGCAGCCCTATGTATGAAAATGATTGAAGCTTGGTTTTCTACCTGTCCATATCTCAAATGGTGTGGAAGGAATTGACTTACTTGGTACTCTATTCAAAATATAATTAGCTGTCTTTATGGCTTCGCCCCACAGAAATTCTGGTAACTGGGAATGAGACAACATGCTTCTAACCATATCCTTCAGTGTCCAATTTCTCCTCTCTGCCACTCCATTTGATGTGGAGTTCCAGGTGTTGTATATTGTGCTACAATGCCTTGCTCTTGAAGAAAAATAGCAAAAGGACCCTTTTGTTGTCCAGCCTCTGTATGCCTGCCAAAATATTCTCCACCACGATCTGATCTTACAACTTTAATGGTTTGGTTAAGCTGATTTTCAACTTCTAATTTGAAAACTTTGAAACAGTTTAAAACTTGTGATTTTTCAGAAATCAAATACAAATATGAATATCTAGAAAAATCATCTATAAAGAGAACAAAATAGAAATTTCCACATATTGTCCTTGTTGGAAATGGACCACAAACATCTGTATGTATTATCTCTAACAAGTTACTGCTTCTAGTTGAGTTTATTTTCCTTGTGCTTGTGGTTTTGCCTTTAAAACAGTCAATACATGTCTCAAAATCATTGAAATCCAAATCTGGCAGTATCTGTCTTTTCATTAATCGTTCCATTCTATCCTTTGATATATGCCCTAATCTCCTATGCCAAAGCATAGAAGATCTGTCATTATTGAGCATTCTCTTAGAAACAGAATCAACAATATGGAAACATTCATGAAAATAAGTACACTGAAGCTGCCACAAGTCACCATTAAGAAAAGCATAACCAGGTAATTTATCAAATTGATTTTTGTGAAAAATACGAATACTTTTAGCATCACCAATATAAGAAAAACCATCCTTAACAAGCTTTGAAACTGAAGTAAATTCCTTCTCATTGAAGGTACATAAAGAACATTATTCAATACTAAAATAAAACCAGATGACAACTCTAACTTAACACTACCAACAGACTCTACTTCTACTTTTGTTCCATTTCCAACAAAGACTTTGTAGATCTCTCTATTTTGGTCCTTCTGGCTTTTGAATCCCTACAACGAATTAGTGATATGAACAGTGCAACCAGTGTCAAACCACCATGAGTTTTGTGGAATAAAAACCAAATTTGTTTCAACAGTAACAAAAACATCAACAATTTGAATACCTTTCTTAATGAGCCATGCCTTAAAACTAGGGCAATCTTTCCTCACATGCTCAGCAGATTTGCAAAAGAAACATTTTTTGAAAATGTCTTTGTTAGGTTTAAGACCAGAACTAGTGGTAGCAGTAGAGTTTTGAGCAGGCACAATAGAGTTATGAGCATTTTTCTTTGAATTGGAATATGAACCTGTTTAGGTGCATTTGTCTTCTGATTGGGATTTCCAGATTTATTGACTGTAGCTACTTTCTTTCCTTTCCCAGCATGTACGAAATTGACAACTTCAGCTTTGCCCTTTTTTAATCTCTCCTCCTCTTGACAACAAATAGCAATAAGTTCATTGATAGTCCAAGTCTCTTTCTGGGTATTGTAGTTGATCTTCACTTGCTCATAATCAGAAGACAAGGAATTGAGAGCCATATGAACAAGGAATTGATCAGTAATCTGCAAATCCAGATTGTTGAGCTTGTTTGCCACATTAACAAGTTTGAGGAGATGCTCTCTCATGCTCCCAGTTCCATCAAACTTGGTTGAAGTGAGTGTAGTAAGATAAGAACTTGATTCAGCCTTGTCAGACCTCTTAAACTTTTCCTCCACAGCTTCCATATAATCCTTAGCAAGATCACAGCCTGGAATGCCACCTCTGATGTGCTCTTCCATTGAATTTTGCATTATAAGCAAAGACATATCATTTGCTCTCTCCCATTTCTTAAAAGCATCCTTTTCTTCTTGACTACTGATATTAGTCAAAGCTGCTGGCTTAGGCTCCTTAAAAGCTATGGTGAACTCAAGTAATCCCAAATTCATATCAATTTGTTGCTTCCATGTCTTGAAGTTGGTCCCATTCAGTTTCTCAATGTTAATAAGGTTTAACATATTGAAACCTGCCATTAATTATAGGAACAGAACATAAGCTTCGAAGTTCACAACAATTGTGACTAAAACTGATATCTAAATGCTTTAGTCAAACTTAAGTCATAGAAAATGATCACACCTTTAGGCAAGAAATCACTCTATAAATGCAATGAACTATCAAAAAAAAAATTTGCATAGCCAAGCATAAAGCACAAGAATTAGTACAAATTCAACACCTTTGGGTGAGATTAAATAATACTAACCAAGTTTTTTCATGACTCACTAGACAATAGTTTATAGCCAAACCCAGTAGACAACTTCTTTGGAAGAAAATCTACCTGTTAATGTTTATAAACTACAAACTGAGCATCAAAATTGATTTTAAATAGCGAAGGATCAGATAAACCACTTTGGCAGTTTATCCATCCAATCCCAAAATCATCCCAGTATATAATCTTGTTAATTTAATTAAATCAACAAAATTCATCAAAAAACCATTAGACAAATCAATTGAGATTGAATTTGATTCCTAATGTTTACTGATCGAATTGAATAATCAGCAAGTAACATCACAAGTGCATCGAAATATAATGATATAAAAATTACAAGTATAATCATTAACGCAGCGGAAAAAGACAAATAAAAAACAAGGATAATCATAAATGACACAATGTTGATAAACGTTAACCAAAAAAGATGAGTTCAAGGCTGAATTGATAGCTCTGATACCACATGTAAGTTATATTGTATTCAAAATAATCTTGAACCAATTTAGCACTTAAACCACACCTTAACACAAATTTGACAATTAAACAATAGAACAAGTAGAGATAAGACTTACTTGAATTAGTCATAATCAAATATACAAGATGATCTTCTCCTCTCAGTATTCCAAAATGTCAAGGCTTTCAATAGGGCAAGCATACAGAATATGAACGTGTAAATATGAGAGCAGAGACCAAGCCTTTTATACAAGTTGCTTTACAACTGACTCTCCTATTAAGAGACAACTGCTAGCCAAAACGTGAAGATAATGGATGATATCCACCTCCTGTAACAGTTATTCAATTTAATCATTATCTGAATAAAAGTCTCATAATATCTTAATTTAAATATAACTCTATTTATTATTTATATGACACCTCATAATAATGAAAAGGCAAACTCACAAAATATATGGAAAAACTTACAATATTTGCTCCCTTCCTTCTTCAGCATCTTTGTGACTTTCTTCTTCCTGGCATCCGTGTGCCTTTGCTTCTTTCTTCGACATTCTTATATGAAATTCCTGAACTTTTTCTCAAATAAAAATTTGAGTGAAGACGACAAACAAGACTACCTTCATTCTTGAATCTTGGATCATGACACACACGAACCATTAAGCCTTCAAACTTTTGAGCCTCCAAATCCGCTCTAATGATTATACCGGCTTTGATACATTCTTTCATAGGAGCGTGCTAGCTCTGATACATTCTTTCACAGGATCATATCAGCTATGATACCACTTATTTGTGGATTTAGCAACAAACACTCTAAATGTGAAAGGGGAAAAAAAAATAACGAACTAAATAAATAACATAATTTTGGAGATGTGAATCCCGAAAGCTACACAGAGCTCCTACGAGAACTTACTTGAGACAACTTCAATACTATTTGATACTTCAACTTTTCTACTACGTGCCCGTTTGGCATTGCTTATTTGGAGTGATAAGTGATTTTTAAAAATTTTGGGAAGCCCAGCCCGTTTGGTAACCTGTGATAAAATCACTTATTATTAAAAATCGCTGTGGGAGAAAGCAATAAAGGAAAGCAGCTAATGACCTGCTTTCAATTTCTGATTATGCGACAATCAGATTTGAGAAAGCGCTGGGTTTAATGAAAATTAAAATATTCCGAAAATACCCCAACATGATTTCACGCTCTCCTCTTCTTCGTGCGTCTTCTCTATCCCAAGCCACAGAGCATTGTTCTCCTTCTCTTCCATTCTTCCTCCATTTTTTTCTTGTTGGATCAATTGAAGCGCAATCCTAAGAAGCCAGAAGAATCAAGTAAGAGACATATTGTGTTTATTTCTTCTCAATTTCGTTCTTCCCTTTTTCTCTTTAATTTTTAGGGTTTTAACTATCTTGGTTCTTCTTCATGCCATCTCTTCACAGAGATCACTCCTCTCCTTCTCTTCCACATATTGCCTAAGATTTTTTCTGGTTGGATAAATTGAATCGCACTACTAAACTACAAGATTCAGGTAAGAGCCGCATATTCTGTTTATTTATTTTAACTTTCAATTGTAGTTGCTGTTTGTTTTCTATATTTCGTATTGGCATGAGAATGACATTTCTGTATATTGGGTTTTGGGGCCCCTTCCTGATGGGGTCAAGTTCCTATAAACTGGTTCAATTGGTATAGAAAAGGGAAATAGGCAAATAGATTTCAAGGAGGTACTTCTTGGAATTTTCTTACTTGGAATTTTCTTCTTGGAATTAGGCAAATAGATTTCGAGGCAAATAAGGTCAACCTCCAAAGCATGAAGCTGTATTTTTTACTTGGAATTTTCTGTATTATCTTGGGCATAACTTCTTCTTTTTTAGGTTCTTCAATTCTTGTCTACTTCTTCTTTTTATTATTTCTTTCTAATGTTGGGATTTAGGAACAAAGGAATTTAGGGATTTAGTTAACCCATCTATTTTAAGAAACCCAAATGCCCAAATGAGCACTTGATGAAGAAGATTCTAGGTGAAGCTTCTCTGCTTGTCAAGCATGTATTAGCATGAACAACTCCATCCATAATCGACGAGCTAAGAAAATCCTCCATTTAAGATAGTTGCAGAGCAGATACCGCCATTGTTCTCCTTTATGCTACTTACACTGGCTTAAGATAGTTGTTTGATAATTTCCAGTTTGTTCTATTATATGTGTCTATATATATATATATATTAGTTTTTATATATAGTTTCAGTGTTGAATATTCCAACGTAATTTTGAAATTCTAATCTGTGATAAAATTGTGCTACTAGTTTAAGCATCACTCAGGAAAGAATGATCCTGAGACTTTATAGCAGAAGTCCTATAAAATAATTACTATTCAATGTGGCACGAAGTTATAAGTATACATAAGGGTTCAATTTGGTAAATTAGTGCAGAATTTTTTTCTTTGCTCTGTTTTTTATTTTGAATTTGAGTAATTGTTTTATTTCATATTTCATCCTTTTAGTTTTCCCTCTTGTTGTGAGCTTATCAATTTGTGGGCTTGCAGCATGCAATTGTCGGAAGAAGTAATTATCAATTTCTGTATAATTTGGGAAATATCGTATAGACAAAAGAGATCCTGTTGGTGTTTATTTTGTTCTGTGTGTGTGTATCATTACTCTTTGAGATCCTTGTTCTAGCATATCTTAAAGGTGCAGATTGTTTCTTCAATTCTGTTTTACTCTTCTTAGTTGTAAATTTATGTTTCATTATTGTCTTGTCTTTTGGTTTTTCTTTTCCCTGTCTCTATGCCGCTTATCTATAATTTGGTTTGTTTGTAATTCGCTTGTATACCTATTATTTTATTTTGTGCTTATATATAATGTCTTTGTTGCAATAAGATGGCAAAGAAGAATAGTAACTTCACCACAACTGAAAGTGTTGCAAGTGGATCTCGAAAATTGTCAGCATTGTGGAATGCTCAAATTATATCCATCTTCATTGACCTTTGTATCAAGGAGGTGGATTTAGGCAATCGTCCTGGTACTCACTTTAATAAAGTTGGATGGGCAAGATTGGTTACAAATGTTAGTAAAGAGATAGGAAGACCATATGAAAAATTACAATTGAAAAACAAGTGGGATTTACTGAAAAAAGAATGGAAATTGTGGAAAGATCTAAAAGGGAAGGAAACTGGTCTTGGGTGGAACGTTGCTAAGAATACCGTTGATGCATCTGATGAATGGTGGCAAGATAAAATTCAGGTATTTGAATTTTTTGTTCTTGTTTTAATATAGTATTGATATCCATGTTTTTTTTCAAACTTTGTTTAAAAATTCATTATAATATTTGTATATGTCATAATGCAGGCAGAACCCAAATATGCAAGATTCCAATTTGAGGGTATTAGTCCTGAGATGGAGGAGTAGTTAGATAGGATGTTTTTGAATGTCACTGCCACTGGTAAGCATTCTTGGGCACCTTCATCTGGTGTACTTCCAGTTGAAAGTGATGATGATATCAATCCATTTGAAGTTAACGGTGATTTGAATGAGTCTGTGCCAATTGAAAGCACTCAAACTACAAACAATGTGCCAAGAAAGAGAAATAATCAATCACTTGAAATTCAAGATAATAATGAGAAGAAAGGTAAAGGAGGAGGGAAAATGGGAGGTGCTGCAAAATTATCACTGCAAGTAAAAATCGTTATTGCAACCATGGCACTTCATAACTATATAAGAAGACATGCCAAACGTGATTGTCATTTTGATGAAAGTGAAGATGACCTAAATAGTATTCAAGGTGAAGAAATTGAGATAGAGGTTGATGCACAACAAGAAGATGGTCCTACAACACAAGAAATGGAGGCATTGAGAAATCATATAGCCGCAAGTTTAATGAGTTCATCTACATAGAAATGTATATGATTGCTTGTTCATGACTAGCTTAGTTTTTGTTATGACCATATTTTTTACAATATATTTGTTTTCAATGGAAACTTTATTTATTTTATAATTAAAACAAAATTTAGGGTGTGATGGAAACATATTTAATATAAAAAAAAATATATATATATAAGATAAAATAAAAGTGCTTTTCCTTTTACCAGACTTAAACAGAAAAGCCAATTCAAGATAATGCCCTTTTTAGTCATTATACACTGCTCACATCACTTTCACAAAAAATTTACCAAACACTCAGAAACTGATTATTGTACAAACAACACTTATAAAAAAAAGTTTACCGAACGCCAAACTGTTTTCTCTCACCGCTGATTTCTCTCACAGCAAATCTGACAACGATTATTTTCACAGCACAGCAATGCCAAACTGGCCCTACAACTCACACTTGAGATAAAGTGGATACAATCATACAATGCCTATTTATAGGCCATAAAATTAACTCAAGATTAAAGTTAATCACAACCATTATACCTGCTAAACTTACTTTAACTCTAACTCATAAACTAGGCAATAATAGTTAAGCTCTTTATTTCCTAATCTTCTAACATTTGAAATTACCCTAACAGTGATGACACACGTTTGTGTATTCTAAATACTGGCTCTCTTATTTTCAATTGAATAATGTTATGCATATTCATGTTAGAGCACTTCCTCTCCTCATATCTCTTGGCAACCCAAGGGCAACCACTATTCACATGAGATATGAGGAGATGAATTTTTATGGATTTTGGTGTGAGAAGTGAAGAACATGGCTAGATATTTATAGAAAAAATTTCTGAATTTTTGGTATTTTTTCCTTATTTTTTTATATAATTTTTTTGGTATTTAAATTGGTCGTTGACGTCATGTCTTACCCACGCAGCAGCCCAGGCAAGTCTTGTCTTTGGGCTTGTCCAGTTTCATAGGCCCACTTCTTGCCATGGCAATTTTTCCTTGATTGAGGTTGTTTTTGGAGTCTAGGCTGGCAAAAGGGGATGGGTGGAAGTGCTCTTATTTATCAAGATTTGTAGTCCGTATATGGATTTGTTTGTGACAAAAAGTGTACCCTACTACTTACTTGTCTACTAAGGTACCACTAAGCTTGTGGAATTCAAGGCTAGGTCACCCTTCCATGCTAATTCTGTTGGCGAGTCCTTACTTAGTTAGGATTTTGATTACTTACTATGTTAGAGTTTTAGTTACTTATCCATTTATCTAGTCCAATTACAATTGAGATTTATTTCCTATTGTAATTTATATTTATTTTTTATTGTAATTTGGATTTATTTCCTATTTTATTTAGGGTTGTACTTCTTTATAAATACCTCCATATTGGAGAAGAATAATAACATGAGCATATACGAGCATATCTAAGTATTTGCCCTACTTTCTTTGACTTGGTATCAGAGCCAGGTTTTCTTGTAAACTGTGCTTGTGTTCTCCTTGTAATTTAAGTGCTCTCCTCCCCTCCTCTTCAAGGGGGGGAGGGGAAGTGAAAAAGATCTATTTCTCCTTCCCATGAAGATATTGCCTATTACTTGACTCCGACGACCCCTTCTCTTCAGGGGGAGAGGATGAGTGAAGAGAAGTTTTGTCTGTGTGAATTAGGTAAAGTAGATATGGAGGAATTCTCCTTCACTTTGGTTGCTGTTATCGTTGATATTGTTGTGATCGATGTTGCCCGTCGATGATGTTGCCGCCGTTGATGTTGCCTTTGTTTGCTTCACTTTTCGTTGCTATGGTAATTGCCAATGATGTTGCTATGTTCTGCCATATTCACAGGGTTTCTAAACACTTGCCCTTTGCCTTGCCTTGCCTTTACTTTGCCTTTGCTTTGTCTTTGCCTTCCATTTGCCTTAGCCTATTTTTAGGGTTTGGTTTTTCCTTTGCCTTTGTCGTACCTTACCCTATTTTTAGGGTTTGATTTTTCATTATCTACTGCCGTGCTCACAGGGTTTTTGTGTTCTGCCTTACCTACTGCCGTGCTCATAGGGTTTCTGTGTTCTGCTTTATCTACTATCATACTCATAGGGTTTCTGTGTTCTGCCTTATCTACTACCATGGTCACAAGGTTTATGTGTTCTTCTATGTGCCCTATTTGTCAGGGTTTTTATGCCTTATCTACAGTTGTTCGATTGGTCAATGTCAAGTATGGTGTTCTATGACTCGCTTCTCAAGTTGGGCATGCAAAATATCTTTACCCCAACTTGAGGAGGAGTGTTGGCGAGTCCTTACTTAGTTAGGATTTTGATTCCTTACTATGTTAAAATTTTGGTTACTTATCCATTTATCTAGTCCTATTACAATTGAGATTTATTTCCTATTGTAATTTATATTTATTTTCTATTGTAATTTGGATTTATTTCTTATTTTATTTAGGGTTGTACTTCTTTATAAATGCTTCCATATTGGAGAAGAATAATAACATGAGCATATACGAGCATATCTAAGTAGTTGCCCTACTTTCTTTGACTTTCTTCATAAATTTGGTGCCCAACATGAGTTAAAGATTAGTGATGATGCCTCTTCATAACAGTTCTTCTGTAATTGTTGTCCCTTTTGCAAGATGCTTCCTTTCTTTTAGTTTCATCAGAAGGCTTCAACACCATTGTATTTGATTCATTCAAATGTTCAACGACTGTGTTCCACATCTTCTATAGGGACTATGTTCTTTTTTTGGATGATTGTGTATAGTTCACCTGGTTATATTTAATGAAATACAAGTCTTAAATCCTTGACATTTTCACTACATTCGAAGCTAAAGTTGAGAATTTACTTGATTCATGCATTAAGATTTTTAGGTATGATTATGGTGGTGAGTATATGTTATTAAAAAATATAATTTTCCTTTTCCGTAAAGCCAAATACAAAAACATTTATATTATAAATAATTTATAACAAATTGGAAAGCTTTTAAGGTACAATGAAATTGAAGAAAACAAAATAATAAGTAAAAACAAAATAAATAATAACTAAGAAGGTGAGTTTGGTATGGTGAAGCACGTCAAAGCCACTGTCCTAAAGTCTTTGTAGCCTCCCTACGTGCAGGTACTGACGATTTACAGGACTCCAAGATACGACCTCTTATACACAAACTTAAGATCCGCTATGAGCACGTTCATAGACAGATATAGGTATCTAAGTCACAGAAGCATTGCCAAAATAATAATATAAAGTAGAGAATATGTATAAAAGTAGAAAAAGAGATAATTAGTTTGTGGTGATGATGTGGTATGTGATATTCTGATGGTGTATTGTGGTTGTTACAAATGTGAAGGAGGAGTGACCTTTTATAGGCATCCAAGAACATGTAACCCTTACCAACCAGAAAATTAAGGCATTCAATATAGAAATAAAACCTGAATATTAAATATTTATAACCCCGACAATAAATAAAATAAAACAACCAAAATAATTAAATACATAAAACGGTTAAATTTTTAAAACCTTTTTAAAATTTCAATAGCATATTGGTTCAAAATTCACTCTTCCTTTCTTGATATAGAGGGTATTTCCACTAGTTTGTTGTCCCTATATTCCTCAGCAAAATGAAACTTTTTTTTTATAAGGAAAAGAAAAATTACAAAACAAAGCCGCGCAGGCAAAAGCGCCCGAAGAGGTCAAAATAAAAAGGGGTCCTAACAGATAACGGGAGCCCATGCTCCCACAAAACTTGATTAGAAAGACCATGACCTAATTTTGCAACCGCATCCGCCATGAAGTTCGTCTACCTAAAGACGTGTTGAAACCGGACGCTTGCAGCAGAAGAAGACATGGCATAAATATCTTGAATAATCTATTGGATACATCAAGGGGGGTTAGCTTTACCCAGGATACTATCAATGACGAGCTTAGAATCCCCTTCAATCATAATTTGATCCCATCCTCTATCAAGAGCAGCGGTAAGACCATCACGCAGAGCAACACATTCAGCAACATTAATGGAATTTTCGCCAATATTGTTGGAGGCCGCAATGAGGACATGCCCCTCGCTATCTCGAATGACAAATCCTGTGGAAGCATGAGAATTCATAAGAGACCCCTCAAAATTGACCTTAATCCAGCCGGTGGGAGGAGGATGCCATTTAATTATCATGGAATCAGCTGAGTCAAATCTGGCTGTCGAGTTAAGCCTCCAAAAAGTCCGAACCAACACAGGCAGCAGCATGAAAACAGTTAGCCGGGGTGGCCTTGGAGTCATGGAACACCACATTATTCCTAGCCTCCCAGATTTGCCAACAGATAAGGAGAGCTTTGGAGAGAGGGTCCAAATCAGACTTTGTGGATGTGGGGCTCAGCGAAAGAAGCCAATTGTACAGATCTCCAGTCTGTGAGGGAAGGGCATGAGATCAGGAGAAAGAGCCCAAACATCCTTAGCAAACTGACAGTCCATAAACATGTGTTGAATAGTCTTAGGTAAGCTCTGACAAGAGGGACACATCGAACTGATATGTTGCATGAATCTGTGAAGCCTGGCTCTCACTTTAAGTCTTTAACGAATGAGCAACCGGACAAAAATCTTCACTTTCGGAGGAATGTTGAGCTTTCAGATTTTCTTGAGCAGGCCCGCACAAGGGTGGGAAGGCTGGTCTTGAAATTGTAAGTTGTATGCACTTTTGATAGTGAAAGAACCATTTGGGTTGGGACCCCAAATCAATTTGTCCTGCAGATTAGATCTTGGCAAAGGAATAGATAAGATTTTCTCAGTCAAATCATCATCAATAACCTGAGATAATTTTCTTTTTGTCCCAGCTGTTGTTTATGATAAAGTCTGAAACTTTTTCATCAAGATTTAGTGAACTTCTTTGGTGCTCAGGAATGAGATCAAGGAGGGGGAAAGGCAAAACCCAATGGGAGGTCCAAAAAGGAATAGAACCGCCATTACCCACCACCCATCTCAAACCTTTACACAACACCTGTCTAGCATCCAAAATTGACTTCCAAGCTACAGAATGATCAGATTTTTTCTGCATACTAAATTTTTTTTCATATCTTAAATATTTTTGAGAAACAACCTTGACCCACCAATTGGAATGGTCAGTAATGCATTTCCATCCCAGCTTTGCAAGAGCAGCAAGATTAAAATGATTGGCCATTCTGACTCCAACGCCACCAAGGTCTTTAGGCATACAGACCTCCTTCCAAGCAACAGGAGGAGTACCGTCCCTGCCCCAAAAGAACTTCCTACAACACTTGTTCATCTCTTTGATCACCTAAGGGGGACACTTAAAGCAAGACATGACATGATTAGGCATACTAGAAACATAAGATTTAATGAGAGTCAATTTTCCAGCTCTAGAGAGAGTATTAGCTTTCCAACCAGCAAATTTTGAACGAATTCTATCAATTAACTCTCTCGCATTTGGGGGATCATTCCAAAAAATGATGTTGTGAATACCCAAGTATTTGCCAATTGTGTCCCTGTGTTGTATCTGTAAAATAGTACTGATATTGTTCTTAACATTAGATTGGACTCTGGGGGAGAAATAAATTGTAGATTTATGGAAATTTATACGCTGACTAGAGGCCTTAGCGAATGCCTCCAGGACAGTAAGAACTTTCCTGGCAGCAGCTGGCGTGGCCTTGGCAAAAATCAAGCAATCATTAGCAAAGACTATATTAGAAATTCTATAACCATGAGGGGAAGAAAGCGAACCAACTTGGGTTCTAGTCGACTCGGCTAATTTGTTAAGGTGCCTAATAAAGGGCTCCATACAAATAATAAACATATAAGGAGATAAAGCATCCCCTTGTCTAATACCTCTGGAAGGGGCAAAAAAACCCTCAGGGTTGGTATTAAGGAGAATAGAAAAGGAGGCTATGGAAATACAGTTCATAATTCTATCACACCAGTTGGCATTAAAACCAAATCTGATTAAGCAAGCTCTTATATAGTTCCAATCTAGGAGGTCATAGGCTTTCTCCATGTCTAATTTGAGAGCCATCGCACCCACGACCCCTTTTTTCCTTTTAAAATCACTAAATAACTCATGAGCAATTAATATGTTGTCAAAAATGGATCTCCCTGGAGCAAAAGCTCCTTGATTGGGAGAAATGCATTTAGCAAGGATAGACCGAAGTCTGGTAATGATAATTTTAGTGATGACCTTGTAAACTACATTACAAAGACTAATAGGTCTAAAGTGATCCACACTCTCGGGGTTGTCAATCTTAGGGTTAAGAGCAATATTTGTGTGATTGATAGGGTTGAGAGGGATGTTATTCACAAAGAAATCGTTGACCAAGTGACAGAGCAAGTGCTTAGTTTCTGCCCAAAATTGATGGAAAAAAATTGCATGTAAACCATCAGGTCCAGGAGCTTTAAGAGCACCGATACTTTTCACAGCGTAAAAAATTTCCAACTCAGAGACATGAGCCATAAGCTTTAGGTTGTCCTCACTATAAATACAGGGATCAATAATACTAATAAAATCTAGGATATTGGAAGTGGCTAGGGGATCAGACTGAGTAAACCTCTTTCTAAAGGCTGCAACAAAGATATTGCCCATAAGGGGAGCACAAATCCAATCACCATTGGTGTCCTTAATTTTACTGATATGGTTACGCTTTCTACGAATGGTGGCAAAGGCTTGGAAAAACTTTGTGTTTTTGTCACCAACTGGAGCCAGTTGGCTTTCTGGGTGTAGAAAAGTTCTTCGTTCTCTAGAAGGGTTCTTAAGTTGAGATTAAGTTCCCTATTCTTACTGATGAGAAACGAAGAAGTGGGTGAATTAGCAAGTTGGTTTTGGATTAAATGTAAGTGTTCTTGGTTTTCTTTCAGTTTTTGAAACAAGTTCCCAAAAATCTCACGATTCCAATTCTTTAACTTGGTTTTGAAGACACTACAACAAGAAGATAATTGTTGTGCTGAGTTTCCTACATAGACTTGGGACCAAGACTGGTTCACAACATGCGGGAAGTCAACATGAGAAAGCCATATTGCTTCCATCCTAAAGACCCTTTTAGAACTGGTTCTTGGATTAGAACTAGTTAAAATAATGGTACCATGGTCAGACTTGCAAATAGGCAGATTTAATAACTTATAGTTGGGGAACAAATTAAGCCACTCAGGATTGGCTAAAACTCTATCAAGCCTTTCAAAAATAACAAAATCATTTTGGTGACCATTAGACCAAGTGAATGGAACGTCCTCAGCAGGGAGAGAAATTGTTCCACAATCATTAACAAAGGTGTTAAAGATTGAAATAGCTCTGTGGAAATTGCTATTAGAATTGGATCCTCCTACTTTTTCGCTAGGAGAGCAAACATTATTAAAATCCCCCAGTAGAGCCCATGGCATCTGCAGAGGGGGCTTAAGGCTAAGAATAAGATTCCACAAGTCTATTTGTTTCTGTTTTTGGGGGTATGCATAAATGAAAGTTGCCATCCAACCCTTATTATCTAAAACATCACGAATCAAACAATGCACAAAGCGATCATGGTAATTCAAAATAGTTCATTTAACATAGATAGGATTCCAGCATACAATAATCTAGGCATGGACACGGATCGGTTCGGAAAGGTAGAAAGCTCTTCCGTTAACCAAACCAAAGACTTCGGTAGTCCATTTTTTCTTCCGTTAACCAATCCAAAAACTTTGGTAGACTTCGGATCGGTTAACCTATCATTCGGTTCGGTTTGGTTCTGTATGCCGGTAGTATTGTAATAAAAACATACTAATAAAAATACAATTTATAATACTTTCACATAACATAAGTTCTTGAACAAATACACCAAATTATCCTTGTAAAATATAAAAATTCAATAGTCTAATTCATCCAAGTATGAAATCAAATAACTTAGTTACTATATCATTCAATATATACTCAAGATGTATTGGGAGCCACTTGTGTTTGTTGTTTGAACATTTGAGTGTTATTTTTACTAAATTCTCTACATTTTTGTAAATGATTTTGACATTTGTTCCGTGTTGGGTTCTTTAGTTTTTCATGCTCTATCCAACCATATAAAGAACATGAAATTTGAATCAACAGTTGGAAAGTTACAGGTAAAAAATGGGACAAATGTCGAAATTGGAAAACATAGGAAATTCATAAATTCCTCTCTGACCAAAAAGTGCTATAGTACCTGGGTGATAAAGAAGTGATATAATGGTGATAAAGCAGTGATAAAATGGTGATAAAGAAGTGACACAATAGTGATAAAGGAGTGATACAGTGTTTATTGTATTTATCTTTGGTTTCTTGTTTTGTATTTAAATAATAGAATAAGTATAAATATCGGATCGGTACGGGTTTCCGTTGGGTTAGGAATATTGTTTCCGTTAACCAAACCAAATATCTCGGTACGGATCGGATTGGAATAATTAAAATTAAAAAATAATTATTTAACCAAACCAAACCAAACCGTCGGTACGGTATGGTCGGTATGCAGATAATTCGAATGAGATGTCCACCCCTATAATAATCCCACCACACTGCCTATGGTAGGGACACAAAAAACACCATCAAAATGCAATTTTTTTCCAATGGCCTCAGCCTTCTGCAAATTTGCCCTGGAATCTAGAATGCACACAACATCTAAATTAAAAGACTTAATAAAAAACAGCATTTGAAAGATAAAGCCCTGCCAGGAACTGCCACGGCTATTCCAGATAAAGATCTTCATGGATTAAGGTGTTATGGTATTGGTTGTAGGGTCAAAAACCCCAAGGACCTCCAGGCTAGGGTCAAAAACCCCAAGGACCTCCAGGCTAGCCTTTGAGTTAGCCTCCCTCTCTTCAAACTCCTCTCTGATGCTCTTCTTAGGGCTCTTGTAAGCCACTTGTTGCTCTCCCCTAGTAGGAGAAAGAGGGGGATGAGAGAGCCTACCCCTCATTTTCACACTAGGTTCCCTGACCGCTAACAGTTTCCCTCCACCATGAACACTAGATAGGTTGTTGCTAACTCTAAATTTAGCTCCTTTAGCAGCCTCCTTAAAAGACCTCCCATCCTGTAAGCTCATTTTAGCTTTCCCATTACGATTGGCCACCACAGTCTACCCCAGATCATTATCCTCCTCATGCTTATCAGTATCAGCATCTCTCTCCCTTGTGAACTCAGCCCCCGTGTGTGAGCTAACTATGGTAGGCTGTGGGAATACAAGGATCACATCCTCAGAAACCCAGCATAATGGAACTGTTGAGACAAAGTATCGCTATATGTTAGAGGTTGCCATATTATTTATGGCCTAAGTTTTTTCTACCTTTATATTTCATAATGTTGAGGCCCAAAAAATCTAAGGCTGGGCCCAAATATATTTCTACTGTAGTATAACACTTAATCGAGAGAGGAGCCCGACCGGAGTATGCAAGAATTTGTCGTATGCGTTTGAACAAGTCATGGTCCACATGTCGCGCCATGTGAAATGTAACAAGCCTGTACTAGTTCCATGAACCCGCGCTTATTGTCCCATTAAGCACCGTTTAGCCCTTGCCAAAGCCCATTAAAATACAGGAAAAGCTCAAGCACAAACACGCCAAATAACAAGTAATGCTGAGCGAAAAAACCTTTATTTTGGCACCACGCCACGCTATTAGCTTAAGTGGGCCCAAGCCACGCTACGAGCTGAAATGGGCCAAAGTCATGTGAATGCCTGGGGTTTGCTGAGCGGGTTGTGGTATGAATGGTTACAAGTGTTCATGTGGCCCATTGATAGTCCAAGGAAGTTTTGGGCTACTTGGGAACACCAAAACTCAGGCCCATTTCTTGAGACCAATCACATGGCAAGCATGAGAGAGAAAATGTCCATCACCTTAGAGAAATGGCCCAGGACTTTAGAGAAATAGTCTAGCACCTTAGAGAAGTGGTCCAACACCTTAGAGAAGTGGTCCAACACCTTAGAAAATATCCCACATCCATGTTAAAAACCAAGCAAACCCATGTGCTGATAGAAGTAAATCACCTTTTGGACCAGCACCTTTACCTATTCTTTCCTTTACAAGTTCTGGTAGGAAAACAATAATAATAATAGTACTTGGACATTGGTGCTATTTAATCATGCTTACAATAAAGTTGGCTGTAAATGGCCTGTTAGAATCAATCATCATCCTAATGGTTCCATCGGCCAATAGAAAACTCGCCTAGTTGCAAAAAGATTTCATCAACATAAAGGTTTGGATTACATAGACACTTAGTCTCATTGCTAAACATTTTACAATTCGTTCTATCTTGGCTCTTGTTGTCTAATCTCATTAGTTTTTAAATCAGTTGGATGCAAACAAATGCTTTCTGGCATAGTTATCTTAAGGAATATGTTTATATGAATCAACTTCCTGGTTTTATTGATTCAAGCATATACCTCATGTTTGTAAGCTCAACAAAACACTTTATGGTCTTAAAAAGGCGCTGGTTGGTATGAGGAGTTGTGTCATGCCCTAATTGGATTGGGATATCACTCTTTTGCATCTAAGTCTCACTATAACATCCCACATTGACCCTTGGAGAGGAGGTGATGTGCCTTATATGTACATGCCTGCCTCCATCTAGCACGAGGCCTTTTGGAAGCTCACTGGTTTTGGAGTCATGGGAACTTCGAAGTTAAGCTAGTTACGGCTAGAGCAATCCTAGGATGGGTGACCCACTGGGAAGTTGCTCGTGAGTTCCCAAAAACAAAACCATGAGGGCAGAGAGGGGGCCCAAAGCGAACAATATTGTGCTACGGCGGAGCCAATCCTGGGATGTGACACTCACACTATTGCTCTGGTATATGTTGACAATATTAGTGTCACAAGATGCTCTTCTTAGGCTTGGCAGTCCCTCATTCATCATGTTGGCAAGATATTTGTTTGGGCCTGAAAATTTCACACGCCAGCCCAATTAACATTGGTGCATATCAGAAGACAGAGACGTGGGCTTTATTTTCAGAAATCAGCCGAAGTGTTTTTAGAAGCCCAGATTGTTTTGAAACGATCGGCTAAGGATTAAAATTGCAAAAACAAAAAGATTGAATTCCCATTTAATGGTGACTTAATCCAAACAAATCAAGAACCTCTAAATTGAATTAAGCCTAGCTTCTAAAAACTCTCACCATCTGATCTCAACCCCAAAAGTGCAAATTAGCAGATTTTTTGCTTGAAGGATCTTTCTCAAAAGGAACCCCCCGTGAATTTTGAAAAGTCAAAATTCTCAACTAAGACAGAGGAAGTGATAAGGAGTTAATGAAGACAGATTTTTTCAGAAAACCTTCTCCATTTTAAAAATCAAGAAAAGAAGATCAAATCTCCTCCCTATGTGCAGAAAAGCTCTGCACCATAGCAGATTACATTTTCAAGAGATAAAGTAGGAAGCAGGAGAGTTGTTCACCAGAAAAAGCAAAAAGACTATCACAGAAACTAACTATTTATGGTTCTTTTTTTGCCAGATTAATAACTTCTCTGCATTAGAAATGGAAAATCTCTTTTTATGCCCCTAGATTTAAAAAAAAACCTCATTCAGATTCTCTATAAATATAAGAAGGGGTGAACAGGGTAATGGACAGCCAAAAATATCAATCAAAACAAAAACTCTCAAGTTATATTGACAAAATCAGTCAGACCTCAAAAGTCTTCAGACTCTGAAGCAATTGAGCCATTCAGTCTTGAAAAATCATTGAACCCCCAAGCAAAAATAGCCAGAACTTAGGTCATTCTTTCAGTTCAAAGAAACAATTCACAAAGAGAACAAGTTCTCACTCGTTACAAATTTGGTCCAGCATAGGTCTTGATCAAGCATAACAGGTATTATAGTGCAACCTTAGCTCAGCAATCATTAATCCAATCATTTCTACCCCCTTCAAGACTGAAGAGGCCTCAATTATGCCCATCCAACAAGCCTTCCAGGGCTTGAAATCGATTAAAGCTCTGCCAAATTCGAACATTGGTATTGATTTCCAACTGAAATCTATCAGTTGAAGGTGCTGACGATTCAATCTAGCATAAACACATCCAATCCAGTCCAGTTCAGAGGCAACTACCCAGGTAGATATCGAAGTCCAACGTTCTGTAGTCTTTTTCGGACTTGGCAGTTCTCTTTTAAGTTCTGTAATATGCAGTTCTGCTTAAACAAATCTGCTCTCTTTTAACATTTATTTTAGCCAAAACTACCAGTTTTTTACTATGAAAAATTGTAAAGTCCTCACTAATTTGAGGCAAGAAAAGAACTTACTTAGGAGATATTCCTCACCCAAATTCACAATTTCTTGTTTAGAATCAGTAACTTGGGCCACAAGTTACCTATTTTTTAGAAGTCTACTAGGGTTTTAACTGCTAGCAGTGGCACAGTCATACACAAAAGAAAATTGATTTGTTAACCACAAATGGTTCTCAAGTTAATGGGGAACTTTACCCAACAATCACAGAATTATATCAAAATGGGTGAACAATATTTTAGTTAGGGACCTTGGTCCTCTTCACTTTATTTTAGGCTTGAAAGTTCATCATAGTTCTGGATTCTTTTTTCTTTCTAAGACCTAATTAATTTATGACTTGTTGGTAAATCACGACTTGATTGGTGGAAAGCATTGTCCTATTCATGTTGGCTATGCTAAATTGGATCACAGTAAGAATCTTCTTCTTGATCCAACTCCTTATCGTTCTATTATGGGTGGTCTTTAGTACGTTACTTGGACTCAACTTGACATCTCTTTCATTGTTGGCCAATTATGTTTGTTTATGCATTGATTGATTTCTAGCATTACGTTTCAACCTTCAATTCTCCCCAACTCGTTTCACAGCCATCCAAAGCTAAAGGAAAAGAACAATCCAAACCTTGAGATCTTAAATCTAGTTGTCTACTAGTGTTAATAGTTAAAATTTTCAATTCAATAGTCTTCTAACTCTTCATTTGATATTAAAACAGTCCTACTGTCAAAGTCTTCAATTTCACCGTTAAATTTAAGGGTAAAACCTCCCACATGAACTAAAATATTAATAAGGTAATTAAAAATTAAAGTAAAATATTTAAAAATTATTACAAATTCAAAAAAGGATAAATTATAAATTAAAAAATTAAAAATTAAAATTAAAATCATAAAAAATCTTTCACCATTTCTCCTCCTCAACTAGCCGGCCCCACCACGACCTCACCCACCCATAACCCTGCCACATGCCCAGCGACCCCTACCTTTTGCCTTTTCCCCGATCGAAATATGTCACTCGAGATTTTGAGCAGGAGCAACTCCCTCGATGATGAAGAAGAAGAAGCAATCTTCTACTGATCCAACTCAGATCCCATCTAATCCAAATAAAACTCAGATCCGAATAAAATGCAAGAAGAAGAAAGACAACCACTGGTACCCGTAGGTCCATACTCGAAAGCCCGACAAATGCCACCGTTTCAAATTCCTTCCCTAACAATTCCAATAGAAAAAAGGGAGAAACCACCGGCTTGAGGACACCTTTAAGGTTCTCGACAAGCACTCCACTAACTTCGTCTCTGTCTTGGAGCTTAAGCACATCCTCACCAGTAGCTGCAAGAAATTGGATCCATTTGAGTTGGATAAGTGCATCCGGGAGAAATTGGAGCCATATGAGTTGAAGAGGAGTGGACTCGCAGTGTTTTTAAGGTTGACTATGTGCTACTTTGGGGGTTTACATCCATGATTGGAAGAAGACCAAAGATCAGTGGAAGGAAAAGGGAAGACGAAGGGGATGAGAGATGGCTTTGGCCCTAAAAAGACGAGTTTACCCCTTGATGTCACAGAATAATTGGCAGAATTTTACGGTAGGACCGTTTTGATATCAAATTGAGAGTTGGAAGACTATTGAATTGAAAATTTAGTTGGTGGACCAAAATGGTACTCGAGCAAAAGTTGGGGGACCATTTAGATTAAAAACCCATAAAATTTAGTTTGATGGTCTGTAGAATAGATGAAAATTACAAATTTAAAAGGGGTGAGTTGCTTCCAGGTGTAAGGGCTTTTTTGTTCCAGTAGCTATAGATGGGCCTGGGCTGTTGTAAAGAGCAAATGAGTGGAGTTGCCCCTGT